TTTTTTTCACTAAAAAATGTATTATCTGAACAGACAAAATTTAAAATGAAATACGAGAGTTGTCCCAAAAGTAATGCACAATTTGCTCTGAATAAATAAGTTTTTATTTTAAACTAAATACAATATTATAGACTTTCGATATAATCTCCCTGCTTGTCTATACACGATTGCCATCGTTTCGGGAGCGCTTGAATGCCGCATAGGACGCCATCTTTGTTGAGTTCACGGATCCTTCGGCTCACTTCTTCATTTAGTATATCTAAGTTGGGAAAACGGATCCCTCTAAGTGGTTCCTTCAGTTTTGGAAATAAATCAAAGTCCGGGGGACTTAAATCCGGCAAATACGGTGGGTGTTTGAGGCGTTCCCATCCATATTTCTCGAAAAGAGCGACGACTGGTGCTCCGGTATGCGGCCGCGTATTATCGTGCAATATGGACACACCATTTTGTAACATTCCTGGTCGCTTTTTACGGATTTCTGGTCGCAATTTTTTGGCAAGAAATGTTTTGTAGTAATCCCCGGTTACACTACCTCCAATTGGAACTCGATCAGTGATAATTATCCCAAGTTTATCGTAAGCAAAAATCATCATTTGTTTCACCTTTGTTTGCTGGCGACGAACTTTTTTTGCTCTTGNTAATTCCGGCTCAAAATCACGGATCCAAGTCTCATCTATTGCAATTATACGATCAAGAAACGTTTCTTTTTCATTTTCGTAGCGTGAAAGGAGTTCACGGCTGATGTCTTTGCGTGTATCCTTCTGTTCCGGTGACAGAAAATGAGGGACCCAACGTGCTGCAATCTTTCGTTTCTGTAGAATTTCCGTTAAAATGCGGTGAACACTTGATTTTGAAATACCTGTTTCATTCTCTATCTCTCTCACCGTTATTCGTCGGTCTTCATCGAGTAGAGTTGCGAGAATAGCCGCGTTAGTGTTGTCTTGAGTAACCGTAGAGGGTCGGCCAGAGCGAGGGTTGTTATCAATACTTATACGACCATCACGGAATCGCTGATGCCATCTTTGCACCGTACTACGATCCACAGTATCCGTTCCACACACTTCATTTAACGCGGCATGAATTTCAGGCACTGTTTTACCACGAATCGTTTCGATTTTAATGTATGCGCGTTGCTCAAAAACAGAAATGTGAGCCGACGAATTGTTCTCACTTTCGTTATCGCTCTCACACATCATCATACTTTACTAAAACAACTAAAACTGAAAACGCACGTGTTCGATAGACTTCAAGCTACAAACTGATACTAAAAAAAGCTGATAATATCACATTGCAAGACAGCTAGAGCGCGCTGTGCATTACTTTTGGGACAACCCTAGTATTAATGATATTTATTATTTGGAATTATATTATGTAGAAAAAATACGATTAAGAAAATTGGTTGGAAAATTAATAAATAGAAAATGTATTGTCAGGAACAAATACAGTTGAAAAATTGAATGAAAGGAAAACATGTTATTTAGAATCCGTGTAGTTTTAAACATAAATAAATTTGAAATACGTAATACGTTCTATTTAGTTTAACAATTTTATCCACAAGTATCTACAAAAAAAGAAAAAAATGTTTCAAATGTTTTGAAAATATTACTACATCTAGAAAAGGTCAATGCAAGTTTAAATTTAAAATTTAAAGTCTTTACAACTATTTTTAACTGAATTAAAACAAAAAAAAACTCTCAAAATTAATATGTCTTTAAATAGCTCAAAAATGATTTAACTGTTTCTGATGGTTAAGTTAGGTTGGATGAGATTACTTATACCATAAGAAACTAGATTCAAAATTCAATAAATAAGGTCTTTTGTCATTTTTCAACTAGAGTAATATTTCTGGTAGAAAACGCCATCCGTATTTATTTAAAATAATAATATCGTAAAATTGTACTGTTTTTCCCAGTTAAGTGCTATTATTTTGAAAACGACATCGACAATCAAAAAATTACTTGTTTAGAGTACAAACTAGAGAAAATTTTATTTCAGAAAAGATACTCATTTTGACCAAGATTTATAGGAGAAAAAGTGTTTACAAAACTATAGAAATAAACATTATTGTAAAACCAATACATTAATCGCTTTACTAAGAATCTAAATCTTAAACTAATTTAACCTGACTTTTTATTTATTTAGTACATATTATAATACTTATTCAATACAATAATTCAATGTAATGTCTATTAAACTGGATTTCATTATATTATTGTAGGTACCTAATGGATGTTCCAAATATCTGTTCCAAAAATTAGTTTTATATTTAATGTATGTTCCATTTCATAATTAGTTCGAAAATTGTTTTTTCTGATTGTAATTAATTCCATACAATATTGTGTTCGAAAAAATATTATTTTATAGAACTAAATTTTCTATTAATTATTTGATCAAATTTTTATCTTTCAACGGTGTGATTTTATAGGAAAATAATGTTCGATTATAATTAATTCCTAGCATCGATCGGCCTCCGCGCAGAGGTATGGACATTTTTACACAAAAGATGAACGGGTCTACGTGTACATCACCTCAAAACTAGATTTCTATTCAATCCCTAATTGGTGGTTCACAAAGGATTTTTTTATATGGTGATACGAAAATAAAATTTGTTTTATTGATTTTCGTTTTACTTTGGTCTTGGGGACATAAATGAAATAAAAAGAGAGATGGGCGAGATTAAATTATATTTCTTTTGTTGTGTCAACAAAGTTTTCGAAAATAAGATTTTAATAATTCTGTTTTTATAAATGGTCAAATAAGGAAAATTAAATTAGTATGGATGTGACAGCTATAGATTTTATTTTTATTTTTAACGTGATAATTATTAAATTTGTTGATATCTATTCGTACATTACATGTGAAACAGAATATGTATTGTATAACTAAATTCGCATTATTATTCAATAATTAATATTTTCTATTCGGTTCGAGACGTGAAAAATCAATTGGCTAATTAAAATAATGTACTATCATGTTTCTAATGTCGTAAAACCTTGGATGGGTTTTGGATTGGACTTTGAGAGTAGCGTCTTTTCGTGGGATAAACGATGATACGTCAACGGTAATGGGGTCCACTTGGGGTGGCATTTCCGGAACGTCAATGGTTTCTGTCCTAACTTCTGCGGTATAATCGGTAACGGAATTCGATTCTGTCCGAACTTCTGCGTCGTTCAAAATTCTTCTGCATTTAAATTTACGATTTATTGTTAACAATACGAATTTCTAAAACGGTAAAAACATCAATAAACAATGCGACACGACGTCGTATCTTTACGTTCTCAACAAAAGATTTTAAAAATAAAAAACACATGTGAATTGACTAGTTCGGCACCTATACGATTTTGGATGTGACCAAAAAAATAATCTAAAAAAGATTATTTTTCTTTTATAAATGTACCTACTTATCGTATGCTCGCGTACATCGTCAATCTAAATAAATAGGTAATAATTTTAATCTGTCCCGTTGAAAAAAAAAAAACATTTTTCTTTTTATAACGATTGGTATACCGTGTAGTCGAAAGAAACCCAGAATTCAGGGGGGGGGAGGAATAAAAATTAAATTTTCATATTTTATAAGATCGAAATTCGTGCTTGAGCCTCTTTTTACTTAGTTAAATTTCTGAAGACAAAAACGCATATAATTGATTATATATAAAAAAAAAAAAACGATTTTCTATATTACATACATAAATACACATATTCTATTTCGAATAATACGATCCTTATGGAAAAAACGCAGTCCGGGTGACGTCTGATAATACAACATGCTAGTATCGCGAAGTATATCAGCGCCATCTGAGTATCGTGTGCTGCGCAATAGAGGTACCACCACAAGACCATATTATTGCCCGTAAGAATAATATTATTAAACATTAACATGCAATGTTATTTGTATGTATTTTAATGGTAGTATGATTAAAATTATGGGAGTTTTATTTTTTTTTTCTTGTTGTAAAAGTACATTTCATACAGCTATGAAGATAAATTATGATATATTCAATAATAACTACAAATAAATACAAAATATGATAGTATAAACAGTCATTTATGATATTATTCATAACTAATATAATATAGGACCTACCTAATATGTGTCAATAGGTAACTGTTGTCTATTGCTTGATCAATTTGATGTTTATTATAAGGTAGTACTCGTAATTACTTTTGGTAATAGCCCTTTACGTTACTATATTATTTATGTCAGTGATGCTCATACCCCCCCCCCACATCACTCCTCTTTAAAACATAGAGTAATATTATTATGCAATTATAAAGATCCTAAGTTGATAATACTGCTCGAGTAGACAATTATTTTTCAAGATTTATACATTCCAGGTTTGTATTTTCTCTCATAATCAAATACCTTAATAGTTGTTTTAAGATTTTCACTGTTTAAAAACTTCTCAGTCCTTTCTTGAATAAAAGTGACACTAACCTGTTAATTCATTATAGGTAAATATTGGGGACCTAGCCACTCTAAAATTATTTTGTAATTTCCTATAATTTGTAAATAATAAGTAAGTGGAGAACGAGGGGGATATATTCCTCTTTAATATTTGTATTACCAATCTTTGTATATAATTATAAAAAAAAAATTAAAAATAATAATGAGTGTTAAAAAATGTAAATTAGTTTCATCTCCCTCATGGGGATGAGGGAATGACAAAATCAGTTGACCTTCACTGAAGCTAGTCTTGTTTTACAAGTTTTGTAATTTAACATATTTTGTCTATTTGGTGTATATTTCTGGTTTCATTTAATGATTGTAGTTATTCATTGTTGCAAGGCTTTTAGATTAAACTATTAATCTAAATGTAATCTTATAGCCCAGTAGTTGGTAACCTTTTTGGACTCTGAGGTCATTCATAAATTAAATTGGGTTTCCAAGCCAGATAATAATAAAAATATCCAGTTACCTACCATTGCTATAGCCTATATTATCTACACTTTAATAATTTCACAAAAACTTCATAAAACAAAATTTGGTGGTTGCCTCTAAAGTTGATGACCATTGAAAGATTTTAGTATAAAAGTTGTTTACAGACCAACAATAAAAATATACTATGTATACCATATAAATCATAATTGTTTTTTATTTTAAATAATTAAGTACATGTTCCATTAGATTAATATTATTCAGCAATAAAAATATTATTAATCATATTAATGTAATCTATACAAATTTAACTTGTACCCTTATAAATATACTGGTATGTAAAATAATTAATGTGTGGGTACTTAAAAACAATGTTTTTGGTTAATTTTTATCCATTTATAAAAAAAAAAAAAAGTAATTAAGATTTATAAATAAGGAAATAATAAAATATTTTGTATTGCATTATAAATGGTCTTATACTGGCCCATAATATGGATCACTAGCTAATGTATTGATAAAATAAAATTAATAAAATCTTGATAATAATTAACATTCTTAGTTCTTATATAAACTTTAAATAAACTTTAACATAATATTAGATACAATTTAAATAAATACAATAATATGGTGTTTAAATGTTACTATATGGTGTTTTGTTTACATTCACAGTATAATTTATTGATAACATATTTGTACCATTATGCATCACTGACTAAGCGACATTCTAAATTATAAGTACACATTGGTGCAACACGCCACTAACATTAATGTATCATAGGTATACAGTTTTTGAAAAAATATACAATTTGTTTTATATAATCAAAATAGTAGATAATTTTTAACAGGTGTAATGTTCACACAACCAATACCATTGGAGCAATAAAATAGGTAATTTTTAATTTATACATAATAAATAATAATATTATTAACATTTATTTTAAACAAAGAATATTGATAAATTATGCATTAAAAGTTTTAAAGTTTGTAGTAGGAGACACAAGTTCCAAGTTCATATTTTTATATTTGTTCAAATAATTAATACAAGTATTATATTTAATAATACTTGGTTGTTAAAACATTTTAAGTAATAATTAGTTATCTTGGCTAACTAGCGATTAAAAAAATTAAAAATACAATAATATAATGCCTTTAAAGAAATACAAATGAATTATAATAGATTGCATAAAAATAAGAGTTTCGATTTCTAACATCAAAAGTATTTTGAAAATATATAAATATATAAGTATTAATTGACTATTTATTATAGTAACTCAATGTAGGTTATTATTTTAATAATAATTATCAACACATAATTAATTAAATCTGTATAATTATTATACTGGATGTTAATGCTTCATTTCTCAGTTGATAATTTATTTATCTAGAGTTTCCATTCTAATTAATTAATAATAAAATGACATATCTCATAAAAAGAGATAATTTGTAAATTATACTAATTAAATAAAATGTTAAATCTATTTAAGTAATACAATTTGTTTATACCAAATTAAAACATTGTTTTTTTGCGCTTAATTTATAGTTTAGATCAAGATTAAAAGTATTTCTATCACTTCATCATTAAATTTAAGTGCTAAAACACACAAATAATAATAGAGTACATAAAATAAAACAAGGAATAAATCGTTAGTGAAAAAACCAAATATTGGCATAGTGTATACTAAAAGTCAAAATGTTTCATGTAAAAAATAAAACTCTACCTTGATTATTAATTAAGATTTGAACTAAATAATAAAAAGAGTCAAAAACTACTAATAAGTAATAATGTATACTGCTGTTAAAATAAAACTTTTAAATTATAAAACAATGGATCTAAATCGGGTTTTAAAATGCATTGCTTGATGAACCTTTTTTACGACGCTTATTTAACAATGGGTTATTAGAATTATTCAGGGATTTAATATTAACTTGATCGTAATCTACTCGCATTGTGGCTAGAGATCTGGTCATTTCTTCTTGGACTTCAGGCCACACGTCTTCAGACTCTTTAAGCATTTTACCAGTGTATAATGGAGTTTGAGGTACTTCAGTATACCTCTAAATTATTATAGTGATAATTAGTAATCAAAATTAATTAATTTCATTGAAAAGTATTATTTAAAAAAAATATATAATACTCACTGCAATCCACTTATGTTTCACTACTTGATTGATGGTAAGGCGAACTGATGGATCAACGGACAACATACTGGATATGAGAGTTTTAGCATCATTAGACACATTGTCCCATTCAGGACTGGGAAAGTCAAATTGTCCAGTTTTAATTCTATTTTTCATGCCGGGCGAAATAGCTTGACCATGATTACTAAAAAAAGGAGGAAATCCACATAATCTATAACACAAAATAACAACTTTAAAAAAAACCTGGGTTAAACACAACAATATAGACATTTATCAAAATGTCTAATTTATATGACATGCTTACAATATATACATAATAACACCTAATGACCATATATCACAACTTTTGTCATACTTTTCAGGGCCTAAAACTTCTGGTGCTATAACAAACATATAATAAATAATTATAATAAAGTGCATAATAATTTATAAATAAATATATTAGTATATTATTATTATTTTAAACTGACCAACATAATAAGGAGTATAACATGGTGTTTTTAACGGAGCTTTTTGTGATACTTCTTTAGCAAATCCAAAATCAGTTAGTTTTAAAATACCACTGGAACCTGAAAAGACAAATAATAACTATTATAGATGTTTTTTTAAAGTTAAATATTTATAAGTACGCCATATTATAAAACAAACATGAAAAAATAATAAATAACCAATACTTCAAAAGAATTTATTTTTATACATTTAGAAATAACTTAAAATTTGGTATTTAAATTAAAATAATAAAGATGTGTAGACCTAAAACAAATAATTTTACTTAAAGATACAAAATTAGATGAAATGAAGAAATATATAGAGGTAACATGAAGATCTGAGCACTGAAATAATTTTTGTTCTTAATAATTAGTTTACCCCTGTGCTATAGTTAAAATATTATTCAATTATGTTTTTTATGGGGCAACTTAAAAAAAAAACAACATAATTTTAGATCTTTGTATAACATCTACTGAGAGTCAACATAACTAGGTAATTCAAGCCAAATGATTAAGCTGGGCTAGGCTAAATACAGGTTTTTATGGTGATAACTTTTTAATATTTTGAAGTTATGTTTTAAAACTTATTTTTCATTATTATTTACAAGTGTTAACTGTTTTACATGTCATTTTTTTGCTTGTAGATCATTAGACGTGTCTGATCATTTATGCATTTAATGAAAATTGTATTGATTTCCATAGGATATACAAGTTTTAATGTTTTTTCTTTTGCAAAAGAAACTAATTTAAATGTATAAAACTTTGTTAAAATGATTTATAAAAGAAAATATTTACACTATACAAAAATTATTAATTACCATTTTTTCCCAATAAAAGTAAACTGTCAGTATTTATCATTATAATAAAATTTATTTTTTAAGGATATAAATATTTGTTTGCCAATCATAATAATTGAAACAAATGCATTGCTTAACTTGAAATTGTTAAAATGGTTAAATACAGAAAACTGTGAGAATAACAATATTTATAGTTCATATGGTTAACCTCACTTTACAATAATATACTTTTAAATTTAAAAAAATAATAATAAATACAAATATTCAGTAATAATAAAATTAAAATTGATTAGATTAGTTAATGAGATGACCAAGATAATGGTAATTGGAAAATAATTAAATTTGTTCATTTTCATAAAATATACATGCATATTAAGCTTTGTTCAAATACAGCATAAACATTTGTTTTTAGGGACATTTAAAACAAAAAATACTAAAATCTATTATACATGAAATAATAAAAAAGGTAATAAATAATACAAAGAAAAGATATTTTTATTTTTAAAAATGTTTATTTAATGATTTTTGATATTGTAAACACTAGAAGTCATATTTGTTTTAAATAAAGTAAATAAACATTTATTTTTTTTTTTAAGTAATTCCTTTTAACCACTAATAAAAGTATTAATCACAATTAAAGATATACTTTTAATCATGGTATTAACTGTTGTTAGCAATATTAGTATAGTTAACTTAATATCAAATACATTATTACCTATATTTATGAATATAATACAATTATTTTATTTTATATAATACCCAAGGTTATATACATGGTAAAACAACTTCCTTATCAAAATTTGATTGCTGATGAGAATAGAATTAAAATGGCTTGGGTACTCATAAGATGGAACTATTTAGAGTAGTTTTTGTAAAAAAACAAACGTAATTGTTTTATCATTGAGTAAACACAAGAAAAAAGAGTAATAATTATAATTATTGTAATATCTTCATTGTTTCATGATTTTATAATCTCATATTTATTTACTAAAATCGATGTTTAAATCACAGTTTTAAATTAATCATTAGCTTTATCCTCCATCCATAAAACAGTGCAACTGGCTGGTATACAGTTTTTTATTTTGAAAAAAGTATTTAAATTTTAAATTTAATACAATAATAGGACATAACTAGTCAGTGGTGGATTTAGTGCCAGGCAAAGTAGGTAGCTGCCCTGTTGACAAGTTTAAACCAGTATTTTATTAAGAATACTAGTTTTTTTTTAGATTGTCTAAGGTAATTTTTAATTTTTACAATTGAAGAAAACTACCTGCCTATAATTTATAGTAATATATTTTCATAATCCAAAATTTAATTTAATTTTATACATATTTATCAAGTGTTAGTTATTACACACTAGGTGTACAAACATATAAATTTTTTCTACCTGAAAGATAAAATTGTTATAATATTTTTCTTCAGGACTATGAAATAGAGGGCGACAGAGTAGAGAATAGGTATTATCCATGTGTTTATTCTGATTAAACATTCGATTATTTTCAACACAACTTTCAAGGCGGATAGACTTAAATTTCAGATATTATTGATAAGTAAACACTGTATTTTATAAACAATATTTGTTTGATTAGAACAGTTTATATGATTTTTTTTTTTTTTTAGTAGTTATGCTAAGTACTTAAAAATTTGTTTTCTTATTGACAAGTTTAATGGGACAATAAAATAAAATTTACTTAGGGACGACAATTGTGTAAATCCATCTTTGCAACTAGTAATAATATGATATTTATTACAAAAAAATGAACAATGTCAATGTATTTATCAGAATACAATTAAATAAATATAGGTATACAATACTAATAATAGATCTAGTTACTGAGATTTTAAATTTCCAATAAAAAAAAAAAGCATATATATTAAGAAATATGATGTTATTTTAAGAATAGTAATACTAAAGTAATGACATACTATAATAATATTTAAATTTTCTCTGGTAAATTTATCAAATTTGATTGGTTCTACCTTATTGCAGCCATTTTATTTCTATAGTCCTCAGCAATCTATTTTTAACAAGGAAGTTGTTCTACCATATATTAGAACTATGTTAATAATACTATAATACATATCGATCTACTTTACATGTAAATAGTGTCTAAAATATTCAAAATACTGAAAATAAAAATATTATATTAGTACCTACTCTTAAAAATAAAGTATATATTTAAAGTAAAATGTCTTAAGTAAGGCTAATAGGAGTATATTACCAGGCTTAGAGTATAAGAGATTTTCAGGCTTTAAGTCACGGTGAGCAATATTAAGATCATGTAGATACTTGACAGCTGAACAAATATCTGTCATAATATGTGCTGCTTCTATATTATTTACAGAAAACGCCTAAGTTAATTATTTGTGACAATTATTATGCATAATTAATTATTTAAAAAAATATATCATAATTTCATCAAATTACCTCTTTCAGTAAATGCTCCTTCGTTGTGTTCTTGTATTCGTTGAAATAATTCACCTCCTTCCATGCTAAAAATAAAATTATTGAAAATATTGAAAACTTAAAAAAATTATTTGATTTTAAAGCTTTATATCTACTACATTAAACTAATTTTTTTTTACCATTCAAAAGAATTTATAATAAGCCTCTTATCAAATTTTCAAGTATTTCTGTTAAGTCTAACAATTTATCATCTACACAGTACCTTTCAAATAAAAATTATGTAAAAAACTCAACAAAATTAAAATGTCTATAAATAGCTCAAAAATTTTTCTACAAATATTTGAATGTGAATTATATAAAAAAAACAATACTTAAAATATAAAAGTATTATTTTTATAAATTGTCCATGGTCTAAAATGTTCAGTATTGCAGTTTCAAAGTTTCAGAACTATATTAAAACGATAATAAATCATATATTTAAACCTTTGTTATATCACTGACTGTGGTCTTTGTGCCCTAACTCGATCAATTTTGCCAGAAACAAATAGCAAAATGATAATATTATAATTATAGTATTTATTATTATTTTTTTTTTTACGTAGCCCTTAATTTAGTTTAATGATAATTTAATAAGCAATATCTCTGTCTCTAGCTATTTTGTTTAGATAAAAATATATTATGTATATAAAATTTAAATATAATTTATGTACTTATTATAATTTTTAATTGTTACTATAAACTGAAAATAATGTATAATATTAAATACTAAGTAAAAGATATAATTTAGAATAAATAATAGGTAAATAAATTATATAGTTGTTATTAGATTTAGGTATAAACTATAAACTAGGTTTACTTAGTGGTAGAGCCAGTTTAAACTATTGGATAAAAAAACTTAATTCAAAAAGATTTAATTAAAATAAAATACTTAAAACTTTGAAGGAATAAATAGTTTAATTTTAATTCCTTTATTCCCAGAATCTAAGGTCTGAATAAATAGATGTAGATAATTTGTATTGTATGTCATTAATTTAATTTTGTTATATTTTTAAAACTTCTTTTTCTTCTCCTTTGAAATACTTGGGGTCAGCCAAAAGAACTTCTCATCCTGACAGAATTTTAAACTGGCTGAACACCTGATGCTACCCCATTTGTCAGATCTTACAAAAAGATAGTCATACCATGGAGTATTTTTATCCCCTTCCATGAAGATATTACATTTTTTTATCCTACAATAGTAATTCTCTAAAATTGAATCATTATGATGAAGATATATTATAATCATGTGGAATACATTTATTAAGACAATAAGGAATGATAAATGAGAATGCATCACTTGTTTCAACTAAGAAATATGAGTGGGAACGCATTTCTTTGTAAAAGAAATTTTCCAGACATTTTAAATTTTCAATAATATGGGTGGTATATAAATAATAAAATTATTACACTGAACAAATCTCACACTGTGTTTATTATTTATAAGTAAAATAATAAAATAATTATTATAAAATTAGTTGGATAAGTTTTAAACTATATTAGTTAATAATTACAACTGAATATTCAATAATTCTTTAATGTAGATTTTGATTAAAAATATCAGTTACAACACTTAGATCTATTATGGAAATGAATGGACCTAAAAATGAAACAATTAATTTACATATTACCATATCATGAATTGAAGATTATGAAATAAAAGTTAAATGGAATATTCATTAAATTAACCCCTTGTATGATTTTTTTTTATTGGGATAAAAATTTTTCTATAGCAAATTTAAAGTAAAAAATTACAAAGTTAAAAGTGTTGAAGTTATAAGTTAAAGTTTAGTGCATGCCATATTTAGCACACCACACATTTATAAAATTTAGATGCCTTTATTTTCATTTTATTATACTACACATATATAGAAAACATACAATATTATAATAAAAAATAAAATTAATGAAAAGTAAAAAAAATTAAGCAACATTATGTTAAAAGTAAAAAAAAAAAAACAAATCTAATGGCATAGAGTAATATGTAACAGTATGGTAAAATGAATATTTGAACAAATAGTCATGTCATTAAAGCGTATTGTGCCATATTTGGTACACACATAAATTTGAATATTTTTCAGAAATTAATTTAAAGACTTAACTTTAGTCAATTCACCATACAATTTCAAATCGAGGTAGTACTTTTTTTTTAACATAAATCAAAAATTAAACTAAATTAATTAATTAAATAAACTAATAACAAAAAACCAGTTTGTGACACAATATGCAACACAATATGTGCACATATGTTGCATGTGTTGGAAATGGATGAGCACTGAACGATTAAAAAAATATATGTGGTATGCTACAAATTGCTGAAAAGTTGTGAGAGATATATGCAAGAAACAAATATTATTAATTTTTTGGTCATTGAATACATCTTTATAATTTTTGAGAGTAGTATATTGCATTGTCACTATATGATTTAGAAAATTTAAAAGTGAATTCAAGGTTTAATTACCAATTCATTTAAAAACTCAATATTTATTATGTCCTTATTATCTACAAAAATCCCCTCCAAAAATTAAAAAATGTTATATTTAAACATTTTTTGGAAACATGGGCAAATAAAATTATTCTAACCAAATTTAAGAAAAACATAATATATTTTTCTTGTTTTAATATATAATATTCAAGAATGCTATGCAATATATTAAAAAAGTTAGAAACTATGCAGAGAATAAAAAACTATGGCTATCTATTAAAAAGAATCTACTGATGTAGGACAGTATGTTACAAATGTTGTCATAGGTACATTGGAACTAGATATTCAAGAGAAACATTTTCTTATTAATATTGAAGTTCTAGAAATAGTCAATAAAAGTATAATTTTTAAGCTTGTTGATAAATTCCTTCACATTATTTGGCCAAATAGAATTAAACACGATGAAATATTGGTTTTATTAAGTGACTCTCACTATAAAAGGTAAAAGTGAGTAATTGTATTCAAGAATTTTAAGAAAATATGATTCATGTTACATGTACAGCACATAGATTACATAGGGTTACTGAAGAATATTTCCTAAGTCATTTCAAATGGAAAAATATAATATTTTTAAAAGTCCATTAAAGAGTACAAAATTCAAAGAATTTACGCTTACTACCATTTTATCACATCTAGTACTCACTAGTTTGAGATTATGGCTAAGCACAGCATTTTATTACTTCTAACATTTTGAAAACATTGTTTTACAAAATTGGATAAAGTAACACAACAATCTATTGAAAATATATTAAACTTTTTATTTGATTCAGAAGTAGAGTTAAATTTAATTTACATAAAATCAAATTTTCGAACTATACCAGATTCAATAACTAAATTAATCTTCTAAAATTAGTTTGGCCGATTCAATTAAAATAATAAAAATAAAGAAACTTAATATAAAACGGGCTTACAGAAATATAGGTTATCAAGTTTGAAAAATAAATTTAATTTGGTTTTAAAAAAAATGCAAACGATTTCAAAAATATTAGAAGATAGTAATTTAAATGATTAAAATGGTTTACCAGTTAATATGAATATCAACAATATTATGTATTTTAAACACACACAACTCAAATCTATGGAGATAGAGAGAAGTTTTTGAATCTACAAAATACTTGTTGGATAATCTTCATTCAATTTTGTTCGAAAATATTGAGAACAATTTAGTTGTAAAATCCAACAAAAAACAAAAAAAATCAAAAGATGTAAAATACTATAACTAATTAAATTACTATTTTTTTTTTTAAATTAAAAAAAAAACAAACAAGAAATTCAACTAAAGAAGAAATTATATATATATATTTATTTAATGTAAAATTTAAAAAAAATATTTTACATGTTAAATCAGATATAGATTTATTACTATATCACATCAACATGATAAACCAAAAATTAAAAAATTGAATAATCATAAAAATAAATACCTGTTCTTTTTGTTTTAACCAATTATTAAGTACTTATAAAATTTAGAAAAATTTGAACAAAAATCAAAAGAAAAATTAGAAAAATTAATTGTTGAATTATTGTGATTACCTTGATTAGCATTAAAGTAGTTAATATTATTTAATTTTAGTACAGTTTTCTTAATGATGGTTATTTAAATAAGATAATTACAGTAGATCGGTAAATAATAGATTACGTAATTATAAACATAAAACAAATTTGAGTTTTTAATTATTTAGTAAAATAATAAAAACATTTAATTAAAGGACAAATACTTTAAAATCTAAAGGTATAGGTAATCGGTTTAAAACCAATACTTTCACAAAGCAATATATTTATTGTTTTGTTAAAAAATTACCTAACTGACATCATCATAGAACACTACCTATCTATATATCAACCTAGCTGTACTTATTAATGATATAAATGTTTTATACAGTAACTAAATAATATATTAATAATAATGTATTTATGATATTATCATACTCTTAAAGCTTACCATTCCATAATCACTAGCAGACATCTCTTGTCCAAGTAAATGTTTTCGTATACATCAATTATATTGACAATGTTTATACAGCCACTCGCCCTCCAGTGAAGATCGATTTCTCTCTTGGCCTTGTGACAGTCTACGAGGACCTTTTTGAAGGGGGTTTAAATAAAAAAATGAAAACATCAACGTTGCGGTGCCTTTAGCATACAAACCTTGAGAGCAAACTTTTCGCTCGTAACAACTGAAAAACATTGGACCACCTTGCCGTTGATACCCAACCCAAGCACGTTGTTGGATATCTTGTAATCGTTTTCCACTGGAGTGGTCTTTGGTTTTTTGTCCAGAAAATAAAAGTCGGTATCACTTTCCATCGTTGACGATGAGGTCGGGCTCGTCATTTTAGTGTTGTCGCGGCGGTTGTTTTAGACTGATTGACGTTGCGGGACATTATTTCAGAATTGTACGGAAGGAATGACAACTACCGGCGCCGCTACCACCACAGACGGGAAGGTCTCGGCCGTCGCGAGCAATCGATGTGACAGCATATATGCCGTTGTTGGCGTTAAAGGTAATCGTTTCGTGTCAACACGGTCGGTACTTTTCGATGGGATATCGTTGTCGTATTGAAGTTCTAGGCCATCGCGATAATCCATCAAAAACTCGTAATGATTGTAAGTCCCTAATACCTAATAACTATATACTGTAGTTATTGTTGTCAAGGGGTGAACAAAAATAAAATAATAATACTGATTCGTAGGTAGGTAATAGGTATATTTATGTTTTGTAAATACAACGAGAAAAACGAAGACACGGCCTTAGCGTAAAGTTCAATAGTCAAAACTTATCAATGTATAATCATAATATATGGGCAGACGATGAGCAATCGACAGGGTGGAAGCGGCGGCGGAGGAGCAAGAGGCGGAGTAGGTGTCAGCGACAGTGATACGGGGAACACAAAAAACTGAACAATGATAACAATATATTTTATAATATTCCAACAGAGATAATGATGAAAACGAATTCAATGGCCCATTATTGTAATAATAAATAATATTAATACTTACAAAATAACGAACTACCTACTACATAGTTATAGGTGTAGGTAGGTACCCACTGTATTATCTACTGTAATTATTTTATAATATTGCGCAGTTGTCGAGTGTACTTATCTACCCGCCTATCCATAAGAGTGTAAAATCGGCACGTGCCACGTATCTACTTAACGTGACCGTATTTTTTTCATTCCTGTCCCCCACTCACCGTATTTGGACAAAAGTTTTTAGCAATATTATCAATACTATGGTGACCAGACGTACTCTGTTTTGATGCATATACTACTATGTCCTTAACAATAGTTTACTTAAGTACATGAAATTGTACTATTTTTTTGAAAAATATAAATAAATAAATATAAATATGTTGGAAACATATATTAATACAGTTTTGTATTTATTTATTTAAATGTTTGCCTTTAAAAATTAATTTAAAGATGTATACTTTAGTTATACCTGTGTACTTTAAGTTTACTTAGAATAACTTAAATTTCAAAGTATTTTTATTCATATCTGGTTATCATACCGATACCAGATAAAATTATCTATCATAATATTTACATAGATGATTAATATTTAGGGCTATAACTTGATATAGAAATTAATTTTTTTAGATTTGTGTAATTCGTTAACTATTGTTGCACATTTTTAGGCACCAGGTTTGACAAATTAGGTATATATGCATTTTTTTTTAATTTTCAATAAAGATATCTAATACAGTCGATAAACTTTTTTTCATATTATTATTATTTATAACCCTTTTAAGTAGTATAAGGCTGCATCTGAGTTTCGTCCCAAATGTAAAATTTGAAATTAAAGATACCCACTAATTTTGTCCCAGGTTTTTAAAATGGATTTACTAATTTCGTTCCATCCAATTTATTTAGATATACGAGTTTCGCCCCTTTTTGCATTTTCTATACTCTATTAATATATTATACAATTTGCGACTACAATAACAATTTTATATTATTTAGAAATACAGATAATATTGCTTTTGGTTATCGCACTAAATAATCGAATTTGATTTAACTATTTGACTTTTAAACTTTCCAGTCATTATTTGTGCATTTGGATTTATTATTTATTATTGTAATTATATAGTAATATAGTAATATTTTAGTTAACCTTCTTTTTATTAGGAACAGAATTGGTATATATTTATTTTTAATCGGGACGGAATTGGTATACAAAAAGGTTGTTGGGATGGCAAACTGAGATGCAGCCTCCAGTAGAAATGGTATTAATATATTAATACCTCATATATACAGGCTGAAAAACAACGCTTAAACCACAGAGCTTCGATACTTGAATTGAATTTTCCCTCAGTTGATAATATTTTATGTTTAAGATTCTGAGTGGAGCGAAGAATGTATTGGTTTTAAAGATGTCTATTTTTTTTTTTCTTATACTGCGTACAAAAATTCTATCAGAAATTTTGTTCCGAAGTATCAAGTAAAACACCTTTAATTAAATTAAGGAATGCATGTAGAAAAAAATTATTCAAATTGTTTGTTTTACATAGAAATAATTTATTTTAATAGGAGATATCATTTAAAATGGGTTATTATTAGACATAGATATTTTAAGAAACAAATATCATTTGATTATTATTTATTATCTATAACGTATTGATATAAGGTATTATTTTTAAAATCTGTTTGTACATTTAAATATTATTAAAATTATTTTTCTTTATTTCATTGTACATAAGTAATTCTTCTAAAACTTAATTAATGTAAATGTCATTTTGGGTACTTAATATCAAAGCTTATATTATGGTTATTTTCTAAAACCTTTTTTTAGCGAAATTTGAATTAGGGCAGTCTTTTTTAATTTTATTTCAAAAATGTGTTCTTGATATCTAATTTTAAAATTTCTATTTGTCTTAACTATATAATATTTATTACAGTTACATTTAAGTTTATATATTCCAGCATTTTCAAAAGAAGGGGAATTTTTTGTGAAGTTTTTAGGTCTATTCTTTATATGTATATCAGTCTTAAAAACGATTTTTACTTTATTTGTATTATTGATCAGAATTTCAGCGAATTCGTTAGACATATTATTTTGATATTTCATACTAAAATAGTTAACAACATTATTTGGTGAGTTTTGTATTATGTTTTGTTTAATTCATATATGAATTTTTTTGAATAGTATTTAAATTAAAATTTTTTCTATAGGTTATATTATAGATTAAATTGAGCCTGTATTGATAATTATGTTTATTTAATAGAATTCATTCATATCTATAGAAAATTGAATTAAAAAATTATATTTTTTGAAAATAAGGGTGATTATAATCAGTGGCGTGCGCAGGAGGGAGATTAGGGGTTATATTTCCCCATTGGCTTAAAAATACAACAAAATATGAGTAATCTAATATCGAAACATACATTTCAGCCGATTTCCAAGGAAAAGCTAGATGTATTGATTATAAATTGGCTTTTTTTAGAATTCGGCTTTTAAAATACCAATTCCCACAGTCGAGTAAGGTAGTAGTCTGAATACTAAAATCAAATTTATTGTTTATTATGAAACTTTAAGATCTAAGAAATTTAATTTATTATCTATTTGTATTTCGAGTGTAAAATGAATGTTTTTATTTATTTTGTTTAAGCAGTTAAATACATTTTCTGCTTGTCTATCTGAACCTCTAAATAAAATGAATGTATCATCAACATATCTATAATTTGTTTTTATATATGGACTATATATTTTGTTGTTAAAAGGGCATTTAAATGTTCACCAGTAACTACACCTTCTTTTTGTGAATAAAATTTATTATTATATTAGAAAAAGTTTTGATTAATAATTACAATTATTGATTTAATAATTTCTTGTACTTCATTTATATTAAATTTATTACTATGTACAAGTTTATTTTTTTAAATTTAAAAATTTATTGTTTCGTGTGTAGGAATGGATGCATAAATGTTTGATGTCAAGAGAAATCATTTTGTAACCTGGCTCAATATTAATATTATTAATTTTATCAATAAAATCATATGTATTTTTTTGTAAAGTATTAGTATTCATGTTTAATTTTTCTTTTATGAGAGGGTCTAAATATTTAGTAAGGTTATAAGCTAGAACAGTTTTAAAGTTAATTAATTGACGATTCAGAATATATTGTTTACGTAATTTTATGAATGGATGTAAGTGTGGACTTAAAACTTAACATAGGTATGACCCAACTATAATTCACATTAAAAAAAATCATAAACTGAAAACAAATTCGGAAAAAACCATACCTAAAGTCCAAAAGAAAATATTATCAAAATCTGATTACAAAATAGAGGCTCCATCGTTTTTATTTAAAACGACCAATTTGTATAATTTTAGATTCTAAATGGTGTGAAGAAGCTTATAGTTTTAAAAAGATATTTATTTTTTATTTGTTTTTTTTTTATCTCTACACAACTTTTTTACCAGAATATTTGCTTGGATTTTTAAGTGTAGCACCTCTTCTGAAAGAAAATCGGTGTGAGGAGGAACTTTAAGAACGTCATTTTCTCAAGAGTTTTCTCATCCAATGCGAAAAAACTAAAAAAAAAAACCGGGAATATGTATGAAAAATATTACTAAAATATTATAATTTTTTTTTCCTTTATATAACTTTTCTACCAGAAATTTTGCTCAAATTTATAATGACAGCAATGTTTCTAAAAGGAAATTTCACTAGGGAGGTATGTAAGAGGAGTCATTTTTCGATTTTACTAAGAGTTTTCCCAAGAAATGTGAAAAACTAGGATAAAATATGTGAAATCCGGGAAAAACGCAGAAAAACTGGGAAAATCGGTAAAACATTAAATAAATATTATTAAAGAAAATATATAAAGCCTATAATAATTATTTTACTATAAAATAACATATATTGTTAATCAATCATTATCAACTAAACTCAGCTCTGAATCGTTTTCTTGTAATCAATGGTTTATCATTGCTTACAGGTATACAGTAAATTCCCATATGTATCCTTTCTTCCCAACTTCTTACCTACATCAGTGCCTACACCCACGTGTGAAGTAAGTCCGTCCTTCTTTATTTCACTTTTTTTTAAAGTAGTACCTTTTCTAAAAAGAAAATTTTTTCTGGGTAGTTATATCTCTTATATTTTCCCGTTTTTTTTAATTTTGTTGAGAAAATAGTAAAATTACCTTCTTAGAGTACCTCTCCACACATCTTTAGCTCCGAATCTAAAAGAGCTAATATTGGAGACAGGTGCGTCCACTGTTGTAGGTTAGAAGTTGGGATGGTGGGATACATAAGGTTATTTAATATATATCTGTAATTAACGATAGTCGATTCGGAGCGTAATATTTATGATTTTCGTAAACATCTTGTACTCAAATTTGTATAAAAAGGAATTTTACATGACACTCAATGTTTTATTCCTCAAAGTACAATTTAATATTAAACCTTCTGTTAAATTGTCAAGCACGTGTAATTGGTCTAACAATTTTATCCACAGATTACCTACTGAATACAAATTACGTATAGAATTTATACAATTTAAATGTCTATATATAACTCAAAAATGGATTAAATGTTTTGAACATTTTATTACATAAATTTATTACGTCTAGAAAAATCAAACAGAAGTGTTTTGTGAACATCTATGAAGTTTTTAACTGAATCATAAAAAAAAACAAAATTAAAAACATTTTAAATACTTTTTGTACATTTTTCCGTTTTCTAGGTTTTTTTTCGGGCATTTCAAATTATTTTGATAACCACTTGAAATATCAAAAAATAGACCTTTTTCTTCTTGACCTAGATAAAATTTCCTATTAGGAAAGCTACTACACTTGAAAATCGGGGCAGGTTTTCTGGTACTCAAGTTGTCCATGGATAAAAATAAAAATAAAAATAATTAACATCATTGTAAAACATTCCTAAAAACGCTTAAAATTTAAAAGTATATTCTATTCGCTATTGAATAAGTAGATAAATAAATTCCCTACTTTTAAACGTTTATTTGGTATAGATACTAGTTATCTAAATACTGTTTTGTGCATAACTACAAAAGTATGAGCCGAATAAGTAACGTCAGAAACCGTATTATACACAATAGAAAGTAGGGAAAAAAACAAACCAAAATCCGATCATTGGTTGGTAAAATGCATTCGATTCATTTCGATTCCGGGATAATACTATTGAATTTGTTTTTTTATTTTTCATTCGTGTAGGTACCATGTTATTATTTTGAACGTTTACGTGAAAACACGAACAATATCGACAATGGGCACGTACGGCCGTAAACACTGGGTGGCGCGACGGGCGCCAGGCGCACGACAGGTCCTCACTATCGAAACGATCGGCAGCCGAAACGCGTAGTACCCCGCGCTCTCACCATATCCCGCAGTCCAAACACGCCGTGCAGGTAAAATATATTGTTGCTACGTGTATAAAATACGTACCTATTTCGTCCGCTCTGAATAATAATATTATTTTGATCGCGTTTTATTTTTCGCATTCACATTATTTTTCGACGGCCGCTTGATATCGAACCGGGCGGTTGGCAACACCGTCGACCATTTATCAAACGTTTGATTATAATCATTTTACGAATGGGTATCTTCTCGGACGACGACGTCTCTTCTACCCGCACTACCCCAACTACATACTGCACGGTCCTCTCGTAATGTTCGCCGTAATGCTTTGAACGGCATACCGATAGTTTTCCTCCGCGTTGATTCTGGTTTTTTTATTTGTTTTTTTCCTTCCCGATTTGTTGCATTTCATACGTTTTCTACGCCAATAGCGTTAACGCCGCCGTTGCGATTCCCTCACTATCGTTTCGTCCGTTCGACTCCGACTCCGACAGTTCGTCCGTCTTGTTCCGTCTATCGACGCACGCGACAGAACCTCAATCAACAATAAATACAATTACGACAGTGATCTCTAGCTTATACCGGGGGTATCGTTGATTATAGTTTATTATATTAGATAGTTATTAGATAAGCTCCGTAAAGGGTACTTTTACATAGTTGCACCTGTCGTCCGACGACTCTGCCACCGCACCGCGTCTCTTCTGTCGTCCCGCCCCCGACGTTTGTCCGTTTGTGCCACTAAGGTACACTTCGGTCCGGAATCTCACTGCTTTCTGGTATGGCTGCTGTCTGAACATCGACAGTTTTTAAAAGTATTGAAATACGCAATTCGCGGTGCCCGCCAAACGCGAACCGCAATCGTTTTTACGACATGAGAACAACGTCTGCCTGAGCGTGGGCCATTTTGCCGCCGCGATTCATCGCAGCTATCGTCAACACATAGGACTACCACCGAATAGCAGGTACACCGAGATGTACGCCAAGGGAAAGGGAGCTACGGTGCCGTCCGATGCTCAAGCCAGAGAGAAGTAAGCATATTATACTTGACCACTATAAGCACTACCTACTACTTGTCTACCATACCCAAAATTTAATAAATAAATAATCGGTAACTTCTGTACCTACTTATTGTTTTGTATACAGCACCAAGCTATCTAAGAAAATGTTCAAATAAATAACATTTTTATTTGTATATATAACAGCAAAATCCTTTAATTCTTTTTCGGGATTTACCTAGTCAAAACTATAGATTTCAATATATATATATATATATATATGTGTGTGTGTACAATGTATCTTTCCTATAAGTGTTACTCTTATGATAAAATTTAGTAGCCGATGAACATGATAGGTACCTAATTATTCAGGTCTAATATTTATTGATGAGTGTATTGTAATTATTAAATTATTCATGTTCAATTGTTTAAATATGTATAACTTTGAAAATAACGTAATAGAGAAATATATCACTAGGTAAGTAATTGGTATGTACTTTCAACTTAGTATTAATTATTATAATGTATTATTAGATGAGTATGTCAGATATACTAATATCTATATAATAGATTTTATTAAACTATAATTATAATTTGATCTATGATAATCCTGATGATAATTAAGTTTTGATTTAAGAAAGTATTGTAAACTTCTATGTGGTATTCTCTATTGCTTTTCGATAAAATAAAAACTTGATAGATCACTTAAACATTTCCTTACACTTAAAAGTTAAATGCAGATCGCTTGTTTCATAAATGTCCAGACCAATAACAGTGGTGAGAACTAATTGATATTATCATATGGGTACAATGCTTCTGTGTACACTACCTACCTATACCTATGATATTAAACACAAATGGATTTACAGTACTAAAATACCTACTCAAAGAAACCTTGTATAAAATAAATAAAATACAAATAATGAGTTAATTCAAAATATTATATCATATCATAAATTTATTAGGCAATATTGTAGGCTAAAGTTTTGCTTACATAGTAGATAGTATTTATTTTAGATTCTATTAAGTATGATATTTGTTTTTGTTATTTTTTTCTGTTTGAATAATTTTTCTAACAGAAATTTAACATCAATAATCAACTTTAAAGATGATGGTGTCTAATAAATATTATTGTCTCGGTGCTATGAGGTGGTTATTTTTTTATTTTTTTTGTAGTCTTAATTATAAGGAAAACCCTAGAAAAAACTTAATAGTCATTTGTTAGTTAAGGTAATTGTACTGAATTTGGTATCGATATATTGAATATAAGCAACTTTATTAATATGTAAGTGTTTTTTGTAAGTGACAAAAATTGTTAATGGTCATGGTAAGATTAAATATACTTGGGTTAAGAGTAACACTATAGAAATATAAGTAACATACTATACAATGATAACTATATGATATGATTAAAAAAAATTATGGTGATTCCCTGTATATAAAACAACAATCATGCTTAAATGGTTTTTGGGCTTTCCTGAACAATTTGGTTTATGGAACTTAAGCCTTAAGCCTTCCTACAATCAATATATATGTATAGTCTAATAAATACAACTCTTTCCAGACATGGTACCTACAATTTTAAAAAAGCATTCTGTCAATTTTTCAGTTATTTGTAAATCAAAACCATTTGAAATTTTCGAGTTATTTTAAAGTTTATTATTTGGTTTTATGTCATTAAAATTGTTTTAGTTCAGTGGAAATGCTCGAAAATTTAACACAAGGTTTATTAGGAGTTGCAATTAATAGAAAAATGTTATGTTTAATGTAGTAATTTTTTTTAAGTATAGTAAATAAATATATAAATAAAAAATAATAATTAAAAGAATAAATACATCGCCTGGAGTATTATGATAAGTGTATTATACGACTGGTTTCATATAAAAAATTCATCATCAGGTATATCACAGTTAAAATGTAAAATGCAATTTTATTTACAGTTATCATAATACTCCAGGTGACACATTCATTATTTTATTTATATATTTATTTACGAGTAAATAAATTCTCATTCTTTAAATATCATTCTTTTATTTATTATTTTTATATATATATATATATTTTTATAAGTCCTTAAACTTAAAGTTTTAATGAAAATATATTTTCATAAATATGCAAAATATGTACTGTGTACTAGTAATGGGATCCAGAGGTTTTACCATAAAAAGAAGTGGATTTTATTTAAAAATATAATTTAAACAATTGTAGAATATAAAAAGTATGTAAAAAAAGATGGCTGAAGAGCAATTTGTTGCCCCCCTCCTTGTATTTTCGCAAATTACGTCCCATACGTTAATTTCAAAACAATTAATATAGGTACTCTAAAATTTCTGAAAAATAAGTTGAGGTACTAGGTACCTATCATTTTTTTTTCTTTACTTTGTCATTTAGTTATTTTTTTTGTATTCAAATTAAGTATAGGTAGATAGGTACATACTCAAATACAATTTTTATATTTTAAACTACTGTCTACTAACCCAAATTGCACAATTACTCTTTATTATTATTATTTATTATGTTTCTCGTGAAATAATGACAATAACCACCTGATTACAGAATTTCATGTTTTTGTTAGTTTCTGAATGGTCTAAAGATATCTAACTAAAATATCAGTAAATTGGTAAATGCCCAAAATACTGAAAATGGTTTAATAAAAAAATGTGATTTTGAGTATTTAAATATTTTTTAATTTGTATTTAATATATTTTACATTACATACTAGTGCATACATTTATGTTTTAGTTCTCAAATCATTTTTCTTATATAATATTTTGTACTTTTATTTTTGTGCAGTTTACAACTTGGTAATTCAAATATAGGAAAAGTTACTTTTTATTTATAACTCAATTAAGATGTCAAGTTCTTATTTAAAAATCATCTTTTTTTTTACTGTTCCCTATAACTTAATGAAAAGTTTTTCAACATTATTATAATAATTGAGATTTCAAAATGAAATTTGTCCGGTAATTTGTTTTGTTGACATAACATAAAATATTATCCTTTGGATATTGTAAGTTGCTAACTAAATATAATAGGTATCTAGGTAGATAATAATTATTGATCTGGACAATTTTTTGGTATTCATTAACTAGCTAATTGAAAGTCAATTTTCAGTATTTTTATAAAATCAATTTTTTTTAGCACATACTTAATATTTTCTTATATTAAACAATTTTTTTTTAATAAGAACCACATAAGATTAAATTTTTGTTTGTTTTTCTGGGTGTAAATTCTATTAAGGTGTAGCCATGCAATTGCGCTGAAAACAATAAGAAAAACCTGTCATTTTGAATGTAATTGGCGAGTCTTTGTGTTCAATACGCCAAACATTTTTTAGTTGGTAGGTAGGATATCAATGTGATTTTGAACATTTTTTTCAATTTGTTCAGGCTTGTATTGTAGAATACTGTATAGTATGAGATACTTTTTTATGTAATTAATATATAATGTATACTTAATATTAAACCATTAATTTTATACATATAATATTTGGTGCTAATAACTTCCATCCAATATACATATTACCCAGGTACCTATAATTAATTTTAATATATTTATAATATATATTATATAAATACAATTAATAGTAACATTTTTATTTTATATCAAACTACTTACATGCTTTGTCTTAACTAGTTTAACACACAAAATAGCATAATAAATAAACATGGTATATAGGTAGTATACACCTAGTTTATAATTTATTATACTTATAGCTAATATCAATTATATATTAATTGAATTATATAATTTACTTAGTTTATTTATTATTTATTTCAAATCTTTTCTCTTTACTTGATAAATATGCATTATTTTCTGTTTAATAGTAAGAAAAATACAATTTCAAATTTCAAATACATAAATTGATATTTACATTATTTATATCATACAGGGTGTTTCACCATGTCAAAATTTCTGTTAATTTGAGCTTTTAATATCAATTTTTAAACTTTTTTTTCAATTTGATTTCCATTAGGAAGGATTTCTATTTAGAGATAAATTAAATTTTTATTTCCATGTACAAATTGGAATGTATCATAGGTTCATATCTGATCAATAGTTTCATAGTTAATGATTATTTTAATTTCTAGAGAAAAGATGTAAAAATGATACTAGGTACTGAATAAATGGTATAAGGCTTATGCTTGATTTCTTGTACTGTAAATTAAAAATGTTAGATATTTAAAAAACTTTTTGCGGATTTGAATGCATTTAAACTTTTAGAATAATATTTTTTACAAAATAACTATTTTAAAAATATATTAATTAAAAAAAGTTATTTTTAAGGTGTCTATTATTATTTTAAAAATAGTTTCAATTTGGAAAACTGACTTTTTACATCTTTAACAAGAAAAACAAATAAATAAGTTCATAGTTTTGTATGGAAAAAACGTGAATCAGTTATTATACTAGCCCAGTATCTAGTTGAAATGTATATCAAAAACAGATTTATAAAATGAAAAATCATAGAAAAAAAAAATAAGTATACTTCGCACTACTGTGAGGGTTAAGGTCTCGTCTAGATTCATTCTAAAGAGGTCCAAATCTGTTTTATTGTTGATTAGCAACATCTTTCGTTGTTTATGTATAACATTAAAACTTAACTTGAGCAGTACTGGTATGTGATCTGACCTTTAATCTGTACATTCTAATACTTCGATATAATTAGAAAATATACCTTTCACAATAAAGAAGTCAAGCTGGTCGGAAATCTTGTTGGGATCAGTGGATCTTGTTCAGACCAATACATTGGCTTTCTTGTAGTGATGATTTCAGCATTGATGTTGTTTGCAACTTATAATGGGTCTCGTCCCTTTGGGTTGATCAGTCTCGATCCCCAATGAGTATGCTTGGCATTATAATCACCTCCAACAATGAATCTAAAACCTAACGTATGGAAAAATTCAGCGAATTTTATCTGTACCTCCTTGCGGTGGGCAATAAATTGTAGTAACAGTAAGATCGTTATTCCCGTCGTTAACGCTGACGGTTGTCGCTTGTATATAATTTACAGAGTATTTTTCGAGTTTATAGTGCTTTATGAACTTTTTTATTATTACAGTAGTACCACCCCGAGCTCTACCACTGGGATGAATTGTTGTGTATATTCTGTATTCCTTATCTTTAGAAAGGTCTACGCTGTGAAGTAAATTTCCGAAATAAGGGCTATGTCAATGTTTTCATTGTGTAAAAAGTCTTTAAGTTCTTGTCTGCGCTGTACTAACCTTTTGGCGTCCCATGCAATAATCCGCAGTGTACCGTTCATTTCTTTATTTTCTGCGAGGTATTTTTGGACTTTGTCTTGTTTATTTCCAGTTTGTCCATTCTTGCTGTCATATTTGCTAGTTTCTGCATTACGTTGCTTAACGCGACTAGAATATCATTAAGAGTAATCGATTTGGTTGAAGTGTTTTTGGGTAGACTTTTGAAGCCATCTGCACATATGAAATATTTGCTGTGACAGGTTTCTGCTATTTTCTTTGCACAGCAGAGACTTGTTTTGGGTGTGCTATTTCCATTGCTTTCTTGTAAGCAGAGCAACCTTTCCAGTTGGCTGTGTGATTTTCACCACAGTTTGCACATTTAGCTTTTGCCTTTTTAGATTTTGGGCAATCTTCTGTTCTGTGTCCTTCACTACATTTCACGCATACAGCCGATTTGTGACAGTAATTTTGTGTGTGTCCGAGAGCTTGGCAGTTCTTACACTGCGGTACTTCTTTTTTTTTACGTGGTAGTTCTATGTTTATTATCTGATGACATAATAGTTTTATGTGGTAAATGTTTTTATTATTCTCCCGTGGGTTAAATCTACACAGAATAATGGTAGTCTTATGTATGTCCATTCACTGTTTTTGTTTTTAGGATTAGATTTTTTCTTGATCTGTATATTGGTTATTTTGCTTACTTCGTGGCCTTGGTCATACAGTTCTTTGGTAATTATTCCCATATCGGAATCATGATTTATACCTTGTAATAATTTTGAAAATGGTTTTGACACGTTTTAATTGGTACTAATGATATTCAACTTTATTTTCTTCTAATATTTTTATTGTATTTCTGAATTAACTTTCGTTTGTTGTTAAGATTCTCGTCTCACCATTTGATAGGATTTGGAATTTTTGTTCATTTCCTACTGGTTCTTCTCACGTTAATAATTGTTTTAATTTATCAAACTGTTTAATACTTTTAATAGTTATTGGTGGGAGCTTATATATTTTTTGAGTATTATCATTGGTCGGGGATTTGTTACTCTTTTGTTTAGCTTTTGAAGTTGCGTTAACATCTTTTGAAACTGGTATGTTCGAAATGGGGGTCGTTTTTTCTAAGTTGTTATCTATTTTTGTAATTAATTGTGACTTTTTAGCTGCCTTTTCACTATTTTTTGTTTGTAGTGATTTTTGACTTGCTTGTAGTTCTGATATTTGGCGGTGGAGTTGATCGTTGGCGTTTTTTAATTCGGTTAATATATTTTGTATTTCTGCATAGGTCGGCAGATCTGGTTGCATAGGTTCATCCATGGCTGTGCGCGTCACGCAATGGTGGAAACCACCAATACGCCATTGCACAAGCGTATTGCCTACTTAATATTGTTATGTAGTCACTTACCGATTTCTGATGAGTGTGATAAGCATTTTGATGTTATTCAATTACTGAAAGAAAAAAAAAGCGAATAGATGATACTCGAAAGCGAGAACATACATGTTCAGCTCGTTCAGCAAACAAATCGCCACTATGATATATCCTTTTTTTGAACAACTTTTCAACTAAATATTTTGCTCCAATCCAATAAAAAAAAATAGAAGAAAGCTTATTGTAGCAGTTTAGATCTAGTTAGTGTATTGGTTTCATTTTTTAATTTTCAAGTAGTTTTCTTAATAATTTGGAAAAAATGGAAAAGTTTACAGCATTAAATGATTTTGTTTTTTTGTTGTTATTTGGTTAAAAAAAATCTTAGAGCTATGACATTTTCACATACTATTTTATTAGCCTACCTATTAAATCATATACCTATTATATTAATCTACTCATTATTTTTCTATTTATACAAATTTGAAAAATAGATATGTAAATTAAATACAAAAATACAGTATAATTAAAATTATACTTAGATTATGTTTGAATTTGTTTTGTTGATTAATTTAAATATTTTTGGTATTTTATTTTCAGATTAGCGTTATATGTTTATGAGTATTTATTACATATTGGGGCTCAAAAAGCAGCTCAAACTTTTTTAAATGAAGTAAGTGCATCCCAAATTTAAATGTACACAGTTTCTCTGTATTTTTTGTCCATTTATTAGTTAAAATATAATTTTTTCATTAGTTTCTTTTGTTAATATTAATTTTGTTTTATTTTATTATAATATAGATTCGATGGGAAAAGAATATCACATTAGGTGAACCACCTGGATTCCTGCATTCATGGTGGTGGTAAGAATTTTAAAATTATTATTAATTTTCATATTTTTATCAACCTCGTTAAGCATACCTTATAAATTATTTAAATTGCTAACAAAGAAAACCTTTTATGTATTTTTAAGGAAATACCATTTTGTTATACTAAAATTATTCTGAAAGTGTTTTTGGTCAAAATATAATTTTGTATTATATTTATTATATTTTTTATTTTAAAATGAGTAACTTTATAACTTGCCTATTATTTTCACAATACAAAAATAACCTATTACCTTTATCTAATTGAATTTAATAAAAACTTAAACATACCTACTAGTATTTATACTCAAATAGTCTATTCAAAAATGTCTGCTTGTAATGAGTATTATAGTAAGTTGTATATTTAATTTTTATATATTTTTAGCGTATTTTGGGATTTATATTGTGCTGCCCCAGAACGCCGTGATACTTGTGATCATTCAAGTGAAGCCAAAGCATTCCATGATTATGTATGTATATTTTTAATTATTAGATAATTACAATGTTTAATGTTTTATAATCATACTAATACAAATGTATGTATTTTTATTTCATGTTTAGGGTTTTGTAAATTCAGGTTATGGTGTAAATGGCATTGCTCATGTAAGTATTCTATAATAATTTGAAATTTGTTATCCAATGTTGGAAAGTTAAATAAACTTATTAATTTATATATCATAGAATGCAGGACCATCTCCCAGTCCTTTGGGACAAATGCCACCAACTGATGGAATGCCAGGTGGTCCTATGCCCGGAGGATTTTTTCCAGTTTGTTAAAAAAAAAAAAAAAAATTAAAATTGTTTTAAATGATTTTTATTTTTACTTTCTAGAATGCATCAATGAGACCATCACCACCAAGTCATCCTTCAGCACAACAATCTCCTCACCCTCAACCACCATCCCATGGACAAATGTTATCAAATCAGGTATGTACTGAATAATATTAATAACTTGATTAATTTAAACTATAAACTTCTTTTTTTAGCCTTTTATGGGCGGTCCTCGGTATCCAGGTGGTGGCCCTAGACCAGGAATTCGAATGTCACAACTAGGAAATGATTTTAATTCGGTAAGTATTTATTACATGTGTATCAAAAGTTTTAATTTGAATAGGATTGTATATAAAATAATAAAAAAAACACTGACATACTTTACACTGAGTGGGACAATGTTTTAGGTGAGAAGTTGGAAGGTAAAGAGGAAAATTTAATGTATATCTATGCAACGATTAACCATTGCTAATGAAAACCGATCGAAAACTGTAGTTTTTAAAAGATACTTATAGTGGTGGTTTGTATTATATGTATGGTAAAATTTTCAAAACATTCTAGCTATTTTAGGCTATTTATAGGTATTAGATATTTTCTTGTTTTTATATGCATTTTTATTTGTTAGGTGTCTGTTATTAAAATTATGACTCATGTGAACTGCTTAAAAATTTAGTATAAGGTACATTGTAACTTGTACTTAGTAATCTAAATAACGAATTTGAGTTAAATGCATTAGTTTTTTTTTTTTTCATAAACATTTTAAGATCAAATTTTGGTGAAAATTTTAAAAACAAATTTGTTAGTAACTGTTTATCTTTGTGTACAGATATAAATTAAATAACTATGTATCCTACATACACAACTTTCCACCTGAAACAGTGGCTGCACCTGTCCCCAGTATTAGCTATTTTTTTTAAAAATTAAACCATTGTTATTAAATTATACATATTTTAAAATATATATCTGGAAAAATGTTTTATTCAATTTTCAAACAGTCAATTACATTGTGATAATTCATACAAGTTATGAATTTTACTAGAATTTTGTATTATAAACTATTTAGTCTAATTTTAACTATTTAATCTAATAGGTTGTATGTTTTTTTTTTAGATTGTACTTTATTCTAGTTCAAAAAATTATATGAACCTAATCAAATTTGTTTTACCAAATAGGTTAAATAGATTAAGTGGTCCTTCTTTATAGAATTTTATTAAATTAGAGTTATTATTTTCAGAAAGAATAAAATAAAATTTATACTTTGTGATTAAAAATTAAAAGTTTCTGTTTTAGCAACCTAAAATAACATTGCCTTTGTGACAAAAGGTTGTAAAATATAATTTGAATTTCTTAATATTATGATTTTGGTAATTTACATGAGTGAATTAAATTACTTGTAGATAGGGTTTACTCTTATCAGTTTAATCAACTGTACTCTGCACTTCAGATTATTCCAAATAACCAAATAATGATGGTTAATATATTTAAGTGTTATTCATAAATAATAATATTATATATTATAATATAAATTGTTTAAATTTGCTTAATTTGCTTATTTGTTAATATATTATTATAATTAGAGACTGGATTTATATGTTCTTAAAATGTCTACAAACAAAGCTCTTCAAAAAAGTATTGAAAAAAAATATTTAAAACAGCAAAAATAATAGAGGGGTTCAAAATTCACTTCTCTCTAATAAATTTAACTTATACATTTAAACATCATAAAAATTATTAATGAAAGTCATTTATTTTTATTAAATTAATCTATTAATCTGTTCTTTATTCTATTAATCTATCAAAATTAAATTATTTTGTCTTAATCATTTGAGTGTTAAAAGGTTTAATTTAATAAGTTAAAGATATTAGAGGGGGACTTTTACAACTTTTTGAAATGTTTGTAAGTCCTTTTTTCAGGGCAATTTTGATGTTTTTAAATGCCTTTTTTGCTGTGGATTGTAGGAGAATAAAATCTGTCTTTAATTATAAAAAATTGTAAATGATTATTGTTTGTCAAAATTATTGAAAGAAGGACCCAAAAAGATTAGAACTATTAAATAGTACAGATTCAATAGGTAAATTTAACCATTTTAAAGTTCATTATAAAAGTAAACTAGACAGCTTATAATATTGTGATTATAGATTATAGGTTGACTCCAATATAGACATTAAGGTTTTTTCCTTGAACTCCACCATAATATTAAATACATGAGTTATAAAAAAATATTCTAGATTTTATATTCTGGGCTCTGACTAGATAATCATTGTTAGAAATAAAAAAAAAAGTATGGTGAAGATTAAAAACTTAAACCTATGTGTCGCCAGCATTTAAAAATACTGTGCAATATCATAATTAGTGATGATCTGATAAGACAATGCTAGTAATATTTTGTCTATAATTTTTTTCTTTTTCTTCATATGACATATATATTGGTGAAACATTTGGGAGACACATAATTTTCATAAAGGAATAGAATTTAAAAAAGAGTTGATACTGTGGATGAGAGGACTGTTGTAGGTGAGAAGTTGGGAAGGTAAGATACATAAAGTTATTTCATTTATATCTGTTAGTAACAATTTTTTTTTGCAATTTTCATTTAAATTTAATTTCAAAATGCTCATAAAAAAAAAAACCTGATGAGTAAGTCATCAGGATTCTTCTATACAAAGCAGAGAACCCAGGGGGAAGGGTGTTTTTGTGCCCCATTTACCAGGTATAAATGTGCCTCCCAGTTTGGTATCATATGGTTTGGTTAATTATTTTAAGGTGATTAATTACTGCCCAGTCCGAAAGTGTTTCACCTTCTTAATTATCGGTAGAGTATCTCCATTCAGTGTTGTGAGAGTTTAAATTTACGATATATATTACTGACTGGAAAAAGGAAGTAGTCCACTTGCTAGTTGGAGGTTTATAGATGTTGAAAATAATTAGGTTGCAAATATGGATACCACTATATATGGATTTGACTAGTTGATTTGATTTATATATGTTGCCCAGCCATGCTTATTGTGACCAATGTGATGTACCAAGTTGAAACCAGTCTTGTAAAGAATTTGAGTAAAAGTATTTAAATAAATGTATTTAAACACTGTTTTGGAAATATTGAAAATTCCGTGTTATTTAATATTGTAAAGTAATAAGTAATACATTAATTATTTATATTCTACAATTTGGATCTTGTAATGTTATCCCCATTATACATGGAGGATAATGAAGTCAAATGTAAATTGATAATGTTGTGATGGATAACACAAAAATTAAATTAGAATGAGAGGCTTGCAATAAACATTTTGACATTAACACTTTATGTGTTTATATCAAATGTTGTTTGATATTAATGCTGTTTAAGTGCAATACAAAATTTTGGGAATGATTATGGTGTGATAAATTTATAATTTTTATTTCATAATATTTGTTTAATTCAAAGTATTAAATTATTTTAGAACTAATATACAACACATTTTATTTATTTTCATTTTTCAGTAAAAAATGAATTCGTAATACAAAGTTCTACTAATTGGTACTTACATAAATAGTTAAATTTTCAGTTTTATGTTAAAAATTTCAAAATTAAGTTTGCGAAAAATTCTTCTTGAATTCTTGAACTATTAAGTTAAATTACAAAAGTATTTCAAGAGTATTTTAAACAATTTCTAAATGGATTTATTTGTATCTATATTTAAATACAATCTGAAAAGTATTTTTTACAAGATTTGTCAAAATCATTTATTTTTTAAGAGGCTTGTTTCTCCATCAGTTTCCCCATGTGTTCTCTTCATAAATTCTCTTCCATACATCCATATCACCAAGTCTTTTCCCCAAAATGTTAGCCTTGGCTCAAGTCAGGTCTTCTGATTTATCTGAGCTATCTTGAAATTGTGCTTTACAGTTCTACTACCTTCAGTATCACAACATGTTTGATCTTTTTGTATTTTATTGTGTTTCATGGATTTTTTTTTGGGTATAGCCCTGTTTGTAACAACATTACTAGACAAAGAGGACCACATGAAGGTACAGCATACCCCCTGTCTATTCTATAACATTCATCAACAAGTTTTCACTTTTTTGTGTCTAGTCCTATACATACTATAGTTTTAAAAAACTCAGTACTCCATTACAATTCGATTGTTTGGTCCCTATACACATCTGGTCTAAATTGAGCACATCTGGTGCTATTGAAGGAATCATTATGTTCATAAAACACCAAATTTATTATATTCAACTTCACTTTCAATAACTAGTTTAGAATCTTTAGTGGTCAGAAGAGTTCAATCTGATCTTTGTTTTGCTTTTAAGTTACTTAATGGTTTTATACATTGTTCTGAATTATTAGTCCAATTTAACTTTTTAGTCCTGGTATGCTATACAATCAAATACGGTTTATGTGTCATTATGTGTTTAATTAATCACAAAATAATAATAATAAATCTCAAATACTGATTATAAGACTAACGAGCTTTGAAAATAAATTTAATGTTGATTTACTGTGTAATAGTAATATATGTTTAAATATACTAAATAAATATATAAAATTCATTATCAGGTATATCACAGTCGAAATGTGAACCATGACTGAATATAAAAAAAATATTACAAATTGGTCGTTTTATATAGAAATAATTAATTTTAATAGAACAGATTATTTAAAATAGGTTATTATTAGACATAGATATGTTAAGAAATATAAATTATTTGGTTATTATTTATTATCTAAACTTTATTGATACAAGATATTGTTAAAAAAAATTATATTCAGTCCCATTTTAGATTTAGATTTTGATATACTTGATAATGAATTTTTAATTCGAAATCAGTAGTATAATACACTTATCATCATATTCCAGGCAACATATTTATTTATTCATTAATTTATTTATGAGTATGAACCATTTTAATAATTTTGTTTTTACTTTATTATTTTAAAATTTATGTTTGTTCAATGTATACCCAAAATAACTTGTTCAGTTTATGATGTATTTTTCATGATTATTATATTTCTAACAATATCATGTATTACTATATTTATTGTATACGATCTTGTATTGTATTTTTTTTTTCATTGGGCTTTAAATAAATAAATAATACTAATCTTAGTCTGTACTACATACTATGGGTTTATATTACTCTGTAGTAAGGGATATACAATACCAATGGGTAAGTTTTAAACTCCCTTTTAATAAAACAGGTATTTTGAAAAAAAAAAAAAAACAGTAATCCAGCATAAAACTAAATACCTGTGATTCAATTCTACTATAGTACAATTTTATCTCACAGTAATCAACAATATCTAATGAATATTTTGTTTTAATTTTTTTTTTTTTTTTAGCCTTCTGGTCAATCAATGATGCCTGGTATGGACCCACTTAGACAAGGTAAAATATTAAAATAATGTAACTCAAATCTAATCAATACATACTGAAAGTAAAGTGAAATTAAAATTAACATTTAAGAATATAATTATTTATTGTATGTTTAGGTTAATTATGTTAATTATATTAACTAGGAATGACAGTAAAAAAAAAGGATGTTAATATTATTAATGTATTACTTACTTAATTTTTTTCTCTCCTGTAGGTGAAGCTGGAGAATATGTTGTAGGTTGGCAAGGTAGGCCAGTATTATTTAAATTTTATTATGCACACTATTTCTTTACTCAAATATTTTGTAGTTGATTTAATAATCATGTCATAATGATAACACTGTTTATTTCTCTTGACATAAATTTACCAAAGTTCTTTATTCTTGTGTTTGCATTTTATTATTGGGATTTTTTATTATAATATAATATTTTTTTAAACTTATTTATTTCAAATGTGTTTCAGAACAAAACAAATTATTACAATTTATAATTATAATATTTAATTTTTCATTTAAAAGCATGGTGTAGCAATTTTATTGTTAATATACTTTAATTTTAATTTTCATATTCTAAAGATTTTAAATTCTTTTTTCTGATTTATCATTTAATATCCAAGAGGTAAATGATAACCCTCCCCCCCATGGCTTTATTAATTTATAAATTATTGAGTTTTATTATGTAAACAGTTGTTTGTACATTCTATAGTCTCAAATAATAAGTATAGAAATAAAATGTTAGTTCAAGAATTTTGTTTTATTTAGGTTTCTTATTCATTCACTTAAGATAGATGTCAATGTTTAGAAAGAATTTACCTCTGCACGTTATTTATACTCAATATTTTTACTTAAGTTGTGCCTTAATTGCTACATAATAAACAATATCTTTTAATCTTTTTGATCATAATTAAGTACAATTAACAAATGTAAGGATTTAATTGAATTAAATGGTCACAAATTTGTTTTATTTATTGTTTTAATAATTTTATGTATATATATAAATGTTCTGTATAGAAATTGGGAAAAATAAGTACACTCATATTTATTTTTATTTATTTATATCTATTAAATCAAAAAAAAAAAAAAAAAATGCATGGAAAAAAATACCTTGTGGGCATAGATATAATCAAAACAGTGTGCATGACTGTTAAGTATTTTAAGAAAATGAATGAAAATTTTTATAAGACGCATGTTTATAACAAAACTAAAACTTTACAGCATTATAAATATTTCCTATTTACATTCAATTCACTTCAAAAATAAATAACTTTTATTACTTGCAAAGATTTTTTTTCAAATATGTGATACATTTACATATTATTATTTTTTTTTTTCAATTTTAAAAGGTTAGTATTTTAGGTATCATTTTATAGAACTTATGTATTTTAATTAAGAGTTAAATGGGGAGGGGGGAGTTATGGTAACACATCTTTAAAATAAATGAAAAGTAATTAATTTCCCAAAGTTAAATACTTATTACTTATTAAAACAGTTCACAATTTTAAGATGTTAATGTTTCTATATTTTGTGGACTACAATTAAATTAATTGGAAAGTTGTTTTTAGATATTAGTCAATGTCAGTGTGCACTGTGTAATATTAAATATAAGGTGGCATTTTAAATACATACAAATTTTTTTCTTAATACAGTAGAACCAGCTTATTAGGAACACTAATGGACCATGGTGTAATGTGTCATTTAACTGATTGTTTCTAATAGGCGATTGGTTACTGTATTTATTTGTTTATATTATTTAAAAAATATACAATTAAAAATTGTAATAGATATTCTATTGTATATTTATTAAATTTTATATTATCTTACAATGTTTTTTAAAATCTGTACTAGGGTCTTCCACTGTTTTCTAAGAATTTGTGGATTCAAAACCAAATTACAGATATTCTGTTATTTTAATAACCCATTGATTTCCAATGTTTTAGTATCCTAATAAGTGGCTACTACTGTATTATTATTTTGGGATGCTGAGTTTTTTACATTGCTTATGTGTACATATCTTTTAAAACCTCAAGTTTTGGTTAATGTGTGTTATAGTAAATATTATGACATTTCCAGTGGTAAAAAATTATTTTTAATATTTAACATTCTTCTATTTAAAAATATATTTTGTATACATAATAATTTTAAAAACATTTATCAGGGGTATAGTTGCTGTTTGAAAATGAGGAATTTTCAGATAACTTGGGGTTTTATTTTTGAGTTACACTTACAATTGGCTAATAAATTAATAATTAATAAATTAAATAATGATTTTAGTGTACTGATTGAAATTTGTAATTTTATTTTTTTTATCTTATATTTTTACACTTATTGTTGGATTAATTTAAAAGCTAATTGGCTAAAGGTGATCTTTTGTTTTCTTAAACTAATATTCATTTGGGGGATATCTAATGTAATGAAGAAAACCTGGCTCTTTAGGTAAGAAAAGATTGAAAGATTCAAAATAAAGTTGTCATTGGTATATGATTCTATTTATTTTTTGTTATTCTAAAGTTTTTATTATTTTACTTTTTTATTAAATCTACATTTTTGTAATAATTTTACCATAATAGGACATATTAGGTTACTAAGTTAGGTTTTTGGGTTATTATTAAGTAATACTAATCCTACTGCTTTTTAATTCTCTGTTTTCAAATAATACTACCAGTCTTGATAAACCCTCATGTTGTTGATAATGTAATAATATTAACCAAATTCTGCTCCAAATGGTTTGTCATTAGCAATGTCATTAATCTTTGATTATAAATATATATTAAATTTGCTTCTATATTCTACCTTCCCAACTTTTCATTGACAATAGTGGTCCATCCATTGTGCCTAAGTATGTACATCTCTTTTAACGAATGCAACTCAAAATTTAAATCATGTATTGTGAGTATTAAGTATTGGTGAATTTGAATTTAAAAATTTAATTAATTTTTTAGGTTTTTTAGGGTTTTTATTTTGTCTAGTTTCATATTAAAAGTTCAACAAATAATGCTTGAATTAATTGATTTAATAGTACTAAAAGTAAAAGTAGAATAATGTAGTTAATTATCTAAATAATATTTTTTTTCATTTTACCTACAACTGAATAAATTATTATTAAAAATATTTTATGTAGCTTTTTGGTTCCTAAAAATTATTATAAACATTTAAATTAAATGCAGGGAGAATACATTTTTTGGAATTTTATTGGAGGAAAGAAGATATCACATAAATTAATTTCATTATCCCACTCCTCTCCTAATACCTATTTAAAATATTTCATTAATAACAGGTTTATATTTTACTATTGTCTTTTGTATTTAATTGTCCATTTATTAATAGTATTTGCTAATTCCCTGGAATGTAAGTCTATTTTATTTCTGTTAAACTGTATAATGTTTGTATAAATAGTAGTAATAGGAATGTTTGGAATTGCATTATATTTCAGAATATACTACAACCATGATTGGGTTTTTTTAATCTAAAAATATTGCTATAGTCAGCATTCAGAACTGTTATTATCATAATATTATTGTTTTAAATTCTGAGTGGAGTGAGGAATGTATTAGTTTTACAATGATGTTTATTTTTTTTATAACCACTACCAGAAAGCATACTTTCATTAATAAATATAGCATCTATAGCATCTTTTCTGAAAAAAAAATGTTCATCTGGGTGGTACTTTAGAGAGGTCATTTTTTGAACTTCTCATTAATATTTGAGATAATAAGGAAAGCCTGATACATAAGGTTAAAAGAGATTGAAAAATTAAAAATAAGGTTATCATTGGCAACTAGTTTTTATTTATTTTTAATTATTATTTTAAATCTTTTAAATAGTCATTGTTGTACTCATTTTACCATAATATGACATCGGAATCGTTTTTTGTAATCAATGGTTTATCTCATTCCTCACAAATATAGATTAAATTCCCATCTGTATCCTATCTTCCTAACTTCCAATATACATAAGTGGCAGTACCCATGTGTAAAGTATGTCCGTTCTTTTTTATTTTTCTGTAAAATTTCTGTGAAAATATAAATAGCTCTGCTGTTCCACTGTTGTACTAATGACATGAATTGTTGGCAAAAATAATATCTTGTCATTTTTTAATTATATAATACATGACATACTATAAATATAGTTCAAATGTGTGATCATATAATATGTGCAAATTAGGGTGATAATAAAAATATAGGACATTTAATAAACAAATTAAATATAACTATACAAAAAATAATATAAAGAAAAACCAATAAATCCTTGCTACCAAATCTGAAACAATATAAATAAATATGAATATTTTTTAAATACAAATAAAATATTTATATGCAAAATCAATTTTATTTTGATGATAGTTGATCAATTTCTTCTTTTGCTGCTTTTGTGTTGAACTAAATAATGGTCTATAAATATTGAATAAATTTCAAAATTTATTAAGAATAAAGAAAAAATTGTGGTTAATACAAGACATACTTAAAAAAAACAGTGATAAAATGGGACAGGGATACAAAGTTGAAATACAGGACTATACCATATATTACTCTATATATGCTCACTCTAATGTACAATAACAATAAATAACAGGAAATGTGGTAATAAACATATATTTAGACAAATATTGTAAATAATAAAAACAAATATTTAGATGAATAAGTTTTTACTGTTTAACTAAGATGTATCTGAATCATTGGAATTTGGTGGCTAACTACTGGATTACATCTGCATCTAAGGTAGGTTGGCTGTTTCATTGGTTAGTGGTAGGTCAGTGATAAATGGATCTAATGAAATTAACAACCTATTGGCTATTCTTCATTTATTTATTGACTAAAAAATGAATCCTTCTCTGTTCCTCTAAAAACCTAGTATTGCTTTCTCTACAATAGTGGGTTTATGATTAACCTTGTGTATAGTAGGTCACATAGACCATGTAGCTCATTATAGTATGGCACTATTGTACCAGGGATAATTTTCAACAAACAATTGTGCTGTTTTTATGATAAACAGTTTTAGATATATAGTTGGTGTATTAATTATAATGCATGTTTAATTATTGACTATGTTTATTGACTCATGTATTTCTTACAATATTTTATTCTTAATAATTAACCTAGAAGTATATTTATACAGATAACATTGATATTTGATAACATAATCAATTGTAATTCCAACATTGGTATATCCATTGGCCATAGTTTTAAAAATAGTTTCAAAAAAGTGTTTTGATTATCACTCCAGTTATGTTGCTTGATACATCTGCATTTCCATAAACTGTCTAGTCATATTGCTCTCATAACTGTTCTCGTATTTTTGGTTTTTAAACAATTAATCCAATTTGACTTATTTGTTGGTTTTCTGCAAGCATGCTTTGAAATATTATTTAAGTCTAAATGTCAAGTGAGGTAAAAAACATCATATGACTAAAATTGTTTTTGTCAAAAAAATTGCATATTTTACCATTAATCATTATTAATAATAATCTGTGGTTAATTTTAATTTTTCGGTTTTCCTATATTGTGTGTACCAAAAGAAAACAAATTTTGTTTTCTATTTAATCATAGATCATAGCTTTCTGCTGTTAAGCAAGATCTTTTGTTTCATGTGCAAATAGAAATAAGAGGACAATATCTTGTTGACGAAAACTTATTCTATAGTACAATGGTACTGTGTTCGTAAATCAGGATCGACAGGTATGAACTTGAGAGATACCAGTGAAGACAAAACAATATTTATATCATAATTGAAACTACTTACAAACTTTTTATATTATGAATGACCAGATGATTCTTAGGACCTCTATTTTGTAATCAAACATAATTTTCATAATGCTTTTTAACTTATTTCATGTTTAGCATGCATAAGGTGTGAAATTGTGTGATCTAATAATCCTTGCAGTTTTATATCAATTATTGAATCAGTAACTGAAATATATTTATTTGTTGAATGACGATTTCTTTTGTTCTGGTGAATTTTTTTATAAAATGGAAATTGTTCTTTATCTTTAAGTTTTATGATATTATATTAGAGTTTTGTAAGTCAAGCTACTACAAACATAGATAATGCTTCTTTTTATGACAACTTTTGATGTTTTTCTCCTGTTAAGCCATGATAAGAGTTCGCGTGGATCTATTTAGTGCTTTTTCATTTTCCAATGTCTCATCATATCACATTATTCCTCATTTATATTATTTTGAATTAAGTTTCTACTTAAAGTGAACCAACCAAAATATTGTAAACAACGGTTTTCTTTTTTTGAAATCTTTTTTTTTTTTTTTATCTTACCTTCTTTTAAGTAACACACTTCATAGTATTATTTATTTTTAATAATTCTCAAGTTATAATAGAATAGTGTTAGTAAAATGTATCAACTTAATTTATTTTGTTGGAATGAATAATTAGAAATTCAATTAAGTAAATGATCTATTACACAATCATTTAATATAAAAACTTTTAAACACAATTTTATAATTTTATTAACTAATACTAGTATATTATTTTGAACATAATGATAGTAATTAATCTGTTAGATAAATCTGAAGTTTTTATTTAATATAAAATTCTGGTAATTAATAATATTATCTGTTTTATAAATTTAAAAATAAAACTTAAAAATTACTATGATATTTGTCTGTCATTTATTAATTATATTTTTTAATTTTATATTATTAGTAATCTTAACATTTAAATTTGAGAAACACATTTAGCTGTACATTATATTTAAGTATACCTTGTCATGGAATTTGTATTCAATGATATATCATTATATATAAAAACCAGTTTTCCACTAGTTATGAAAAATAAATAATTGTTCAAATCAAACTATTTATTGAAGTTCAAAATGTTTGAATGCTTATTGAAAATTTAAGTTTGTGTTTAATAATAGTTAAATAACTACTTATTGTGTGTACTTATTGTTATACATGAATATAATAATAGATAATTTAATTCTCTAATATGCAAGACATGCATTTCATTTTTTATATATATCTAGCTCAACGGCTCCTAGTTAACACTACTAACTACTGTCACAAGATTAATTCAAATTACACTTTATATTTGAAACTGATTTCTAACTCTAAAACATTAAACATTAAATTTCTCTGCAAATTACTAAATAATAATAAATAAGTAGATGATAAAAAAAAATAAAGGAATTTATCTATGCATGTTATAATACAAAATAGTTCCATTCAATAAGTGGTATATAGTGCTATATTGTTCATTTGTTTATATCTTGGATCATTATTACTGTTAATAATACATATTAAATATAAGTATTGGTCTGTAAAGTTTTTGAAATTAGGATTTATTTACTTTATTCTACATTATTATCTATTCTGATAATTTTAGATTTTGAGTGAAGTGAGGAATGTACTGATTTTACAATTATGTTTCTTTTTTCTTTTTAATGTAAACAACTTTTCTACCAGAAATCTTACACTAATGTAACAAGTATAACTCCTTTTTTGAAAAAAAATGTTATCTGTGTGGAACTTTAGGGGGGCTATTTATTAATTTACCAATTGGTTTTATTGTGATTCAGTTAAGAATATTTGTAAAAATTTGAAATGTAGACAGAAAACTAATATTTGCCTTTTCTAGACTTGGTCAAATTTTAAAAATATTTTAGCCATTTTTGAGCTATTTATAGACTTATATTTTAGAGTTTTAAATGTAATTTTCATTTTGTAGGTACTGTGTGGATAAAATTGTTGAACCAAACAAAAATGATTGATAATTTAATGAGTTTTTTTTCAAGTCTAACTTAGTAGTAAAAAAAAAAAATGAGTTTAATGTAAAAACTTGTTTATAAGATTTAAAATCAAATTTTGGCGAAAATCATAAATATTATAACTTTTTAAAATATGTATAACTGAACTCCCCTTAGAATCAGTTTTCATTACCAATGATTAATCAGTGCATACAAATATACATTAAATTTCCCTGGATATCCTACCTTCCCAACTTCCCACCTACAACACTGGCCCACCATTATATAAATTATGTTTGTCGTTTTTAATGATGATCCAGCAATTATTTTGATTAAAATTGATTATTGTTGTTTTGAATTTATTATCTTATTGTGTATTAAAAATATTTTCAATATTTTACACTTATTAACTATTAACACATTGGTATCAATTTTTGATTTACAATACATACATTATTTGAAAAAATACATGTTAATACCCAACATTATTATCCAATTTTTTATTAGTACGCATATAGATGGAGTTAAAGGGGGGAATGGAATAAGTTACAAAAAAAGCTGCCATTTGTTTACTGTAGTAATGTACCTACAGTTAAGTATCATTATTTACAAACATACTACTTTAAGGACATCAAAACACTCAACAGTTTTGTTTAATTTTAAGTTTAATGGTTTATTATTGTAGTTAAAATAATGAACAACTTTTAGGTAAAAATGTTGAGTTAAAAAAATTATTATTCAATAAGATAATGAGAGTTGATGAATAGCTGAAATAGAGCAGATGAGTGAACAGTTGCCTGTTTTACTTGTAAAAGTAGTTTGATTTACCCAATGATTTTAATAACAAAGGATAGTATTTTTAAATTTTGTTATTTTATACAAAATGTAAATTATAATTGGTAAAATTATCAAAATAAAGTTTCTACATTTTTTTTAAATTTTATGAGTACAAAAAGTGGCAAGTATACAGTAAAGGCTCTTATCTGAAACAAAATTTTCTTGCGGTGGTACTTTAGGGAGGTCATATTTTGATTTTCCAGGCAGTTTTCTAAATAAAAAGGAAAAAGTGAGAAATAACAAGAAAATGAACGAAATATATTAGTAAAATACTATGTAATAAAATAATAATGTAAAAATAAAATTATTAAATGGTTAATACCCTTAAATAAATTTATAAATATTCAGTCGCATTTTGCTTTTTAACTTTGTGATTTTACCAGAAGATACATTTTTAATTTGAAATCAGTCATACAATACATATTTTAAAATACACATTTATTTATTTGTTTATATATTTAAAATATTATGATTTTTTCTACTTTTGTTCCTATTTACAATAAAAGCACTTTTTCTAAAAAAAAATCTGACTGGGGAGATACTTTAAAGAGGTTATTTTAATTGAAAAACTATTGGAATACAGATTAATCAGTACAATATTATTAAAGCAAAATATGTTACATATTTAATTATTTAATTATTTAATTTAAATTAATCAATTTTAAATTTTAATTAAATTAATCTTTTGATCTTTTTTAACCTAATGACTAAGGTTTATCTCATTGAATGAAAAAAGTAATAAATAAAATTAGTATCTACACAGTATGTTTGTATCCATTAAAATCAAAAATAGATATAAAATGCACACTCTTTATTCCTAGGTATAAAGTTTAAAATTGAAAGTTGCTATTTGATTATATAAAGTTAATAACTTATTTAAGTTACAAAGAGTTGGAACAAAAATGTTATAATAAAGCTTAAACAATTTAACAATTAACAATAAAAGTAATTGTAATAACAATTTAAAATTCTATGAAAAATCAAACAAATCAAATTACTTAAAATCTTGTAATAAGTTCGCTGGATCATGATTAAACATATTGTACATTTTAAAAGTTTTGAGTTTATTTGATTTGCTATCTATTATAATTAATATTATTTTTAATAGTATATCTAAGTCCAGATCTAAAAAAAAAAAAAATCATTTTTATTTGAATATTGTTATATTAGCTATATTAGACTTGCATACTTAAATTTATTATGTTTGTTTGTTAATATTCACTTCATAATTGGTTGTTGCTTGTATAAATGCGAATAATATAATATAATATTATATGCTTGGTGTAAAAACAAATTTCTTTATCATTTATTTTTTTTCACATTTATAATTTGTTGAGCAGGAGGAATGGGACCTATAAATCCGCGTATGAATCCTCCCCGTGGTCAAACTATGAGTCCTTTAGGATCATATAGCCCTGGAATGCGTGGCCCTGCGCCCAACACAAACTTGGGCTCTGGAGGTGGTGGACCGAACATGCCTATATCTATGAGCGGATTAGTCGGGAGACCACAATGGCAACCAAATGCAAATACTGTAAGTACCTATTTAATTTATATGAAATAATATTCTTATTTTTAGGTTTGTTAATAGGTTAATTTACTGTAATATTAAAACTAACTGAACAACTGTCTTCTCTGCTAAATTTTAATTGGTTATGTTATATGTTTATAAGACAAAGATACCATATTACTTGGGTTAATATGGTTCTTATTTGAATAATGACAGAATTTTTGTTTTTATGTCCCCTAATTTTATTCCAAAAAAAATTCTCACATACTTTGCTTTATAGGTTGGCTACTGTTAAAAGTGAGAAGTTAGGAAGGTGGGAACAAAAACGATTCTGAGGGGAGTGAAGTTATGCATATTTTGAATAGTCGTTTAAAATTAAAAAAATATTTCAAGTCTACAAATATTTTTGACTGAATCACACTAAAAAAACAAAATTGAAAACAAATTTCATACATGGTTTTCCTCAATTATTTTGAAAACTGATTGTAAAATCAAAAAAATGACTTGATTACAAAAAATACCATCGATATAAAATTTCTTTTCTGAAAAAGTACTACACTTAAAATTTGGAACAAGATTTCTGGTAGAAAAGTAAATAATTTAAAATAATTACAAATATTTACAAAATAGTTTTAGGAAACTAAGAAAAAATTAATAATTATCAGTAAGAAAATAAAATGGAATGCCTCATATAATTTTATTTTTTTTCTCATCCACCTTAAAAAAAATTCCTTAATCTGGATCATTTCCATACAAGAGATTTTGGGAAACTTTAAATCAGCCAAATTTTAGAATACACCAGATAGTTGAATATAATACTACTCTGTGTCTTAGATTTTTAAATTCTGAGCATGGCAAATAATAAATTTGTTTCTACTAGCGTATTTATTTTTCTGTTTGTAAATATGTTTATACCAAAAATCTTGCTTCAATCAAAAAATTATATTAGGATTTTTTGTAATACATTAAAAAAATAAATTAATAGGAAATGGGTATCAAAAAATTAAGAAATGTATAACAATAAACATTTTATTATTTTTGATTTTGTTTTTCTACTAGAAATCAAGATAAGCATATTTCCTGTATAAAATTGTTATAAGTAGGTGGATAAGATGGTGTTTTTGACTTTTATTTGGAATTTTTTTAATAATTTAAAACCGTAGAAAAAACAGGAAAGACATTAATGGTTTTATTTTTTTTTTCGATTTGTATAATTTGGTTAAAAATAATTCTTGAGATAGATATTAGTTTTTTCTAGATGTGGTAACATTTTTAAAACATTTTATTTGTAGATAAAATTGTTTAGGTTTGAAAATGATTATAAATTTTGTGGGAAATATTGTAAATATTATGGGGTTTCAAAACATGTATAACTGAATTTCTCTCAAAATCCTATTGTATTGATAATATTTTATTGTTAAATTAAATTAAAAAACATCACATAAAGTACAGTATATGTTAGTATATTTTAGTTAGTTACATATATAATAAATTTTCAACTGACCACCTATAACAGCCTATAACTATCTATATTATATTAAAATTTTTTTAAGATTTTGAGTAGAGCGAAGAAGCTTATAGTTCTTTACTTTTTTTCAGAAAAATTTTTCTACAGAGGTGCTTTAAGGAGGTTATTTTTCGATTTTCTCAAAAGTTTTCTTGTCAAATTTGAATAACCGGTATAAAACATGGTAAAGCTGTAGGAAAATTGGGAAAATCAGTAGAACATTAAACAAATATTATAGAAAATATATAAAGCATTTTGCATTATTTTACCATATGGCATATATATTGTTGACAAAGCATATCACAATCAACTGAATTCCGCTCAGAATCGTTTTTTCGTAAGCATTGGTTTATCCTTGCTTACAGGTATACATTAAATTATCTGCAACAGTGGTTGCACCACTTCCTTCCCATTATCTTAGTACATCTTTTTAATTACTCTATTGTGAATTCTTTAATACATTTGTATATATCATATTTTTATTTTTCAGCCCATGAGTTATTCATCATCATCACCAGGAGCTTATGGAGTAAGTAAAATATTTAAATTTTATTTTTATTTTTATTAATTATTATACTCGCAGCTTACATATATACATAAAAGTAAATTAAAAAAAAAACGATTCATTGAAATTTGAAATGTATGGAGTATCAACTTTTTTTTATAATTACATGATTGTGAATAAAGTATATTGGTAGATTTAGGTTCTTAAATAAAATCTTATTTAGGGACCCTCAGGTTCAGGCGGCCCTCCTGGACCAGGCACACCGATAATGCAAAGTCCTCAAGGTAAATTTTTTAGCTATTTGGTAGAGTTCACTTTGTTGTAGTATTTGATCTTAATTTGAGCAATAATGTTCAAGATTCTTCCAACTCTGGAGGTGAAAGTATGTACACAATGATGAAGCCGGTTACTGGAGGGAATATGCCTGGTGTAAGTTATATAATATTAATATTAATATAATACACAATCATGTAGTAATTAGCTTATAGTTTAAAAGAATTTTTCTTATAAAATAAAATAAATTTTAGGACTTTCCAATGAATAATACTGACAACGGACCACTGGGACCCATGGGTCCTAATACAATGAGCTCGGTTTTGAATGGTGATGGACTGGATGGTATGAAAAATTCACCTACACCTGGTGGGCCTGGTACTCCGAGAGAAGATAGTGGTAGCGGCATGGGCGATTATAATTTAGCAGGATTTGGAGGAGCGGGAGAAAATGTAATTGGCCTGGATCTATATTAATTTAGTGATGTTGAAGACAATAAATTAACTACACACTGATGGAGGTGTAATGACATTGTGGTGATTAAAGTAAAGGCGATTTATGATTACGATATAGAAAGCAAATTTTAGTTAAAAAATGAAAAAAAAAATGTAATCAAGTATTATTTCTCACCATATTTCATCTCGCCTTTATCAGAATGTATTCATATTTTTTGGTCTGATTTTTAAAAAAATAGATATTTCATATTAGTTATCTTAAGTAAGTGTTTAATAAAAATAAAAATAAATATATCTGTAAATTAATAACTTTGTAGACTCCCAAAAAAATATTAAAGACATGAAAAAGTAACTTAAAAAATTTAAACAAAATACAGTATGTTATCATATATGTTAATTCATATTGTTTGTTTGCCTCTACATTAAAAACTGGTGTTCTAAGAGTTCATACATATTACAAAAATGTATCTATTTACATATTTTATGGTCTATGGAAATGTCTTTTGACTTTGTTTTATTCTATTTGCAAACTTCAATGTATATTTGGTATTTTTTTTTCTATTTACACTAAATCAGTATAATTAAAAATAAAACAAACAAAATAACACTTATAACAATTTTAAGTATTTAAATTAATTAATACATTTTATTTTATCACCAACAAGTTACTATTTATAATAAGCACTACACTTTTGAATGATGGTTATTTCAAACTTTTGAATTGTTAAAAATAAAAATACTAAGTTGTCAGCATTGATTAATTAAATTTGTATTGCTATGATTACTACTTTTGTTATTTTATCTGTTTTAAATTTTAAAAATTCCAGTTCTCCAATTTCTTTCAAAAATAAATTTAATTCAAAGAATTATGGTTTTATTCATTATTTTATGTTTTCTCAAGAAAATTGTGGAGGAATTCAACTGTGTATCCTTAATTCTTTATGAAAAAATTATAAAATAATTCAAAAACCTTTGAAACAAACATCAGTCCTTAGAATATAGCAGCGTTGATAACGGCTTTATAAACTTTATATCTAATGTCTTCAATTTAATTGATGTGATGATTCAGAAAATATAAATATTTTTATACCTGAGTAATAGTTAAATATAAATAAAATCATTGAGTTTAATCATTAGGAATATTAGATTTCTGATGAAGTTAAAATAGCAAGATTCCTACCAAATTATTAGTATTATATTATTCAGATATGGTACTAGTGTTTGTGTCAGAGTCGTTCTCAATGTTGTCCGTTGACACTCCAATAAGGGTATAATTATATATATCTTCACATATACCTAACTTTTATTTTAATGCGATATTTAGGATCAGAACGAATCCGCTGCAATACTGAAAATAAAAGAAAGTATGCAAGAGGAAGCCAAACGTTTTGAAAAGGATTCTGACCAACCGGATTATTACATCCAATAGTCCGAAATGGGATGATGGCTTGAAATTTAAATATTATATAGTTTTGAACTCTTGCAGTATATTACACAGTGCAATACATTTACATAATTTACATGTTCATTCATGAGAAACAATTTTTGAGATAGATTTGATAGTTCATAACCAATAATTATTTATTTACACAAGTATATATATATTTATATATATAATTATGTTTTATCAGTTATAAATGTGTTATTATTCAATATAACAGGGATAATCTTCAAAGATAGTAATTATGTAAATATTTTAGGTGATTTGATATTAAATCAAAAATAATGTAATTATCACATGTCACTTCATTTTTATAGAGAACTAAGCTGTTTTCTTTTCTGCACCCCTATCTATTGTGGTTATTACTTATAGTAGTTATTACTTTATAGTACTAAACATTATTTTTTTTCAAGAGAGAGCACCAAATTTTATGGAAATGTTCTTTGTGTTTTTTTGGGATTTCTACTGTTTGAAAAAAAAAAAAATCTTTGTTTAGCAAAAATATATAACTGTTCAATATTACATTATTACTATTAATCTACTTTGTTATGAGATTTTTTTTCCTATAGAATTTGTATTTTAATGAATTCAATTAATATTTATATGTACTATCCCTATTTTTATAGATCCACATGGTAAGCCCATCTGCTATCTTGAAATATACTTATTTTAATTCACAAGAGTAATACAAATTTACAATGATAATTATCCAAAACAGTCACTAATCAAAATAATTTAATTTATGTCAATATATTCAAAATTATCTTAAATTTGTTTTAAATATATTTCATGCATTTGATTTTTATTTTATTTTTAAGCCAAATTGTTTGTTCACATTCTCTAAGGGAACAATTTGTTAGAATGAAAACTTTCAAGTGCATAATTTATTTCTTTAATGATAAATTGAGTCATGTTATTTTTAATTTAGTGTTAAAGTACAGTCATAACAAAATTGTGTAAGTAATAAATATTTATTTAATCTGTGAATTATTAAAACTGAGTGCATGCATATTATATAATATTTCTATAATTTAATCTATTAATGAAAATTTAAAATAAAAAACTTGAGGGATAATGGTTTCACTGTGTTGATGGCGTCTATATCATTTTTATGTGCTCTATCTTGATCATATTTGAAGAAAGAAAGAAAAAAATTTTAACTGATGTCTACTCAACTTTATAAATAATATAATATAACCTTCCCTATATTTCATGTATATGCATCATTCTAGAATATTGTACTAAAATCATACTAGTAAAATTAATAATGCTGTAAGTTTACTATTTTATTTTGTTGTCGCATGCCTTATAAAAACAGGTGATGGGTTGACCTAGTAGGCACCTAACTGTAAATATTATAATTATAATTTATATGCCAAAGCATCTACCTATACATATTATTACATAATACTATAATAACAGGTGATTGAAATGATCCAAGTAAACAATTGAATTATTTGGCACATGTTCACCATAAACTTTCGATCAATTTTGTTTTATTTTTCTTCTCTTTTAAAAATTAAATAATTTTAACATCTCTAAGAACATATTATTATTTTTTTACAATAAAATTTAAAAAAATATTATTCCACAATTATTTACAAATGTGTTTAATTTTATTCATTGTTCTACTGGTGGAAAGGTATGTTATTAAATAAGGCACATTTATTTTTAAGTATAGTTTATTTATTACATTATATAATATTATATATATATATATATATATATTTTTTTTTTTTAAATCAAAATGTTATTCAATTTTGTATTTATTAAATTGAATTTGTTTTTCTTCAAAATTACATTCCCCTAAGATTTAATTGAATATAATAAATGTTTCAAAATAGATTTTATTTAAGAATATTAAATAATGTATGTGAAATTCATTACATTTATTTATACTTGTTTTATTATTATTATTTTTATTTGCATATTTCATGGTTATTTGTTTTATCTGTGGTATCTATATTAAATTTAATAGTTACCGAAATGTTTAATAGTATTTTTGAGGATAATACATACCCATAAAATAATAATTTATTATTATTTTCCCTTCATCAAATCTCAATTTTAATTATTATTCTAAACAAAATGTGACACACAGGCTATCCCCATTTTCTTGTTATATTCTAATTAATTATTATTAAAAAAAAAAAAATACTATTAAACAGTTTTTTTTCTATGATTATTTATGACTACTATACTTACCTATTATAGTATTTTATATGTTTTTCATGAGTTGTATACCTTTTCTCCTCCCCTCTCATATATTATATATTATTGTAAAATTATTTTGTAACAAAAAAATTGGTTGTTGTTAATATTATGATTATTGGGAGTATGTCAAACGTCTCGGTACAATATACTCCTGTTCAATATACAATATTCATATTTAAAATTTTTTTTTTTACACTTTTAAAACTATTATTTAGATAATATGTTAATTCACGTACAGTACTTATCATATTAAGTTTATAATATAACTGGTGTATGATATTTTTAATAGATCCTGGCTAGACTTGCTGGATTATTTCCTATAGTATATTTATGATTATTAAAATAAAAAAATAATTAGTTTTATTATAATTATGTATTATAGTTCAATATTGTTCACATTAGTTATTTTTTTTAATTCTCTTCAAAAGTGTATATAGTAATTATTACTATGGGATTAATAGGTTCCTTAGAAAAATGCCAAGGGGATTTCTTTGTGTCCGAGACGATTGTAGAAAACATTTCTTTTTTCATATTAAAATATTTGCAGTTATTTTTAAACATTTTTTTAACCAGTATTATGGTTGTTTTACTTTGACTTGTGTTCAGAAAAAAATTAAGTAGGTATATATTTATATATATATAAAATATTGATATTATATTTATGTATGATTTGTTTTTTGTTTTATTCAATTTGTCATACCTACAACATACTCTATATTATGTATCACATTTATTTTATATATTATTATTATTATTCTATGTACCCAAATATGTGTATGTATTATGTATAATATTATATTATTATGATATCGGTGTTGAATTCCACACATTGTGTAAATTATTTGACTTACCTGTATTATTTATATACATGGGGCAAGATATTGTGAATATGCAACAACTAGGGCATGTCCACTTCCCACTTTTATATGCATCTTCGTAAACAGATAGACTTAACATCCCATTCACAATTGTACTTCCAACTACCCATCTTACCATATTTAAATGAATACCATTAAAAAATGAAATAAATGATAAAAAATAAATAAATGATTACCAATAAAATATTTTATGATACATTTTACTGATTCATTAATTTACCATGTACACTGGGTGTTCACTACTATCTAGTGGACACCCAGAAAAATTTTACTGTGTCTATTTTTACACAGAATTCTGCTTAAAAAATACCCAGACTATGAGTCATTAATCTTTTCAGGAACCAGCTCACTTATTTTATCAAAAATTCTCACATAATAATGTGTTATATAATTGTAAAAAAACTTATTTTTTTATTGAATCTTCCCCAATGTTAAAGACTTACACTGTATTGTGTCTTATTATATTATATATATATTTGTTTTTTTAAATGAATAAAATTAGACTTTTTTTAATATGAATTTCTCTAAGTATTTAGTATTTTTGGTGAAGTAATATTTTTAAGTTTTGAAAGCTCATACATATACCCTCTCCCTAAATGATACCATGAGAATAAAATAGTGTACATTATTAATGGCTTTAGTACCAAGGATATCTTGTTTTTTTTTTTAAACTATTTTTATATATATGTAGGTTTAATATGTATTATTATTATAGTATTATAGTAATATTTTATTGTTTTATAAAGAATATTTCTATAATATAAAATAGGCTAGTAAAAATTTGACCATAAAATAGTAGTCAGATTATAGCAGAGCACTAGTCCTCATGGGTGCACCTATGTTATAGATTTATAAATAATATTACATTATAAATTACAAATTATTAATTTGTTTAATGGGATTTTTGATACTGTTTTTTGTTTAAGTTTTTTTTTTTTAAATACATTAAACAAGTTCCAGATTTTAAATTTGCTCCAAGTATTTAAACTGTATATGCTTATAGCTTAAGTGTTGGTAAGCTAAATATATCTGGTTATTTAAAACATTAATGCCTATATTCTTCTGAAGAAATAAACAATATTTTTATGTGATTTCATTCAGATTCACTATTATCACTTTTCCAGAATAACATTTCAGTAATCTGTTAAAACAAAAATATGTTTAAAAAACTAATAAGATCTATCAAAATAAGGAAAATTAATCAATTTACTAATATATTGTATATATTAATCAGAGATGATTGTGTTTATTCTTCACAAATATTATCAAAATCAAGTTTTATAAAATAGAAATTAAATTATCAAACACACACATGAAAATTCTCTAACCAATAAAAATAATATTTTAATTTTAATTAAAGCAAATGTAAACAAATTTAAAAATTGAAGACATTTATATTCTTATTAATCTTAATGTGGTCAATTGTAATTAATTATTGACATGGTATTTATTGAGCAACTGAAAGTAAATTTTATACAGTTGGCTAAACAATTTTGTATAATATTATACTAATTAAACAATTATAATGCATGCTAAAAAAATTACAAATTGAACATTTAAAATTAATAGAATTTTAATTTTATACTACTGACTATTTAAAAAAAAATATACATACACTCATAAAGACAACTACTTCAAACACAATTCAACTCATTTATATATATATATATATATATATATATATATATATATTTATTTAACTTAAATAAAAATTATAATTTAAAAAAAATTATAATTAATGTGGCCTTGTACTAATACTATAATAATATTATGATATTGAAAAATTAAATTACATTAGATTGGTAAAAAATCGAATAAAAATGATTTAGTTAACATTAATTATAAATAATAACTTAAATTACACAGGAGAAGATACCATACTAGACTTTTTCTCTTTTTTTGTTTCCTTGGGAGGATTAGTACGTATGGCTAACTTCTCCTTTGAAAGAATGACTTGGTTTTCTAGATTATCACTAGGTATCTCAAAACCCTCGCATGATAAATCATCAGAACCACCAGCGGAAAGTAGCTCCAGCTTTGCTTGAAGTTGTTGAACTCTTTTATATGAACTTTCTCGTTGTGTTTCAAACATTTGGAGCATAGGTTTTGCTACTGTTTCTAACATATGTAAGCCTAATACAGCATAAGCTAAAATAAAACCACAATTATACCAAATATTAAAATGATCGAGTTATTTGAATATTAAGTACCTTAAAACTATTATTTCTCTTTAAAAGGCCTTTGAAGTTAGTATATTGGTATTTAAATTTTGGAAATAGGTAATAATGATATAATTAAATTATTTTATAACTAGTAGTGATTGCCTAGAATACAAATTATACGGAAGATACCTGATTCATTATGAAGCTGTGCCACTGGACATGATTCGGTTTCATTTGCTCGATTAAATTTGTTTTCAAGTTCATCATACAAAGTTCCTATGTGTTTGACAATTATCTAATATCAAATACAATCAAATATTAATAATATAAACAAGATATATAAATATTTTACAAATACAAATTGAATTAATATAAACTCTTTGTTCGGCATTGACATTAATTGGGATTGTTTAAAACTAAACTTTCGATATAATTAAATTTTAAATTAATATAACATAAATTATTATAGACGATAATCTTACATGGAAATATGTATTTTATAAAATGTTCAAATAAATTTCATTGTAAATAATTATAAAAAATAAATACCTAATATTTTGATTTTTTAATTATAAAATTGAAATTTGTGCATACAAAGAGCAATCTATTTGGAATGCACTTTGAAAAAAAATTGTATTACAGATGGATGTTGTCTTTAATAAACACAAAAAAAAATGAATAATTACCCCCAATGACATTTGGCTTGTACAGGCTGTGGGTACCACATGAAATGGTACATCTATTCTGTGTACCAATCCTTCAACTTGTTTCGCTTGAAAGCATATTGCTTTCATTTCTCTCACCTAAGATTAAAAATTTAAAAAAAAAAACAAATAATTATTAGATGTATTCTCAATAAATTTAAATTGCATTCAAATAAAATTGTATATAAATATACTATAATAATAAACTAAAAAAAAAAAAATTATCACAGATAATTAATTTTATAGTTATTGGTGAAGTTATAATTAAAACAAAAATAAGTACCTTTCTGTAACTACATTATATTACTTTTAACTCAAAATTAAGAATATAAGAAGTTGTTGCATTGATTTTACAAAAGGTAGGACTATTATCAAAAATATTAAGAATATGATAACAGACTAATTATTATAATTACTTTTAGAGTTAAAATTATCCATATTAACATGTAAATTGTTATAGATTTATATTATTAAAATACATTTATTATCATAATATTATATTGTATAATTGATTATTTTGAAACCCCCTAGGATATACTAATAAAACTTCATTATGGAAATTCAAAAACTACAAATATTGAATTCACAATATTATTTCATAATAATTTATTGCAAACAAAAAACTGTTTACAATTTATACATTTTTATTAATTAGGAATAATTTTTGTGTACAATAATTTTCTTTTACATTTGTACATTTCTAAATTATTTTCTCACCATTGCAGTTGTGTCTGTATTATAAGAGGAGCAAATTATACCAACAAAACAAGAATCCATGTTCTGCAAGTTAAGTTGAGTTTGTAAATCTAAAAAAAAATTTGTTTTAAATAAGTTAATTATAAAAAGTGCACTATTTTATAATTATTAATTAGGTATTCATTGCATATTACTATACATAGTTCTATTAGATCCAAATGAGAATTTTTTTTTGTATAAGTTATACAATTTTAGTTGTATTTCACAATAAATTTCACCTTGTTATTACGGGAGAAAGATGTCTTTTTAGCCTTCTATACCCCAACAGACCTCCCCCCAAAATGAAGCTAGGGGGATGGTATATTGTACATTTAAATAGTTCTATTATCAAGGATGTGCTTTTAGAAGATTTAAATGTCCAACACCTGTTCCTTTTATTTCTTTTAATCAATATTTTTAATCCATTTCTTATCATTACCAGAATTGTTTAGTTAAATTATAAACTAAATTAAATAATGTAACAAGTAACATGTCTATGGGGAGAAAATTAGACTCTAGTGATAGAGACCTGTTACTTACGGGTGTACATGTAGTGTGTCCTACTGTGTTTCAAGGATTTTTCGAGATTTTTTTTTCAATTGGTTTGTCTTTGAGAGGGCATAGATTTAGAGAAAAATAACATTTTTATTTCCATTCATCCCTTAAATACAAAAGAAAATAGTTTCTTAATTATAGCCGTTTTAGTTTCTAGAAAATAGGCGTGAAAACAATTATTTTTCAATTGAAGGTAAAGAATTACCATGCTGATTGTAATTCCTTTTCACATAAGGTGTTATTTTATTGAATATTAATATTGTTTTCACCCCTAATTAAACAATTATTAAGAAATATATATATTTATTATATAATATTAATATAATATTATATAAACAAATTATTCATTGGATATGAATATGTAATATATTAAAATTGTTTGAATAATATTTTTACAAAATGGCTTTTTAGAAAATGTTTTAAAGTGAATAAATAAAATGATGTCCTAAGATAATGGGGTTGGGTGCATCCACTGTTATAAATAATTTAATGTATACCTGTAAGCAACTACTAATTATTCTACTATCTAATACTCATGACATAGGTACTAATGATTGGATAAAATAAAAATAAAGAAATTATTAAAATTGGCAATTTTGACCATTTCTCCAGCTCCCTCAGGGTCAGATAATTTTTGTTCTACTATCCAATACTAACGATTGGGCAAAGAAAAATGTAATTTTTTAAAATTGGGGAGTCATGGAAATGTTCATAACTGTAAAGTATTTTTATATTTTAACTAAGTATCCCATAATAATTATACATTTATAAATAACAATAAAATCTGTAGTTATTTAAATAGGTATAAATTATAATATGATAAAGGACAGACATACTTCATACATGGGTGCAGCCACTGTTGTAGGTGGGAAGTTGGGAAGGTAGACTATAGACGAGACTTTAATGTATATCTATAAGCAACGATAAACCATTGCTAACAAAAAAACGATTCTGAGAAGAGTTCAGTTGATAGTGTTGCTTTGTCAACAATGCAATATACGGCATAATGTCATATTATGGTAAAATGATTAAAAAACAATGTGTGTTTCCATAATAACAATCATGTTTAAAAAATAATTAAAATAATACAAAATTAATAATAGCAAAAAATAAATAAAAAAGTTGCCAATGTCATCCTTATTTTGAATCTTTCAATTTTTTTGAACCTAAAGACCGAAGTTTTCCTCATTATCTCGAATATTATTGAAAATTTAAAAAATATGACCTCTCTAAAGTACCACCCAGAAAAAATTTTCATTTCAGAAAAGATACTATACTTGATAATCTGAGTATGCTTTCTGGTATAAAAAGTATTTATATAAAAAAAAAAGGATGGATACATTTCAATGTGCCACTGTTATAGGTGGGAAGATAGGATACAGATGGGAATTTAATATAAAATAATTAAATAGGCGTTATAGATTTTCTTTAATATTTGTTTAATGTTGTACTGATTTTCCCAGGTTTCCTATGGTTTTCTCATGTTTTATTCTAGTTTTTAAATTCTATGAGAAAACTAGAGAAAATCGAAAAATGACCTATAGTACCTCCCCATACCGATTTACTTTCAGAAAAGGTACTGCACTTAAAAATTTGAGCAAGTCTTTTAGTAGAAAAGTTGTGCAGATAAAAAAAAAATAAACATCTTTGTTAAACTATAAACTTCTTCACTCCACTTAGAATCTACAAGTTATTTGTTTTTTGTCTTTAGGTGATGAAAATAAAAATTTAATTTTTCTCCAAATCGATGTCCCTCTCAAAGAAAAATTAATTGAAAAAAATAAATCTAAACAAATTTAATATTAACAGTGCCTTTTCTTCAACATGGTGAATCACACATGTTCTACTAACAAGTTAATTATAAAGTTTATATTACCTATATAAACTAAATATTACTACAAAAATTTAAATTTGTATATATATATTGAGTATATTTTTATTAAAATAGGCTTGGCTACTGTGGCATTTTGAGTTGCATAGTACATGTTTTGATAGACATTTACATCAATTTGTGATACATTATTTTAAATAGTCACCTTATTATTCTTTGTTTACCTGTTAAAGAGTCTTAACCTAACCTAACAACAACACAACATTTATTTTTTGGAATAATTTCCAATTTTAAACATTGTCTTTGCATAGAGTAAACTGATACATTGAATAAAACTGAGTGTTTTTTCAGTTGTAAGCAATAAATATTTACATCCACAACTTATATTACTAAATTAATAACAAATAATGATTTGAGTAATAAAAATATACCTAATAAATAACAATTATTTCAATTTTTGTAGTAATATTTAGTAATAATATGAACATATAATGAATATAAAATATTGTAATAATATACAAATATAAGGGGGGAGAAAAATCATACGATCAATAAAAAAAAATTCGGACATTAAGGTGTTATTGTTTGTTATAAGATTGTATCACATTTGTGTCCGAATTACAAAAATAGTTCAGAGTTTGATAAAACTTTTTGCATATTCTAGATTTTACCAGAATCAATCAGTAAATGTTCGAAATTTGGAAAGTCTGTAAATCTAGAATTTAAAGGTAAATCCTAGGATTTCACTGGTATTGATACTTTTACCATAATATACATCCTACAAAGATATACCTATTATAATTTTTCTAGAGATAATAAAAATAAGCAAATTTTTTTTTTTTTTTATATAACTCACAGGGATAAGTGTTATATAGGGTAATACTACTTAGTAATATAATCTAAAAGTTAGTATTATATACATCTTAGTTGTTACCTGACACACGACCATAATTAACATATGTGTGTACAGCATATAGTGTTAGTACTAATTAAAATATAAGTATACCTTTAATAAATTAATATAGTAAATTAAATAATAGTTACTTATAAATTAATTAATGAATTAATTAATGTTACAAGTGAAACTAATCCAGGTCCACTTGATACAATTTTTGAAGAAATAGTAAACTTTTATGAACCTAAAACAAACAGTTTAAATTTTTCTGCTGGTGTCAGGAAGAAGTTTGATACATTTCTGCAGGAAATTCGTAATTTAGCTAAACATTGTGAATTTGGTGATTTAGAAGACAATACTGTAGGAATTAGAATATTATTGGGTGTTAATGACATTGGTCTTCGAGAAAGGCTCTTAAGAGTACCAGACTTAAGTTTTAATAAAACTATTGAACACTGTAAGTCTACAGAAGTGGCAAATTATCAATAAGTGTTGTTAATTCATATTGGAAAGTCAGTAGAGGAGAAAAATGTGCACAAAATGTATCGTGAAAAAACTAAAAATCAAAGTAACTGGAAGAAACAGAATACAGAGAAGATAGAAGAGAAGGATAAGCAGTTCAATGGGCAAGGCTATTCAACATCACAAGTCACTAAACCTTATGAGTGCAAGAAATGCATATATAAATATGGTCCAAGGAGCTGTCCTGCATTTAGAAAGAAATGTAGCAGTTGTGGAAAACTAAATCATTTCAAATTTGGGTACAAATCTAATAGCCAGTAAAGGGTAATGAACTTGAATATAAATAATAATAAAAATAATGTTGTTAATAGTGATTCAGAGCATAACTTATTTGATATTTATACTGTGGTATTATTGAATGTAAATGAACAAGAACAACAATGATACAAATAATAATAAAGGATGATTTAAAGATATAAAAACTAATGACTGTATTATTGCATTTAAGTTAGACACAGGCTCGGATATTGACATTTAGCCTCTAAGTCTTTTTCACAGAGTAAAAAATAATGAAATTATTGAAAAAAATAATTACAAGGTACATGCATATGTTCTAAAGCTGGTTGGGATTGTAAAAATGAATTGTATTATTTCTAACAGAAATGTTATGCTTAGGTTCATAATTGTAAATGACAATACAAAATAAATTATACTCAATCAGCTAGAGAAATTATTTTGTCCTTTAGAAGTGTTTTTAACACACATAATTATCTAAAAATGATTTATTCTGACAATCAACCATTTGTGATTTATCAAAATACGAACTATTTAGTTGTAACGAGTTCAAAAGTTTTTGTGATGTGTATAATATAAAACTTATAACTTCTAGTACAAAATATTTTCTGTCAAATGGGGTGGCAAAAAGAGCTGCTATTACTGTTAAACAAATTTTGAGGAAAGCAAACTTTCAAAACACAGACATCTTGGACATATTGCTTGAATATAGATGTACATCTATTCCACACCTTGTGAACTAGTAATGAACAAAATGCTAAAAACAAAATCTCCAATTAGTGACAGTAATTTGAAACCCATGGTACGTAATAATATTGACAGTAAGATAACTAATTATCAAAAAACTTATAAAGAATATTATGATAAGAGAACTAAAATAAAAGATGAATTTGACATAGGTAATAATGTAGTAGTAAAAGAGTGCAATGTATGGACACCTGTAAAATTATAGAAAATATAAAATACTGTCCTAGATCATATAAGATAGTTACAGAGTAGTATAGTGGTCAGAGCAATGTCTTATCATTTGTGTCACACAAGTCAAATGTTTAATAAATACTACATAAATAATGATTATATTCTGCTTGAACAGGATAATGATAAAAATTTGGTTGGGAAAAAAGAAGTTAATGAGAAGAATGATGATGCTGATGACACACAAAAAGACAAGGGTAGGAAGAGCTATTCGAAAACCGATCAAATTAGATGATTATGATTAAAGTTAATTGTGTTAAAGTATTTGTTTTAAATGATGAATTAATATATTGTTATTTCTTTGTGTAAGACATTAGTTTATATTCATCAAAAATTTAGTATTATTATTTGATTATATGTTATATACATAATGTTATTAAAATTAAAATTATTCTTGTAATTGAATTTTAATTTTAAATGTTTTTCTTTTTTGTTATATAATATGTTAGAATTGTTAAAATGTTAATTTTAACAGCTAAAAGAGGAGGATGTTATATAGGGTAACACTGCTTAGTGATAAAACCTAGAAGTTAGTCTTCCATTAATATACATCTTAGTTGTTACCTGACACACGACCATAATTAATGTATGTGTGTACAGCATATAGTGTCAGTATTAATTAAAATATAAGTATACCTTTAACAAATTATATAGTAAATAAAATAAGAGTTACTTATAAATTAACATAGTGTTTTTATTTCACAAATAGTATTTATAAATTAAGAGCTAGTAAGAATGTATTAAAACAATCAGGACCACAAATATTTAAAATGCAATTAATTTTTATGGTTAAAATAGCCATTTTATTGAGTTTATTTTTCTGAAAATTTAGATGTATAAACTCCTTATTTTCATTAAATTTTTGATTTTAAATAATTGTTCATAGAAAAGTTTTTTTAACTATGCAGGAAGCTGTAATCACATTCTCTAATTGATTATTATTATTATTACGATTCATTGACTGTACCTACACTTCTTCTTTCTGAATTTTAAATTATTATTAAAAATTAAAAATTTAATGAAAAATAACATACATCAACATTTTTAGAAAAATTAACTCTATAAAATGACTATCTTCAAATTTTTCAAAAATAATAAAATAAAAAATTATTTTTTTTAAGTTTTAACAAAGCATAAAGGTACAGTTTCCAAGGTGCGACCGGTTAGTATGTAATTCCATATCTAACGCACAACTGAACTTTATCGCGACACTACTGGTCCGAGAGCAGTGTATTGCGACTGTCACGCGCGACCGTTGATTTATTTCAATCACAAACCAACACTTGGGTAGTGAATTTCGACTGACCCTTGCATCAATATGGCTAAATTGCATTTTTTGGGAGAAGAAGATCAACTAATCGAAATGGTTCGAAAAAATGTTGAATTGTTTGATGTGTCTCACAACAAATATAAAGATGCAGAACATAAAGACAGTATTTGGTTGGATATTGCTAACACTATAGGGAAATCTGGTATGTAATATTTATCTATAATATAGTATACAATCTAGTAATAAGATTAATTTAATACAATGGCGTAGATGCAATTTTTTGTCAATCATATAAAATTATATTAGAAATGAAAAGTATTTCTAATTAGTTAATTTATTAACATGCACAAAGAACAATCTGAACTAATAATAATCTGTGCTATTGCCGTATAACCAATAAAAATGAATGCTGATAAAAGTTTACATACTACAGGCCCATATTATCATTATACAAAATCCTAAAATCGATAATTTAAATTAGTTTTTATTTTTGTATCCTTCAGTTTTTCTATTAAGAAAAAGTGCATCAACTTTTTCTCTCTGTTAGGATTGTGTTGTGATTAATAAATTATCGTCCTCTTGCTCTTCCTCAAGAAGAAGTAACATTATTTTATTATTGTTAATAATTGTATTCATACTCATAGTAAATATAAAATTTAATTTGAAAACACTAGCCCTCACTGAACGAAAACCACAATGATACTGAACACAGATACAGAATTTGACATTTTTTTTACGTCACCGAAGACTGGTCTCGGCAACCATTTGCGCCTGGGAAACCAGCACGCACCAACGACAGGTCGTAGTGACCAGTCGCGCCTTGGAAACCATACCTTAATAAATTTATTGCAATATTGTATTCCTTATCCCTATGAGAAATATAAAAAATACCAGAATTTGATTATCTTTATTATCTCTGGAGATATTAAAATGGGTATACTTTCGTGGAACACCCTGTATAATTTATATAATACTATTCTAGTAAAGTTGTCATTTTAATCCTATAAAAAAAAATAAAAATAGTACAGTAACCTATTAGTTATTTTAATAATGATTTTCATAAAAATGTATCAACTGACATACCTATTAGTAATATAAATGTTTAAAAAACATTAAACTTGCATTCCTACCCATCTAAGGGACAATATAATAATAAGTAAGTAGATAATAAGTAATAATAAGTGAATAAGTACTTGCCCACATTCGATGGCCAGACAGTTATATGAGGATGTGAATGATACCAGCCAATAACGTTCAAGTTTTCTCCTTTAATGCGAGAAAACTCCTTGGCGTCCTCCATGGCGTTAACCAAGTCTTCTGACATGATTTCGACTCTGTCCTTTTTAATTTCTCCACGGGGCGGAATAGATAGAGCTGTCACAGAAACAGATATTCCATTTGCGCTAACTTTTTTCTAAAACAAAACATATAACATGGGTATATGGAAGCTCTAGTTTAATCGATATCTCTGCATTTATAGATGCTTACATCACCGATCATCAGGGCGGCGACTTCTTCCTTTTCGGTGAGCAATGCTAAGTTGTGAAACATTAACATAACTTCATCCGATATGTACACGTCAGTCAAGCGGTTCAATTTTTTATTCATGGTTTCTTCGTCCTGAAATAACTACCGTACGAAACAAGAACAAAAATGTACTCTAACTGAAAATCTATCGCTGGATTTATTGACTAAGTAAATAACAAAAACACAGTCGGTCAATAAATTAATGTACACGGGTATAGGGAATTTGTGGTAAGCAAAAAATAAAGACTATTTTAAAGACAGGTTAGAAGGATGATGGGATTAGTGTATTGTACACATTCCACATTGTGTTTGTATGCGAAATAAGGGACCATGTACTATATAGGATAAGTAAAGGACTGCGGAGTTTGGGACTATATAGTGGTACTTCATACGCAATACACAAACGCGGATGCATCTGATAAGAATAATTGTTATCATTTATTAACCGTGTACTTAGATAACGTTCGGTCAATTGGTTCAGACTTCAGAAAATCAGGGTCGGAATACTTTTGACTTTTTCCGAAATCACCGGACTACTTAATTAGTATTCCAAGATTCCAACGTCCACCGCCGTATTGTCAACTATATAATAGTTGTTATTATTAAAAATATAGCAATTATAGTAATAATATTATGTACCAATAATCAATATTGAATATCTAAAAATTAAAAATAAATGAATAAATGAACACCAATGATTAGCACTATATTCTTAATTCCGAGACCTAGTCACTAGCATACAGAGTGTAATAGGAATATTTGATATTTTTACATTATTGTTACATGTAAAAATGTCGAATAGTCCAACTACATTCTGTATACCTATGTGTTTGAACTTTGAAGTAAAATTTTTTTATCGTACCGAGAAAAAATTACGAAACATTTTATATTCCTACCTACTACCCCTTTTCGATTAATGAGTAAAAACTAAAATTGTTTAGGCCAAATTTTGATCGAAAATTTGATATAAGGTTCATCATAAGTTGAATTTGTATTAGTTGTATTATTTCGTAGAAAAATTAATCGAGTGCACATTATTTTTCATTTATCCGAAACTTGTACATTTTTTAGTGCACAAAATTAATAGATATTGAATTAAAATTATTAAAAACGTGTAAACGAACTCAGCTCGAACGTGTTTTTGTTCATTAATTTGTTATAAATATAAAGGGTACCTACCTACAAAATACCTATAGGTAAGATAGGTATAAAAAGTTATTGAACATAAATATTTAATATATTAATAAAATGTATACCTATACACATTATAATATTTATATATTTTAGAATAATAATTTGTTTATTTTATAGAAATATTTAAATGTGGAAAATTTGTTGCGATTTAAAATTTAGAACACTAGACAATTTTATCATTTTATACTGTCCACCATTATCTTATCAAAAACGGTCATAGAATTTACTTTCCCAGTTTTGTTTGTTAACGTTTGTTTGTCGTATCTATGGTTGATTTGGCCGTGACATTTTGAGCCGTGGTGGTATCCTGTATCCATGGTGATGTTAGTGCAACCCTCCTTCGTGAACTCTGTTACTTGGTTGTCTATTGATCCGTTTGCTTTGTCAGTGTAGTACGATTCAACGAGAATCGATTGCGCAAGTCGCTAAAAATTTAATTCACCATCCACAACCTTCGCTTCGTTGCAAAAATCGAACTCATTCTCTATAATTGACCGGTTAATTATTCGCCTAATTCGACTATAAGTGAGTATACTTCATATTGTGTTTGAATAATATTTATAACTCATCAAATAAAACTTTATGTTGAATACTCGTAATTTTGGATTTTTAGGTTTCTATTCTACTCAATACTTGTTCAAATAATATCTATCAGTTTCGTTCTCATTCGTATGTTCAATGTTTTTTTTTTAATCATAATCTCAATAATTGTTACTTATGTTAATTTCTATAGTGAATCAGTTAAACAAATTATATTATTTCCTCTATCATTTTATTATTAGCTAATAAGAAAAGAACAATCCTCCATTTTAATTTTATACATGGACAATCCATCCCTAGTTTAATTTTAATTTAATTCCCTTAAAAGTTCAAATATATGGTATTTTAATATACAGGGTGATTATTTAATCATGCTCACCTCATTTGTATGGTTAAATATTGTATAAATTCAAATTCTGATTTTAGAAATTTTTAAGCATAATGAATGACAATATTTTGCATTGGTACTTAGATTTTGTGGCGATAACAACTTTGGTTTTTCAAATGAGAATCTACATGTTTGAATGCAAAATTGTCAATCAGATGATCTTCCAAAACATTTTAACGTATTGTAATTGAAATTTGAAAGAAAAGTTTCTGAGTTAGTTCTACTTTAGGCACCTAAATGCAAAAATGTCCTATACACTATTTCTATGTAACAGTAGGAATCCAATCTCCATAAATGTTATTATTTTTAGTTCACTATCTATTACTACACAAATTATCAGAATTTGAATTGATACATAATTTAACCATACAAATAGGGTGAGCATGTTTAAAAAATTGCCCCATTTACATGTATAGGCACTTGTATATTATACAATCAGATATATATTTTTATTTAGATTTGTTTTATCAGTAATAAATTAACCAGCAAATATGCCTACTACGGGACGGAAAAAGTCCGGTGGTTCCAAGTTTGAATTTAGTGAGAAACAATTGGCGGATATAAAAGAGGCATTTCAATTGTTTAACAGGGATGGATCTGGATCGATTGAAACCAAAGAATTGAAGGTATTTAGAAAGCTTTTCAATTGTACAATACTTTATAATATTAACTCAATTTTTTCTCTTATTATGAATAACAAAATTGGGTTTGAAATAAATCTGATTTTGACAACAATATATAGTGTTTACAACTAATTTCACACATTTAATACTGTATATTTTTTTAGGTAGCCATGAGAGCTTTAGGATTTGAACCCAAAAAAGAAGAAATCAAACGCATGTTGAACAGTTTGAATAAGCAGCATAATAGTAAGTGATTCATTTTTTGTTTTTCAAGATTTAATTTTCTAGAAGTTTATAGTTTATAATTGTAAACTGTAATGCTCAGATAAAAAAGATAAGGAATTTTTTAGGTTTGTGTATAGAATGATTTTTGTGTATGATATTATCTAGCAAACAAAATTTAAAACAGTTTATTATCTTTAAATAACTGTAACTATTTTGTTGAATTATGTTTTATTTGGAGTTTAAATAATTTTCAACTGAAATTGGTGTTGTGAATTTTTTGACTTGCTCTTGTTTGCATATTTTACTTATAAAAAATCAACCATTAGATGAATCGGATGTTTTGTGTTTTCTTAGTTCTTAATAACAAAATCTTCACCTTCATTCCAACTATTTATTTTAGGGTCTACCACCCTTGTTGTAAATGTACACTTAACCTGATCTCCCATACACCAGTTGTTTTCATATCATTCTTAAATGGTAAATAAAATAATTCAATAATTATTAAAAGCTAACATGTTATTCAGGTTTCATAACATATGAAGATTTTATCAATTTGATGTCAATGAAAATGGCAGATAAAGATTCTAGGGAAGAAATTATTAAAGCATTTAAACTTTTTGATGATAATTGCTCTGGTAAAATAACGTTTCAAAATTTAAAACGCATTGCACAAGAATTGGGAGAGAATATTGCTGACGAAGAACTTCAGGTTATTATAACAGATTTTACGAATATTAATATATTTATTAGTTATTCCTTTATTTTAATCTATTTTCAACAAGTATATTCTATTTATATATAATGTATTATATTCTATAAACTTTGTACTCAAAAAAATTATTATATTAATTTGGAAGAAAAAAAAGAACTATATTAAATAAAAACTTTAAATTTAAGAATTACTAACAATGATTTTTTTTCCTTGTGATAGCTGACTGATATCAGATATATATTTGTTTACTAAAACAAATATTTTAAAATCATATTAATGATAGTGAAATATAATTGTATAAATAGATAAGACCTTAGATAAGAATTGGTAGACCATAGACGAAATATCACCAAAGGCGCAATTTGCAACTTTGGTGTTTACTATAGACCAGTGGTCTAGTTAAAACTTTCATTTTGTCCCCAAAATATAGACATTTAAAACTTTGATTAAAGAAAAATAGTATTAATACTACTAAAAATAGAAATATTAATCTTTGATCTTACATTCAAATCAAATTTGTATTGATTCAATTTTAACTCATTAAATAATACATTTTCCCTTTTTTAAATTTAGTATGTAATTGTTTTAAGAGATTACTCATATTTTATTTTTATGTAATAATTTATTGAGATTGCATTATTATATTTCAGGAAATGATTGATGAAGCTGATAAAGATGGTGATGGTGAAGTCAGTCAAGAAGAATTTCTTCAAATTATGAAGAAAACTAATTTATATTAGATGATTAACTATTTGGTTTTAAGTTTTATTATATTTATTTGTGTATACACATATATTTTTTATCATTTTAATCTTTTACCATTGAATTTTACTCTACCTTGAAACAGAAATGTTTTTATTATTAGAAATTTAATTTAATTAAAAAATCTCAATTATCTAGTAATATTTTTATATTTTCAGTTTAGGATAAAGGTATTGAACCCTTGTTTAACTATAAACTACTATTAAAACTTTTCTGATTTTAACCAAATTAATATATCTATCATCAAGATTTTAGTGTCTGTGTTAATCATTAAACCATCATTAAGCCATCAATGGTATAGCCAGGATTTTTTTAGGAGGGGGGGTGTTTTTGTAATTTTGTAACTTTTTTTTGTTCATGTAACACACATAACATACCTATACTTAATAATTATCTGTGTGTTACACAAGACATCTTGTAAATGATGTATAACTGCATATAGTGAAAATTATAATTTTTGAAAAAATATAGTCAAAAGGGGGCGTTGAACACCAAAACACCCCCTCTCCCTACGCCACCCACTGTCATTAATTGACTAATAAATTGTATCTTAAATAGCGTTAATGTTGTTATCAAAACATTCTTATTTTTATTACCTTAATAATAGTTTTACACTATAAAAAAAAAATTATCACAAAACTACACTTGATGCTTTGTTATTCCAATATACCTAATGCTCAAAGAGCCTATTAGTTTTTCATCATTTGACAAATCTATCAAGCAATTACTTAACTTTAGAAGCTTAAACAATCTGTAAATGGACAATAATGTATACAGTTGTAAGTATGTTGGTGTTTCTGGATGGTTATTGACTCGCAGCTTGTCAAATTTGTACCTAAAAATGTCTTAATACAAATGTAAAAAAAAGGATAGATATATTTCCCACATGGGTGCAGCCAATTTTATGGGTGGGAAGTTAGGAAGATATCATACAGATGGGAATTTAGTGTACGTTCCTATGCAAAAATAAACCATTGCTAAATGATAAATGTTTGATACTAAGTGGAATTCAGTTGACAGTGTTGTTTTGTCAACAATATATTTATATGTTATATTATGGTAAACTGATTACAACAATGTGCATTTCAATGACAATTGTTTAAAAAAAAGAGTAAAATAATAAAAACTTAATAATAAGAACAAATAAATAAAAATAATTGTCAATGACAACCTTATTTTTAATCTTTCAATCTTTAACCTAAAAAATTAGGTTTTCTTCATTATCTCGAATATTAATGAGAATTTCAAAAAAAGACCTCTAAAGTACCACCCAGAGAACATTGTAAAACCAATACATTCCTAACTCCACTCAGAATCTAAAACAATTATTTAATTTTGCTGAAACATAAAATAAAAAAAAATATTTTTAAAATAAACTACATACTTCCAGATTATGATATCTTCTTTAAAATGATTTAAACTTATATATATATTCTATGTACATATAAATTATTTTATATGTCCCTCACACTTTGCAATAAAGTATTTATTTCATTTTTAACTGGAATTGGAAACAAAACCTCAAATTGTTTTACACATTTAACAATACACAGTTTGACTGTCATTTTGAGCATATAATAATATATATATTTTTTAAATTTTTTTATTGAAAAATAATATTTACAATCTATGTTATAATATAATATATTATTAACATACAATTTTTTTTTGGAAGAACAAATGTAAGAATTAATTCCATTATTTAGCTGCATGTTGCTGGCATCTGCAGGTTAGAAATACTACTCAAAACCGGTATTAAAACTTGTTATATAGTTTATATGAATTTGTAATAGCAACCCCAAAACGTATACAACCCCCTCTTCTCAGGTGTGATCAAATCAATTTTTGGTCTGACTAGATGTGATAAGTTTGATGTTATTTACATCAATAAATAAATATAATATAGCTATTATGTGTTCTCACTTCTGCGTATCAATGTTAAAAAAGTTTTTTTTTTCATAGTATTAATATGATATTAAGGATTATAAAAAATATTTCTTTTCTATTATGTAATCAGCAAATTTTTCAAAAACAATTTTGTTAATAACATTAAATGATGTTGTAAATATTTAGGTAGATGGATAACTTTTAAAAATTGATGGACAAATTTTAAAAAACAAAATTAGTTGTACATTCAATTTATTAATTTTTTTTCAGTACGTTTGCCAAATTAATTGTTTTTATTATTTACCCTAATATTTGTACCTACATAAATAATATAAATACTCGTATACTACTATGATTTTGGTTGTGGGTTGTATATTCTCTCATAGAGTTCTGAAATATATTCCCTCCATCTTGTTAGTATTTCTCCATTTTCGGTTATATCGTTCCCATATTTGTCCTTTATAGTTTTTGCTTTTCTATGTTTATTTTCCTTTATACATTTTCTGACATGAGCATAGATTTTATCATGTTTCAACATTTTAATTCCGTTTCTGAACATCGATCATCCCACCATTTGTCACGTGCTTTTCTTCATTCTCTATCTAGTTAATTTTCTTTTCATAGATACAATTTCCTTAGCTATGCCCCTATTGGACAACTATAAACGCAAATAATATCAAACAAATGATCCGACAAAAATGGGAGTATAATTTATTTTATTTTTATACCAATATACAGGCCGAGTGTACTTAATATGATAACATAAATATTAATGAATAATAACAGGAATAAAAGACCCAGTTGATAAAATAGTTTATAGGTAGTTAAAAGATGGGTATTCATTAGCAAGACACTAAGTATGATAGAGGTGGGAGTTTAGTTGATAATTAGAACAGTTAAAAGGAATAACAAGGGACAAGTAGATCTAGTAATAGGAGGGAGACTTTTAGATTGACTTCTGACAGTCAATTGAATTAGATAAAAGTTAAGAAAGAAATGATACACGTGTCGCTGGCATCCGCAACAAAAAACGCGTTCTTAACCCTTAAGGGGGTTGTACAAATTTTGGGATTGCTGTTACAAATTTGCACGAATTATACAACAAATTTTGGTACCGGTTTCGATTAGTATTTCTGATTTGCAGACGTCAGCGACATGCAAGTTAATATATATGACGTATAAGTATACAATGTATAATGCCTATGTGATTATTTTATCATAGGTAATATGATATACCTAAAATATTAAATTATAATGTTGATAAAGCAACACTATTATCTGAACTTCGTTCAAAACAACCGCTCAAATCGTTTTTCGTTAATAATGGTTTGTCGTTGCTTACAGATATACATTCAATTTCGACTTTACTATCTTCTCAACTTCTCACCTACAACAGTGGCCCACCCATGTGCAAAGTATGTTCGTCTAAGTTACGTTTTGTCAATCGGGTCGCGCTAGTGGGAGAGCTGCCCACAGAGTTATAGAGTTATAGAGAGGCCGTTCTGTATGAATCATGGATTAAGATATTATACCGTATATCTTAAATCGTGGTATGAGCATATCTCGCCTGTACACAGATATAGGTAATTTATTATCTATATCAGTGCGCCTGTAGCATTAGTTGAAGTCACGGATTAAGGTACACTTTATCTTATTCCGTGGTTGAAATTAATAGCTCAATGTTGTGATAATAAGAAAAAAAAGAGCCATTTTTATTACCTATTAATGATTTCAATTATTCATTTTTTTGTAGTAATATGGCCAACGGTTACGATTAAAGATAGTTTCTATCATATTAATCGTACTATCGGCTATTCAAATATTATGATAATCTTCTAAAGTTGTCGTTCCTATTAGCCAGCCACTCAAACTGTATTATGATTGGTACGTATAATTATTTTTTTTTTTATCAGTACAATTATTGCATTAATTATTATTTATCACAGTAACTATTGTTGATTAGATAGATACCTACTTACCTCTGTAAAGAAAAACCCATACGATTGTCACCGCAGTACCCACCCATTTAGTTAGATGTCAATTAGACGTTTCTGTTCAATATATAAAAACGTGTTAGCTGACATGGACAATTTGATCGCTGTGTGTCAGGTCTCATCAACGGCCAACAAAGAGACTAACTTTCAAATGTGCAAATCGCTGATCACTAATGCTCACAAATGCGGAGCCCAAGTACGGAACAACATTGATTACCTGTTATATCATATACCTAGTGACTAAATTTTAGTACCAATTATATTGTAATATAAATATATTGTTTATATATTTAATGTTCAGATGATATTTTTACCGGAAGCATTTGATTACCTCGAACAGGACCAAACCAAATCATTAGAGTTGGCCGAATCTATAAACGGACCTCTAATCAACAATTATAAATCATTGGCTAAATCATTGGATATTTGGTTGTCTTTGGGTGGATTTCATGAAAAGGTAAATATTTTGGCTAAGTATAAAGTCAATGTTCTGGTATTTTTTTATTTTTATCAACAAATTTAAATAAGAAAAGTTCCGCTAAATTAGAATATTATTTGTATATCTACTACCTAGGACATAAATTATGTAATATTATTAAATTGTTGCTATTATGAAGCTTCAACTAAAAGATTAAATTATAAAAATAAAAATATTAGTTTAAACCAAGATTATTAATTATCTAGTTTCCCAGGTGTTTCATTTAAGTGGGTACACTCATTAACTCGGAAAGTATTAACTTTTTCAGGAATTTGTTTTCTAGAACATTTAAGAAACAAGCTGCTCCATAATTTTATATTTGTGTTATTTTTTTTCACCCTTATTTTTGCGGGTAAAACAACTACCTAGTTTTGATTTTCAAATGACAATCTACATTAAAAAGTTTATAAATAGATAGAATATTAGTTAAAATAAATTTTAGTGTTGAAATTTTTGATTTTCTCAACAAATGGAATGAATGGGAGGGAAAATGTATGAAATGTTGGTATTAGGTGAAAAATATTTCAGCCTTTTTTTTGTACACAATAATTAACCTTAGCCAATGGATACTGTTTCTGAGTGGAGTTTAATTAATAGTGTTGCTTATGCTGTTTATATTAAATTTTTTGGATTTTTTTTCAATTGGTTTATCTTAGATGGGGATATCAATTTGGAGAAAAATTAAATTTTTATTTTCATACTCTAAAAACAAACAAAAAATTAACTTTATTTATTCACTTAAAACATTTTTCAAAATAACTATTTTGTATAAAATATTATTCTAAAAATTGTTATGTATCCTACATTCATTCGATTAATAGTTTCTTAGTTATAGCCCTTTTAATTTGTAGAAATAGAAGGCGTCAAAACAATTGATATTCATTAGAAGGTAAAGAATTATTGTGCTGATTGTAATTCCTTATCACATAACATATTATTTTATTGAATATTAATTGTTTTCACCAAGAAATTATTCATCGGTTATGAATATGTGATACATAAAACTGTTTGAATAATATTTTTTACAAAATGGATATTTTGAAAATTTTCTTGAGTAAATAAAAACAAAACTTACTTTTTTTTTATCATTGGGGGGATGAAAATAAAAGTTTAATTTTTCTTCTAATTGATGTCTCCCTTGAAGAAAAATTTATTGAAAAAATATAAAAAAAATTTAATATTAACAGTGCTAAAAAAATCCTTCGTACATGGTATGTCATATTATGGTAAAATAATTACATATTCATTTTATATTTTCTTTTATAATATTTGTTTAATAATTACCTATATTTCTGATTTTCCCATGTTTTTTCCATTTACTGAAGAAATTACTGGGAAAATCAAAAAATAACCACCTTAAAGTACCTTCCCAGTCAGATTTTTTTGCATCAAAAGTGTTACACATATAAATCTGAGCAATATTTCTAGTAAAAAAGTGGTTCATAGACAATAATAAATAAACATTATTGTAAAACCATAAGCTTCTTTGCTCCATTCAGAATCTAAAATTACAGAATAGTTACTGGAACTGCCAATTGTACATCTAATAATTAAACCTATCAGTTTTTTTTATGTAATAGTATCTAACAAAAAACTGGTATATATATTTTGAAATGGCCCTTAAATATCTTTTAAGTTAAAAAAATTAAACATTATTGTAATCTTTTAATTTTTTGTATACAAATTAGATTCTTTATTTTATTTTTTAGATAAAACAAAATGTTATTAAAAAGAATTAGGAACCATTATTTTTTTTTAATTAATTCCAATCTTAATTTTTATAGCAAACTGAAAGCCTTAAACATATTTTTTTTTAGTTTTCAGAAACTAAATTAAGAAATACACATTTAGTTATAAACAATAAAGGAGAAATAGCTGAAACTTATCATAAAATGCATTTATATGATGTTGATATACCATCCAAACATCTCAAAACTTGTGAATCAAGTTTAATTGAAGCCGGTAATGAAATATCCCCACCAGTTAAAACTCCAATTGGAAATGTTGGTTTAGCAATTGTATTCTTTTTCTAATAAATAATAAAATTTAGAACATTAGACTGGTTAACAAGTTGAAAATTATATTTTACCAATAATTAATAATATTATATTGTAAATGTTTATTTATTAATAACCAAAGTTGCAAATATTTCTTTAACAATGTGTAACATCAGTGTTATGATATGAGATTTTCTCAGATGGCAATAGCATTGTCAGAAAGTGGGGCTGACATTTTAACATATCCATCAGCGTTTTTCTTTGAAACGGGTGCTTACCATTGGGAAGTATTATTGCGTAGCAGAGCTATTGAAACACAAAGTTATGTAGTTGCTGCAGCACAAACTGGCAAACACAGCTCAGTCAGAAAATCTTGGGGTCATTCAATGGTTTGTTTAATTTCAATGCAAAATTGTAAAATTTCAAATTGTTTTGTATAATTAAGATGCTTTAGGTAGTTGATCCACTGGGAACAGTTATTGCACAATGTTCTGAAGAATCGGGGTTCATTTTGGCTCCAATTGATTTATCATTGATTACAAGTGTTCGCCAATCAATGCCAATTCAAAGCCATAGGCGATATGATATTTACCCAAAAATAGTATCCAGTACATCATATAATGAGTCAATTAAAGATTCTGATGAATTTAAATTTGGTACGGCTACAGTTAAAGGATTACAAGTCTTTTACAAAACACAATTTTGCTTAGCATTTACCAACATTAAATGTGTATTACCAGGACGTAGGTATTATTTTTAAAATAGTTTAAAAAATGTGTAGAGTTTGTTCCAAATAGATTTTTCATAACCGGTATTTTTAACCAGATGTTTTAGTGGCACCTCAAAGAATTGTAGCGAAATTTACCGAATTGTCTAAGGATGAAGTGAATGATCTATTCCTTGCAGTCCAGAAGGTGGAAAAAGTCATTGAACAAATACATAATGCTAATTCTTCAACTATTGTCATACAAGATGGACAAGATGCTGGACAAACAATTAAAGTGTGCAACAACATTGGTTTTTAATTACTAGACATTATGATCAAATAACTATGTTGTTCCAAATAGAACACACAAATAGCATACAAATGATCCTCTAATGGACCCCCAATAATGTTTAATCATTCTGGGACTGGGTGGGCTACCATTGCCACCACCAGAATGTACAGTGGTAAAATCTTCAAAGGCTACCCTATAGTGGGGGCATACGTGTGAATTTGATCAGTTTTTATCCTCCATGTTCTTATTTGGAACAAAGTATAGGTATGCCATTGGTTCTTGATTACTGATGTCAAGTTAATCCTTTCAGTCCCATAAGAAGGACATTTTTTTAAGTTTTATTTATAACCATTTAAAAATTGATTTATGTTATTAAAAGTGCATGTCATAATATTATTCATATATTATGTAGTTTACAAAAATCATAAAATTGACATAACACTTATCACATTTATGTTTTACTTTAAAACATTTTTGAAAAATGTTGATATGATACTTTTAATTGTTTCTGACATTAAATGTATAATTTAAAGTTGATAATATGGTTTTAAAAATCTGATTTTTTTCTTTATGAGTAATCAACTTGTACAGTCAATTTTTCCCAAAGATTAATACTTCTAATGTTATTTTGACTAGGTAAAGCCCAGATATCCTCTACTCGGGACATATTAATAACTTAGTAAAAAAAAATATTTTGTCTTATGACATGTCATCATTAAATCATTGATAAATGAAAAAAAATCTAAATAAAAAAAAAAATTAATGCCAGGTCTGAAAGGGTTAAATTCCAATAAAAATCATAAGTACTCAGATACATGGGAAATGCAATAAAACTTTTTTCTTAGATACTTAACCTAGTTGGTTAATTATGGCAAAGTTAATCATAAATTATATATTGCTAGTTCAATTACTTAATCAATATACTGAATTTTATATTTTTATACCTTAAAAATAATATAAATTGTAATTTATTGATAGATTGATTAAACACACAATAATTAGTTTTATTTTTAGATAAGTAGTTTAGATAGGTTTTTAAGTTGTAAGGAATCTATTAATTTTATTATGATGCGTTTTTTTTGTGGTTGTGAACAACTTTTCTATCAGAAATATTCCACCAATCTATAAATTATACAAGTAATTTTTGTTCTTCTTAATATTTTGTCACAGTCGAAGTAAGTTGTTTTTTGATATCCAAAGTAGTTTTCTTAATAATTAGGAAAAACCAAAAAATATTTGAATTGATTAATATTAACGGTAAAGTAGCATCCCAGTTTAATTATTTTAATATGTTCAATTTATGTTTTCTATTAAAAATATTACTCCAATCAAAAAATAATAAGAGATTGATTTTATTCCTTTTAATTCATAACCACTGACAGTGAAAGTCCTTTTTTGATAGTTAATTTTTTTTTTCATAATAATTGAAAAAAACCAAGGACTAAACAAAGGATTTTTTTTACAATTTACAACTATTTTTAAATTTTTATGCTTTCCAATTTCTACCAGAAATCTTTCTCCAAGGTATCAAGTGTAGAACATTTTCTGAAAGGAAATTTTATTTAGTTCTTCATGAAAGTTGTTTTTTGATTTTCCATGTAGGTTTTTTTCAATAATTGAGCAAAACCATAAAAAAATGTAGATAGAAAAAAATAAATTATCTGCAATTTAACTAAAACAGTTAAATTAAATTCAAATTCTTATTAAAAAAAAAAAAAAAACAATACTAAGTTAAACTGCAGTTTTTTTTAACTATAAAGTAAGCCTTATAATGAACTTCTTGATGAAATTACAAATATTTTTGCTTAGTCAACAATACATTTTTGTGTACTTTCTGCATTTGTTTTCAGTTTTGTTCAATTATTAAAAAAAAACTACAAAGAAAATCATAAAACAGTTTTCTTGTTGACCAACTAGATTAAAAATTCAACAAACAGATCTCTTAATGATTTTTAATTGGAATAATATTTGTAGTAGAAACATCTGTAACACACTACACTTGATATATTGAAAAACATAAAAATTTAAAATAATGAAATCGTAATGTAAAAAATATCCTATATTTAGTTTTTATTGGTTCTTCCCAATTATTATATTTTAGATATCAAAAACCAACTTTATTTGTCAGTAGCTTTTAAAGAAACAAAATTGGTCTTTTGTCATTTTTCAATTGGAGTAATATTACTGATAGAAAACATAAGTTAAAATATTAAAATAGTTGAACTGGTATGTTGTTTTGCTGTAAATATTAATTATTAATAATATAACCATTTTGAATATTGAAAAATGACTTACTCTATTAGTGGCGAAATATTCTAAGGAATAGAATTGATCTCATTTCATTTTTTGATTGGAGCAATATTTCTGTTAGAAAATGTTGTATAAATGTAATAAAAACAATGAAAATGATTATGTAGCACCCTCCTAAATATATATTGATTTAACTATAATTTTTCTGATTATTTCAAAAAACCCCTATGAAAATCAAAAAATGACCTCTCAATGCACCAACGAGAAAAAATTACTTTTTGGAAAATAATAGTATACAAAAATAAAAATCAATGTAAAACCAATACATTCCTTGCTTTAGTCTGAATCTAAAAGTTATAATATATTTTTATAAAAAAAAAAATTGTAAATGAAATGTGTAGTTGTTTATTATAAATAAGTGGCATGTAAATAAGATTGTGGTGAAAATACATACATGGGACATGGGTTTGTTTGTCTATAATTTTAGCCTTCCAAAAGTTGGTGGTTTAGTTGCACTTATGAGTTTTGATTAATAATAATGTAATAACATCAATAATAAAACTAAATATATTAATTGTAGGAAAGTATCAACTAAGTAAATAAATATTATAAATATGAAAAGATACTTTATGTGAAAATAAACAATTATTTTTTATTTATCATTAGCATGTTCATGTACACATTATTCCAAGGAAGCCAGGGGATTTTTTGGTGAATGATGATATATACAGAAAACTGCAAGACGAAAAAAAATGTACTGATCCAATGAGAAGCAATGATGAAATGGCACAGGAAGCTAAATTACTAAGATTATATTTTTAAAATTTTTTTAAACTATTTATTGTATTAAGAAAATTAGTGCAATGAAAATTACTGCAAATTAAATAATATTATATAGAAATTATTTACAAATGATATGTTAACAAGTTATAATATTAAATATATATTTATTTTAATTCAAATAATTTCCAATGATTATTTTCTAAGTAAAAAAAAAGTTAAACAAAAATTACAGGTTACTAAATATTTATACAAATTTCAAAAATCCTAAATGAAAAAATAACTTTGATAGGTAATTTAAAAATTAATGATCTAAGTTTCTAATAATAGATTATTATTTTTTTTTTTTTAAATATATATATCATTAACATCAGTGACATGAAAAGATTACATTTTTCTTTTGGTCTATTGATGTCTTCTTTTCCTTCACCTTTATCCCAACTATTTGGTCAACTTATTTAATTTAATAAATATTTATATGCACTGTTGTATATATATAGTACTTCCATGAAAACAAATGGTAATAAACATAAATCAGACTTAGAAACCTTTAAAAATTAGCTTTATTGACTTACCTGCTAATTAAGGAAATATAACGTTATTGTGTACTGCAATGTTGTGTTCTAGCACCAATTACTGACTCTATAACACTAGTTTCTTCTCCAAATCTCCCACTTGAAGTCCCAGAAATAAGTGTTACACAATTTCTATGTATTGATCATTAATAATTTTATAAATTTAGACAAGGACCCATGACAGTGACTGATAATATAATTGTTCTATATGTACTAAACAATGTTTGTGAGTTGAATATAGGTAAGACAGTACTAGAAGTCAGCTTTCAGTCATTCATAATAGGAAATTAAAAATTCTAGTACTTAAGCAGATCAATTACTAGCCAAAATTACTATGCTGATAAACAAAAAAAAAAAAGGTGATTATCCAAATTGATCTTCCTAATTAATTATAATTGATCAAATTAACATTTATAGTCTGATTTTACACTTTAAAGTACATAATAATAAAATTCAATTAAGTATTTAAAATAAGCCTGTAAACTATAACATTCATTGAGTTTGCCATTTTAAAGTTAAATATAATTGTGTAAAACTAAAAATAATTATTTAACGTGAATTGTGTAGTTACCAAAACTACTAAAATTATAGAAAAATTAGATTAGGGTCTAATATAAGTACATAAAAGTGAGTAAAAAGTGTATACCACTAAAAAAAAAAATACTTTACTGTCCTGTTCTGACATTTATTTTTTTTGTGAACTTGATATAGAACAAATATGGTTCAATTATCAACATCAGTGATAGTTTCTGTTTACTTACTGATATCTCTAGTACTTTTTTTCAATAATGAGGAAAACTAAAAAAAAATCTATTCAAGATGTTGGATTATTGATGTTGGTTGTAGGTAACTGTACATTACATTCCTAGTATGCCCAAGATTGAAAAAAAAAATCTTGTTATAAACCCAGATAATAATAACATCACAATTTGTATTGTCTTAAAAACATAAACTTAGTATCTAGTGATATTTTAATAAATTTAGTCAAAAGTACTTTTAATTTGCAATATATTATCCATCATAATATTTAATTCATTAACTTTTTTAACCATTGTTCTACACATTTTTTCTAAAGCCAATAGAACCAATAGAACATGTATTTTTCAAGGGAAAAAATAAAAAAAATGTTTAATTTGTGTAATTAAATTAACACTCAATTATGGAACAATAATATACCTAGTAATATTCTACCTACTTTGCTCTACTAACTTTAAGTGCATAAAACCATTGCTCAGATTGGAAAAACAAAAAGAGAATACGCTACATAAAAAAAAAAAATAAGTGTGAGATTTGCAGTTATTGAATTCAATATCTAGCCCATGAAGGGCTTAGCCCTCACCCAACACTCACTTTAAATCACTTTTTAAACATAACTCAATAATTATCTAGCTACAGATTTTGTATAAATAAATAAATAAATAAACTAACAGTATCTTGTAGACTGAATTTTTACTTACATATTTATTTATTTTATACATGGGTTCATTTATATTAATAATCCAGAAATTGAATTTAAGCACTGATTAAAACTAATTATGTATGAAGAGAAAATAATTTATATTTAAAATTATAAAGGTAGTGAAAAATTAGTTTTACTTTCATAGGTTTTTTTTCTGTTTGCTAACAGCTTTCCCACCAGAAATCATGCTTTGATCATAAAGTGTAACATTGGGGAAGTAATTTGGTAGGTACCATTCCTCAATTATTTTACATCACTGATATAAATATCAAATGTTCAATTATTTTTTTATTATGGTTTATATTTTTATTATAGTTATGGATTTTAGCAAGTTTGATAGAATATGTTTTGAAGACAAATAGATTTTAAGTTACCCAAATTCAGGAACCCTGATATGTTTATATTATGTAAACACATTTTATTTTTAATACAATAGAGTGGCCACTATCTTACAGATTTTTCTATGAATATTTGATTTAATCTAACTATTGTTGTTGAACATTTTTTTTTTTAATTAAACCATAAATACATACCAATATTTAGTTTAGATTTCAAAATATTTAGAACATTATTATGGAATACAAAATTAGTATTAATATTTTTAAATTAAATTCTCCCATTATGTAGCCATCCTATAAATTAATTTATATTTTTTTAATAAATAATGTCTGATATCACCCAGTAAATTAATGAATGTAGATAAATACAATACATAAAGTACTACTCATATGATACAGCAATAACCATGTAGCTTATCAAATTATAAAATACAACACTATTTACTAAAGATTGTATTCAGGGGAGCACATAAAACTTAGTATAAAGTATATACAATTAAAGAATAATATAAAATTGGCCATATCAGGGATACTGGCTATAGTTGACAACTCCACTCTACCTACTAAAAATATGTTACATTTCAGTCAAATTTGTTTTATAATTGTATCGCTATATTGGCAATTTATTAAAACATTAAAGTATTTCCATTTGGATAACAAAATTATGGTTACCTTATATTAATAATTTACAAGTCATGCTTTTTAAAATATTTATTAGCTTCTATTACTTAAATTATAGATACAAATAACTAGATAATTAATGTAGTTAAAAAAATAACCTTAAAAGTTGAAACAAATAATTATCATTTAAGAGAAACATGTTTTTATATTTCATTTGTACTAAATGTATTAATTAATAGTTTTAATTTAAAATTGTATAAAATTATAATTAATATATGTTAAAAAATACCAGAAAATATATCAGTATTAATGGAATGTTTGATTTGATGTTCAAAACTTGGTTGTGGTTTTCTTGTTACTTTTCTATCCAAACACATCCAATTTTGTTTACCAACTTGTTTCCAAAGTTTAATGCCATCATTATTCATTGTAACAGATAATATGCATCCAATTTGAGACCAACTAACCTTACTTTTATTTTGTTCTGTAGCATCAATTTCAGTGGTAGTCCAGTTGTAGAAATCATCACTGCTCCATACTATTACTTGACCATCCACTGTACAACTTGCTATGATATATTTTTGTAGACCAGGAGTCGGACACCAACTAATGTCTTTAATATTAGCTAACTGGCTATCTGATTCATACATGACATACCATACAGACTTTTGTTCTATCCACAGTTTTATCTTCGTGTCATTTCCTCCACTAACTAATACCAGTTGATTGTTTATTAAGTAAGGTGCCCAACTGATGCAATTAACACCATTTAAATGAGCATTAGGAATTTTTGACACAGACCATTCATTACTATATAAAGTATGTATTGAAATAGTACCATCACTACTCGAACAAGCTATGATAGCTCCAGTTTTGTATGGAGCCCAATCAATAGAAGTTGTTGGTAATTTATGTCTATCATATTTGTAAACAACATACCACTGATCAAGTTTTTTCATTTTATGTAATATTAATTTACCGTCAGATCCACACGAGGCTAAATATCCAAATTTAGGATGGGAAAACATAACTTGCCATACTGGACCAATATGTTCCTTTAACTCTACTAAAGAGTGATGTTTAGATCCAAGAGTGTCAACCATATGAATAACTCCATCAGCAGAACTAGTACATACGTATCTATTGTAGTAATCAATGTCTGCGGAAAGAATTTGTCGTTTATGTTTAGTTTCGTAAGAATTGAGTATTGACAACATGTTTTCAATTTACTTTAATATAAACAAATTTTAATTTTATATAAATCGCTGGTAAGTCAGTCAAAATTTGAAATCACCAAAATAAACAAATAAAGAAATTCGGTCACGGTTTTGTAGTCGGTTAGTTAAATGAGATTTGACTACGTTCACGTATGTTCCGTTAGCAATATTTGATAAGAAGGCCCAGTGCTTCCCAATTTTTTTACATAATGTGCCTTATTCAACTCCTGTAATTGTACTGCAATTTGTTTAATATGTTGCCTACCCAACACCAACAAATTTATTTTTTAAAATTCTATTGCTATCGTTCAGTTTTGTACCAATATTGCCTACTCAGCTCCTGAAATTGTTCAATTTTTCGCTGACAAAAGTGAAGCATTGGTGGTCTAAATTGTTTAGATAACATAGACACAGTTGGATCAATGGTTGATATGCTTTTAAAAGAAATGCCACCATATAGTAATATTAAAAGAAAAAATGTAAAAGTTAAGAGGCGTTATCAATTTTCATAACAGTGACAGAAATGGTCTTCGATGTGCAGTTGGGTACTATACTGCATGTTCTTTTAAGTCAAATAGGAAATGGGAATTATATGATGACACAAAAATGAAAATTCAATATATTAATGTTTCAAAAATATTAGATAAGAAATTTTTATTTTTAAATTTAATACAATAAATTATTTTAACTGATTTTAATTGATCACTTGTTTTATGTCTTTATGTTGTAAATAAACGTTTCTTTATTACCTTATCATAAACCTCGTGTCTTGGTGTAACCCGCCAAAGTATAATAGTGGTCAAGTGGGCGTCGTTGATATGGGAGACTGCGAAAGGCATATAAGGCATCATACTCGTCACTACTTCTCTGGGTTCGCCTAACAGAAGCACTTACTTTTTGCTGACCCATTTACAATATACCTAAATTCTTCCAAGCCTATACCTCGTACAACAGTTGCAGACCGTAGATGGAGTGTGGACTGATGTTTAGGTAATTGTATTAATTATCATTATAATTTCCATCTTCATACATGCAACTATACACAGCTTCTGGTCACTGATTTGTTCGAACACAATTGCGACATATAGCCTGCTCGTGCTCGCTGTCGGGAAAATAGTTATATATAGGTTCTGAAAAATACTGAGTATACTGGATTATCTGAATTATCAAATTATTTATATTCTTATTTTTTTAAAGGCTTTCCGTCTATTTTTGGTAAATATAATGCCGTGCAAATTCAAGTGCACATTATTATAACGAAGTCAAAACTTTATTCTCACGCAGCGTATGTACTCTACATGTTTTTTGTATACATAGACCTGCTTACCTCTACATATACGCTCGCACATCGGTTATACAACAATACGTCAGTGAACAATTTGTTACACTACGAGCACAAACTCGCCAGTTGTCACTTATCAAGTACCCAATGGCTCAGCATAGTCAAATAGGTACCTATAAGGTATAGTAGTTTTGGTGGTGAAGTGATTGAGGACTCAAGTCTATTTAAAACGTACAAAAATCAATTTGTTTATATTGTAACTATTTAAAAAAGCTCTTTGAAAAAGTGTTTCAAGTAAGCTATACGAGCAATTATAATTGTTCAATAATACTAATAATATACAGAGTGTTCAATCTATCGTAAGACACTCGTTATCTCGGAAAGTATTTATTTTTCCGGAATTAGTTTTCTAGAATATATAAGAAACAAACTACTTTACAATTTTATATTTATGTTATTTTTTTTCGCTAGATTTGTTCTAGATAATTAAAAAAAAAAACAATGTTCGTTAAAATTTGATATTAAAATTCGTATAAAAAAGGACGAACATACTTCGCACACGGGTGCAGCTACTGTTTTAAGTGGGAAATTGGGAAGGTAGGATACAGAAGGGAATTAAATGTATAACTATTGCTAACGAAAAAACGATTCAGAGCGCAGTTCAGTTGACAGTGATGCTTTGTCAACAATATAAATATATATCATATTATGGTAAAATAATTAAATAGGCATTTTATACTTACTTTAATAATGTTTGTTTAGTATTGTACCAATTTTCCTGGGTTTCTTACGTTTTTCCCGATTTTCCCATGTTTTTCCCAGTTATTCACATTTTCTGGGAAAAATCTTGAGAAAATCGAAAAATGACCACCATAAGATACCACCCCAGTTAGATTTCCTTTCAGGAAAATTGCTATCATTATAAATCGAATCAAAAATTTTAGTAAAAAAATTGTAAATAGAAATAAAAAGCAAAATTCAACATTCTCAGAGGTTGCAGGAAAGCGTTTATACCACGATCGAGCAATGATATCAATAACTACATAAAGTGTATAAATAAAATCCTAAAATCGTTAATGGTAAAACACTACTTAAATACTTTGACAAAACTAGAAAGGAAAGAAGTAGTAGAGAAACATGGAATTTGTTTAAAGGATTGGAAGGTTAAGCAATAAAGAAAACGAATCAAGTCCCTGTAAAATCTCAAATAGTAGCATTAGTAATTGCAAAAAACTCCAGAGGCACAGTTGATAAAACCTATAAGAGGAAAATTAAAGCCAAAATCAAAAAAGACAAATTAAAATCTACTCAAGATGAAATTATGGCAATCCAATTCAGTACGGCCAAGATAACGAACGCAATCAACTAAGGAGAGCAATGAGAACTATTATATGAACACCAATACTAACAAATGCTGCATGGTTACCGGTACTCTATAAAATTCAACCCCTCAAATAAGACTTCAAAGTGCAACATTAAAACTATATAACAAGCTCAATAGCAATACAGATCTCCCACTCCATAATAAAGATGGTGTGTGTAAACGAAGATTGAAGTCATGTAAGACATTCTTACACCGAGTGGAAGAAATAAAAGCAGAGAGGAAAAAATATCTATCCCATGGGAATGTGAGTGGAATAATAATAAACTAGTTAATAGAAATTTGGCTAAAAATATCCACACACCACAACCAGGAATAAACTTGCCATGGAGTCTCTGGGTGAAACTGAATAGATTCCGTACTGGGAAAGGAAGATGCGATAGCTTATTGCGTAGTTGTAAACTTTACGATAGTAAGAAATATGACGGACGGCAGTAGTCCATGAACCATGTCCTACAAGAATGCTCTCAAAGAAGATATAGAGGTGGAATAAATGATATTTTCAACGTAACCAAATAGACCATAGAATGGATTAAAAACCTTGATTTGGAAATTTGATGATGGTGCCAGACACTACTAGATAATGAAGTTACCAAATAGACAATTACCAAACACATCATATATGATGTACGTAAAATTAAATTTTGTTTTATTGTTGTTCATTTTATTTGTATTAATTCATTCGGAAATAAAGTAATAATAATTGGTTTACATATTTATAACGCAAAGTTTAGTAAACTATTTATAATTTCTATTGAAAAAGACTTACTTAATGTTTTAAAGACTCAAAAAATTGTACATACATTTTCAGTAACGGAACGTACACTAAGCTGTACTTAGCCTGTAATATAACTAGCTAATCAGTTTTATTATTTTAATATATTTTGTACAATAGTTTAATATACATATTATATAGTTTATCATATGTTTATATCTGATATATTTATGATGTTTCTCATTTATTGTTTTTAGTTTATATGTAGGAAGCAGTAAAAAAAAGAAAAACAACCCTCAAATTAGTATGAAACTGAACAAATTTAGTAAGAGATACTAATTCCTCATAGATTTAAGCACATAGTTACGCCTGAGTTTAATAAATGCAATATAATTTTAAAATAAATTTGTTCTACATTGTTGTGTACAAATTGGTTTGAATGATTTGGTATAATAATTACATTGTTTAAAATCGCTCTATGTTAAAGAATTTTGTAACTACGTAATGTTTCTATTTGCGTCCTCTGCAACGGTTGTCATTGCAGTTACATATGAAATTCAAACTTTGTGTCGTCAAACGTGGAGTACCGTTACGGGTTGCGTTATAATAGTAACCGGACGTGTCCAATGGAACTTCACCCGGAGCAGCTGAAGTGGCGGCGTCCATTGTCCGTGGCCTCGTCCCACCGCGGCCATCACTATGGTTCTGTTGTTGTCTGTTGTTACGTAATATGTTCGCTGGTCCTGTGCTCGCGACCCTCCTTCGTCGATCAGGCCTTGTCGCGTTTGTCACCCCAGCAGACGGCGAAATCTGACAATTGCATTCTTCGCAAGCACTGCTACTGCTGTCACTCTGTGACGGAGGTCGGTACGGTATTCGCAGTTTCGGAGCTTGAGCTTGTCTCACCACAGGCAATCGTTCATCACTACTTTCATCTAATGTCGCGGTACACCCGGAGTTAGCTGCAGGTGGCCTATAGTATAACTTTCGACGTTGTTGTTGGTCGGCTTCTGCAGGTCGGTTTGGTGTTGTTAACGGATCTCTCTGAGCCAACGCGTTCCGTCCACAATACTGTGAGGATGGTGACGTCACCTGACCGTCAAACTGCTGCTGCTCGGTACCCTGTCGTTCCTGGTGCCTGGCCTCCACGCGTCGTCTTATTTCCGACAGTTTCTGTTTCTCGTTTTCTATTCGACTCTGCCGTTGTGCCTGCATTTCTTCCGGTCGCTGTTCATATGTCTCCACCTCGGCCAGTAGAGCATAATGGATGCGTTTTACGCGCTTCAACAATTTCAACCGTTGTCGTTCCACACTGAGCAACTCCTGTTGTATCTGGAGTGTCTCGTTATTTACTGGAACTCGATCTTGTCGCCGGCTAGCTGGGCTACCACCATTCGGTTGGTCTTCGTCTACGTATGGTACAAAACCTAAATCAGGTACAGCCCGAGACCGTTGTCTCTGTTCCTCGTCCCCAGTACGATGTCTCTGTCTATTTCTATTTTCTTGCCAATTCTGCATGTCTACTGCATCGTCATAGAAATCCGGTTGATAACCTAAAGTACCAAAAGGTCTCGGTACTACAGTTTTAGACTGTCTGTGTCTTTTATTTTGCTGTGGTTCGTTAAGGTTTGGTTCCAGCCTCCGTGACCGCCTACTGTTAGACCGCTGCTGTAGACCTTCTTCGATAATCTGATCTACTGGGTCGACTGCGGGATGCTGCTGTTTAGTCCTACTCGCAAAGACACCTTTCTCGGGTAAGCCGCTCGTGCGTGATTTTCTGTCGGATGGCTCTGTAACGTATGGATTTTTCTCCGAAGGTCCGCTTCCACATGGATTTCCCTCGCGGGGCCCACTTCCGGATGGACTGTTCTCAGGGGAGCCGGTCCCACACGGCTTTTTTTCGGGGGTGCCGGTTTCACACGAATTTTTTTCTGGTGTGGACCCACCACCACACGCATTGCTCTCATTGGGCATGCAACTTCTGCATTCATTAGCTGATATTTCACCACAGCAGCCCAGTTGTTTTGCAAGACACGTACGTATGTTGCGTTGCACTGAACGTTCTGTCCCATCGGTTCTGTCGTTTGAGCAACACTGATTGTTCTTTGGCTTTTCCGGAGACGAACCAGCCCGGATACGGATTGTAGACATTTTTCCCAAAATAGATTCATGTACACCTACATCATCATTTCCAGCTTCTAAAGTTTTTTTTTTAGCGTCATTCTTATTTTCGTGTAATTTTATTTCCCTCGGCCACATTACACCGCTAAATAGGTAGGTAATACAAAAATCAGCACTTAAAAATTATCGGATTTTCTCAATTTAAATTTTTTTGGTGTATAAATTTTTTATTTAATAGTTCTGCAATAGATAATTTACATAGTTTAAATTTTGACAAACAGTCATGGAAACACCTACTCGTATACAGAATGCATACCAACAAACTCTCAATAATCAAAGCCATTATAAAACCCAATACAAAAGAAATAAGTATATTTTATTTAAAATAAATATTAAATATTGTATTAGAGTTATATTTAATGGCTTGTGATTAGAAGAGACTATAATAATAGTTCTACGAGGGAACGTGAATGAAAAGACTGAAAAGAAAGACCGATAAGGCGATTGAAGACATGATTAAAAGTGATACGAGGATTACTGGGGGTAGACGATGTAGGACAACTATTCAATTGTAAAGTTACCCTAAACAACGGAGAGAGAATACAGGGAAACAACTATAATTAAAATTAATTTATTACTTATAAATTAAAGTAAATTAATAAAACGAACAAAGATAATTTATACTATAATTAGGTAATTTTTCGGTTTTTCCTAGATTTTTCTCAGCAAATGTGTAAAATTGGGGAAAAAAACATAAGAAAACCGGAAAAAACGAAGAAAAAACGGAAAAATCGATATAACATTATTAATTAAAATATTATTAAAGACTAAATTAAATATTACGTTCTTTCAAAATATATATAACTTCCGAGTTATTTATCGTTATCAATAGTTTATCGTTGTTTACAAGTATAAATCAAATAACATGTATCCCACCTTCTCCAATACCCACCTACAACAGTAGTCGTCCGGTTCGGCCGCTACGCGTAATCGTTAAATTTTTAATTATGTTGATAATAAAAAATGTATAATAAAGAATAACAATAATATATTTTACGTAATAATGTGTTTTTATTTAAACAAAACCAATTTATATAATGTGTACACAATTATAAAAAAAAAAATATTATAATATTACAATATTATTTGGAACAATATTCCAATGCACTAATAAAATAAAAAAAAATAATGGATTTAATTTTTTCGTATAATCCTTAAGAAACGGTGCTGCTTCCCACCGGTAGGTACGTAATCGATCAGCAAAAAGGCTATCGTTACATATAGATAAATAATTATTGGTGAGCATTATAATCGGTGGGCCTTGCAACGGTTGGTCGCCTTTATATTTTACATGAACTCTGGTGGTATCTCCTCCTCCTAATAATTCTTTCATTTTTGCGATGTGATGTTGTTCATAATTTGGTTCGTTCCAAATCACTAACCGTTTCCCTGCCCCGTCGGCCCACGTAAAATTATTATTTTTATTTGCCGTACCAAACATACCGTAATTCAAAAAATAAGAAGCAACGGCATCAAAAAAAAATTTTTTTCCCGCGGACGGTGAACTATATATGCATAATGAATTTAATGTCGGTATTTTTTTATCGATTATATAATACAAAGTCGTTAAGAAATTTACCATATCATTAGTGTTGTTTTGAAACTGAAACGATAATAGTTCATTAGCGATATCTATTGATTTTTCTACTGTAAAATATAAATAAGACGATGAACGAGAGTATGCATTAAAATATGGCTTTACGTCAGACGTATTATAATAGGTATTAAAATCAATTTTTCTGATCTTTTTATTTTTGTTGACTACTATAAGTACAATTTATAATGAACCTCATGTTAAAGTTTTAAGCATTTTTGTATGGTCATACTATTTCATCCATGTACTATCAACGAAAAACTACTTAAAATACTAGAAAATATAAAATACCTATAAAAAGCTCAAAAATATTTTCTGAATATACTAAACATTTTACCTCGTCTAGAAAAACTTTATATACATATTTAAAGGAATGAAACCATTAACGTCTTAAACTTTCTTAAATTTCCGGGTTTAATCAATTATAATGAAAACTGGTAGGGAAATGAAAATATGACTTACTTACTCACTAACTAGATCCAAAATTAAACTAACTCTTGTTAGTTAATTAGAGAAAGATTTCCTGTCAAAAAATTGTTGACGGACAGATAAATAAAAAAACACAAACACTTAAATCGGTCTGAACCCTTGCTACAATCAGAATCTAAAACACACATCATTATACCAATACAGTCTTTGCTCCGCTCAGAATCTAATATTTCAACCAAAATCTGATATTATTCTCATATATGATGGCGATCGTTGACAATTCTGTTGACCCATATCTGGTTTTAAAGCACGGCGAAATGGTGAGGGACAATATTAAAATCATTATAACGATGAATATGAACATAATTTTGTGAACACAATTCCACATTAAAGTAAGTACACAAAATAATTTTATATACTACTAACCTGTAGAATGGATATTAATGAAAAATACTTGATAGGAAAACTTTTTAATTGTTCAAGTAAGAATAACGGTATAAACGATATAATTCCGTATTTAGAAGTAACGATATAGTTTGATTTTGGTTCAGGCTGTTTCTTGTCATTAAATCGAATGATTCTGCAATAATGATTCTGACTATGTTCGTATATTTTATGCAAATCTAAAATATATATTAAAAAAAATTTAATTTATAATAATAGTCATTAATCTATGATCTATATACAAAACAAGAAATAAGATATTTGGTAAATATACTTTCTTATCGATGATAATAAATAAACGTTCTTCTTGAAACAAGAGCTTGTTTCAAGAGCTTTCAACAATATACGTAAATTATTTTATAATTAAAATAAATATTAGGCTGTTTTGAATTTGATTTTTTTTTTTTGGATTAAGAATGGAAATTCTTTGTGGTCTTAATTTAACAAAAAATTTAACCTCAAAATGAAATGTGAAATTTTACTATTATAAGAATAGCTCATTCATAGAAATCCATAAAATTTGAGTTTTATAACTTTTATATGCGCATAAATCTGTATAACTCGACCACTTTTTGACCAAAAATGTTCAAATAAGGTTCATTTTGTAAGTTATGAAAAAACATTATTATCGGCCATTGGTTATAGATCAGCTTCATAGACTATAATGAGTTGAAAATTAAAAAAAATCTGCATTTTTGATAAAAATAACACAAACTACTCAAATAGTTTGCTATTAATTATTTATTTTGATAAATAATCGAAAGAACTTAAAATTGAAAGCATCTCTAAATATTTATAAAAATAATAAAGAAAGAAATCAAAGTAATTATCTGTAAAGAAAACTGATATATTTAATAATTTTTACAGTTATTGAACTCTTCTATGAGACTTACTCTTTTTTCAGCAACATCATTTACAACTTTCGAGTTTTTGAATATATCTAAAAATGCTTTTTAATTCTTGTCCTGCTTTCATTCATCAGGATTATTAAAAAAAAAATTCGGTTTCAGTTTGAAATGGTTGAAAGGCTAATCGAATTTTATCGAGCGATGACCATATCCAAAAGAAATAATCAGTTCCTACTAAATATATTCAGAACAATATTATTCTGTTCTTATAAAGTTATAACAGTAAAATTTCACTTGACTCATTATAGTCTATGAAGCTGGTCTATAACCAAAAACAAGATCAGAGCATAACTTACAAAATGAACATTATTTAAACATTTTTGGTCGAAAAGTGGTCGAGTTATACAACTTTATTTGAATAAAACAGTTATAAAACTCAATTTTTATAGATTTCTACGAATTAGCTTTTCTTATAACATTCAAATTTCACTTGATTTCAAATGAATCTTATGTATTTTTTGAGATCTTAAAAAAAAACTATGTACGACCTTGTAATTTTCGAACTTAATGAGTAAATGTGATTTAATTGAAAGTATCGTTAATTTTCTATGTTGTATAAATGGAAAAAACCAAATATACGATGAACAAGTTCTAACAATTTTTTTTTGAGATCAAATTTGTTTAGCTAGGTTTAAGACCACAAGGAAGTAATTTCCACTCTTAATTAAAAAAAAAAAGAAGTTAAAATTCAAAACATAGTAAACATATTATATTGTGTTGCATTTGTTGCATGTTTTCCCCCTGTTACCTACCAGACGTAGTTTTGTCAAACAAATTCTCGAAACTCGCGACTTTTGGGTTGACAACAGGTACGGTAGATACGTACTATCACTAGACTACGTCCGACATAATATAAAATTGTCATTATTGAGTTAATAAACATAACACATATATTAATATCCGTGTAAAATCAAAACTTCAAAAAGCTATGATTTCGAAAATAATTCAGTCTGCTCAATTCTGACTTTACTATCGTTCCTAAATCGTCAATATTCATATTATGTTCAAATAGAAAAAAAAAAAAAAAAAAATTGAAAAATTATATTGATTCCATATAATTTTTTACTCACTATTTTCATTAAAATTTGATATACAATTCCTTTATAAACAAAAAATACTACATAATTTTTTTTACCACAGAGTAAAACTTTTAATAAACTTCCTGTTAAATTGTCAAGTATTTCTGTTTAATCGAACAATTTCACCACAAATTACAAAGGAAGAAAAATCTCTAGGAAAAACATTACCGATAGTGCTATGCCCAGGAATCAGGCATTTTTAACGGGTAGGGACGTGTGTATAGTAAATATTATAAGTTAAAACCTTGTTTTTAAGTTTTTTTACAAGTAATTTAAGGAAAACATATTACACATTGTTATACAATAATATAATGATAATTCTATTCCATATTTATCAATAAAATTATGCATACTTAATTCCTTAATACCGATATAGCTTTTTTAAATATATGTAAATTTTAGAGTGGTTATAAATGTTTATTTTTATAATAAATAGATGTTTATTTTTGTTTTGGACATGCGAAAAATTTTAAAAACTCTAATTGTAACATTTCGGTACTAAACCTAAAAAAAGTTCACAACCCTGGTTTAGGTTTATATACTTACTTCATTACAATTTTAAGAATATGAATTTTATCTAATATCATTTAAGTATTATGTTAGTATAAAACACTATAATATGTCCTAAATAATCTTAAATAGGTACCTTTTGTCAAACTATTCTTGTCTAGGGATACATGCAGAAAGGTTTGTGTATAGGTATAATAATAATATTGTATACATTTATCCTATATTTTTTTCAGTTATTACTACCTATTAAATTGTCCTAATAGTACCTACTGATAATTGAGGGGTTACGTATAAGCATTTAACGAAATTGTTTAAAAGATTAAAACTTGTACGTATCTAATCATAATCGTGAAATTTGTTCAAAAGCATCTTTACGTAAATTATGAAATAATAAGATTTGAACATAAATTGTTCATAAATTTGAGCGAGGGTTCTGCTTTAGGTACTAAAAAATAATAACTGTACGATTCAAAATAAGATATTATTTATAATTACCATAAATATACGACTCATATGAAACAGATGGTATTACATCTCATAAAAGACTATTATCGTTGGTATTTGGGAATTTCGCTCGGGAACTTTTCGTTCGAATTTTGATTACAACGACTACCATAAGTCAGGGTTTTCAAGGAGATTGTCTCAGATTATTCACCTGATTGATAATTTGAATCAAAATGGATTTGAGGGTTCTCACTTAAAAAAATCAAAGTTTTTATAGAAACAAGATATTTTTTAAATATTGTGAAAAATCGACGTGTGTGGAAATATCACCTTTCACTACACTAAAAATAGAATTATTTATAGATTGACCGTAAAAATGGAGTGAGCATGTTTAAAAAATATTATCCTGTATATTATATTACATCTTTATAGTTTTACAAAAAAATAAAATAAAACTTAGGTACAACTTACCGGAATATTTAGGTTAAAATTGTTGCGAAGTTTTTTTATTTTTCCAGTTTCACATATTTTTATATTTTAATAGTTTTAAGATATACTACACTCGTTTATATTAAAATAAATATTATAACTTAAAAACGAATTGCTTTTAATACTATTACTAAAAATAAAACTCTTTAATAATAAATTGAGAATAATGAAAATATACATATCAATATTAAACATATTTTGAATACGCCTTATATATGTATGTACAGAAATATAAATATAAAAAACTTCAAACTAAATAAATATTTAAACACTTGCAATTTTTTCAAAAAAACAATCTTATCTTCATTATAAGTCATGTATAATTATTATCTCCCGCTCTGTATACAAACTACTCAACAATTAAAATTACAATCCAAAGATTTTTTTTTAACTCAATACTTCGAGAGTATCATGGTTGGTATACTTTTATATGGGTATCTTTGAAAATTAAAACCATATTATAATAATATTTCAACGCTGAGAATTTCTAAACACATAATAATAAAATAAACCCAGATTATAGATATAAAACTCTTCCTGTCTTACTAAAAAATCTCGAAAAATTTTAGATTAAAATAAATATATATTATAAGCACTTTTATATGTGCTATAATAGGCATATAATCGGACAATTATCATAATATTATAATTAGTTAATTGCTCATTGTACATTACATACCCAATAGTATCTATTACATACACTATAATTATATTATGGTAGGTATACGAGTTAAAAAAAAGGTATTTTATATTATTATGTCTTCACTATAATAATGGTACCGACAAGGGCGCATCAAGAGAAGAGGGGGGGTTAAAGGAGTAGTTACTCCAGACGGAAAGAGCGGCAAAACTTTTAAGGGTGGCAAAAAATAATTCGATAATTTCGTTTGAAATAAAATATTCAGTTGAATAACTATTAATTATTTTAGTTTACGAATTTACGATGTCACACTAAAACCGTAATGAAATCTAATATTGGGAGTATTAGGTACTTATTAGGGGATAACGCTCTTGTGGTCTTGTAGACCTTGTTTCCGTAATTTCAATGGTTATGGGCGCTTATAGATAAAATTTTAGGGAGGATTAAAATAAAAAAGACGTACTAAGATAATGGGGACAAGTGCAGGCACTGTTATAGATAATTGAATGTATAACTGTAAGCAACAATAAACCATTGCTTACAAAAAAACGATTCTGAGCGGAGTTCAGTTGATAGCGATGCTTTGTCAACATTTTGTAGTAAAATAATTAAATAGGCTTTATATATTTTCTTTAATAAAATTTGTTTAATGTTGTACCAATTTTCTAATCAATGAAAATCTAATTTACTAATTTTTTTTTTTTTGAACATATGTATATTACCGGTTTAAGAACGATGGAAAGGTCAGACTTAAGCGTACTGACTAAGTTTTGAAACTATAGCTTTTTGAAGTTCTGATATTATGCGGATATTATATGTTATCTTAAATATATATTGAACCTCTTCAAGCATATTTGTCATGATCTAATGGTTATTAACGCCTATTATCATCCTAGAGGTTCCGGAAAAAATTATTTGCATTTTTTCTTTTACAAGGAAAAAATAAATACATTTTGGATGTACCTAGAGACCCAAGCTATCGCTCACTTGGACTATTTTAATCGCAAAATACCCCTCGATTTGTTGTGCAAAATTTTCTACCAGCATATTATTTTCGATTTAAAATTATAGCACTTTTTCTAAAAGGAAATCTGACTAGAGAGGTATTTTAGGGAGTTAATTTTTCGATTTTCCCAAGATATTTTCCAGCAAATGTATAAAACATTGGAAAACCAGGAAAAACGGGAAAATCGCTACAATATTAAATAAATATTATTAAAGAAAATATATAATGCCTATTTAATTATTTTACTATATGTCATATATATTGTTGACAAAGCATCACTATCAACTGAATTGCTCTCAGAATCGTTCTTTCGGAAGCAATGGTTTATCGTTGCTTACAAATACGAGTATATATTAAATTACCTATAACAGTGACTGCACCCGTCTCCATTATCCTAGAACGTCTTTTTTTTTATAAGTTATAGTCATTTTAAAATTACATTATTTCTAAACAAAGTACTGAGCGTTATATTTGGAATACTGGAAAAACGCAACTTTATGACCTCCAAAATATTGTTTTCTTTAAGTTTTATAATAGGTGAATTTACTCGCCAACTAAATAAAAGACAGTCACCATTATCATTATAAGTAGCTAATTATTACCCATTTTTTTCACTTAGGTACTTGGTGATATTTTTCAGTAATTGCTATTAATTTATTGACATTATTTTGTAATTTTTAAATTTTTAAATTTGTATTTTAAAAATGTTATTAAAATTTTTTCCATCCGTAAAAATACTTGGAAATTCAATACAAGGTTCCTCATAACTCATTAGTTATTTAAACTTTATTAAAAAAAGTTTAGCGTATTGTATTAAACTATGATATATATATATTTTTATATTAGTTAATTATTTTGTCTATTTAAATTATTTAATACTAGAGCAAATATTTTCATTATTTATCATGAAGTTTAATATAAATTTTTCATGTATTTTAATATGTATTTAGTTTCTACGGAATTCAAAAAGAAAAAGAAGAGTGCTTTATACCAGAAGTAGTTCTCTAATAAAAAAAATGACAAGGGACCTTTTTTTTGCTTTTTGGATTTTGTTTATTATGGCAGTAGTCAATTTTTGATTTCCTGTACAGTTTTCATAATAATTAGGAAAAACTGGGAAAAAAATATTTATACAAAGTTACACACTATTTACACTTTTTATGTAAAAAATCAAGCTAATACGTACATTCAGAATTTGGAAGTAATGACGTTCTTTACTTATAGTAATTTTATGGAAATCTTCGACGTGTTTTCTTAATAAACTATATCCGGTGAATTATAATTGTCCACACTTATAGTCTGGACATTTATCCCTGTTTTATTTTCATTATTATTTTCTATACCACATTTCTTTTCATGTGACAATAAATTCCCACGGTACCCAAACACTTTTTTACATTTCAGACACATAAAAGAAGACGAAGACATTGTAAAATAATAGAAAATAATATGAAATGTTAATTAAATGCAAACGTATAGTTCATACTTAAAAACTAAAAGCGCACGTGATAAGACAGTGATAAGATATGCTCGATTTATAAGCGATCTGATTGGTTGATGAACTTTGCTTTTGATCCCCTCGTCGTTATGCATTCTGTATATCTTAATTCGTGGTTTTGATCCAATCAAGTTATCACTGATAACAGTCTGATAAGAAGTGCATGACGTAGGAACTAATCGTTTGTATTGTAAAAACCAAGAATATTGATAAAATCATTTTTACGTGACTACACTTCTCTCAAATTAACTTTACTAATACACCGCCGTTGTTTTTTTACGAGATAGTTTTAGACGAAATTAGTTTCGATTTATAAATGTTCGTAGTATTTGTTATACTGTAAAAATATCGTTCGTCAAATACCTATAATAATTGTGTCGATTATTTAGATTGCCATATCGCTTTTCATAGGTATTAGAGTTACTGTTTTTCTTCAGTTACGTAAACAAAATAGCATTCCAACATTATCATGTATCTAAAGACGTGGAAAGAATTTGAAACCGCTTCATTTAATTTACTTCTAAGGGATCCAACCAGGGTAATTATAAATTTATTATTTCATTCCAATATAACTGTGTATGAGTGTATGACGTACTGGTTTTAGTACCAATGTTATATGTTATGAATTATAATAGAAAGTCAGGAAACCGTAAAGAGTCGTGTAGTATAAGAGAAGTTACAAATTACTATAATGAAATTATTTCGCACCACAATGGTAGGTTAAATAGGCAATTTGATTATGTATATTTTATGCCAAATTACTACTTTAGTTACTTATATATAGGTCATAATTAAAATATTTAATGAGTTATGTTCATTTTATTTTACAAATTTTAATATCTATGTACTTATAGATAAAATGAATAAAATAAAACCAATTATTTAGGTACATATTTCTCTATTAAATACTAGGAAAATATTTATCTTTTAAATCATAATCAACATTTTATTAAAACATAATAGATATTATATCTCTTTTAATTTAATTTTAATCAAAAATAAAACATTTTTTCTTTTTGTGTAGGTACCTAACCAAGAGCTATATTTGTAAATACATGTTGAGTAGGTAATCACAAAGATAATAATGATTTAGTTCATATTTTGTTAATAAAAATGGATTTACCATTTTTTACTTAAATATTAGATCTATTTCTAAATATTTTTCTCAGCTATTAATTATGTTGAAAAATAATTTTCAATTAATCAATTGCATATTTCTTACTAAATGCTGGCTTAAGAATTGTATTATTAATTTTAAAATTCATGGTTTTACAGAGAGTAAATCACTTATTAATAGTGTACTAGATTCCAGAATACCACGGTTTTTCCAATGATTATCAGGATTTTCTATAAGATTACCAAAGATTTCCTGTAAGATTGTCCAACATTTGTACACTGATTTGAATTAATGAATTACCCTCTGGTTTTTAACTCTTATTGAACTAAAGAAAATAATTTTAATCAAAACAGTTGTGTTGTAGTTTTTGTCAATAATATGTATAGAGTAAATAATGTCAATGAAATTATCATAGATAATTGTAATTATTTAATGTTAAGATTGTGTAGTAATGAGACCTGTGAATTAATCGCTATAAATAAGGGTCATAATAATATTTGTGTAAACTTTAAAACTCAGTTAAGAAAATTAGGTAATAGTATTACAGTGAAAAAAGATATAAATCTAGTTTAGCGCCCATTAGATTTGTTGAGTTTTTTTTTTCTAAATGTTTGGTTTTACATGTACATTAAGAATGTAAAAAAAAAAGGCGGACAAACTTCATGAAGTTCATGTTTTCCGTTTCACATATTTCTTAGTTAGAATTTTACATTTTCAAAATGTGTGTTTTTTAGTGTTTAATCCATTGGCATAGTCAAAATTTACCTATCATTCTTACATTTATTGTTTTTTTATATTAATTTGAAAATGTTAAATTTTAATTAAAAAATACATGAAACAGAAAACCCTAACTTTATGAAGTTTTCCCCCATAACTTCAAAAAAAAGTTCGTCCCCCCTTTTTTTTACATTCTTAATGTATAAGTAAAACCCCACATTTTGAAAAAAAAAAAATCAAAAATCCGCTTGGGTGCCAAACTATATTTGTTCCAAAAAAAACTATTAATAATAGATGGTATAAACATGAATATATCGCAATTTAGTAATAATGAATTAAAACTAGAATATTTAAATCTTTTGACACAAGTAGGATTTTACAGCTGTATAAACAATTATACAAAAGTTACTGAAAGTTGTACAAGGAATGGCCATATTTTTATTAAATGTAAACGTATTGATAATATTGTACCTATTATACTCGAATCTTGTATTACTTACTAATATAATATTATATTAATAGATTATGATTTTGTAAAGAAAAATGATGAATTTACAAATAGTAAAATGAATATAAATATTAAACTATTAAGCACATTGTTAGTAGATGAAAAATGTTAAGAACTTTTGAATGAAACAAATTTGGAAAATTATGCAATTAAGTTTCAAAATATACATGTATACTATGGTCTTATCCTTATACTAATAATTCTATCTATAATTTTTTTTTTTAAATCAAGTTTTTGTACACATACTTTGAGAAAAATTAAATTTTTATTTTATCACATCAAAAATCTTCAAAATTGCCATTTTGTAAAAAATATTCTAAAAGTTTTAATGTAAATTAATATATCCAATCAATATCTTCCTAATAATAGCAGTTTAATTTCTTAAAAATAATCATGAAAATAATTCATTTTCAATAGAATAACACATTACGGGATAAGGAATCACAATCAACACAGTAATTCCTTATCTTAAATACTAATTGTTTTCAGATCTAATTTCTGTATATTAAAACCACTATAACAAAAAAACTGTTGATGGGATATGAATGTATGATGCATTGAAAACTTTAAAAAGTGGAACTTAAAAAGTTATTTTTTTAGTGATTAAAGGATGAAAATAAAAATTGATTTTTCTCTACATATGTGTCACCTTTGCTTTTATCAAAAAATGTGCTCTAAAATTCAACTATATATGTTTATATATATATATGCAATTAATAATGTAATATAACATAATGTTATATTTTACTATTACATTTTGTACATTTCCTGTTTTTTCTTTGGTTTTCGATCAAAAAGAGAAAATTATAATAAACATTATTGTAAAACCAATACATTTCTGGTTTCGCTCAGAATCTAAAATAGAATAGGTTTATATGATTAATTCTGTAGGAATATATCTTGAGTAAGTTCAGCCAAATACTTAGGTGTAATTTTTGATAAGCATTTAAAATGAAAAACCATATTAAAATGATTATAATTCTGATAAGAAAATGTTTTTATGTTTTTAAAGAGTGAAGATATATTCTTTATATTCCTAATCTAAGAATGGTTTATTTGAAACTATATCAATCTATAATAATGTATTAATTAAATGCGTGGGGCTCAGTTTATAAAAATGTTTAAGATCCATTAAATATAATCCATAGGATGCTTATTAGAGTATTAATAAAAGAATATTGCCCTAACTAACCAGGACCATTGTATGGATTTATTTCTGAAATTAATAATATTAACAATTAATCAATTATGTGATAATTTATAAATAGTAAAAATACAGATGACTAAAAAAGAAATTGAATTATGTATATGTATTAAGTATAAAACAAGGGGAGAGAAAAGTGGTAATTTAAGGTTAGTTAAACCTAATACAATATTAATGGTGAATTATTATATTAATAGAGGTAACTGCAAAGGTATTAAAGTATTTAATCAACTCCATATAAATATTGAGTTAATAGAAAATAATATTTAAACTGATATTTCATGAAAAACTATACACCTATGCATTTATTTTATTCTATTGTTTTATTACTGTTGTTATTGTGATTCTTGTTATCATTGTAACCTATGTATCTTATTAGTTTAAAAAGATTCTCATACTACACTGATATGAATGAGTATTCATTTATTTTTTAAAAATAGGTCATTTAGTGAATAAATTTTAAACAATATTAATAATATTTTATTACAATTTAAAGCAATAGGTTAGATTAGGTTATGTAATAATACCTATCTAATAATAATTAGTTCCGTGAAGATAGCTTAGAATTTTTAGCTTAAGTCATAGTATTAAAATTTTGCAGTAATTTGACACGCTGACAACATTAATGTTTTCATATAGATAATATTATAGTTTTAATGGTTTATCATTATTGTTTAATTATTTATAGACTATTTATATTGTTTAATATTTTATATTCTGTACAAATTATTGAGTTTTGGTTGGCTGTTAGGGTATCATTCCTCTATGTACAAATACCATTTCCTTCATGTATGTATATAAGTCTATTTTATTTTAAATAACACTTGGTTTTAAATGTTAAATGATTTCAGTTATTTTCAAAATGTTCATATTAATTTTAAGTTATACCATGATACATTGACATTTACTTATATAAGTCAATTACAAAAATAGTTATATTATGTAAAATAATATAACAATGATTACCTATTAATTATAATCTGTGACTTATTTTTGCAAAAATATAGTTCAATATAAAGTATTATTTAAAACAAAAATTAATTAGTAAAAGAAATATAGATACATTTATTTAAATGTACATACACTTAACAATATATGAAAAGTGACATACCTCAGTCTCTGTTTTCAATTCAAATTCAAATTTAATTATTTAACATATCTAGTTACAGTGACAAACATGAATCGAGGTAATATACCAAAATTATCTACTGTTTGGTCCAACATTTGTGTGAAGTCTTACATCTTGATATTATATTTTTATGAGGTGTACTTTAAAATTAATTTATAAAATATAATGCATACATTTTGATAGTTTTGTTGATTAATTAATAAAATATATAAGTGTTTAATTTATTATAAAAAGTAAGTTTTTAAACTGTATTTATATTAATAATTTTAATTGATTTCTTCTTATTTCTGTATGATGTTGGTACAGTGTGTTGTAGAATATTAAAGTATTTAAATAAATAAGATAACCAAACCAGGGAAGTCTAATATTCACTGAATGATAGTCCTATTGCTAAAGCACTTATTTTAATAATAAATAATGTTATTTTTGTTTTCCACTGTTTCAAATGTTATCTTATTTTATCACAGATTAAAATAGATGGTGAACATACAAACTACAAAATTTATTTTTATAAAGATAAACATATATATATAGTACATGTTTGTGTTTTTTATTTGTACTTGAAATATAAAAATTTACCCTTAGTATTATGCATATCGAAAACTATAATCATAATTTTAAATAATAGCTGTAACTACATACTAGCAAATTTAAAAAACGCATTTATGAAACCAAAGCAACTACAGCACATATTTTTAAATGCAAGGGGTAATTATAAAAAGTTGGTGATGCAGGATATAAGTATAGATAGTGTACAAGACTTTAAGCAAACAGACTTACATGAAGGAAAAAGCCTTTGTACATAGTGGGACTATAAATAATTGATAAACTATTAAAACTATAATATTATAGGTTTAACCCACTGTTGTCACCCTTCCCACCTAGTACTAGTTAGTCTAAGATATCCTTGTACTAAATTGCTAGCATTGGTGTTATAAGTAATAAAATAAAAAACATATTATTAATTTGAAAACATGAATGTTAGCAGGGTGTTAAATGACTGCAGAATTCTAATACATACAATGACTTAAGTTAAAAATTGGCGATAACGATAATATGGGTTTGGAGTGAACATAAACTTAAATTTTTGTATATTCTGAAAGTACTAATTGAGCAAAATAAATAAAATAAAATAAAAAACAAAACAAATAAAATTGTGTATTTAAATTTATAGAATTAATTGTTGACACATTTAACATACACTAAATAAAAATATATTTTATATAAAAATCTGCACTGTATATATCATATATTAAATAAAAATATATTTTATATAAAAATCTGCACTGTATATATCATATATTAATGATAAATCCATCATAAACTTTAGAGAACATAATTTTTCGTATGAACCCAAATACCTACTTGCTTCTAGTTTTTATATTTTTTATTAAATTATGGAACTTTGTACTTAGATTAAAATAATTAACTATTTTCAAAACTACCTTCATAGATCACACCTTTATAGATCTTACATCTATAACTTTTTCAACATATTTAATTCAGTTGATGGTTTTCTATTATACTTATAATTACAAATTTGATTTTATAATAATACACCCATAAAATTCAAATTTATTATAAATAAATTCAAAAGGTTATAACATGGTAACTTTATCTGAAAAATTAAAAATAGACTCAATATATTATGATTTTTAAATTTTTTTGTAATTTTGTTATTAATTATTACTAACAAAATAAATATTGTGTAATTTGTTTATTTTTGATTAGGTACTTAATTATTTATAATTTTATAATATGAATAAAAATCCTACCCTAATATTATCATTGACATTAAAACCTCTTGTATACAACTTTTCTAAGACTATTTAGTTTATTACATTTCACTGGTGAAACTTTTTTTTTTTTTTTTAAAGGTCAGATGCACAATGAAATATTGTCATAGCCAAGGAACTGTAGTATTGAAAGTGACAGATAACATTTCAGTAAGTAAATTTATATTTATTTTTTATTATTCATAACATGCATTATTGTAATAAACATACCTATCTACTGAGTTTTAATTTTGAATTTTTCATTTGTAACAATTTGATAAAAATAATTGATAACTGTAAATTACAAACTTTAATGTGCGTAATGTTAAATATCTAAATATTTATACATTTTAGTTAAATGGGTTTTAGTTTCTTGATGAATATGATATACTGCTATGCCATAAACATTTGTATTAAGTGTTTCTGCACTAACACCTTTTTGATTTTTACTATTTTTTGGATCATTTGATATTTGATAAACATATTTTAGTTAAGCAGTCAGCCAATAAATAAAACAAATTTGTATAAGATTCATTAAGGTATTTCTGATAATATTCAGCAGAAAAGCTGGTTGAAAATGATCTATAAATCATATTGTAGGTACATTTTAATTTTTATTAGTAAAGTAGTAAAAATGTTTTAATTTGTATGTTAAAATGTTGGCATTTACTTGTAATTAAAATTTTTTTTTTTAGTGTCTGCAGTTCAAAACATCAGATATTCAAAGCGTAAAAAAAATTGAAGCATTTTATGCTACAATTATGAAACAAATAATATCTGTTGATGTAGAAGTTTAAACTTTTTATATGTTAATTAAAAAAAATTATATTCTTATTAAATATCTGTAAGCTTTACTTTGATTGTAAAAACAAATATTTTAAATCTTTTTTTTCTACATACAACTGTACCAAAAATATACAAGATCTATAAATGAAAATTCAATTTTAATCACATTATACATTTTGATAATTAAAGTGCTCAATAGCCTATAACTAATATAAAGTAATAATTTTGTTTATTTTTTTGCATTTAAGTATAAATGTTATGACTTTAAAGATGTTATAATGAATAGTTATAATTAAATCACATACCATCATATTTTAAAATAGTTTAATTTTCATTAGAAAATAATTCTTTAATTCTATATTAAATTATATTAAATAATTGAAAACAAGTATAATATATGTCTAGAATTTAAGGATTCATTTGTAATACATTTTAATGTATACATAATGTTTTGTTTGTGTTTGGCGTTCTTTGTTTTACTGGTGTAGTGTTTATCACCTCATAAAGGTACATATGAATTTATAATATTTTGTATTAGAAGCTAATATTTTTTATAATTCAATTTTCCATATGATTGTAAAATACTTAATATTAAATTAAATATATTTAACTAACTTAAATATTTGTAATATTTTCTTTTTACTTTTAATAACGTTTTGATTTGAAATTATCCACATCCAACATTTTGGAGAATAAATTACATTCAATGTTATTTTAGTAAGTGTGTTCAATGTGTTGCTGACATGTTTAAATGCATCTATTTAATAATTAATAAAATATATTTGTAGCCATATAATTAATTGTACTCTGATAATTAATTATCTCTATATTATAATCAACTAGCCGACCCGTCACGGCTTCACCCGTGATTGGTTGTTTAATTTGCCTTTGGATAATGATATATAGAACTTTTTAATCAAATTCTATCGTTTAATAATATCGGCAAATTAATATAAAAAAAAAAAAACGGTTAATGAAAACGTATTGAAATGTTTCAAGCGGGATTAATGACAAATATATTTTTACTAAAAATGAATGCAGATACAAAAGAAATGCTGAGTAATTTACGGTTGATAAAGAATTTTATAAAACTTCTGAGTATATGGCGTTTTTTGTTTTATCTCCTGTTGAAATTAAAATCATAAGATGCTTCGGGTCCCCAGTTCGAGAAAATCCCACGTATAATTGTCCATGTGAAAAGCACTGTGTTCGAAGACCTACGCCAACGTACCTGTATGTTTGACCTTGAGCTTTGTTTATCGTGATTGCCAAAGAAACTTTAACAGAGAATTAAAGCCGTTTGAACGGAAACGGCAAGTCCGACGGAATCACGGGAATTCTTGGAATAAATGCAATTTCTCCTTTTGCCGGCCCCGTAAGAATGACGGCTCCTATAACACTATTCTGCAACGATTTTATTTGTCATCTTGTACCGTTACATAACTTCGGTGGTTGAAGATTACGTAATAATGTAATCGGAGTACCAATTTTTAATTTTAGCTTATGAAGAGGAAATCCCGAAGGAGAAAGAGAATTGAGAAATTATTGTAGATATAAATATATAAAGATATAGATAAAGATTAATACGAATATTCGGTATACATGTTGTTTGGTGTGCGTGCGATAAACTTCTCGGAACAATTCGTACCTACACGCCGATGTCAAACACGATACAATTTGACGAACAAAAAGGTCAGGTCGCGGGTAGCTGTAAACCCGCGGGCCGCCGTGCCGCACAATACGTATATAATATGGGTAGACAATTTTTTAATTTTTCAAGAACTTTATACTTATTTTTTATTGACAAAAGTGGTACTAAANGGTTTTCTCGGTTAGCGCGGTCGTAGAAAACCCCTTACAATTTTATATAATAGTATAGATTGCACAATGAATCGCTGTTTCGTTGTCGAAACGCGCGTGTCAACCGAAAGGTCCGATAATGATTTATGGGATTCAATACGCGGAGTTCTCGATCGAGAAATCCGTATATCTAAACACGCGCGTCCATCGTCCATGTGAACCTAGCCTAAATGATTAGTTAATATAACGAAGTTATAATAATAACAATATAGTATAGATATGAATATTGGGTATACGTGTTGTCGGTGTAAGTGCGATATACTTCTCGGAACGCCGATATCAAACACGATACAAAAAAAAGGTCAAGTTACAGATAGCTGTAAACCCGCGACCCGCCGTGCCGCACAATATAGGTACAATTGTTTTTAATTTTTTATGAACTTTTATGAACTTTTTTACTGACAAAAGTGGTACTATAACCTTCAGCAGAGTGTCGGGTTTCAGCCAAATCGGTCCAGTAGTTTTCTCGGTTAGCGCGGTCGAAGAAAAACCCTTACAATTTTATATAATAGTATAGATTGTATAGGTAATTATAAATATTTGTATTATACTAGACATAAAACAGTACCCCCGAATTGAGGGTGGATTGGGGGCAGAGTTAATTTTATTATTTCTATTAAAACAGGGAGACACCTCTTTTTACAAATAGTATTCTGCAAACAAAAGGCTTGCAATTACTTTGAGATACTTGGCGACTGGACATTCATTTGAAGATTTAAAATTTTCTTCCATTATATCACCAACAACAATAAGCATGATTGTAATTGAGACATGTGAAGCAATAATTGCTGTACTCAAGGATCTTATTCAGGTATATAAAACATTATTTTACTTTTAAATTTAAAGTAGTTTTATATTTTTATTTGAGATAAACAATATATTTTTTTTCAAATTTTTAGACAAAATTAATAGTATTATTTTTAATTTTTAAACAACATAACTTAAACAATATATTTTTTTCATGGCTTTTTTTATAAAAATTGAAAAAAAAAACAAAAATAAATACTTAAAATTAAATTGTATACATTATGACTGAATTAACTTTTTAAATTATTTTAAAACAATATATTTTTTTTAATTTTACAACTATGCTTTAGTCTTTAACAATATTACAGTCTTTATAATTTATTTGAGCAATCAGTGTTATTAAATAAAGTCACAATTTAGTATTAATATTAAACATCACTTCCATTCCAGTTGCCATAGAAATTTTGTAAATTTGTTTGTGTCAAAACATCAAGTCCTGTGATTGCGTTATACCAATTGAAGATTCGTTCCAACTATTTACTGTCATTGGAATAGATGAACGAGTGCAGTCTTCTTCGTTTATTTTGACTGAGTTTCTGTGCTAAGTTCCAAGCTGTGCCTCAAACAAAATATCATTAATTGCTTTCTGAGCAAATACTTTATGATTAGGAGTCAGGGTTTTTAAAGTTGATCTAAGTCTGAATCTTGTCTATTTTCTTCATTTGATAAATAATTACAAGCAAGTGAAAGAAATTCATTTTGTTGACTGATAGTAGATTTGGATTTTTTTGGTGACTGCCGAATAAAAGTAGGAACTGCATTTTCTGTATGTTGAATTACTTCACCAGATTCATTGTTTGGTATCTTAAATATAAATTGAAGAGTTACATAAAAAATAATATTTTTTTAATGTTTTACTAATACATTTAATTATTTGATAATTTTAAAAGTTTTATTTTTAAGAAATGTAAATAACTTTATCAAAATAAGTAAAAATAAAACTATTTTATTAGGTTGTTATTTTTTTATTTATCATGAAACTGTATAAACGATTAGTCAAAATGGATCGATCACGACATTCGGGGCTTGTGATTTCACTTAAGTCATTCATCGCTGCAATGTTAATACTGACGACTCGATATCCGAAATTTTCATCAGTCATCAGTATCGTTTTTCCATACTGACAGTACATCAGTACTCACATTACACGATCAATAATAGTGTCAGTAATATTGATCGTGTGAGGACCGCATAAGTGGTTTAAATTTTGAGATAAAATTTTTTCTAAATTAATAATCTTTCCTACAATTATGTGATTTTTGCTGAATAAAAATTTAATTTCAGAGTTCAACCATATTGTCTCTACTCCTTTCTTGGCTTTGATTGCAACTTTAGATGTACATTTGATATGTATATTCATGTATTCTGGAACGACTTTCAATTTCTTACGAGTTTTATTGAAGTAGATATTCATATTAGTATTCATTAATTTCATGGTTATATTAAATAATTTTGTTTTTTTAATTTTATTATTTATTAAATACTTTTATTAAAAGCATATGTACAATATTAAGATTAACAGTGTTAAAAATTTAAGTACTAACAATTTATTGATTGACTTACCAATCTTTATCATCTCCATAATAATTAAATTTATATACAAGTGGATTATCAACTGATTCTTTTGTAAATTTAAACCAAAATGAGATAATTTATAAAATAAAAATTATTATCATAAAATATGTTGACTTTCTATTTTCGGTTTTCCCACATTATTAAAAAAAGTTAGGTAAATAAAAAAAATGACCCTCTTTTTGCATTAATAAAACAAAATTTTTTACTTGAAACCACTGTTAAAGTTGATGAAAAGTGAAAACTATTTTACAGAAATGTATGACATAGGTATATATTATCATAGTCAAATTAACATCATTCAGGGCTTAAAATTCATTAATTAAATCATTTAATGTGAATATCACATTGATTTTAACTACTTATTTAATTAACTAATTAACTGATTTATTTCTAAGTTTTATTATTGCAACTAAAGTTGAATTATCTAGTTAAACAAAATAGAGCTTGAAATTATTTTTAACTATTTATTAAAAGCTAAATGTAATAATATAATTATTTAACTAATTTTATTGGTAAATATTTTATTAAGTGGCCTGGATACATTTCAATCTTCTGTTATTAAATAAATATTATTAAAAAAAATATATAATGCCTATTTAATTATTTTACCATAGTATGACATCTATATTGTTGACAAAGCATCACTATCAACTTAATTCCACTCAGAATTGTTTTTTGTTAGCAATGGTTTATTGTTGCTTACATACTGAACATTCTAACAGTTGACAAAAAAAAAAGTCGCCATGAAAAAAATGAGATGATAACAAACACATATAGACCACCACATCTCATTAACAGACTCGGAAACATGTTGAGTGATAAAACCATCTTTGATGCCATCAGATTTTCGGATGTAAAAAAGATACTATCGATACCATCATAGAAAATAAGGAACGCAAAGATGATTTGATTTAGCGCCCACGCGAATTTTTAAGTTTTTTTTTCGAAATGTATGGTTTTATGAGTACATTAAGAATTTTCTTAAAAAAGGTAGACGAACTTCGTTTTAAAGTTACGAGGGAAAAACTTCATAAAGTTCGGGTTTTCTGTTTTGCGTATTTCTTAGTTAGAATTTAACGTTTTCAATTTTTTTTTTTTTTTTTCAAAATCTGTGTTTTTAAATGTTTAATCCATTTGCATAATTGAAACTTAATTATCATACTTACACTTTTAGTTATTGTACATAAATTTTTGAAAATAGCATTTTTGGAATTAATCCAAAATGTGGTCAAAAATAGACTCTTTTTATATTATTTTCAACTAAAATCGTTCCAGCGAGCGCAGCGAAACACGGCGCGTTTGAACATTTGTAACTCTAAACCTAAGCCATATATGCCTTATTCTGACTTCAATAAATAAACTTTTTTATCAAAATATCAATAACTACAAATAATAATAAAAAGTCTATTTTTGACCACATTTTGGATTAATTACAAAAATGCTATTTTCAAAGATTTATGAACAATAACTAAAACAGTAACTATGATAGATTAAGTTTCGATTATGCCAATGGATTAAAAATTTGAAAATGTTAAATTCTAACTAAGAAATACGCAAAACGGAAAACCCGAACTTTATGACGTTTTTCCCTCGTAACTTTAAAACGAAGTTCGTTCGTCTTTTTTTCACATTCTTAATGTACGCGTAAAAGCACACATTTTGAAAAAAAAAAAAACTCAAAAATTCGCGTGGGCGCTCAACTAAATTTGTTCCGAAAATTTAAAATGTAGACAAATAATATATTAAATATAGTTAACAAACCACAAATCTGGCAACGCCGCACGAAAAAAGGCAGGTAAAGACGTTCGCAATCGTGTTTACGGTAAAAAGGTCCGCTCGCGAACGTATACCACCCACTGTTACGGTTGCAATTGAATTATTTATGCAAAAACACCGGAAACAATGGTAACGATGTACACTATACGGTATACGATAACGTAACGCGTAGTTTTCGTCGTCGTAAAAGGCGGTAGTGACGTAATGCGGCGGCGAACGACCGGACACTCCTACCACACGGCGGGCGATCACGGTTCACGCCGTTCACGGTATCGCGGGACTGCCGTTCGCTCCTCGATGCCGTCACCGTTCCGCAACCTCGCGCCTCCCCGCCATTCGCCGTTCGCGTCCTTCGTCACTGCCACCGCCGCGCCGTTCGCCAGCGCCGCCCGTCAGCCAGTGCCACTGTGATGTGCGATCAATAAGCAGCACTTTCCATTGTTTGTCCGTTTCGTTGTTTGCAACAGGTATCATCGCTTCGTGTTGAATATCGCAATACCTGTATCGAAACCGTTGTATCACTGGTTATCAGCGTCAAAATCGACCATCGAGAATAATAAGTGGAAAGTTTCCCGACGGCCGTCTTCACAACGTGTAAGTACAATAATCGGACGACCGTCCCACACGAACCCATCCGACGTTCGCAAATTCGGAATGATTACGGCACGTCCGGTCGTAAATAGTTTATTGTCCCCTCTCCCTATGACATGCACTGATAATATCATGCGTCTTACTGTACAAGTTTAATACCGCCTCGGGGAATATTAATTACTACTTACTACGAAAGCAATGTTTCACTAACCGTTGTTTTACCGGTCCGAACGTTTGCTTTTGGTTGGTGCTGCCGTCGAATTCTTGAATATAATTAACACCATTTGTGTACACTACAACACACAGGTACTTAACTCTGATACAATATATTCCTGTATCAAAATATAATAAATTATAGGATATGCCCGATTCCTCAATACTAATATATGCTCGTAATTATACCTACCTACCCAATACATGCCTCGAGATAATTTAATTTCAATTCAAAATTATTTCAATTTGGGTCATTGCCGTCTTTGCCATCGTCAATAATGTAACTATTTTGTCCAAATAGTACCTAATTATGAATGCGGGTACTAAACTATGTATGTCCAAAGAATGTAATATTATTTGTGATTAAACCAAAATACCTATAAGTACAGTTATTAATTAAATTGATTAAATTAATACTGTATATTGTATTATATTTATGTTTTGCAATATTATTTTATAAAATAAGCAGATATTGTTTAAAAATTGATTCAAATTTTTAGACAAATTTAATTGATCAATTTTGTTCAGTTATAAATTTCCATCCTAGATGTTTATTACATTTTTTAATACTCACTGAAAGTGAATATTTAATAATTGGAAATGCACAATAATTAATGATAATAACATATTTTGTGTTAGTAATAACGATTTTGACTAATGTCAATCCAGTATTATCTGTTTTTAATTGGTTTGATTAGAAGTGTTATCTCAATTTGGCTATTGTGTTTTAATATTTTTTAATTTTAATTTTTATAATTGTACTAAATTACATACATTAGGCAACTTTATTTTGGAGTAGTTAACTGTCTTATCTAAATTGATTTTATGCATTTTAAATTCCAGACTTCTCATTGAATAATTTTGTGCATCTGAAACCACTATTATGCATGTCGAAAGATTAATCTGAAGTAAATGGAATTAAAATTTAAATAATAGGCGATAGTATTTATAAACTTACTCCCAAAATATTTGAATTATGAGTACATAAATTGATAGATATCAAGAGAAAAAATGACCACAGTGAGACCACTATTATTATTTTTTTTTTTTTAAATCATTCAATTTTAATGGTATTTGAATGAAAATATATGAACAGATTTTCTCAGAATGTTATTGAGTGTCTAACATAAATATATGGATCTTGAGTTTAACTTTAATTTAATTTAATAAATGATAACTTAAAAAAATAAAGAAACTGTCTCACTGTAGCTATCCCTTGTACACGTTTAATCATTATTAAATATAAAAAATGCCATTCAAATAAATTAAAATCTAATTTAAATGTATTTAGTACACAATTAAGTTTTCTAAAGAAAGTTTAATAATTTAGTAGTTTATTAGGAGTAGCACGAGTCAGTGAATTAGTACAGTTGATAAGTGAATTATATTTACCTATTTTATCTTTATATTCTTTGATTATTATAAAAACCAATCATTATTTCCATCTTATTTTTTATTTGATGAGTTGTGGTTCAGATTAGGAGAGCCTAATTTGCTGAACTTGGGCTACAGACATCTTTAACGCTACTGGTAATTTTATATGAAGTACTTCCTTTGAAAATTGCACTCATTATAACCCAGTTAAATATTTTGTTGATTTGCGGCGGCAGCAAATCTGCTGATCTATTCTAAAATTCGTAAAACTTTATCAGAAATTATGAAGTTTTATATACATTATGAATTCTACCGTATTTAAATAACCTGTTAGTTTCGAGTACTTGTACAGTACTACCTACTATTAGGCTTAAGTAGTTTGTGGCACCTATTTAGAGAAAATCAAAAAAATGACCTCACTATAGTACCACACCAGTCTAATTTCCTTTAGAAAAAGTGTTACACTTGTTAATTGAATAAATATTTCTGGTAGAAAAACTATTCACAGATAAAAAAAAAATAAAAATTTTAAATCATAGGTAAGTTTCTTCGCTCCACTCAGAATCTAAAATACTCATTGCAATTAACTTTTTCATACTTTGAAGGACAAAGAAATTAATTTTTATGAACAATTTTTTTATTCCCTGGTTGTACAACCAACCTCTTCATACTCAGCCTGACTTCTTATCACTGTAATTTAACTGTTTATACTAATTATTGTTGTCTTACTACTGCCCTCAGAGCGTTTATATATTTAAATAAATAAATACGTATAAGATATCACATTTATATAATAACATGAAAAACAATATTTAAAGAAAAATTCAATTTTATAATATACATACACTTTATGAAACTTTGAAAGTTGAAAATACAGTAGAATCCGTTTGTGACAATCTTCGAAGGACCTAGAGAATGAGATCATTAAATCCGGATGACAAAAAAAAAACCTTAATATTATTGAAAAAGTGAATTATTAAACACATTTTTTTATTAAAAATTTATTATTATACAAACCAATATTATATATTTATGAATAAAAAAAGTACTTATTATGTATATAAAATTATGTTAACCTAATTATTGTTTACAATATTTTGAAAAATAAGCAGTAATAGTACTTTATTTATAACTGAGACAGTTTTGAGACATGATTTTTGAATATAATTAACAATATTTTGTAATGTTATTGTAACTTCTGGCTTATTGATATGGACAAAATTCAATTTATTGTTATAGGCGAATGAAAAAACCAATTTTAATTTCAAAATACCATCGTTATATCTGAATTATCAATGTAACCGATATCGTTATATTCACCAAAATTATTGCACGTGAGATATAAAACCAACCATGTACATGGCTGAAAATCATTTTATCTGGAATATTGTTATATACGGCATCGTAATAAGTGGATTACACTGTATCTCTAAAACAAAACATCTTTTTATTGTTAGCAACGCAAAATTAATATGTGATATTAGTTTGTACTGACATAAAAAGTTTTTGTATTCTTTGGTCTTTTATACAAATATTAGTATGAACATAGAGATTAAAAACTTCTTATTTATTGATCTGTACAACTGTGTCCTGGGTCTCACTGTGTACACCTTTCCCTTCCTTAAAAAATGATAACAAATGTATGTACCAATATATTAATTATGACAGCAATGTTTTCGAAAAAAAAACTGTTATTATTTATGAATATTTATTACTTATCAGTGTTGAATAATTTTTACTTTTACCTATTGGTTTTCTATTCAAGCTGAATCACTATACCCTGTTTCAAAAGAATACATAGCACTTTCGTGACCAGTTTTTAGTTTTAATATGACCATAGATGTGTAAAGAAATTATGTTAGTATGATGGTCATGACCGGTGCTACCTAGTGGAAATGCGTGCTGCCGAACGAAAACGTGTTGTGAAACGTTCTCTTTTGAAACAGGGTATAGGTAATAATTATTTAATTAAGGTTTAATACTTGTAATAATATTATAATAAAAATGAAAAATAAAGTTATTAGGTACCTGCCTTGCCTTTAGAATTCAAAATAAACAATTATGAAATTTTTGTTTTAGAGTTTTGTTTAAATCATTGGAAATATGGCTGATCAAGGATTTCCAAGTCAACATACTACTACTACTACTGTTACCAGTACCGAAATTATTTCAAACCTGAGATATGACAATACATATTTTTATACACTTTCTGGAAAATTGAAAATTGCCCAAATTGTGAGTATTGAACTGTATTGTACAGTATACAGCAAATTGAAATTATTGTTTTTAAGTTTTTAATTTTTTTTTTTTTTTTTTGGTGGGGGGACATTTTGAAACCTGGAAAAAAATGATAAAATTTTTAATTTAATAACAAAAATACCATTTTGGTTAGCTTAAGTGATGGTTTATTAACAGCCATATGTAACTAGAAAATGTAAAGCTTAATGTAGCTTAATGTATTATTTAAATAAAAATAATTTTACCAAGAGGGTAGACCACTATATTTATAAATTTATGTACATCACATTGCAGATTTCTGATTTACAACAATTTCCATTGATTTTCCATGATTAAAAAACGTCTTTAAATAGATATATACTTGAAAAATATTCATCTTGGAGCTATGTTAAAACACTGTGTAATAGTATATATAAATGAAATAAATATTCTAACTTGTGAAAATATGAAATATATTAAAAAGTAAATTTAATTTAAAATTTAATAATAGTGGCAATAAATATTATTACTATAAAATATATTGACTTTGACAATCTATAAACATATTAATATGTCTAGGATATAGAGGAAAATTACTTTTTTCATTAAATTATCAATTTTGATTACATATTTTATGGGAAGTCATATGTTATCATACTGAAAACAATAAACTTTTTAACTATTATTAATTAATTATCTTCATTAATTGTTCCTGGTAATTTTAAATTCTGAAGAAAAATCTAGATTAGTAGACTGATGAGAATTATAATATTATTTTTCGTTTTTGCCATATTATGCAATTAAACAACATTTTTGTTTTATGAATGCTATAAAAATTAATTTTAATAAAAACCAAAGAGATAAGAAATAATATCATGTTAATCGTCTATAACTTTAAATAATTAATAACATTTTGATAACCAATATATTTTCGAAAAAAATAGGTATGGAACTAACTCAAATGCACTGCTTTATAGATGGCTGTGTAGTGGATATAGTATCGCGAGGAATTTTCAATATGAAAAAACCTGTATACTATTAAAACAGTTGATGGGGGCTGGTGGGCAACAAAAAAAATATTAAGTATTTTCATTTGAGAAAACATATACATTAGTTAGCGTCTTCCAAGACCTCTCAATGGCCGGGGGAGGAAATAAAAAAAACCCTACACAAAATTAATTTGTATTGTTTTCACTTATTTGTATATTGATTATGTGACCAGAGAAAATACTAAATACATCCTGCAGAAATTAATAAATTATTTAACAATTTTTCATTTATAATAATTTATTGCAAGCAACCTAAATAATTATAAGGTAAATATTTTTAATGAGTTACTTATTTTTTATGATTTATAAATCATATAATATAATATTATTATTGTGTCCAATAACATAGCTTTCATCCTCCTAGGGAGTTTTTTAATAAAAGCATTCAATATTTCTTTTTCAGTATTTTCATATTCTAATTCGTCTTTATTTATTGTTGCTAATGCCAAACCATTCAACCTTTCTTCATTCATTGTAGCTCATAAGTATGCTTTCAGCCTTTTTAGAACAGAAAATGTACATTCTGGGGTAACGGATATTACAGACAGAATAACAAATAAATGAAGAATCTTTATATTTGGACAAAGCTCTGTATAGTGTTGAATTGTTTCTACAGTAGTCTGGTAAATTTTCTTTCAACTGCCATTGATTTCTCCATATTATGAATAACTCTGCTTTTAAACATATATTTATACTAATTAAAAAGTCATTTTTGTAAATAGAAGCAGCAGCTAAGATTGATTGGGCTAGTGGTATAATTGTTTTAGTATTTTATCAAATCATAAATGTAACTGAGTAATTAGGTTTTCAAGAAATTGTATAAATATTTCTATTTTATATTATTCTTCTCTGTCTGTCATTTATATTGTTTTGGGCAGTTGTCTCCCACAGGTTGGAGGCATACATATTTCAATGTCTAGTTCAGAAGCAATTGTGGTAACATTTTTTAGCATCTGGTTGAATGGCTTCTGAAGTTTCTCTAACAATTATTACATCATTTAAAGCTTTAGATAAGTTTTGTTGTTTTACTTGCTTTGCAGTTCTTAACTTAATTGTTTAGTATATGAGAAGTAAGTAACAGCTACTTCAAGAGCGACAAGAAAATCACTCTTGGTTATAGCACTCGCATATAACAACCTTTTGGTTGAGGTTTCAGGATTTGTGTCATATTTTTTAAGATGTTATAGAGTAACAATTATATAAATGTAAAGTTCTTTGAAAGTAATAAGTGAATCATGTGGAATCCACATTGTGGATTGTGTTTCACAACATTTTTTCAATTTTGTTTTTTTGACCACTTTTATTAGAATTAAAATTTTTTATCAAAATTACTACTTTCATGTATTTTGGATATAATATAATATTAATTACATATTATACATTAATATTATCATAGGTACTTAAAAAAAATACGTCCTATGGGGGAATGAATCCTCTAGCCCCTCCTGGCTACGCCATTGTTGCATGGTTATCTGTCTATTCTATATTCAATGGTATAAATAAATTTGTTTATTTTCAAGTCTGTAATCACATTATTTGTGTTATATTAAATATATTTTACTAAAATTGATCGTGTCCATATGTAATAAAAAAAGGAAAATTTACAAAAATAATAATAATATTTAAATTAACTAAAAATTTATCAATAATGTGATTATTATTTTTATTAATTAATTTATTTAATGAAGTTTTGGCAGTTACCAATGTATATTTTAAAACATGTCTAGTTCTTTAGTTAGAGAATTGGGGATATTATATTTTGATTTTCCTAGAGGTTTTCGAAATATTTACAGGTATTTTGTTTACACAATGTTTTCTATCATAAATAGTGTTCAAATACAAAAATGACAAGAGATTAATTGATTTCGTTCCTTATAATATTTCGCCACTGACAGAGGAAGTCGTTTTTTGATATTTAAAGTATTTTTTATAATAATCGGGAAAAACCAAAAAAGTGGATATATAATTATTTTCAAATTACGGCACAATTTCATTATTTTAAATTTGTACGGCTTATTTTTTCTACTATGAATACTGCTCCAATAGATAAATGATAAGAAACTTGTTTTGTTACATTTTTAATCTAGTTCATGAGTAAGTTATTCCTTTTTTGATTTTCTTTGTAGTTTTATTAATAATTAAGGATAACCAAAAAATCAGTAGATATTCCATTAAAATTTGAAAAAATAAATAGTTTAGCTAGTTATATAAATAGCTTTTAATTTTACAAAGATGTTTATTATTTATCTGGATTTTTACATATAACACCTTTTCTGAAAGAAAATTGGCGTGGGGAGGTACTTTAACATGGTCATTTTGAAATTTTCTCAAGAGTTTTCTCTTTAAATGCGAAAAAATCGAAAAAAAAACTGGAAAATTTACGAAATATAATAAATATAATATTGTAATATTTTTTTTTCTGTGGACAACTTTTCTACCTGAAATTTTGTTCCAACTCTTAATAATAGCAATAGTTCTAAAAAAAAATTTCACTATCAAGGTATTTTGGAGATGTTAATTAATTTTTCGATTCTTCTAAGATATTTCCTAGAAAATGTGAAAAATCAGGATAAAAATGGAAAAACGTAAGAAAACTGGACAAATGGCTACAACATTAAACAAATATTATTAAAGAAAATATATAAAGCATATTTAATTATATTACTATATAATTACATATATATATTGTTGACAAACCATCACTATCAATTAAAAACTCCCAACAGAATCATTTTTTGTAAGCAATGATTTATACCTGTTACAAACAGTTACAGGTATAAATTAAATAACTATGTATCCCACCTTTCCCACTACCCACCTACAACAGTGGCCAGTCCCAAGTATCAGCTCGGTTTATTATTACAATTATTGTTGTATTTAATTTTTATTTCCAGGTGTTGGTTCTCTTAAGTCTTATTGCAGCGTCATTTTCTACCTATAGTGTATGGTACCAAAATAGCGCTGTCACTTCAATATCAATGTTTGGATTTTGGTTTTCATTATTTATGCTGGTATTCTATGTATTCCATGTAGTAGAGTGTTTTTATAAAATTCCCTGGCTTAAAATTGTGAGTTGGGTCATTTTTCTTTATGATTTTGTTAATCTTTAATATTGATTATATATTTTAGGAAATGATTTTCAATGTTTGTTGGCCAATTCTATATCTTTTATCTGCGGCTTCAGCTGCTGCATATACTGGCTTGCATTTAAGCTACATGATAAGTTTGGTATGTGTATGATTGTAATTATTTTTAAAATCATGACCATAATATATTCATAATACATCTTTTTAAAATTTGTATTTAAATTAATTTAGTTATTTGGATTTGGGGCAATGTTTGTGTATGGATATGATGCTTTATTGAAGTATCAATCTGTACAGCGTGGAGAAATTGCACAAGGTAATATAGCAATTCACAAACAAACAACATCATCACCCGTAACAGCAGCATATTGATTACTGTAATAATTTAATATTAATAACAATCCTTTTTTTTGTACTAATGAATTCACTCTGGCATCACTGTCCATCACAGTTTATTTTAATATTATTATATTTTAAATTTTAAATCAATTATTCATCAAACTTAAAATAATCATAAGTCATAATACAATTCTACCTAATATTTTTTGTACTTTAAATGACTAATTATTGAGGTTTCTACTAACCATTTGTATTTCATGACTTCTTATTCAGGAGAACAATTAAAAATAATATATAATTTTTCATAAGCAACATAACTGTTTATTTGGTATATGGTACATAATATATTATTATTTATATAATTCACTTCATATTTATTTACATCATTTTTTTTTTTATATCAGCTAAAAGAAAAAGTACAAAAGTACAAATATTTATGTTAAATTTCTTTATTTTAAATATTAATCAAGAACTATTTTATAACTCTATTTATTTCTCAGATACATGTAAACAGCTACTTAATTATAACTTTTGTTGAAAATCATAAAATATATACTATCTAGTCTTGAGAATATAATAAAATATTTTCTGTTTTAATTATATTTCTATAATTAAATCACATTTATTATGGATTTTGGCATTATATAATAGGAACCGGTACAGTATTAATATTTTATTACCATACTTAATAAGAAAATTAGTAAATTTGTATGTACTTTTACTATTTTTTTCTCCTTCTAATTTTAGCTTTGTTTGTGAATTCAAACAATTTTACTTATTAAAACAAGTATGTATTATAATGTAATATATTTTTATTTAGTAATCTATACCAAATAAACAGTTTTATAGGGTTTTTATTATTTCTTTTAACTAAGACATTTTATTATTATAATTTTTAAATATTTGTTATAAATTTGTTTTTTTTTTTTTATTTTTGTTGTTAAATTTAAATATATTAATCTGAATTACTATCAAGTTGAATCTTATATACCTTATATTAAAGTCTGTTACTTATTCAATAATTATCAGAATTAAATAATTATAATATACGTTTTTATTAAATAATATATTTTTGTAACTTTTTAAGCAATGATTATTTTTTTATTGTAAAAAAGTTTAAAAATATGTTGTTATTGCACATGCAAATGTAACTACTCATTTTTTGTTATTAACAAAAAAATATAGCTTAATATTAACCATTTAATTTATTACAATGTCCATTGTTTAAATTATAAATACTTAATCAAAAATTTCATTTTATTTTCATTTACCAAAGAATAATGTTGAGAAATTGTTATTTCCTAGTCTTATTCAAATCTAACCAATTTATTAAAGGTTTTATGTTTTCATTATGGTATTTAAAGAGACCTGCATTACTAATAATAATTATATATTATGTTTATATTGTCATTTTTATTAAATTGTAAAATTATAGATCTTATCAACAATTTACGACATAAGCTATAATTTTATTATTCAAAGATTGTTTGATAATAATGATAAGTTTACAAATGTGCAAATCTTGTCATTAAATTATTTTCGTACTTATTAAATTAATCTTCACAAATAATATAAAGTAATTTTTTTTGTATACATATTTTTCATATAACATTTATAAACCTGTACTAATTTGTTAATGTGTAAACTATTTCATTTTGTTTTAAATATTTATGCAATCAAAATAAAAATGTATCAATAGGGTAAAAAAAAATCATATTTATATTGTATTTTCTCATTAATTAACTTTGTTTACAACACAAATTTTATAAATTTTATTTTATTGTTATCAACGAATTTTATTATATATTTAACTTTGTAACCTGTATAATGTGGAAACATTATATGTAATTATTTATAATTCAGTTTTCTGTGTTTTTTTTCTTTTTATTTTTTAATAGTGTAACAGGAAAATGTACAAATTGTAGGTATTAGTTGAAAAATATTTGGGCCTTTTTTTTCCTGCAAACTTTTCTACCAGCAATTTTGTTCTGATTTACAATGATAGGACTTTTTTTGAAGTTTAATATTACTGGGAGGGTACTTTAAGGAGGTCATTTTTTGATTTTTTTCAGGAGTTTTTCCAGCAAATATGAAAAATCGGGAAAAAATGTAGGAACAAAATTTAAAGAATATTAAAGAAATATTTAGAAAGAATATTTTAAAGAAAATATATAATTTAATTATTTTACTTATATTATAATATGGCATATATACATTGTTGACAAAGCATCAGTATCTACTGAAGTCGGTTGAAGTCGTTTTTTCATTAGCAATGGTTTATTGTTGCTTACAGGTATACATTAAATTACCTATAATAGACTGCATCTGTCCCCATTATCCTAGGACATCTTTCTCTAGAAAACTCGGAAAAACAGGTATTATAATATAAAAGAAAATATGTAATGACTATTTAATTATGTTACTATGTACTAATCTACATGGACTGATACATAGGTATCAATAAAATGTTAGTCCTCTCTAAAAAATGTTGCATGGATATTTTTTTTTCAAATAAATTAAACCGGCTTGCATATTGCAAGTGTGTTGGCCCATAAAAATGGTGCACTAAATAGTAAAAATGAGTTCCACTTTGCATTTAGGTTTAAAAATATTTTATTTAACTAATACATCTATTACCATCTTATCTTTTGAAGCATTTTCGAAAATATCTAATATAAAATGTATCCATTATATTAGATGTATTAACATTCAATTTAACTGAAAATTATGATGTCTTCGAAGATGATATTCTTCTTGAGTATTGAGAAAAACGAAGTCAAATGTTGAATTTTGTAGAGAACAGTAGTGTCTATATCAGATTGTGACTTCACAGCATACTTTAGATTAAGTAAATTTACTATTAAGGTAAAACATCTAATCATATTCATGTAATTTTTGTATAGGTAATTAATAAGTTTAAGTTGTAGTAATTAGATTTTATTATAATATTTAACTTTGGCCTTGGAAATTTATCACATGACAATGCATTGTGTCAATTACAAACAAGTGTTAGTTTTTGTGTGGTACCTAATTACATAACTGTGAAACACACTGGTGCGCATCATAGTATTATGATTAAAAATATAAAATATACTCTAAAAATGTTGCTATAATATTGAATTTTATATATTTGTTTAATTATAGGTACATAGAAAATTGATTTAACATTACTTAGAGCACTTATTATAAAACATTCCCACTGTTATAGGTTAGAAAGGTAGGATACAGATTAGAATTTAATATATATCTGTAAGCAATGGTTAAACATTGCTAACGAAAAAACGATTCTGAGTTAAAAGCATTGTTTTATATTCCTCTCATATTAGTGGTTAGAAACCATCGTGTCAATCTGGATCCTCTCCCTGGTCGCCTTGAATAATTGGTTGTTGTTGTAATCAAACTATTGCCTTAGATTTTGTAACTAATTATTTCTTGGTCACCCTCTACTTCTTCTTCACACATATCTTCTCCCTAAAATGAGTTGCAGAATTTGGTATTTTTGTTCTCTCATCATGTGTCCAACGTATCGCAAATTTTTTGATTTAACTGTTTTTACTACTTCCATATCTTTTCCTAATCTCTTCAGCACTTTCAAATTCAAAGTCGATTTACTAATGATATATACGATTCTTCTATAGCACCATATCTCGAATACTTCTTCAAATCAACTTCTTTTAGAATTCAGTCCTCTACTCTGTGTAAAATAATTAAAAAGGTATTATATATGTTCATTAATATTGTACTGATTTACCCGACTTACCTATGTTTTTCCCAGTTATCCAATGTTATCTCTTGGTTTTTCACATTGGCTGGGAAAACTGGAAAAACCGAAAAATGACCTTCCCAGTAAGTTTAAGTACCTTCCCAGTGAGATTTCTTTCAGTGCTATCACTGTAAATTGGAGTACAATTGCCAGTAGAAAAGTTGTTCAGAGGAAAAAAGAAGGCCGTTATATTTTAGTTTTTGAGTGTAGCGAAGAATGTATTGGTTGTATAAAGATGTTTATTTTATTATTATTTTTTTTTTTGTGAACACTTTTCCACCATAAAGCTTACTCCGATGTTTGTAATGTAGACCCTTTTCTGAAAGGTTTTTTTCTGAATATATTTCGTATATTTTCCGTTTTCTACCGTTTTTTACAATATATTGAGAAAACTTTAAGGAAAATAAAAAAATAACTTTCCTAAAGTACCACCCTAGTCAGATTTCCTTTCAAAAAAAATGTTTTCACTGTAAATCAGATTTAAATTGCTGGAAGAAAAGTTGTTCACAGATAAAAAAAAAAAAACATAAATATCTTTTTGAAACCATACGTTTTTTCGTTCCACCCAGAATCTAAAAAAGGGGGATATGTTTAAAAATTACACTGTATAATATTATATCTTTATTGTTATAAAAATAATAATAGTTCTTAAAAAGACGTCCTAGGATAATGGCGTCGAGTGCAGCCACTGTTGTAGGTAATTTAATGTATGTCTGTTAGCAACGATATCCCATTGCTAACGAAAAAGCGATTCTGAGCTGAGTTCAGTTGATAGTGATACTTTGTCAACAATATATATGTCATACTATGGTAAAATAATTAAATAAGCATTATATATTTTCTTTAATAATATTTGTTTAATAATTTACCAATTTTTCCGTTTTTCCATGTTTTTTCCAGTTTTTCACATTTGCTGGGTTAACTCTTGAGAGAATCGAAAATTTACATCTTACAAGTACCTTCCCAGTCAAATTTCCTTTTAGAAAAAGTGCTATCATTGTAAATCGGAGCAATTTTGGTGATAGAAAAGTTGTCTACAGGAAAAAAACTTAATATTTTACTAATGTATTTTGTACATTTTCCCGTTTATTCTTGGTTTTTCACGATTTTTCACATTTATTGGGAAAACCAAAAAATGACTTAACCAAGTTACCACGGGGATAAAATTTACTACCAGAAAATAAGCAACACTTGATACATCGGAGCAAGACTTTTGGTAGAAAAGTTTGCACAAAAAATCGAGAGGTATTTTGCGATTAAAATAGTTCGAGCGAGCGATGGCTTGAGTTCCTAGGTACACACAAAATGCATTTGTATTTCCTCGTTTAGGTAAAAGGGGAAAAAATAAATGCAAACAATTTTTTTTGTGACACTGGTTCGAACTCGCGAACCCTTAGATAAAAATAGGTGTGTATAACTATTCAGCTACAACTAATATTCTTTAACGTAGAAAATATTTAGTTATGTTAATAACATATAATATTTGCATAACATCAAAACTTTAAAAACCTATAATTTCGAAACTTAGTCAGTCCGCTCAATTCTGACTGAAAATTTTACTATGTCTAGAAAAGGAAAATATAAATTTCCTGTCCAAATTTTATATCCATAGAGTCAATACGATTATTTTTAACTAAATTTCAAAAAATCACAAAATTGAAAAATAATAAGACTATTATTTTCGTGAATTTCTCATTTTTTTTACGTTTTTCAAAAATATTATAAAAACCGCTTAGAAAATAAAAAAATGACCTCAAAAAATTGCATTTGGACAACATTCCCTTTCAGAAATGGTGCCACACGTAAATATCTGAGAAATATTTCTGATAAAATTTTTGTGCACACTATATAAAAAAAAAAAAAAATAAAAAAATAAACACATTAGTAAAACTAATACATTTTTTGCTACATTTAGAATCTAAAATTACCCTCATCCTTCCCCCCTATGACAAAATCATTCGACCATTTTTGATATTACTATATTACTTGAGTGAATACAATTATTGTTACTATTATTAAAAGTAGGTTATGTAAAAAAAAAAAATTATAATATATTGGGACTTGTTTAATGTTTTAATGTATTTTATTGTTTATTCAGATTTGTAGCGTTATTTAAACACGTGTAATATTATCTACATTATGGTTCTGCTACACAATGCAAATAATGTTCTTGAAATATAAATCATTGAAAATTTCTCCTAAAATATTATAAAAAATTGAAAAAAGATACTCAGTATTTAAATAAATTTTCGTTATAATTAACTATAGTCAACTACATAACTATATAAAAACAAATATATACTGAATATAAAATTAAAGTATGTTTAAATATTTAATTTTTCTGTCTTTATTGATATTTACTGAAGCAGAGAAACATAGATGGCATACATCGCAATTAGTATTAAAGAAATTGTACGACTTACAACAAAAACATTTTGATGCATTCAGAGTTTACTTGAATATGGAAACAGAACGTTTGGATAAATTAAAAAAGTAAAAATCGAATAATATTACCTACTTATTAGGTAGATAATTTAATACTTACACAAGGGTTTTTTTAAAATGTGAGAAATCTATTTATACACTTCACATTTTTCCGTACAATTAGTAGTAATGTTTTATTTTTTTATATTGTGCCAATACTTGAAATACCTACCTACTTACCTAGATTAATGCAATTAATGCAATCAAATTTTATTTTTAATGAAGTTGTCTTAAAGTTCCAACGGTTTATCTTTCTCGATTTCACACATTATTTAAAAATGGTTAAATTACTATACTTATTTTATGAATTCGATGCGCGATGTTCCTGTTAAGCATCAAATAGAAATAATAGATTTACAGTCACCAGTAACACGATATTCGCAAAAACGTATCCAGACAATCGCCTTTAATTTTAGATTATGAGAAGAATGAGGAATGTATTGGTTTTACAATGATGATTATTTATTTATTGATATTTATGTGTACGAAAATCTACCAGAAATCGTGTTCTAAAGTATCAAGTATAGCACCTTTTCTGAAAGGGAATTTTTCTGGGGTGGTACTTTTCGTAGGTAATTTTTTTATTTTCCCAAGGTTTTCATACTAAATAGAAAAACATAGGAGAAACTGGACAATTTTTGAAAATAATGCTTTTATTATTTTCAATTTTGTTTTTTTTTTATTGGAATTCAATGAAAATATTCGTAGAGACTTGATATTTTGACAGAAATACATTATATTTGCCTTTTATAGATGTGGTAAAAAATATTTGAGCAATTTTTAAGCTATTAGACATTTCAATTTTGTGAGTTTTTACGTAATATGTATTTGGTAGGTACTTTGTGAATAAAATTGTTATGTCAAACAAAAATGTTTGAAAATTTAACAGAAGGTCTTTATAAGTTTTACTTGGTGGTTAACAAGAAAGATTTGAGGTCAATGTTATACGTATATATTTTCTTTTTTTAAGAATTTTAATATCAAATTTTGACGAAAATTGTAAATATTACAGCCTTGTATGTACAGCCTACATGTATTACCGAACTCTACTCAAAATAACTTTTAGTTAGCAAATATTAATCGTTGCGTACAGGTATAAATTAAATTACTCTTTAAATTCTACCTTCCCAACTTCTCACCAACAACAGTGGCCCACCCATTGGGCGAAGTATGTCCATTTTTTTCGGTTGTATTTCTTTTATCATTTTCAAAAATTACATAATATATTATTGAAAAATATTATAGTAGATATGTTTAAATCTACATACATGTGCAGAGGCGGAGTGGCTTTAAAATTTTTACCGGACAAATATGTATTATGTCCAAGCAACTTTAATTTCGACCATATCTCAATACCATATTGATAGCGGTAAACCTAATTTAAATTTTTGTTACCATAGTTTTGTAAAAACTTTCATCACCGAATTAACTTTATTAACACCACTTCCATAGTATCATCCACCATACATATTTTTTTTATCATTTTTAAGCCCAGGAAGTGTATCTGAGTATTTTGTAAATTATTTAATGAAATCAAAGCCTGTCGACGAATGAGTAACACGATTTGCGTATTATTTGGTAGATGTATATATAAATGATAAAGCTCAGTATCCATCTGAAATATGAGCACAAGCATCGGTAGAGCCAACTTTAACTACTAATGCATGCGAGTTATTTCATTCTCACTTTAATTCTAGCTTTTATGCTACTCATCCAAATATTTTCATGTTCTTAGAAAAATTAAAAAAAATTCAAATAGAAACATATATTAAACTAAATAGTATAAATGAACCTTTTAAATACCAAAATTCTAAAACAAAAAAAAAAAAACGCGAAAAGTTACGAAATTTAATTAATAAATATAATAGTGATCAAACTTCAATTGATGAATATGTATCAACAATATGTTATTATTTGTCTTAAATCCTAATATTGTATACTTCTTAAAACTATATATTTTTTTAAATTTTAAATTTTATTCTATTAATTATTCATATTATATGGTTGTAACGAATTAAGTATAAATTAAAGATTGTTATTTTACCCAAATAATTTTGTAATTTTGTTTAGTTTTGCAAAAATATAGCAATTAATTTTTAAAATTTTACCCGGGCGCAGTTTACATATTACCTTTGTACACTTGATAAGAACTCGGGCAACTCGGGAACTTTTTTTCTTACATCTGGATATTACTAATTGTTTTCCATTGTTATTAGAGACATTATGGCTTACTACTAGATTGGTATTCTGTGAAAATAAAAAAAAATAAAAAATAAAATCCTGGTAGACCGTGAACCATAAGACATGTGTGAATCATTAACTTGATTAGATTACTGTCCACTGAAGTTTTAAAATAAATGATACGAGGAATTTATAGCATTATATATAGTGTATAATCTTTGATAACATACAATATTCGTTTTTTATGCAAAACAATTTCTAATCTTCATGATTTTTGTTTTTTAAATAATTTACTAGCAAAATTTAATTTTATATTTCCATGTGCATAGTATTCAATATAATTTAAACCAATTTAAACAGTGACCCAGCCAATAGCGATTATGTCAGGTTTTTCAATTTGAGTGCAGAAATATTTCCTATAATTTTTTTCCTTTTACTTGGAAAACATTTTGATTTTTTACCCAGACGTCAATTTTTCGTGTCATTCATTTTTAAATATTTTAAAAAGGTAAAAAAAATGTACTTAATACTCACGATGACGGATTTATCATCAATGATTAAATAATTGTGGTCTGTGATGGACTAAGCGTACAATATTATGCAGTTTAACATAATATAGAAAAGCATCATCATCGGGGATATTATTATTTAGAATATTATTTTATGATTTATTATTATATTGTCTAGGTCTTATTATCCTATTATCTAATTTATTTTAAGATAATCGGTAATATGGTGACGGCGGTAACGCCGCTGGATGTTCGTCACGTAATTGCGTTATCGCACTCGCAGACACATGTCGTATAGATAAATACAAGTATTCAGTTATTTTTCAAATAGAAACAAGCCTCAGCTGTGACACAATTGTGAGATTTGGGCTAGTGCGATATTAATTCTGTAAAAATCTTAACATTTCTTAACATCTCTAAAGAACGGCGATGAATTTAAAAATATGAATTAATTCAATAGATATGATATGAACAAAAATGTTGTAAAAACTGAAATTTTAATAATATTATAGTATTGTCAAAATTTCGAAATTTAAAAAAGCTCTTCGACCAACCTCTAGAAGAGATATTCAGAAATCTTATTATTTTTACTGGATTAAAATCGGACCATCTAACTGTCAGAGCGGAAAGTCTAAAAACTATTTTTTTTGACCGAATAGAACCACTTTAAAATTGAACTAAAAGACTACACAAATTTATATTTTAATGTCCCATATGTCTAATTGAAATTTTTTTAGAAAGTAACCACTGCCTCTGAATGAAATTTGATTAAATTTTAAAACCAGTGTCAGAATTGAACTAAGCAATCTCAAAAACATTTATTTTGATATGGCATATGCCAAATTATAAATTTTGTTAGTTAAAACAAATTAACTTTTATTTTAGAACACTGTGCGGAGTGTCGTAAAAATTCGATCATTTTTTCCATACGTTTTTCCAATTTCTTCCCAATTTTTTCGAAAATCACTTAAAAAGTTTAAATTGACTTCCTCAATGCACCAACTAGATCTAAAAAGTAACGAAAAATTTTGGTAGTAAAAATGCTTCAGACACAAAAAATAAAACGAAATATAAAAAAAGGACGGGCAAACTTTGCACGTAGATGCAGCCACTGTTGTAGGTGGGAAGTTAGGAAGGTAGGCTATATACGGGAATTTAATGTATATCTGTAAGTCACGATAAGTCATTGCTAACGAAAAAATGATTCTGAGCCCAGTTCATTTGATAGTGTTGTTTTATCAACAATATGTATGTCATATTATGGTAAAATGATTATAACAATATGCGTTTTCATGATAACAATAATTGTTTAAAAATATTAAAATGATAAAAACTTAATAATATTAAAAAATATATAAAAACGATTGCCAATGACAACCTTATTTTTAATCATTCAATTCTTTTTAACTTAAAGACTAAGGTTTCCTCATAATTTTGAATAATAATGAGAATTTATAAAAATTACCTCTCTAAAGCACCACCCAGAAATAATTTCTCTTCAGAAAAGCTGCAATACTTGATAATCGGAGTATGCTTTCCTGTAGAAAAAGTGTTAACATAAAAAAAAAAAAATATAAACATCATTGTAAAACCAATAGATCTCTCGCTATGCACTGAATATAAAAATAGATCTACAAAAGTATAGTCTGAATTTCTAAAATAATAGTTACCTATTTAATTTTATTTTTATATGTTTATTATATTATAATAGGTACCTACTTATATTTAAATAAATAATTAGTATTTTAGACGAATCTAATAAATTACGTAATCAAAAATGTAATGGAAAAAACATGCACTGCTTACACAATTCGAATAATGGTTTGGAAGTTTTAACTCAAAGAAATAACCGATTGCAGAAAATTGAAGATCTAACGAGGGAAAGGAATTTAATAAAAGGTAAGACTGGGGTTAGTCAAACAAAATTGATTTTTTTATTTTTCTATTTTTATTCGACCTAAGAAACCGGTTAACGTTTTTTTTAATGGTATATTACAAATGTTTTTCATGAATTAATTTAGTTTTTATGAAATCTATAAAAAAAACCAATAATAAATATATAAGAGACACATTAATGAAATTCACCAGTTTCTAGTTTTTAGTCACTTTGTAAGGAAAAAAACAAAACAAAATATAGGTAAATTTATAATTTATTGTACTTGTCTATAATAATCTATGAAATAAAACATGATAATGAACAAAATATTAAATGACAAATAAATATAATCACCTAAATATAGTTATTACCTAATGGTACCATAATAGGTATGGTACCATAGGTATGGTTATTTTTGTTTGTCTACCATAGGTAGCTACAATATCTTAAAAATGATTATGTTTATCGCGGTATGTTCTCAAATAAGGGTGGACTGGCTCCTTCAGAGTAGCCCGGGAATTTTTTCTAAAGCAGCCCAAAAACCATTATCTAACCTAATACAGTACCTAATACCTAATACTATTATAGTAGACATGTTTAAAATATCACACATTTTTTGAATTGAATATTCAAAATATAAATAATAACAGCAGATATATAACACGTTTTAGAAAAACATGGTAATGATTATTTAATGGCTCAATATAATTAATTCATAATTTATGGAATTTTTTGTTTTCTTTGGGCTAAACGGTTTATAACAGTTTGGTACAGTATATCATTTAAAATACTTAAAACATTCTGTAGCCATTTAAACAAAAGCTTCTAGGTTATCCTGTCATATTATTCCTATAAATGGTTTTCATCTGAAAAAGAAAATTGAATTAATTTTTATATTATAAAAAAAAAAATTAAAATTCAATAAATTATGTTAATTAATAAATAATGGCTATTTTATTATTTAAAAATGTAATATTTACTACCTGCTTTAATTTTGAGAATGCTCGTTCACAAGTTATTTATGTAATGGATAAAGTTAATAAGGTTTTATAAGCCTTAAATAGTATAATATATGTTTTACTGTATATATTATGCTTATTTAATAATAAAGTACAACAATCATAAAATATTAATTTACAGAATATTAAAGTCTAACTAATGGTAAGATTATTTTACCTGGATTATCGAAGTTTTCGTGTTCATATTTATAATGAATAGTTTTCATGGTACACGGTTATTTTTTGTGAAAAATTAATTAACTTATCTCGTAATATGACTTTAATACGTTCTGTCATATGATATTCATTATCATCGAACTTTGAATTTTCATTTTCGTTTAAATGCTAAAATTAGATGGGTTATTTTTTTAAAAATATGTTTTCCTGAAATATTTTCATATTTAATCAAAAAATGATATATCGGCGTAAAAATCCTTATAGTTAATAAATCGTTTCTATAATCTTGAGATAGCAGAATCCATTATTCAATTAAAAGCACTTATTTTATATCGTTGGGCTGTGTCAGTTGCTAATTTATCAGAAGTTTTAGTTATATATTTACCTTTTTTGGCACCTTTTTTAGTTAGCGGAAATGATGATTCTACTTCAACTTCAGAATCCATTTCTTCTAGTTTTTTGTTTTGAGTGACTGCGAAAATTTTAGCGGTTTCATATATATCTTCAAAACATCTGAAATTGTTTTGTAATGTATCAATCGCCGATCTAACTAAATGATGAGCTTGCATAAAATTTAATCTAGGAGTTTTGTAAATAATTGGATAGAGGCGTGGTTGTTTAAAATATTTTTAAGTAAATATTGATTGTTAGTTAAACTATTTAATAATATCAAAGTATCAGATCTAGTATTTTTAATGAATTTTTCTGACGACGATATTAAATGTAATGAATTAACTAAATCTATAAACAGTGCTGTATATGAATTTTCATACTGGCCAAAAATTTTACTCAATGCATTATTCTTTGCCCACCATTGAGTTAAATTTGCTTTAGTTAAACATTTTGATAAATTTTGTTTTGAATGACATTTGTTTGATTAGTTAACCCATGTGTCTATTCTACGATATGATTTACAAAAAAATACAGCGCATTTGTATGAGTACATTAGTTTCGATAGTACCTTTCATAACTAAATTCTATACGTGTGCGTAACATCATGTATGAATATATCCTGGAGTTTATTTTCAAGTCATGTTCAAGCTTTGCTTATTTGATGGACTTCAAGTTTCCACAAATATTTTTAACTAAATCAAAAAAAAATAAAAAAAAATTGAAAACATAATTTATTTCGTAAATTTTTCTGTTTTTTCTAAATTTCCCCCCAATTTTTCCAATTTTTTTTCTAGGTTTTTCCCATTATGAAAACAGCTGGGAAAATTTCCTTTCGAAAAAAACGGTACAATTGAAAATAAGGGTAAAATTTCTGGTAGAAAATTTGTTCACTGAAAAAAAAAAGAATATTAAACACCATTGTAAAACTAATACATTTCTCGCTCTACTCAGTATCTAAAATATACTCAATAGCAGTGTTGAAGTACTAAAGGAATGATTACTTCGAAGGATTAGACGGAGTTGATTCCATTATTTTTTAAAGGATTAAGATCTTGAATTAATTCTTTATCTTAGGAATTATAACGTAACTGTTTTAATTCATTTATTTTTCTCAAAAATATGTTTTTAACACATTTGGAAGGTAAAATTTTGTTGATCAAGTTTTAATTGAATAAACGAGACGTATTAATCCGATGAATTTTTTATGTTAACATTCAGACAAGTGATTTATTTGAATAAATTAATACAAATAGAAATAAAGGAAGAAGATAAAGAAATTATTATTAAATTTCCTAAACATTTTAAATGTGTCAATCATACTTATGATTGCAAAATCTGGTATAGATAAAATGATTAAAAGTTTAAATATTGACGATCTGTTAACAAAGTATTAAAGAGATCATTTCCAAATGTTCAGCAATGTGGAGTAAACAAAACCAGTCAACTTTAGTTGCTAATTATGTAATAATGTGTTTTCGGAGATTTTTTTAAAACACCAAATCAAATCAAATGGAGTTTCTCAAAACAGTATTAATAATAGTATTAACAAAATCAATACGGTTTTGAACTATTGTGAAATATTACGATTCACATATCAGGAAATGACATTACTAATATTTCAATATTGTGAGTTAACGGAAAATTAAAAACTATTTGAATAAAAACTTTTTTTTTTAATACAAAACATTATGGCGTTTTAAACGATTTCACCAAACTTTTCCTTCATTTCGGTCTATTATGAAATTAAAATGATCGTTGTTGTTGATGTTTACATTTTTTTATTTTTTGTTCATCATTATACTATAACTGTGCCTTCTACAAACCAATTACCCACCTACGTTCACCCCCTTTTTTTAGTTTTAGATTCTGAGTGTAGTGATAAATGTATTGGTTTTACTAAGATGTTTATTTTAGTTTTTTTTTTTTCCTGTGTAGAAAAATTTGGCTATAAATCTTGCTTAGATATATACGCGCGGTACTATTTTTGAAAGGCAATGTTGTCAAGATGGTACTTTAAGGAGGTTATTTTTTGATTTTCTATACGGTGACGGTGCTCCTCCTTCTCGTGCGTCTTTGGTGATGTAGCTGTCTTGACTCCTGACTAAGTTCAGGTTCTCCTCGGTGATGATTCCAGTCTCCTTATATATGGTTGTCGCCTCGATCGGGGTCTAGGTGGTGGTGGATGTTGACGCCGTTGTTTACTGGTGGCACGTTGTCCGTACCCGGACACGTTTTCCCCTTAGCTCATGAACACGTATCATTCGTTGTTGGGAACGTTGTTGGTTTACCACACCCGTATTAATGGCCCTGAGGTGCGTATACTTAATGCAACGACCAATTTCATATCTTGTCACGTGGAATTATTAATATATAATTAACAAACTTTCCACGTAAAGGACAGAGTCTGTAACAATACATTCGTATCTGATCAGTAATAGCAGTTTTAATGTCCTGAAAATTAGCGTGAAAACCGTTAATTTTCGATAAAATAACACATTACTATCTTAATGTTTATCTATATGACTATATTAAATGGACGTTTGGCATTATTAAATAAATAATTACGTGATAAGGAATCATAATCAGCATGGTTATCTTCTATTGAATATTAATTGTTTTCACGCCTATTTTTTATACGTTAAAGCCACTATAACCAAAAAACTGTTAATGGTACATTAAAATTTTGAGAATAATTTATTTTACAAAATGGCTATTTTAAAAACTTTAAAAAGTTATTTTTTTCAGTGATTAAAGGATGGAATTGAAAATTTAATTTACTCTATAAATGTGTCCCCCTCAAACAAAACCCGATTGAAAAAAAAATTATTTGATAACACTGTAAGACATTCTGAATACAGTGAAACCCAATATGATGGACTTCCATTTCACGAAATATTTATATGAAACTAGGACTTTTTTTGTTAATTATATGTAAATTTATTTCCGAATAACGAATCTGATATGTATCTATATGTATCTACATGTATACAAGATGTATACAAGATGATCCATTTAATTTTCACCGACCAAAACTTAAAAGTGGAATATCAACACCAAAATGTATTTTAACTATTACTTCATCTATACGGTTTTTAGTAAAAACTATAGTTATAGGTGTCATTTGAAAATCAAAAGTAGGTTGTGAGTTTCTATTCAAGGTTCTATTTTATTTCTTTCAGCCACAATCACCCCATGCACAAGATGATTAGGTCTGCCAATTTAGTTTGATCTTGCCTTAATTGTTATCATTTTTTTTTTTATAATCAACTGTTTACTTATATTGTATAGTTTAATTTGTTGTGTAGTAAATATTGTAATAGCGATGTCTTATATTCTACCTTTATCTTTGTATAGAATTATCTTTTTTTTTCTTACCTTGTAAAAGCCTGTTAGCGTTATTCAATAAAATAAATAAATGCATTTTATATAAAACATATTCCAGAATAATGAGTGTACTACTTACATGTATCATCTTGTATGTAGTGAATAAATTATTCAATAAAAACCTGTTTTTGTAAATGACTATCAAATATTAAATAAGGTTTTAAAATTATATATATCTATAATCTTATTGTATCCGTTAAGATAAATCATTGAAGGTAGGCAAGTCGGTTAATTTTACAATTTTACTGCAGTATTGTAGATCCAATATTGACGTAATATTGACATAATCGAGAGAGTGTACATAATAAAGAAGAAAATCAAGTAGGTCACACTAATATACTAGCTGATAAAACCGGACCAAGTTTTGCTTGTAAAATAACAATTGCACGAAATCACCACCTAGTTGAGTACCCTTTGATTATTATATGTCTTAAATATCTAGATATGTATGTTATTATAAAATCATTTAGACTATTAAGAGTTTTTCAATTATTTCCTTAAGATCACTACAATGTTTATTCTGGTTCAATTTATGATCTATGCTATCCTCCCAAAACATTTTTTTTTTTTGCAACATATTCTGAACCTAGCATTCTACTTCCAGAAAAATTGCTACCATTTGGTGGCATTTAGCCCACCAAGTCAAGTTCATATCAAGTAAATACTAAATATACATTATACATATTATGTGGCGTTAACCTCCACCCTCAAATATTTTTGATATTTCTTCTAATGAATATATTATTGAAATAGTGAAATAGTTTATTCTGACTTATGTCGCTAGAATTACTGCCGATTGGATTACTTGTGCTGTGTCAGTATTATTACAAATTACAATATTATGTATTCAAATAATAATAGATATATAGTATCTATACTAAATTCTTATTCTTAGGAAAGATAGTTAGACATTTTAATTTTCGACAATTTGTGTAAAGAGCAATGGTTTTTTGGTCGAGAATAGAAAATAATTGTGATTTCATTCATAATATTAGCATTAATATTTAATATATCATTATATAAAACCAAATAGCTTTTAAAAAAATCGGTATTAAAAAAAAACTCAGCGGGGATACTGTTACTTTGGCTTTACAAGGATTAAAGAGAATTCAACGATTTTATGAGATTCCTGCATCCGAAATGGCCAATGGTAGACATAACAATCGAATTATCGGTGATCAGTTGAACGGTAAGTATAATTACCTACCTAGTACATTAACCAATATTATGAACAATTTTCAATTTGTATAGTTTGTGAATGCTATGTAATATCGAAGTATTGTTTCAAAAATAAAGACATGTATGGAGCCATTGATTGGGCTATACAAGCTTATAATAAATGGATATTTGATGATCGGCTAAAATGTATGGATATAAACAAATTAAAACGCTACATAATTGCATCATCGATATACACAGGTACTAATCTCATTGTATTATAATTATAGGCATACGCGTGGGACGAAAGGGCAGGGTGTGTAACTGCCTTCTCTGAAAGAGGAATTTTTTTTCACATAAAGCAAGAATGAGCAATTCAGTTACTAAATAATTAATTCGTCTAAATGGGTAATGAAATATCCAAAATTAAACTGATCGTCAAATTGTATTTTTATAACTTCAAAATACGGAAAATGTATTTATTTCTTTTCAACAATTTAAATTGTATACACTATCAACTATTTCTTGAATCCATATAAAAACCTAATAATTTGTTTTATTTTACATACAAGTAGTTAATACTAGACAAATTTTAATTTTTTTTCGAAAATATGATTCTTCAACTTCTGGTTTATTTCAAAAAAGCCCTACCAGTAATTTTACAGAAATGATTTCCATGGCGTAAAAACTTAATTAAACTTAAAATATTTATTAGAACATTCTTTTGTATTAAAATAAAAGTGAAAATCTTGTTTGTAAATTTGCTGAGCCGTGTTATGATTATTAAAACTATTATGGGCCAAACCTAATTTCAGGATAAATTTATCCTAGGCCAAACTATTTTGCCGAAGTCTGTTTGGACAAACAAAACTAGTTACCATTCTTTTTCATCTTTCTGAGCTTTTTGAATCTATCGTTCTAATTTCTTTACGTCTCAATCACATCCTTGTTGATGAACAACATGGATTTCTTCTAGGTCGTTCCACCATACCATATAACTTAGTACTCACTATTTATATTTACGACTCTTTCCGTGATCCTAAACAAGTTGATGTAATTTATACGGATTTTTCCAAAGCGTTTGATCTCGTGGATCACTCTTCTTATAAAAAATGTAAAGTCTTGATATCAGTGATCCGTTACTCTCTTGGCTTTACTCTTATTCATCTCACTGTCATCTCTATGTCTTTATTCTTGGTTCGTCTTCAACTCTTTTGTTCCTTTTTCCAGCGTCCCCCAAGGAGTTATATTCCCCCTCTAATTTTTGTCCCCTTTTTTAATTCCACTTCTGTTTTTTTTTTCATTCTAAACTTCTAATATGTGCTGATGACATAAAATCGTACCCCCAAATCAATTCTATTAATGATTGTTTTCTCCTCCAACAGCGTCTTACCAATTTAGTTTTGTAGAATGAGTCCATCGGATATTTGCCGCAAGGGACTTTAGATTCTCAGCTTTATCCTCTGAACCTCTGCTGTGTTCCAACTTTTATCCCCCCTCAAATCACTCTACTATGCTATGGTTCGTCTTTTGCTTGAATACGGCAGTGTTCTTTGGGATCCTTCTATCGTTTATGCCAGCGCTTCTGATGAACGTGTCCAGAGAAAATTCCTCTACATTGCAGCTTATCGTTTTAATATCCTTCATCTTCCTCATGATTACACACCTGTTCTTCGTACTATGAATATTTCTTCGTTAGCGGACCGTCAGCATGTGTATAATCTCTTCTTTCTTTCCAATTTTCTTTCCGCCAAAATCGATTCTCCTTTTCCCTTGTCCCTAATAAATTTTCAAGCCCCATATCGTATCACTCAAAGTTCTGTACCCTTCCAAAATCCAAGCTCCTCTTCTAATTACCTTGACAATTCTCCTCTTGTCTGTTTCATATGAGCAGTAAATTATGACCCCTTCTTTTTCTTCAATTTTGGAGCAAAGTCTTGGATCGCCTTGACTCTACAAATAAAAAACTTCAAACAGTAGAAATTTATATTGTATCTGTAATTTGTTTGTATAATTCATTACACCAATATGTTAAAGAAATGAGAAATAATATGTTTGATACATATATATATATATATATATTATGAAAATTTAGCTATAGGGAAGTCGGGTTTAATTTATTTGACTAATATACGAAGAAAAAAAAGGAAGTTACAATATGATAAAAGTCCTGGAGAAGAAATATATTTGATTGTCGTCAATCATTAAAAGTGAACACCTACTTCGTCATTTTGGATAAACTTGATGTTAAATTGGAAAAAAGAATAAAGTATTATGAAGATATAAAACAAAAATTCTCAATTTTACTGAAGTTTAAAACTTTTTCATTTTCTGAATTTGATGAGAGTGCAAATGAACTTTGTAAAATAATATATAATAATGATTTAGATGAAAGTTTTTCTAATGAATGTCAAAATGTTCGAAACTACTTTTTAAGTATACAACAAATCCCAATGTTAATTATAGACATTTTAATTTTGAGTTTTTTACGTAATTTTTATAGATACTTTGTAGTTTTTTTATCATACAAATTTACTCTCCAAAGCGGCTACACACCAAAATGGTAATGCCAAAATGTCCTAGAACCCTTATTATTATTGTTACTCTTTACTGTTTATATCTAAAAGTAATGTTTCATTTTTTATTCAAAGGACACATTAACTGCTTATAAATAAATAATTTTTTTTAATTAGATAGGTATAACCTTGAAAAGGCATAGTTAGTATATAATATATTATTTAGTAAATAGTTGAAGTTCTTTTAAAGGAAATAACTATGTAAAAATATTGAATTCAAATGGAATACATTACTCAGAACACGGTTCAAAGCTCAGACAATATAACGATCTAATGAGAGGTGACATAAAAAATGAAAACCATTCAACTGTTGATATATTCTATGCATATCGGGTGAGCATAATATTAATTAATAAATATTTATTAGTTAATTACCAATCTACCAATAATACAACTGTACAATTTATTTAATATTAAATCGGTTAATGTTAGGATTTGGAATCATATCCAAATGAAAAGAAATTTAAAGAATTATGTAATCTCGGTAGATCCACCCGAACGTTAACTAAAGATGCAAAGTGTCAATACCAAACAAAAAATTCATCTTATCGATTATTGATGCCTTTTAAAGAAGAACACGTAGAAAATAATTTAAACATGAAAATATACCACGATGTTTTATATGACAATGAAATTATAAAAATTAAATCTTTAGCTACCGATAAGGTAAGTTAAATGTTTATAAAATATGAGTGTTATTGGAGGTATTTCTATATTCATAAATTGTTAGAAATTAGCTAGAAATCGAAATGACATGATATAAAATTTATGTTTATGGTGCGATCTAGAAAGTGACATCCAGACCTTTTATCAATGGATATGAACGATGCCATATTGCGTAATTTTTCGTCCAAATATCATTACCAGCATAGACGGAATTCTAGTCCGTGGTTATCACTAATGTTGTATTTGGACAGGATATATAGAAACTGATCTAAACATAATAAATTATCGATTTCCAAATATTTATTTCAAACTTAGTGTTTTAATAATCAATTTTTAATAATAAATTAAACGTCTAATAGAGATGACTCAAAACACAATTTTGTCAACAAAAAATTGATTTAGTAGGTAGTTCAAAGATTAAAATTCAGGGGTGGTCAAACGGAAGAAGAGATGAGGGAGGTTATATCCTACATTATCTTTTTTTTTTAACATAATTATAACAATAAATAGGGAGAGTTTTTGATTATAGTTGCTCCATTTGTATAGTTAAATTGTGCATAAATTGAAATTAAGATTTTTAAAATTTTTAAGTGTAGGTAGTGAAAAAATATGCTGTATATGAATACTCAGATTTTTAAAGCAAATAATGAGTTACATTGCGGCGATCAAAACTATAGTTTTTTAAAAGAGAACTTACACGTTTTGTTGAAAATTGACAATTAGATAGCTTTCTGAAAATGTTGACGCATTGATTCAATCCTTGATTAAGGGGGGTCCATGGTTCCCAGGCCCTAATTTATGCAACATTTTTTTTACTTTTATCACTTTATAACTCGAGCAGGTATCACATAAATCTTTCTGTCCACAAAGACAACTCTAGTAACTTTTTTCATTCAAAGCCATCTTTGATGTGTTGACATAGATCTATATCTAGTACCTACCTTGTGTACGCTTTCCCTGATCTAAAGCCAGTTTGTTCTGCGATGAGTATCTTTTCGACCGGGTTCTTAATACGGTTGATGATTAACCCTTCATATAGCTTGTAGATGTGACAAAGCACAGATATTGGTTTCTGATATTAGTTTTTCAGATTTTTAAGGTCTTTACCGGGTTTTGGTAGGGCTACTGTATTTGTTTTTCTCCAGACTTTAGGTGTAAAGGATCTATGCTAACTTGAGTTGAGAAACTGAAATGTCCAATTTCTGGTTTTTATACCGGACATTTGTATCTGTTCTATTGTAATTTCATCTATACCAGGTACTTTTCCATTTTTCATATTTTTTTAACACTCATTTAGTTCATATAGGGAGATATCCTGTGATAATCCTGTTCTCATCGTCTTTATCTTTTCTGTTAAGTTTTTTCTTTTGATTTTTGTCCCTGGCTTGTCATTAAAATTGTCATGTAGAATTCTTGTCAAAAAGATAGTGAAAAATTGATAAAATGCCAATATGATTAAGAAATCTACATTTTAATTGACTTATAAAGTATGGATCTAAGTATGGAATAAAAACCAATATGCGAAAATATTCTTCAGGATAGTTTGTACATTTAATTGATATACTTGTCCTTTTGTAATTCTTGGAATATCCATTAAACTTGTCAGAAATTTGTTTGGCAGCTAAAAAAAATGTCTTCATCATTTTAGATTCCGAGTGGAGCGAATAATTTTATAAAGATTTATATATTTTTTTTTTTTTTTTTTACTTGCAAATTTCTTCAAGAGTTTCTTCTACACATTCAAACTGTTGAACGTAAAACCAATAATTGGTGACTGTGTATATTATCAGCACTCGCGCTAAAGTTAAAAAAGCTGTCTCAATTAAAAAGAAAAATAAAGTTCACGGACAGTGTTGTGTAACTTTGATTAATCAACTTCGTGGTACTTATATTCTATATACGTGAGCAGTAGTAGTGTTGGTTCCTCTCGCATGGCAACAGTTTTGTTTTATTCATTTTTTGTTTGTTAATTTTGATAAATCTTCGGCTTTCAAAATTCTGCACTTGGGTGCAGTTACCTCATTAATTGCGCATACTCGAACATTCGGTGTCATCAAAATAGTTTGTAATGTTAGATCGCAAAACATACGTCTAATTCGATTTTTTTAATACTTGTTCAATTTATTTATTTACTTTAGTTTTTTTGTTTAATTTAGTGTAAAAATTGATTATAAACTAGTATTATAATTCGTGTCATTGTCAACAATCGTCGTTATATTTGTTTTTTTTAGATTAGGTATAGCGATACTGGCCAGTCTTCTGCTACATTTGTGATTGTGAGTACCTTTTATTTGTATCATTATTTATTATTGTTGTTGCCTACCGCTATTAGTAAACCATCTTTACCAAGTAAATATTTTATCTATATACGTCTGCACTTATCGTCGAGGTTTTATTCTGTCATAATTGCATTTCGTTCTATTATATGGCAACACATGTTACCAGCAACCAAGTTTTCATATAGTTTTGTTATCTCTATTGTAATTTTGTCTTATAGTTATAGATAGGGTGTCCGGGGTGCGCATAATACCATTTTATGCATCCGGCCCGTACACAAACAGTTCTAAAAAATCACTAACTGAATGATATCGTTCAATACATCTAGTTTCAAAATTTATTTTTAATGTAATATTATTTTCTGACATTTGAACAGCTTTTGATAGTACAGATTTTCATTTCGGAAATAAAAAAAGTCTCTCAATTTTCCTATCGTTCCTATACAGTTGTGTATTTGGAAAACATTACATGATACTGGTACAGTAAGATTCACAGAATGAGCAGTACAATGTACATATATAACTAAAGGATGTTTTTTTTTTTACATAAGCTGAACTCCATTAAATTTTCCAGTTATTGTTGCTGCACCATCATACATCTAACCTCGAAGATATTGTGTATCTGTACCAAATTGTCTGAGATATTTTTCTGTGGACAACTTTTCTACCAGAGAACTTGATCCGATTTTTACGTGGAGTATTTTTTCTGAAAGGAAATCAGTATGAGGAGTATTTTAGAGAGGTTATTTTTTAATTTTCCCATCAAATTCGAAAAACTGAAAATAAAACAGGAAGACGTATGAAACGTACAATATTACGATTTTTTTTTCTGTGGACAACTATTTAACCAGAAATTTTGCCCCGAATTTTAATAATAGCAATTTTTTTAAAAGGATATTTCACTAGGGAGGTGCTTTACAGAGGTCGTTTTTCGATTTTTTCCGGAGTTTTCTTCGCAAATAAGAAAAATTGGGAAAAAAACATTGGAAAACCGGGAAAGCGGTACAACATTAAATAAATATTATTAAAGAAAATATATAGAGCCTAATTAATTATTTTACTACCTATGGCATCTATATTGTTGACAAAGCATCGCTATCAACTGAACTCCGCTCATAATCGTTTTTTCGTATGAAATGGTTTATTGTTGCTTACAGTTAAACATTAAATTATCTATACCAGTGGCTGCACCCGTCCCCATTATCCTAGGACGTCTTTTTTAGTGTTGACTTAATTTTAAATTAATCAATGATACATTTTTATATAAACATACAAAATGGCTAAATAAATTGGATATATGTTCTAAGTAGAAGCTTGTTTTTTATTAGCCTAGGGGTGCCTTTTATGTAAATCTGACCTTGTATATAAATGCATTTTTAAATATTTACCCATATATTCAAAATATTTAGAAAGGCGATCTAACATTAATTTATCAAAATTTTAAAAATAATTAATTGTATATTCATATTTATATTGATCCCAACTATTTGTATGATTACATAGTTGATTGACTCCGGTGTTAGAAATATTGATGGTAGTTACAGATTGAGTGAAAATGTCCGTTCTAGCCAAACATGTTGGATAGAAAATGATCAAGCAGAAGGACATTTTGATGAAATAGATATTCGAATTGGATCTATAACTGGTCTCTGTACACAAACTGCTGAAAGATATCAAGTTGTCAATTATGGTTTAGGTGGCCATTATATTCCACACCATGATGCACTTGTTAAAGGACAAGTATGTATCATACATGATATTTTGTAAAAAACAAAAATGTTTTTGAGAAATGTTAAACTAATTGTGTTTTTTACTTTTATTTGAGTGTGCAAAATGCTGATACCAATTATATACAATTATAGTCAATTCAAATTTAGTTTAATATCAATTTTATTTTTCAGTATATTCCAATTTTTGGTAACAGATTGGTTACTGTATTATTATATGTAAGTAATGTTTACATTTTTATTGTAGATATAAATTAATTGGCATTTTTATTAGTTAACTGACATTGAGAATTATGGCCAGACCGCATTTCCAATGTTAAATATTATTTCTCCAGTTGAAAAAGGAGCAGCACTGGTTTGGTATAATCTACAGATTAACAATGGAAAATTAAATTATCAAAGCCTTCATGGATCATGTCCTATATTAACAGGAAATAAATGGAGTCAGTACCTAGAATAAGTATTTAATGTGTTATAATCCATTGTTGAAAACAATATCCAATTATGAATTAAAATAAATAATCATATTTTATAGAAAATTGATATAACCAGTGAAAATCGAAAATCGTTCTGTAAATTGTTGGTTTAATAATCTATTAGTTAGGATATTATTCACAGAACATTTTATGTTAAACAGCTTTGATGATATTACGGAACTAAAGTCAGTTCGATAAATCTGTGTTTAATGGTGACCAGTCAAAATATCTCCGGCCAAAATATCTTGAATAACATGTCTCCAATTAATAATATCTTTAATGGAGATATCCCACAGGAAATAATAACTAATCACAATATTAGTATTGTATAGTATTGTTTAAAATATTTTTCACGATTACGAGTTCCTACGCTAGGGTTAGGTATAGTGTGTGATACGAATACAGCAAGAGTTAATTATGATCAAGCTAGTTGACTTGTTAAATTGAATTATTTTTTAAATATTTATTTAATTTTTGTTTTATAAAAATGTTGTGTTATTTTTTTTTATCACAATCTTAAATTAATATTATATTTATACATACATATTCATACAAGTCATAGAGATTTTTTCAGGAGACAATTTTTCTACTAGATATATTCCCATTAGAGATATTTTTTCCTGAATACATTCTTAACGGGAGATATTTTGTTCGAGATATTTTATATTGGAAAAATTTCTTACTGGAGATATACTTAACTGAAGATAATTTGTCGGAGATATTTTGACCTGGAACCGTGTTTAATAACATTTATTTATTTTACAGAATGGTTTTTAATTTTACATAACCGATAACCAGTTATCAGTTCTGTAAAGTTTCGTGGAATTTTCCATAGATATATTAAAATAATGGTTAATTATCTAGTGACATAGCTTCTAAAGATTCTTGTAATACAAAATACAAATTAGAATCTGTTGGCACCAAACAATTTTTTTTTTCGACGTGTCAAGAAATAAAAATTGACCCTTTTGAAGGTGACACTACAAGTATAGCAACATTGTGAAACTAATCTAACAACCTTGCTCAAAGTTGTTTAACAGTTATTAGAATTTGTTAGAAAAAACTGTAGTGCCAAGTACATTTTCAGTACTATTGTTAAACACGTAATTTATGTCCACTCTCAAATATTATATTTACATTTCGAAGAGTCTTTTGTGTGGAGAAAATACACTATTTCAAAAGGTAATGGATACTCTTCATTTGAATTTTCACAGCTTAGGTTGATAGAAATTATTTTGATTTTAATTTGAAAGAATGTTGAGAACGGTAGTCTTGCAAATTCGCGAAAAGGAGGTGTAAAGGGCATGTACTCACCCATACAATTTATTTCTTGATCTGTCCCGGCTAATAGATTATAAATAATAATAAAAAAAAATAAATAATATTTAGTATACAATTATGTTTATGGTAACTTTTTACTAAACATTTTTTGTTTGGTTTAAATAATATTATAAACAGCACAATAACAAAAGACGAACATATTTCGTACGTGAATGGGCCACTATTGAAGGTAAGAAGTTGGGAAAGTAAAGGGAAAATTGAATGTACATCTATATATAAAAATACAATTCTTTCTATTTTTACATCAATTAAAATAGAGTTATTAAAATGTTTCACATTATCAAGAAGTGTTTGGACCATGTTCCTACGTATTGCACTATAACTATACCATATTGAAACTAAATTTATAACATTATTTTGTATTTTTTTTATTGTTTAATTAGTCATGTGAAGAAAAAAAGGGATCAATTTCTTCTAAAGGTTCACACATTACATTAAAATTAGATGGTACAGTTCTATTGATTAAGATTGGTGGATAATTATCAATATTAATTTCTTGATCAATTGTAATATTATTTTGAACAAAGATTAGTGGATGGCTATTAATATGTTTTTTAAATGAATCTAAAGATCCAAATATTCAGAAACAATTAGGTTGTTTGCATTTAAATTCTTTTATACTATTAGGATTATGAAATATATTTAAATGTATTAATAAGTGATTTTATAGACCAAACTGAGTCTCACACAAAAAACAATGAAAAATATTTAACAAAACTTCAAATGGATACTTAAGGGTCAAAGTATGGAAGCTTTTGAAATAAACATCAAACGCCTTCAAAATGATTCTTACTTTGAAATGAGTCGTTTTTATGATTGTGTAAAATAAAAATGGATTATTAGATGATTGTTCATTAACTTAACATTTTTAACAATGGCCGCTCTCATATCCAGTATCAGTTCTTTTTTTTATTTAAAACCAAAATTATTTTAGTTTAGGTAGATATATACTATAGTGAGCACTTAGCAAAATTATAAAAAATATCGTATTAACTAATAACTTATCTTATTTTTTATACGTGATGTACACCAATTTACGTTGTTATTTATTAGTTAATTTTTAAATTGTATTTATTTTCATACTTCCTATATAGATTAAGTATAACTATAAACATAATTATTTAACACTCGTGCAAATTCTTAGTATTGAATCTTTTAATATTCAAACTTTCAAAACTGATTTATAAATACTGAGGTATAAAAATAACATACAGTAGAACTTTAACTAAACATCACTAATAATAATTAAGTGTACAATGTATATACTATGTACATAATATGATGTATGTATGTACCTACCATCTAAATAAAACAATCTATTGACTGATAATTTAATATATAATTTATGATTTTGACTACAATGGATAACAAAAGGTAATCAGTTTTGTTGTAATAGTTATACATAATCAAATTTTAAAAATACGTATTATTTAATTATTACATTCATTAGTTTTGGTTTACAACAAGGGTATTAAGTGTCTATAAATTTAAATTTCAAATATAAATTAAACATTTATCAGCAATAACAATATCAATAACTACTTATTAATTATTATTTATTTATATGAATCTAACAAGTTCTTACCTTTAGAGCTTGGTCTAACTTGAGCTAACCTCGAGAGCTAACCTGTTTATTTCACATATAAAATAAACGTACACGGATACAATACCTACAACGGGAGGTATGTTTAGTCCGTAAAAATAATTATAAATGGCAATAAAAGAAAATTTATATTTTGAGTTTTGGTGTTCAATACTGTTCATAGTTCCATACCATACTTCATAATAATAATTTCAACCGGTAAACTAATAAGGCGGCGAGTCGCTATAGAGTGCTGATCTGGAATATCAACATTTCCAGGATTTATAAAAATAGGATTTACAATTGTTTTTTTGATACTAGAACTATATATTATAGTATAAATAAATACAAATTATAATAGGTACAACTATTCAATTATCATGCTGAATTATTCCTAAAAAAAATATTTAACGAAATTATAGTACTGGTAATTATAAACTTGCAACTATATATTTTTATTTATGCCTACTAAACTCGTTAAACAGTGGTTACTACAATATAGTTATACTAAATTTAATATCTTTAACTATAAATTCATAATTTTTCGTGATATGTGTTTGGTGCCACTATTAGAATTATTACTTATAAGTAATCTCTTAAAGTTTTATGAATACCTATGTGACTATGTATTTTGATACATTCTATATCATGGGTGGCCAAACTTTTTTGATAAAGATCTACTTAGAATATACTTTTCCTTTGAGAATTGACTTTCTAACAAAAACGTATAATTATAAATTATCTAATAGATATGAATTATGAACATACACATATAAATAATAATCTAGAATATAAACCTGATATATAGTTAAACATTTTTTTTCATTACACTATTATTAAGAGTAATATAGTAGGTATTATAATAAATATAATTGCTAGTATAAACACTATTGAATTGTATTATAATCAGAAATTAAGATTTATTTACTAATTACATAAAAATAAACTCTAACAAAAGAGAGATCAACCATTTGGCCATCCCTGCTCTACACTATAGGTATTATTATTTTTTAAATGTTTATTTGATTTTCCACAAAGTTGTTTATTATTGTTCACTATAATAATAATAAAAAACAATTAATGATATAATTATATGCTATACATTATATAATTACAATTATTATTATAGTTCACTATTCCTTGAATGTTTCTACAGTTTACAAATTGGTATAAGAACCTTGTTAATTTTTTAAACTGCTTTCTTCTAACCTTTTATTATGAAATTAATGTCATATGTAAAATTGTTATTTCTTAGTTATGACCAGATGGCTGCGTGAAGAAGGACAAAGTTTACCTTATAATTGGAAAAATGCGTGACATCAAACTTTCATTTTTACTAGTATACCTATGTTAATAAAAATAGGTATTCCGTATGTTTATAAATTATTTGTAGAATTTGATTGTAACAAATAAAAAAATAATTTTTCTCAATACATATACCTAATAAAACATGTTTACCTATTTGGATATCGAAATATAAGATCAGTGACGTACATTTGGTGGTGCAAAGGTAGCAGCTGCACCACTACATTTGAAATGTGGTGATATAAGTTTATATTTTTCCACCACCAGAAAATCATAAAAATGTGTATACCTATAGTTTTTATTTTCAAAAGTGTATATTTTTATTAAACAAAAACCTATCTATAATTATTCTTTAAATGTTATAATAATAAAGTTTTTACTACTAAGATTTTTTATTTTTTTAACCACTCGAAAGCTTTTATTGTAACGATCAAAATAAATCTTCAACAATACATTATCAAAGGTGTACATAAATACTTGTGATGTATTTATATATGCTGCTGCTGGATTAGTGTGTTGATTCAGTCTTTTCTCATGTTTGCGGGCAAACTTACTTGGTAATCTTGTCCTGGATGAAGGTGATCATCATATCTCGGTGGATAATGTCGTTTCTGTCATACCGGCGACTTGCGACAATGGTACGGAGAGCGATGTTCTGGCAACGTTGTATAATCTCGATATTGGACTTGCTGGCACAACCCCACAGTTGAATTTCATAAGTCCATATTGGTTTATTTATCATTACGTACAAGAGGCACTTGCTTGTGAGGTCTAGTTCGGAATGTTTTCCGACCAGCCAATATAGTTGTTGTTAATTAGTTGTTGGTTGGAATGTCCGCTGTATAGAGTAAATGCAGGATTGGCCCAAGGACACTTCCCTGTGGTACACCCGCCGATATGTTTTTTCAATCAGTTAACGCTTCTTCATGAATAACCCTGAATTGTCGTTCAGTCAGGTAGGATTCGAAAAGTGCGCACCAGGTGTGTGGCAGCTGTTTACGTAGTTTTATAAGTAATCTTTTGTGCCAAACTTTATCGAAAGCTTGTGTCACATCAAGGAATACTCCGCACCAATACTTTTTCACTTCAAGCGCTTTGCTTATTACGTGGTAACACGATGGACCTGGTAAACTGTTGAGTGTTTATTTCGAAATCAAAACATGCTTCGGTATAAGCTGTCTTTCTTCTATCAACGGTTTTAAGCGTTTTAGAAGTAGTTTCTTGAATAACTTTAAGATGCTTGGAAGAAGCGAAATTGGTCTATATGAAGTTGCTTGTTCTGGTGGTTTCCTGGTTTAAGTACCATGACCACTTGAGCTTGTTTCCATTGTTTAGGAACGTATTCCATACGTATGATGGCATTGAATATGTGTGTTAGATGAATCATAGCTTTTTTAGATAACTCTTTCAGGATTTTTGGGTTGATCTGGTCATACCCAGACGTCTTTTTTGGGTTGATATTCATATCAATTTCTTTTGCGATTTCAACTGGAGTAAAATGCTTTATCTTATTGCGTGTTTCATTTAGTGGTTGACACTGAGCTTTGTTGAGTTACCAAATATCGAGTAACATTGAAAGAAATACGTTCCAAAAGAGGGGAACAAATAATTTTTCCACTTGTTAGTTTAGCGAGGAAGGATATATCAGCTTTTGTATGACGAGTAAATAACAGATTAAGATTAAGAATATTTTGAATATTATTTATACTATAGAAGTTTTCGTTTTTTGATATTAATTTAAAACCAATAATGCGCAAACATCTTCTTTGAAGAATGGACACCACACAATAGTCCCGTATTCTTATTAGAATACGGGTCTCCGATCCGCTTTATATTTAAAGCGGACTAGAAAACAATATAGGGTATTTAGTTAATAAATATCAGTAAAGGATGAGGTAGATCTAATTAAGAATCCTAGGGTTTTTATGGCTTTTAAATAAATTTGGTCAATGTGAGTAGAAAATAAAATATCAGATTACAATGTAATACCAAGATCACGGATCATAGTAACATTTGGTAGTAGAATATTACTAATTTTATTTTTCGTTTGACAGAACGAAATTTTAGAATATTTTGAGACGTTGAGCTTTAATTTATTTGCGATACACCAATTCTAATGTTTGTTAAGATCTTCTTGAAGAGTAAAGCAATCATTTTAACCTTCAATAGTATGATAGAATTTAAGGTCGTCAACAAATAGCTTAAATTGACAAGGATTAAAACATGAACCGATATCAAATTAAAATAGAAAAAAAAACGGGGATAAATGTCCACCTCACGGGACACCAGATCTCACATCATAATTAGACGATAAATAACCATTGACTATTACTTACTGACGACGATCAATTAAATACGAGCCAAACTAATTTAATAAGTTGTCAAAAAAACCAATTTACTTAAATTTAATAATAAGAATTCGGTGGTTTACTGAATCAAACGTTTTATGAAAGTCAGTATAAATGGCATTAACTTGAAGACCTTTCTTAACGGGTTCAAGTATATCAGAGTAAAAGCATAGTTGATTAGTTTCAGTAGACAAACCTGGCCTAAAATTATGTTGATTTAAACTTAATAGATATTTGAAAAGTTGAAATGAAATAGGCTAAACAAATTTTCGGGAAAAATGGAAAAACGACCTCTCTAAAGTACATCTCCAGTGAAATTAAAAGAAGTTGAGAAGTTAGTAGAGAGGAATTCAGTGTATATCTGGAAGTAACGATAAACCATTGCTAAAGAAGTACATATTATTTCAAAATAAAAACAAGTGCTTAAATCAACATCAGCATTCATATAGTCATCATATTGGTCTTTTAACTATAATTATTACAAATTAGTTTCAGATCAGTACAAATTAATTCAAAATACACAAAATGAAATTAAAGTAGACATTGTTGACATACAAAATCAAATTCAACATCAAAGTTTACAATTAAGATTAAACAGTGAAAATGTAGATGACTCACTTAAATTATCATTTGAAACCGTTTTGAAATTGGATGAGTTTTTTAGTTGAAAGAAGATGAGATTAACGAAAGTAGATTGGTAAATATTTAATTTGACAAAATAAGTAAATATTAAAATTCTATAAATAATTAATATATTCTTATAGAAAAATTGTCTTCTAAAAATTGGACATATGAAATAACCTTTAAAAATAGTATATAATTTATTAAAAAAAATGACACTTAAAGTAGCTCTAATGTTTAATATAACAGAGAAAGGGAATAATAACTTGTTTTGAAGATATAAAACATCTCAAATAATATAAAGTGAGTTGATATATTTTGCTTGTTAAATATTTTTACCTATACTAGTAAAATAGTAAATAAATATAAGTAATAATTATGTAATATAATAATTAATAATAATATGTATTATTTATTAGTTAGTAGTATATAGAGCGGAAAAGCACTTTTTATATGGCTAGGACTCATACTGAAATTTCATGTTAAATTAGAACTTTTTATGTACATAGGTACTATATTTCACATAACTGTACCTCTTAACCTGTCTATACTTAGGATATTGTATTGTCATTATGTAAAGGATTTTTGTTCACTGTTCTCTATTTTTGAGGAAGCAACAAGGATAATGTTAGATTATTGTAATATACTAAAGTATTAATTATAACTAACATACATGTAAATGCTATTATCAATATTAAAAAAAAAAAAAAATTGGATAAATGAATTTTACATAATATTTATAATATATAATATTATAATATTATAATTTGAATCAACGCATTTCCTATTTATTCCCGTAACAACGATTGGGGCACGAATAATGATTTCGTTTGACGGTGAGTCGAAATGTAAGACGGTAGATAAGAGACCAACTCTTACAGATCCATTAAAAATAAATCGCCGTCATTATATTCCCGATAATCCTAAGGTTATCTAAATTTATATTTGCGTAATACTGAGGTATGATTAAGCCTTACCGTGTTTGATGAAAAATCTACCGTGATCATTTGATTACATTTGGTAACGAATCTAATTTCATCGATGTGGTTGTTTCGATAGATATTCTAAACACAAAATTTTCTAGCACTGTAAAAATGTATGGTCGGAGAAATGACCCTATGAAGAGGTTGATAATTCAGGCGGACATGTAAAAGTATAGCTCTCGCACCCGCACCCACACCTGAGCATGATTAAAGCAGGCTTCCGCACAAGATCGTGGTAGGGTGGTCATATTGTAGGTATAGCCCCCGGACAATATAATATGTATTATAGTAATGATTTCGTTCGATGATGAGTCGAAATGTAAGACGGTAAGTAAGAGACCAACTCGTACAAGTCCGTTGAAAAGGTATGGTCGTCATTATATTCCCGATAATCTTAGGGTGGTCTAAATATATATTCGCGTAATATGAAACCCATTGAAATGATAACCGTGGTTAGTATGATTTGAGTGATAAGGTTAGGTATAACCGCGATTTGAGTATTAAGGTAAGGTATAAACTTGGTCAGTATGGAAACAGAAGATATAATCGTTATGACATAAATGATAAAGATAGGTAAAGTCAAAAAAAGAAGTGGGGGAAAATATAGGTCGTTTAAGTAGCAGATAATAATGATAATGTGGAAAAAAATATTGAAAAAAGAGGGGCGACCATGTAAAATTATAGCGCCTAGTATGGCGGCAATGCAAATGTATAGTACAGGTTTGGGCGGTCATGTAAAGATATAGCTCCTAGTACGGTGGCCATGTATAGATATAGCTCCTGGTCAGGATCAGGATCAGACTCCTAGTGTTGAACCGCTCTTTTCATACTATTTTTATTAATCATATTTTAGACATAGTTAACAGAGTTAAAATACAGATATTCAATATTGATTAAATGTATATTAGACATGGATATTATACAAGTATTCAAAGTTTAAAAACGTAGAAATGTTTATAAATGAATAATAAATAAATACATAATAAGCGTTTAGAAATCCATGTCAAATAAACGTATTTAATGCTCACAAATAAACTACTTCTCAATACGACATCCATGGTTTATCGTGGTTACTCCAATACTTAATAAACGAGTTTTGCACATTGGGAGTGTCTTTATTCATTTCAGAAACCACTATGTATAAATGCGATATAATATACGATTCTCTTGTTCTTTTGGCGAATTTTTTCAATTACAAAACTCAATAATTTATATATTTATTTATATTAATTTTATATATTCCTATATATTTGAACAAGATACGAGATATACAATAAAGCCATCGCTGTCGTAGAATGAGGCAGATGACACACATCTTGATGATATGTAATAATTTAGTTTTAATATCTCATAAGTGTGAAAACTAATTGACTTTCACACCTCGTCGTTCGAATTTATTCGGTCTACCGCATCGCGTACATGCCGAAACACGGGAAAATCAACTATGTTGTCGTCGATAAATTTTATCAAAATGTGTTGTAATTTTTCCGTATAGATCCGATCGAGCCGTCCGTCAAGACCAGCGCGCTTCGATAACTCTGACACCTAGAAATACAATAAATTTTATAAGGAATAATATTATATAGTGTAAGTATTATAGGTATATTATGTGTTAGATTCTAAGTTAGATGATACTTATACTAGAATATTACGATTTACCGTTTTGGCATTATGCTCGGATACCAATGCGAAAAAGTCATCGTCTAAGATTCTGTCGATACCCTATGATAAAAAAAATAGATGTATTTTAAAAAACATGGGAATTAATTTACCTAAAAATATGCAAGTATCAAGTGGAGTAAACTTTTCTTCATTCATAGAAACATATCATTTCTAATTTTTTGTTATACCTTGTTATTTTTCTTTTTGAATTTATATAGTATATCGTCCAATAACTTCCAAAATCGATCCAAATATAGCGGATAAGACCATGCCTGTTCGAAATAATCGAAAAAACAAGGAATGGAATTCGTACTTAATCGGTCCATCATATCGTTGAATAAGTTCACGTTTTTTCCACATAGATTTATCAAGTTTAAATACTTGAAATCCTGTACAAGATATATACAACATTAATAGATGATTATTTAGACTAGTACCTATGAACCAGTATTGAGACATAGATAATTAAAATTTACCTGGATAAAAATAAAAGATAATTGCTCTATCTGATCTTTAATCAAGATACGGATAAAGATAATACATATCTTATTTCTAAGATAATATATAAATGATTTTTTTATTACCTTACATTGGTTTTGTCAAGACAACTGTATAGTTTTGAATATTTAAATAGCAAATGTAATTAATGTACTCAAAGTATTAATTATTAGCAAGTTATTCTTTACCTATATTGTTATTCATTAATATTATACCTATAACATATTAACATTAAAATTACCTGTTATGAAGTTAAAATACAATTCATATTTTTATTACGAATCTTACATGTAAATATACCTTCTTTATTTTTCCTGTGAACAACTTTTTTATCAGCAATTTTGTTCCAATTTACAATAATAGCATTTTTTCTAAACATTTTCTAAAATCTGATTCGAAAGGTACTTTAGGGAGGTCATTTTCGATTTTTCCAAGAGTTTTTCCAGAGAATGTGAAAACCCGGAAACAACATGAAAATAATAACCGTGAAAATTCTTTAATAACAAAAAAATGATAAATAAAGCTCAACATTTTATTTTTTTGACTACAAAGTACGAAATCTATGGAATATCCTGTATCTCGTACAATTTTCAAGCATTTCGGTTAAGTCTAAAAATATTATCTACAGAGTACTAACCGAATAAAAATTACGTACACACTCGCAAAATTAAAATACCTTTTAGTCTAAAAATGAATCAAATGTTTTAAACATACTACTACGTCTAGGAAAAGCAAATATACGTTTTCTGTCAAATTTTCAAGTCTTTATGAACATATTAAATGAAATCACATTGAAAAACACACTTTGAGACATACACGTGGGTACAACCACTGATATAGGTGAGAAGTTGGGAAGTTAGTAGAAGGAAAATTTAATTAATATCTGTAAGCAACGATAAACCATTACTAAAGAAAAAACGATTCTGAGAGGAGTTCAGTTGATAGTGTCAGCAATATATATGCCATATTATTGTAAAATAATTACATAGTCATGATGTATTTTCTTTAATTTTCCTTATTTCCTATTTTTCCTACGTTTTGCCAGTAATTTTTCCTTATTTATTTGGAAAAATCTTATAGGAAAATAAAAAAAATTACCTTTTTAAAGTACATTTTCAGACAGATTTAATTTAAAAAAAAGTGGTATTATAGTAAATCGGAGCAAAATTACTGTTAGAAAAGTTGTTCACAAAAAACGCCACAATATTTTTTAGATAATATCTACATGTCTTAAATTTTCCCGTTTTTTTTTTTCGGTTTTTTCACATTTGATGTGAAAACTCCGGAGAAAATCGAAAAACGACCTGTTTGAAGTACCTCCTCAGTGAAATTTTTTTTCAGTATCCCGAGAAGTTTCCCGGGAGTAATGCGCGCAATCACCAGTAAGACGCTCTGCTATACTTCATCTGCAGTTCATACGTGCAATTACCGATGCTGTCGGTTGTGTAGCGTTGGTTGTAGTGGAGGGGGATTGATCGAATAAAATACGTATAAGTTAAATTACTATCGGCTGTAATACGGTTCTTATTAATTACTATTCGGATAAAATGCTATCATCTTAAATACAGTTTGGACAAAATATGTATCGGCTAAAATACGGTTCGAATTATTTATTTGTAGACTTAAGTACTGTCGGATTAAATATTGTCAGCTAAAATATAGCCCTTATGTAATATAGTAATTACGTAAAATGTCATAAATATTATTATACCTTATTCAAATGATTGCAAAGTTTGATCCTATTGTGTGGGAACGTTTAAGGCAAATTAGTACTAAAGAAATTCATTATCATTACTTAGGACCTAATATGTAAAATTAACTAATTAGTATTAAAGCAAAAGAGATAACTGAAAAGAAATATGAAAAGAAATAACTGATTATGCAAAGAAAAATAAATACTATACTATTTTATTAGATTGCACTCCAGAAGAGCCTTAAAGAACAACTTACGTTGATACTACATCAGATTGGTGATGTTTTGGGCATTAATGAATCTAAAATTTGCGAATATTTTTTTTTTATTCATATATATAACTAGTATAACTATATTAACTAGTAAAAAAAACCACTCAAATTAGACGATCTAGCCAAATTGATTAATAGACTTTCAGACAATCAAATTACGGGTTTTGCGTCTATTTATACTCGCTTCGACGATATTAATTCGCATCTGTCTAAATTGGATTCGTCTCTAGCTGAGTGTAAAGCGAGGTAGATTGTCTTGAAAATAGAGTTTGTGTATCGGAAATACAAAAGTGTACCATTAATGCCGAGTCAAAAGATACTCAGCTATTTTGCATGAGGTTTAAGATATCCAAAATTGTTCAATGAATATCATTATTCATGGTGTAAAGAACGCATTAATTCTGACATGGAGACCATTAATGAGTTATTTACAGGTGTTTCTATCAATCAGGTCAAAGTTGGCAATATCTCAAGACTTGGACGCTCTTTAACTTAAAAACAAAGACCAATCAAATTTACTTTAAGCAGGACTAATGATGTTGATGGGGTTATATCGTGTTTCGTGAAATAGAAACGTAAGTCTCTCCCATCTGTCAATAATTTCTCGTCTAATTTTATCACCGATCTACTAGCTGATGTCCGTTTAGGGGGGGGGGGTAGCATAACTAAGAAGAAATAAAAAAAGAAATCAACATCATTGTAAAACCAAAACCTCGCTTCACTACGAATCTAAAAACGTGGTTAAGGTAAAAAGATATACATTATATTAGGCATTGTAAGGTTTAGTTATACACGCCCGGTTGTTTATATCCAAAAATGCAAAAATGATTCAAACGTTTTTCAAGATTCCGAGGTTATAACGATTCGTAATTAATAATTTATTTTCTGAAAATATACAGTCCGAGTGTATACATTCTGGAAACATGTAATTCGTACAAATACGGCTTGAAAATAAAAATTCCGGAAATGAATATTCCGTACAAATACATTCCGTGCTTTAACATGCGTTCGAGTTCACTATTCCAAATTGTAAATTTATTATTTGTGGCAATTATAATACCCTATCGTTATCCTGGGTTACTGATAAGGTCAGTTTCAAATGTGTTAACTTCCTTTAATCCCAGATAGAAAGTTCTCTTATTAAACGTTTTTCAATGTTAAATTTACACCAATTTATAACATTAATTATCAATTAATATGTTAATTAATCATATGATTAATATATCTGAAAATATTTTGTACTGGTATTTTATTATCTCCAAGAGACAATCGTTGATCTTCGGGATAAACCTTTATAATCCCTATTGACCCTTACCACCCGGAAATACAAATTTAATACTACTTGTACACACTCTTAAAAATCACCAAACCTTCTTCGATCACAACAATGGGGATAATAATAAAGCAAATTTAATTTTGAATTATTTTAATTGGTCTAATACTTTTATTAAACCTAATGTTGAAGCAGCTGCTTCTTTATTTTAGAAGACACTTTTGAATGCTTTAACGTCAATTGTGCCCGTAAAATCCACTATAAATAATCATAATTTCCCTCCTTGGTTTAACAAAGAACTTAAAACTCTAATCTGGAGAAAGTACAAAGCTCATTTAATTTGTATGAAATCAAAACTAATTAAAACTATGAATACTTCTCTAATCTAAGAGCTCAATACAAATCAAAATCAAAAAAAGTTTTTAATGAATTTCTATTACGTTCCGAAAATGAAATCTTAACAAATCCTAAGTAATTTTAGAACTGGGTCTCCGTTAATACGAGCTCTTTTGGTATACCAATTTCTTTATTCTTAGATGATAAAATTGCTAATGATGATGAGGCCACTGCGGATTATTGTCTAATTATTTCTCCTTTATTTATAGTTCATCCCCACTTCTTCCCTTAATATGCCTATCCTTCCTTTAGCCATCCAAAAATTTGATTAATGTCCTTCCCTATCCGATTTTTCTTTTGTAAAATAAATCACTTAAGGAGGGGGTCTTCTCGTCTATCTGGAAAAAAATCATTATTAACCCCGGTTTTTAAAAAAGGTGACAAGTCTGATGTTAAAAATTATAGACCCATTTCTTGGACTTGTTCAATTGGGCAAACTGTTAGAAAAATTTGTTCTCAGACATATAATTAAACCAATCAGTAGTATATTAAATATAAGCTAACATGGATTCAAGCCAGGTAAATTAACTTTAACCTGTAACTTATCTCTACAACAATTTATACTTGACTCTTTCGAGGAAAACTGTCAGGTTGATGTAGTATACATTGATTTTAAGAAGGCCTTTGATCGCATGGAACATGAATTTTAATTATTACATTGGGCCGATTAGGATTCAGAAACCCCCTTCTAGCCTGGTTTAATTCATACTTTACTAACAGATCTCAGTTCACTAAAGTCCATGGTTTCTTCCAGAGTACTACTCTACGTAACATGCATTACCAGGACTTCTGATAACTCAGAAAACAAAATAGACAAAACGACCAAGCACGCTAAAGAACATAGTTTAGAATTTAATTTGATAATACAAGTTTAGCCCTACATTTTCTCCCCGTGGAACTCCAACTTCGACATAAATCTAAAATTAACAAAATTCAAAAAAGAGCACACCCTCCCAATAATTTACAAGAATTTTTGAAACAAAATACTTCAGATTCATACAGATGTCAATTGCTACTACACTTACGCTTCCAAAACATACACAAAGTGTAGGAATAGCAATTATTAATGAAAAATGTATTACCAGATTCAAACGCCATAAAGTTGTTCCGTCTACATGGAGAACGCCATAGTAATCCTCAAATCAGTGGAACACATAATATACTACTATGACCATGGAAAAGTTCGTAAAAGCAATATAGTTCTTTCAGACTCACTTTCCACTCTCATGAGCCTACAAATACTTATATCGCCTCAGATATAGCAAAACTTATTCAGCAAAAAGTAAGCCAATTAAGTCAAATAGGAATTAAAATAACATAATATCAAAAAATAGAACAACGCAACTCAAATTACTACTGCGATACTATCCTAGCAGTAGTATTAAAGTGGGTATTTAAGTTTTATTTTTCTTATCTAAAAAAAAAAAAAAAAAATCCCGATTTACTAGATTTTGGTACATAGTCGATAATATAATAAATAAACTCACTCGTTTTGAGAAACAAGACAAATTCAAAACGTTGCCTTTATTGTCCACAATGATTTCAAAATATCCATCTACCGCATTCCCAGTCTTAAGTGTTTTGGTGGAACATTTCATGAATTTCAAACCGGGTACCGCGGAATCGAGATAATTGTAGTTGCCTGGTAGTTTACAGTAAATCGACAAAGGTCGAATATACTTGGCCTTTATTCGGCCATTGTCTTCCTGAACGCCCAAAAGTTTCATCAACATATCCGCCACTCGTGCACCGATCTCTACGCTGTTATAGTGTAAATGTTTCAGAGTGAGCAGAGAATCGTTTTGAACAAACTCTGCTAATGGTCCTGCAGCGTACACGGATTCGACATTAGTTTCGAAGGAAGAACTCACTACCAAATGACCGTTGAACTTGAACGAAGACCGTATCAATGCTAAAATTAAAAAAGAATTAAAAAAGATACGGATATACTTCGCACGATGGGTGGGCAACTGTAGGTGAAAAGCTGGAAAGGTAGAAGGAGGAATTAAATGTATATCTGTACTCAATGATTAACCATTGCAAACGAAAAACGATTCTGAGTGGAATTCGGTTAATAGTATTGTTTTATAATACTTACAAATTACGTACTATTTACGAATTTCATCAAAATTTTTTAATTAAAATGAATATAAAAAAAAAATACTACTTGAAACTTGATTTTTTTTTTTTGACCACAAATCACGACTCATAATGAGCCTTCTGTTACCGAACAAAAAGTACGTATAAAACCCAAAAAAGTTAAAATGTCTATAAATTACTCAAAAATGATTATAATGTTTTGAAAATTGTACCACGTCTAGAAAAGGCAGAGATAAGTTATCAGTCTCTCAACATCAAATCTCTACAAATATTTTTAACTTAATCAAAACAAAACAAAAAACAAAAAATTGAAAACATATATATTTCGTAAATTTTCCTGTTTTTCCTACGTTTGTTCCCGGTTTTTATGTTTTTTCCGTTTATTATAAAAACAGCTGGGAAAATCAAAAAAATGACCATCTGAAAGTACCATCTCAGTCAGATTTCCTTTCAGAAAAAGTGCTGCAGCTTGAAAATAAGAGAAAAATTTGTAGTGAAAAGTAGTCCACAGAAAAAATAAATATAAATAACAAACAGCAGTCTAAAACAAAGCTGATAAATGGAGAGGAATTTACTGTTTGTAGGTAAGAAGTTTTAAAAGTAGAATACATGAAGTTTTATAATTTATATCTGTATTTACAAAAAACTAATGCAAAGGAAAAATGATTTTGAGCAAATTTCGAATATAAATGTTTTGAAATGCCGTAATTTTTACGATTTTTGACCAAATTTGATCTTAAAACATGCTTATAAAATATTAACTACCACATTACGTTCAACCTTTATTTTTTACTATTAATTACACTGTATTATATTTTTATGAATTTCTGTTTTATTAAAAATTTGAACTACAAAGAAAAATGTTTATAAATAGCCCAATAATTGTACAACGTCTGTAAAATATTGATATTAATTAATCGAGTAGGGAAGTTCAAGGTATTTTTAGATAAATTCAGCGGTGCAAAAAAATAAATCATTTGTGGAGGTTGTATAAATTTAAACCAGATAAGAAGAAGACAAGGTAATAGTGATAATTACATGGTTACCTATAGAGATGGAGAATAAAAATAAATGTAAATGATCCCATCTATATTTGATGAGGTTAAACAGAAGGAAAAAAAGATTAGGTACCATTTGAACAAAATCTTTTTACTGAATATAAAAATAAACCTTTCCTTGCAGTGGTGTTCTAGAAATTTACTTACAGAGCCAATTGATTTTTTTAATGAATTTCTGGTCAAACCAAAACAATCCAGCACAGTTTATTTTTATTTGTCCTTCGTCGTTCGATGTAAATGTCACTTGTTGTATTTTCGTTTGGTTGTAGTTTAATGTCAATTTTTCAAACTTGCATAATTTATACACACGTATATTATGGTTGTATAGTTCTTCGTATACAATTTTTACAATCTATAGGTATGTTAAATTGTGCATATGTAATTGGTATTGGTAGGTTTTTATTTACAGTTATCTAAATACTTACATACTGACTAGTAATAAATTGAAGGTTTTCTTTTTTGACATCGGACTCCACATAAACGATCCGAGATCCATCTATACCACACCCGAGCAGTACATTTATCACCGATAATGATCCTAGGTATTTGCCGTACACGATAACGCCTATTATAAACAATATTGACAATAAGTAATTATACTTAAAAAAAAAAACTGATACTGGGGACAGGTACAACGCCACTGATGTAGTTGGAAAATTGGAACACATAAAATTATTTAATTTATACCTATAACCAATAATAAACCGTTGTTTACATAAAACAACTCGCAAAATTAAGATGTCATTAGGTAGCTCAAAAATGACTCAAATATATTAAAAATTTGACTGCATCTAGAAAAAGCAAATAGTTTTCTGTCAAAATTTCAAGGATTTACGAAATTGTTTAAATAAATTACATTAAAAAAAAAAAACAAAATTTAAAATAACAAAAGAATTATTTTCGTAAATTTTCCCTCTCTTTGTATTTTTTGGTTTTGCTCAATTATTAAAAAAACTACAAAGAAAATCAAAAATGAATTACTGTTTTTCAAATAAGATTAAAAATGAAACAAAAAAGGTTACTTGTCTTTTTTTGGCTTAGAACAATATTTATGGTAGAAAACATCGTTTAATTATAATAAAAACAATGAAAACGGTAACGCCGCGATGTGCTATAAATATTTGCCATTTTACCTTTAATTTCTTTCGCATTTTTCCCAATTATTTTGAAATTATCTTGGAAAAAAAATTTCTTTATCAAAAAAAGACCTTTCTAATACACCAGTTAAACAAAATTTCCTTTCAGAAAAGATATTATACTTTATATATCAGAAAAGATATTATACTTTATATATCGGAGCAATATTTCTTTTAAAAGTTATTTACAGACAAAAAAAAAACCACGTTAAAGTAAAACCAATAAATCCCTCAATACACTCCGAATATAAAACGCACGCCATAGTCAGTGAAACCAACAGGTCCATCGCTATGCCCAGAATCTAAAAACAAAAAAAGAATACACATATCATACTAAAATCTTAAAGATTTTATACTGTTGATGCCCTGATGGGTGTGCCACTTGTATAAGTGAGAAGTTGGGAAGGTAAGACAAATTATATTATTTAATTTATATCAGTATATTAATAATAAGTATAGGTAGGTAAGTCGCAAGTAGGTACTCTTTAGTTAATACTTAGTTAACTTTAAAAAGTCACTGGTATTAATAACGATGGCGCAATACTACTAATTATTATTATATTCTTCGATGATATAAAGAATTCCATGTTCTCTTTGACCTTACTGTAATTATTATCTTGCATTGTTTTGATATAATTGAATGCGTTTATGACATCGTTTTCAGAATTCAGTAAAAATAAATTTTCAATATTGTTGTTTTCATTATTTGATCTATAGTATTAAAATCGTCAAAAATACATAAAAAAAGAGTATTAAAATTTATAAAATGTATTAAATAAATAATATATATATGCATATTAGGCGGGCTGAAAATTGTACAACATTTTATCTTTTTTTTTTTCTTTTTACGTTGAAATGCCACAGACATTTTCTTTATATCTTCCGGTTGTGCAATTTTAAAAGCTGTCAAAATTTGGAAAAATTTAATTTTCACGATTATTTTTAACATTTTGGAATATACCTCTCTTTCCAAATGTAACAGCTCAAATTCGTATGTATTAAAAACACAGAAAATAATATTTAAATTCATCAGTATCTTTAGGTTGCGCAATATTTTTAAAGTTAATACAATTTAAAAAGACCTGATACCTGGGACGGATGTACCATTGCTATAGGTGAGAAGTTAGTAATGTATTAGATGCGTAAAGTTATCTTATTTCTATCTGTAAACAACAATAAACCATTGTTAATAAAAACCGAATCGGTGAAATGTACGCTTATATGTAGTAAGCATACTTGCTTTGAAAGGCTATAATATTTATGATTTTATTTAAAATTTGATATTAAAACTTATAAAAAGAAATAAAATACTTCATTACACTCTATTTTTTTTTTTTTTTTTTTTTTGGTCACTAAGTGTAACTCATAATGAACCTTGTTTTAAATTTTCAAACATTTCGGTTTGATTGAACAATTTTATCCATAGAGTACTTTACCAAATAAAAATTAAGTAAAAAATGACGGACATACTTTGCACGCGGGTGCAGCCCCACTATTATAGATGGGATGTTGGGAAGATTTATGAAAAAGGCATTAAATTATAACATATTATATTTTTAATACTAATATTGAATTAACAAAATTATATCAGCTTTTGTTGATTTTTGTGTCAGTACATTAAGAACTTCTTCGGAATCAATTGGGACTTCTTTAGGAACGGCTAACAACGTTAATTCATTAAGACGTTTCTAAAAATCACTTATTAAATTTTTTGCTATAAACAATTAATAACAACAATAAAAACCCGGAAAATTATTTTTATCTTGGTTCGGTGATAGTATCGGGATATTAATATATTGTTTATATCAGTTGTATATGAACTCAAATGACTATAAAACTAAAATCGGGATAAAGATATTGAGTCTGTAATCACAGACATATAAAATATAAACACGGTCTATAACCATGCATGGTTTCTAATCTGTATACAAATATTATGGAAAATGATAACGAGTAATAAATATGTTTATTGATTATATTTATTTATTTAATTATTATCACTAAATAAAGTTAGACAGGAAACAGTTAAACAGGAAACTCTATAATACCTAGGAAAACAAAAGGCCATCCCCTGTATACCCCCTCCCCCCATGGAACGCTCATGTACCTGCATTAAATATTATTATATATAAATCACCTCAAGTCCTTTCTACACTATCAGATGTGTAGTTAAAATTTAAAACTCATAACTAAAAAGATATCCTAGAATAATGGGGATGACGCATGGATATGATAGTTATTCCTTTTAAATTGTCTTGTCTTTAGAATTCATTGACGTCCAAACATTATTATTTCAATTACGGAGTCGACAATATTAAGTAAATATTTAAACAGGTTCCTTGAAGATTGTATTAATTGGTATACAAGTGTTGGTTTTTAAAGTACGTTGTTGTTTCAAAAATAAACTACATTGTCATGCATGATTTAAAAATAATTCCAATTATTTTTTAAAGTTAAGTAGTAGGACTTTCTACTACAGTTCGGTTTGCTACTGCTTCGTAACAGAAACTTCAGGAAAAATTAAAACATAGCTGAGTCTAGTGATGGTTTTATGAGAAAGACTCTACTGTCAAGGTCAACTATGTCTTCGTCTATAAATCAGATTCCAAAATACCTTCAGCTAAGAATGAGTGAAAACAGACATGGTCAATTGTTCAACACGAGTTTCTTGAATTCCCGACACACAAAAATTTAATTTGTTCATAAAAAAAAAAAATAGTGTAAAATATTAAATCTTGTGTTAAATAATAAAAACTAAAATAATAAACCATGCTGTTGGTTAGTATTTTTTTTTTCTTAAACCATAGTCTACCATTATTTGTTAAAATGTATTTTAATGTCATTAATTTTGTAAGCAATACGTGAAAGAAAGATTTAAATAATTTTTAAGTATTTTTTCGCGGTATTTACAGTATTTAAGAATTTGAGGTGTTACATTTGGGAAGTGAATAATATAAAAATGTTTAAAATTAACGTAGATAACGATGTGAATTTTTCCAAATTATGGCAAATTTTAACCAGAAGATATGAACCGATATTATTTTTTTTCCCCCCTATAGTCCCCGAAATTCACAAATTTTCCTAATATATATATATATATTTATAATATACACTATATATTTACGATTTGATATTGTTAAGTTTGTGATGTTTATGCGATTTTGTGTCGTCGTCTTTAACGCTGTACGTAAACTGTTCGCCGTTAAATAAAAATAAATAATCATAATATATAGAATCATCCCCGTTAACTGTGATACATTTATCGGCTCTGGAACAAGTTTTTTTTTCTAAATTAATATGATTGTATATACTAAATATAGTTTCTGAATTGATCAATTAATTCTTTGGTCTTAATAATGAAGACCTTAGGTCAATTTTTGTTATTTTGTTTATAATTTTGTCTTATGTGATATTTTTGCTTTTATTTTTTTTTGGAATGCATGGTATGAGTGTGTTTATATTTTAATACCATATTATGAGTATATTGAGAATTAAAATATTATAACTCGCTCCGATATATTTTTTTAAATTTTTTAAAAAAAGTATAAGTCATGTTTACATAGCGATTTAGCCATTTATACATTTTTTTATATTATTTCAATTATATTAAAAACTATAAAAAATTAACTTAAGCCCTTCTAAAATGGAACCAAAGAATATCAAGATAGCATATCAAATATAATTTAGAATGAATACGATTTCTTACGCGGTTATAGATTAAATTATACACGAGGTATATTAAAAAAGTACTTAGACTATATTTTGAATTTTGCGCCAATGGATCGTCGAATCCTACTGTTATTAATATTACTGGCTTTTGAAACTTCTCCTAAGCACATCTTTTTTTGTAGATTCTTTATCACCTTCTTAGTTTTAATGTAACACATATTTTTTATGACTTCCTAACTTTCTGAAGTATATTATACCAATTTTCTTCTTAATGTAGAATTATTAGGCTATCTTTTGACGACGATGAGAGGCGCGTAAAATCCCGTAAAATCGAACGGACTGTAGAATTCTGGAATTTAATTCGTGTAGTCTTGGACTGTAGAAATCCGGAAAAGTAAACACACAAACCATATTTTTACGGACCGTATTCGCCAAGGAAGAAAACAAAATTCGCAATTATAAGCGAAATCTGTTGGTTATTTTATCTTTTATATAATATAATTCTTAAGAGCATTAGAAGCGGTAATTTATTAAGAGGTTAACCTATAGGAAATTTTTGATTTTATGTATTACGCGTATTATCTATGTGAGTAGTCAATGGTTATTATTAATAATACATAACTAACTTATTAGTGTAATCATTTATTACCGTATACCTCCCTGTGACCACTACAATTTATTGTGTATAATCAGTTTTTCAATGACGATTTTATAAGAGGATGGGATAATAATAACATTATTGTTACTGGCATCCAAAATAAAAATAGGTTATTGTAATTTGTTAATTTGTAATAGGTAATAATAAATCTATTAGGTTTGTTCCAACACACGATGAAACTATCACAACTAGCGAGCGCATACGCAGTAGAGTTTTGCCGTTCCAACACGCCAAAAACGTAAACTTAAATTGTAATAATAATAAAATGGATTCCCCGAAATTGTGGGTTTTGATAGTTTTGCAAACGCAATAATAGCCGTCGCAAAGAAGAACATATTCAGAGGCTTCAAACAAGACGTTTTACACGGTTGGTCAGAGTATTGTAAGAAAATTTATAAAGAATTGAATATGTCGGGCGATCCTGAACTGGAAATTAAGTTATTGAACACCCCGAATGAAAGTAGGAAAGAAAGTTAAAGAAAAAAAGCAAAAAACTTGTACTTTACCCACTCTAGCCGTAAAATATGGAGTCTTATTCGGAGATTAGATAGTGAGCAAATTTCAGTTCCAAAAAATAAAGCAGTTTTACCAAATAATATAACCTGGTAAGTGTGTTGAAAATGGATACAAATAGAACATGGACTCAGTCTACAATGGAAAAACTTCGAAAAAGAAGAAATTATTACCTAATTATAGCAATTAACCACCCCAAGTTATGACAACCTATATATTTGCTTTATTAGGGACCATATATATTCTCCAGTGGCATGAAGTATAGCCCTATACAAGTGTGCAATCTAGACAGTATCAGCGGCGGAAGAACGAATACAACTTGAAGCATTCGAAATGTGGGATTATAGAAGAATATGTTGAAGATAGATGTTATTATTCAATCAATATAGAAGTACCTAATCAAAAGAATATTTAGAAAGAAAACTATAATGGAACAATAAGGCAAGAAGATGAAATTATAGATAAGTCATTCAATACGACATTAGGAATTGTTAGAAATAATTATACGAGGGAACGTAGAAAGGAAGAAACATAAAGGAAGTCGAAGACTGGAATTAATACAGGGTCAAGGATGCAACTCATGTATTTTACAAGTGAAAAGGAAAGTAGAAGCTTGAAAGATGACTACAAACCATTATACGGATGAAACCAATGAATTTATTTATATGAATTAAACATTTAGTGACAGTTTTAGAAAAGTAAATATTCATTTTTAATAAAAAAAAATAATAAGATAATAATAAATAATTCAAATAATCGATCTCTTAAAAGTACCAACTAGATCAGCGTTTCCCAAATTCTTTTACTCGCGGAACCTTTGTAGGAGTTTGAACGTTTTGTGGAACCCCCATATTTTTTCTATAATATCAATGCATACATATGTTTTGCATACATAAATGAGTGGGTTGTTGGACACATCCGACACATTTATTATTTGTCTGTCATTATCTCCAAGATAGATTCAATGAGAAGATTGGAATCATTGCATAGTTTGCTTCATAACTTTTTTTAAATCTGGAGTTATTCCTGAGAGTTGGATTCGTAAGTCCGGAGCTGCGTTCAGTTGATTTCGAAACTTATTCTTGGTNAATGAGTGGGTTGTCGGACACATCCGACACATTTATTATTTGTCTGTCATTATCTCCAAGATAGATTCAATGAGAAGATTGGAATCTTTGCATAGTTTGCTTCATAACTTTTTTAAATCTAGAGTTATTCCCGAGAGTTGGATTCGTAAGTCCGGAGCTGCGTTCAGTTGATTTTGAAACTTATTCTTGGTCTTTGTATACGCTGAAAAGCCAGTTTCACACAAGTAGGAAGTTGGAAATGGCAATAAAATGGTGACAGCTTTTATGGACAATTGTTCGTAATCACTTTCCATGGCAATCCAGAACTCCTCAATTTCAAGTGACTCGAACTTAATTTTCAATTCAGAAGAAGATTTTATTTCAAGCAAACTTTCGTATTCATTTGATGAAAGTACTTTTGGCTTTTTCTGAATTAAAAATGGATTTTGTACCCACAAATTATTAAAATCTTCATTTAATCCTGGAAAGTAGGAAAGTAATCCAGATTTTAAACTAATTAAATGGCCTTATTTTTTTCTGCATTTATCGGTGTCACTGAGCTTTCATTTTCATATAAGAATTTATTCAGGTTGGAGAAACATGGAAAATCATTTTCTTGTACACATTCGACCCAAAAGTCCAACTTTCCAATGAGAGCTTTAATCTTATCATTGGCTTGAAAGATCGAAGTTTTTTTTCCTTGTAAACTCAAGTTGGTTTCGTTTAACTTGTTGAAAATATCAGAGAGGTATGCTAAGCTTTATATGAAAATTTTCATCATGAAACCATTCATAAAGATTTGTTTTTGTATGCTCCTTTAGGAAAATTATTACTTCATCTCGCAATTCAAAAAGTCTTGTTAAAACTTTGCCCCTGGACAACCACCTGATTTCTGTATGTAAAAGAAGATTCTGATGGTCACTCCCCATTTCCTCACAGAGCTTCTTGAACAGCCTTGTTTTTAAGGGGCGTGATTTTATAAAGTTCATGCACTGAACAGCGACATCTAGTACTGATTTAAAGTCTGTCGAAAGTTTCTTGGTTGCCAATGCATGGCGATGTAAAACACAGTGGGTGTTACTACATTTTGTAGCTACCTCTTTAATTCTAGTTATTACACCTTTTATCTTTCCAACCATTGCAGCAACACCATCCGTGCATAAAATTGGTTACAGTTAATTAATCTGAAAACAAATTCATCTTCAATGTGGTCAGAAATTTTATGAATTCGATCAGAAATGGTATTGTTTGAGCACTGCACTGCTGCAACTTTTTTTCCCGCATCATCTCCAAGAATACAAGAGACCACTTCTATCATACTATTTTATCATACATTTTCGATAGTAGCTTTTTGGAGAGGAGCAGCTTCACAGTGAAAAGTCGAGTTTTCCAATGGAACAGACGAAGTGTGACTTTTACATGTAGATGTTAAACCGGCCTTCTCTACTGATAATAATCGCCCCGTTTTGAGCCATGTGTCCATTTCAGTAAAAATTATGAAGGAACCGGTACCAAAACTGCACCGACAAGAAATGTTAGATTTTACAGAAAATGAGAGTTATTCGTGATAGTAATAATTGAACACTAAAATTCAAACGTTAAAATTAAAAATGACAACAAGTATTTTGTAATGACGAGACACACTGGCCAACTGCTCGCTAATGACTACAGAGAAGATAAACGAATACCTAGTATCAAATATAATTATATGTATGGATCGACAACCAACAATATTATTATGGCATTATTAACGTGACGAGACCCATCGGCCGACTGCTCGCTAATGACTGCAGATAAGATAAATTAATACCTGGTAATATAAGCTATAAATATATATGGATCGACAACTTTCAATATTGTTATGGAATTATTAACGTTATAACGAATATTTTATCATAAGATAAGGAAACGTCCTAACGAGAAGAGGAGCTATTTGCCTATTATGTTCGAATTATAATTCAAATTAAAAATATTTTTAAATAATTTATACTTCCCAAATTTTTTACGGAACCCTTGGCGCCGGCTCACGGAACCCTTAGGTTCCGCGGAACACCAGTTGGGAAGCACTGAACTAGATTAATTTTACTACTAGAATTGTAGATGTCGAAGGTGTTAATAAAATAATTTTTTCTAGTATAAATCTGCACTCGAACACATACAAATTAAAGCATGTATTATTGTAAACACTCCGTTCAGAATCTAAAATCATATATGTAATCATTAAAAAGATTTAATTAAAAATATATATTATTTGTCGGGTGCCAATGCTCTGCTACAGTAATCTGTAAGTATTATAACAGCGCCTGTCAACAGTACATTCACTAACACAATGTGAGTGTTCATTTAACTTAGTCTCATCTTAATATAAGCGCAAATGGTATTTAAGATTTGGGATAGGGTTTAAGTCTGGGATCTCAGAATGTGTAGTAATAACCACCTATTAAATGTCCTCGCTATACTCAGTTTCAAATGTACCTATAAACATGTGTTAACATTCTTACATTGTTTTTTTTTTTTGCTTCGTATACAGTTACGGATCGTAATATTTGTTTGTCTATTTGAAAACCCGTTAAAAGTTCAAATCATATTTTAAAATACAATTGCAGTGATATTTCACATTACTTGATGGAGTTAGTATATCTTAAAATTTGGATTCCGGGAGTATACAGTCCGCAACTATACGGTTTGTGTGTTTATTTTTTCCGGATTTCTTTCGTCCGGGACTATACGGTTTACGTATATATTTTTTCTAAGGAGAATATGGTCCGTGACTATACGGTTAGTTAATTTTTGAATTTATACAGTCTGTGATAATACAGTCCACGTACATACATTTTCGGAATTCTACGGTCCATGAGATTATTTTCCTGGATTTTATATGCGTCCTTTCCCATTATCCGACCTAATTTTTTAAGATCTATTTATATGATGTGTTTTGCGAATCACCCTCAGAGATCTTATAATTTATTAATCATTATCCTAGTATTTAAGTACTAACCTAAATATGTAAATATCTCTAGTCTCTATTTAAAATCTGTTAGGCATTAACTATATATATATATATATATATGTATAACATAATATGTTTTGTAAAAATAAAGAAATAAATCTACAAAAATATATGTGATCAAAAGTCACAGAATCTAGTGATATCAGTTCTACTGCACTTGGGTACTCCATTGGTGCACAATTCAAAGAGTCTCGGTAAATTTTGATCACACTTCGTAGTGTCGCACAGTTGACAGTTGAGGAATGCAGTTTTTATCCTTCTTTTTTTATTAAAGAATTTTAAGTCTTTTAAACTTGTCTGTAATACTAATACACCAGTAATCAATACATTTACTCCCACCGAGAGCACATGCAATTCTATTACATCTTGGTAATTCGTTTGTGCGTCACTACAAAATACATACATAAACCAACTAAACAGCCATATGTATAAGAATAAAGTCTCATAAGAAATACAAAGTTGACCGTCGTAGAGAGAGGGAAAATGATGTCAATTAACCCACTAAGTATTTTTTTGATTTATGTAATAGAAATCAATGTCAACTACTCGATTTTAAATCGGTTTCACATTAATATCACATTATTCATCGTGTACACAAATAGTTCATGTGTTATTTAATAAAATTTGCATTTTTGGTACAACAACTAAGTTTTTCATTTACTTATATAAATACATAAATAACATATATATTTATATTATATACATAAAGAAAAATAAAATATATGTATTGCCACAAACCTATTAATCGCTGTTACCGTACCGACGATAATATCAATAAATGTATTTATTCCCATGGACTTCATGCACTCGTAATTATAGTGTGCTACTTTTGGAATCATACAATCCTCTAAACCGGTTAAATTGACTTGATACGGAATGCCACCGTCGGATACCAGTATTATGTTTTCGAAGCTTTTACGATAATTAACGGAACTACAGATACAAAACACTGAGTTATTCATAAAAAAATATTTATATTTATCTACTCCAAAACCATAATATATATTATATTTACTGAATTATACATTTCTATTTTTATTCGAATATAAATACCCAATAAATAATACAATTTAATTTGATTTAAGGACTGATAAAATTGTTTGTTTTGGATTATAAAATAGATATAGGGCACTATATTTTATAATGACTTCTGCATTTATAAAATTATTTGATCATTCATATTTTTAATAGTATTTTTTCTTATATTTTTAGTTTAAATTGGTTCAAAATTATTATAGATTATAAATAATAATGTATTAATTTACTTGAATAATAAATTTTCTAAAAACGATAAGGCTACAACCGATGCTCCAACCACAACGATCTTGGCATCTATTGAAATATGTTGTAAAGTACATAAGCGCATGTTCATATGAAATAATGCAAACTTTTCGAAATCGTGATCGATATCATTAACTTCTTCGTTATATTGTATACGAGAACGAGGTTTAACGGGTATTAATTCTTTTATTCCGGTTATATAAGATAATTCGTGCTGTTAACAAAATTAATTCAATTCTAATTTCCAAACGCTTTTTTCAAATATTTAATCATTGAGATAATAATAAACGACATAATTTTGAATCAGTAAAATTACATACTTGTTCCATAACTGTGGGATCTGAATAAAGTTTATAAAACATACAATTTATATTGCTGTCTTCCATTACATATCTTAAAAAACAACGAATATTCTTTACAAATATCATTTGCAAATCCAAATTGAGTAAAGCGGCCATATGATTTCGACCATTATCAGGGTACAAGTACCGAGCCACATCGAAATGACTACTCAACATTTCCATTTCATCGGTTAATCTATATTAAATATAAATATAAATATAGGTATTACCTAAATGAAAAAACAAAACATTGACATTTGTTGTCAGTTTTTAAAATGTTTTAGAAAAATGTTAGGAAATTGAACATATTTTTCATACTCGTAAAAAGTTTCACTCGATAAAAATTCTCATCTTTTAAGGTAACGAATTGATTAATTTTGAACATTTTTACTAACCCAAAAAGTGGTTCTTAATAAAATGAATAGTAGCTTCTTCGCTAAAATAATTGCAAGTGTACATAAAATATACATAAAGTGAGCCGTAATTATTCAACAATTTTCCATTTTAAAATGGCATTCAAATCATAATAGGTAACTACTATTAACAATCAATGCAAACCAGTGTCATATGGGCGATTGTTCTGAGGTGTACACAATTTTAGGAATCTCACAAAATCGTTTTTAGAACTGTTTATTGATCAAAAAAGATATTGAACTCAGGGTGTCGTTTAGGGGGGGAGGGTGTAAGATGTATTTTCGTGATCCTATTTTTTCTAGTATAGCCCGGAGTTACAAAATAGAAGGAATTGACCCGGTATACAAATTAATGGTCCGAAATAAAAATTACTTATTACATATAAAAGTGTCGTCGGATGTATCAAATTTTGATGCGTCCCTTCATTTAATAATTACTGTCAATTGGTACTATATTATAATAATTATATTCCCACATTATGTCCTTTAAATTTAAGCCTTACCCATTTGATATGTATTTAATTGTCGCTAATGTTTTAATTATATATCCGTTCTAATCGCAAATCCAGTCATCCCCATACTCTCTTCCTTCTATCCAATGTATTTAGCCCATTGTACTATAATAAATACTATTACAAATAAAACAAAAAAAATAAAAGAGGTTATATTGCAGACAGGTACAAGTAAGTAGTTAGTTATCTACCTACAATCTATAAACTACGAAGTATACATGAAATATGTTCTTAATACAGCTTTCTGAAAAATATGACTTGCCCCCAACCAAGTCTCTGGAACCACCTCTTGAGGGGGTTATATTTTTGTTTTATTTTATTTAGGTAATCGGTATTAATTTAGTTATTGCACAATCGTATATAATAAAGATAACAAAATATCCATTCTTGTCAACTTGTTGAACATAACCAGTATTTTGGAATTTACTTTTCAAAAATGTCACCAGAATTTTCTTCGGCTCAATCAATACTCGTATAAAATAAAATGCTGTATCCTAATTTTGATAGCCGATACGCTTAAAAATCTTCCTAGTACTTTAGTGTATTAATAGAATTTTTAAAAATTTTACATTTTATCAAAACACTTCTAGTCACTACTCCTTCAAATGAGAGATTCTTTTCCTCATTAAAAATAATAATATCTTGCATAAGAATCATAACAGACAAAGAAATTTTAAGTGATATGATGGTAATCGAAGTGCAAAAAAACGAAGCAGGCCAAATAGATTTTTTTTAATCCTCTTTTACTTCGCAAAGCGAACGTTTTGATTAAAAAATTCTCAAAAATAAATCTTAACCACGAACTGTACATTAATAATTTTATTGATGATATGACCAAAAGACGATTAAAGTCTAGAAACCCCCCATTAAAAACAGCTAAGGATCTAATTAATACAAACTTCGATATGATGACTAACTGGAAACAAACATGGGCAACTGCAGTAGAAAACGACAACCTCTTATTAACATATCACTAGGACATAAACTCACTGGATTTTCCCTGCATCGCTATCTGTGGTGCACACCTAATAGAATACAAACTTCGCATTGCAGATGAACAGATTTCTTGCACAAATGTGGCATAAAAAACTCACCAGAATGTGATTGCGAAGCAGAACAGACCATCTACCACATAGCTTTTGTATACTCTATCCACAACTATCGAAAACCCAGAATCGATTCTCTCACAAATGTTTCCACATTTATTAAATAGTTGAAGAAACTAGATCTTAAAATCTAATATCATATATACTGATCCTTATTAGTTATTACTATTACTCACTATTTTTGATACTACTAAGTATTCTATTTTGTTTTGTTTTATTTTTATTAATCTGTTATACACTACTTCAATTTACTGTATATTATCATATTATAGTTAGTCTAATGTATGAACCATATACTAAAAAAAAAAAATAGCAATACATTGCACCAATTTTTTAATTTTGGAGGAGGAGGGGATGTTCAATTAAAGAAGACATCCTCACAAAATACGCTACTGATACAAACTAATGGAATAAATAGAATAAATATGTTGAGTTAATATTGTTACCGAATAACACAGTAACCAATAGGTCGGCTGTTGCATAGAAAAATGTATGTTTTATATCTCGTATCTTCAAAAACCGATTTGGATATATTATTTGATATAATATTCTTTAAAGGGTGATTTTCAATTAAGCTTTCCATGATTTCTAAATGGTCTTTTGTGACCATAACACAAGACAAATCTCTGAAATAGAACAAATGTTAAAACAGTATAAGAAATCGGAGACAATTATTTATTAACTATTATATACTCACCCAAATAGTGATGATCGATGTAGTAAATAAAGTAGACCAAAAGAGTATTCTCGGTTATGTTTCAACTGGGCTTTCTACAATTAATACATATCAATATTATTACAAAAAAAAATAATGTAAAATTTAAAGTATAATGTAATATATAACATGTACACACACAAAAAAACTTTTTATACTCTGGTGGAGTCGGCATTGTACGCAAATTCATTAAACAATAATCATACTGCGGAAATTCGTGGAAAAAGGCGACTAAATAATCCCATGAAGCTCTGTTAATGCGATTATAATTATGTATCAAAAAAATGATAATAAAAAAAAAAAAATCATCATTATTACTTTTTTGTTTCAGCTTCATCAATTAACATTAATTCGACCATAAAAGCAGTGTTTTGATAATTTAACTTGATAGAATATTTGTTTAGAAGTACATCTTCTGAACTGCTTAAGTAGTATGTATCATTCTCATTTTTAGTAGGTACTTCTTGGAACTTCAAGAAATCTTTAATTATATCTAGCATAATTGACAGTATAATAATATAAAGTATAGTATAATATCCAAAGTATTATATATTGGTTTTTACTATGAACCTAATTTCCATTTGCTTATTTCGGGGATGGGGATTTATAATAATATTTTTCAATGCCAATAATAATTTAATAATTAGACATTTACTAAACTAAATGTAAAAATAACACCTCTGTACTTATTTAAAAATAAATTTGAGACTTACTAGTGAGTTTTGCATCACACAATCCTTTAAAATTAAAATCGCGCTTATCCGTGGAAATGCCTACAGAAGACTCATCGGAGGAACTTTTATCATTTTGCAAAGACAATGTCACATTCTCATTTTTATCAACAAGTTGTTTCGTTGTCGATTCACTATAAATAAATTAATAAAGTAATTAAAATTCCTATTATAATTTTAAATTTATTTTAACATATTAGGTATCATTAGGTAGCACTCAAATGTTGTTGTCCTGAGGGGATAAGGATAAATTTTAAGAACTATAATAGTTTACATTATTTATTTTATAACTATAAAGATATTAATTATGTAATATAATCTGCAGTGTTATTTTAAGCATGCTCACCTCATATTTACAGTTAAATTATATATAAATTGAAAATCTGATTTTTAGAATTTTTTAATTTTTAAATTGGGTGATATTTTCGAATACATAGATTTTTTAATGAGTTCTTCAAATGAAAACCTTTATAACACCAAGCAACTAAAGATAACACTTTTAAAGAAATTAGGTACATACTGTATCATAAGAGTCGTGTATTAGCAATTTCTTGTTTTAAATCGTTATAATACTTTAGTGTTTAAAGTATAATAACACGAAAACTATTCATTTAAATGTTGATAACAACACGTCAAAATTAAAAAAAAAATTAATTTAATTGACAATTCGCGTTAAAACATATAGGTTCTTATTTAAAAAAACCAAATGTATTATTATCACACGATGCTTCTTGATGGTTGTGAAAAATCTAAATATTCGAAAATATCGTCTTTTACTACAATTAAAAATTTTAAAAATTAGGATTTTAATTTATGCATAATTTAACCATGATCACCATTAGGTGATCATGCTTAAAACTTACCCTGTAATTATAAATATTTAAGAGAAATAGAAGAGATATATCCCCCCTTCCGTTAGATCACCCCTGTTAAGTATATTATTATTAAGCATATTTTATTAATTTACCGATTCGTATACAAAGTGATTTGTTTAGATTCTGAGCGGAGCTCGGTTTTACAATGTTTACTTTTTTTTCCTGTGAACAACTTTTCTACTAGCAATTGTGCTCCGATTTACAATAATAGCACTTTTTCTGAAAGGAAATCCTATTGGGCAGGTACTTTAAAAGAGTCATTTTTTAATTTTCTTAGGAATTTTCTCAATAAATTTGAAAATTTTTAAAAAACGTAGGAAAAACCAGAAAACGGGAAAATAGGTAAAATATTAAACAAATATTATGAAAAAAAAAGTTTAATGCATATGTAATTTTACCTTAATATGAAATATATATTTTTAACAAAGCAACACTATCAACTCAACTGCGGTCAGAATCGTTTTTTCGTTAATTATGGATTATCGTTCCTTACAGATACAAATTAATATCCCCTCTATATCCTCTATATATATATATATAACTAAAAATAAAGACTGACATACTTTGCACGATAGGTGGGCCACCGTTGTAGATGAGAAGTTGGGAAGGCAGGAAATAAAGGGTAATTTAATTTAGATCTTTAAGTAAAGATAAATCTTAAATTAATCATTGCTAACGAAAAACGATTCTAAGTGGAGCTCAGTTTATAATATTGTTATTTTAACAATATATATGTCATATTATAGTAAGTAAATATATATTGAAACAATTTGTATTTTGTATAGACCGGTAACTAAATTTTTTCCACATAATTTCTTACTAAAACGATTTTCGTCAAAATTTGATATTAAAATTTTAATCTAAAACATGCTATATTAGATTCAATTTGTTATGTTTTGATCACAAGGTACGTCCGTATGACATATAATTAGCCTCCTGTTCAATTTTCAAGCATGTCTGTTTAGTCCAACAATTTTATACCTGCCAAATAAAAATTATTCACAAAATTAAAATGTCTATAAATGTTAATCAAATGTAAGTTTTACGACGTCTAGAAAAGGCAAATATAAGTTTCATGTCCAAATTTTAAATCACTGCGAATATTTTTAACTATTTTATAAAAGCGTTATTTTCGTAAATTTTCCGACATTTTATCTCGGTTTTCTCAATTATTATGAAAACTGTTTAGAAAATCAAAAAATGACCTACTCAAAGTACCATGCATATAAAATATCCTTTCAAAAAAGGTGCTTTACTTGATACACTGAAACAAGATTTTGTATACAAAAGTTTACACAACAAATCAAGGGGGTTTTTCGATTAATAATATAATCCGAGTGAGCTTGGGTCTCTAGGTACACCCAAAATACATTTGTTTTTGCCCTATTTAGTTTAAAAAAACTCTGGTTTGAACCTATGATCTCTGGGGTGACAATAGGTAAGTACCACCATTATACTACGACAGACATACTATATAATTGTCATTGTTGAGTTATTTAACATCATACATATTATAAAATCCGCATAATTTCTTAACTTAGTCAGTTCGCTGAATTCTGACTTCACCATCGTTCTTAAATCGACAATATACGCATTTTCAAAAAAAATTTAAAAATTAGATTTGTTTCAAATTATTCTTACTCAAACGATTTTCGTCAAAATTTGAAATTAAAATTCCTTTGTAAAATACTACTTAAGCTCTAATTTTTTTTGACCGAAAAGTACAAAATTTAATGATCCTCCTGTTACATTTATAAGCTATCAGATAGACATCGAATTGGAGAAAAATTAAAATTTTATTTTCATTCCTTAAAGACAAAAAAAAAAATTAACTTTTTATTTATTCACTTTAAAAAATTTCGAAATAGCCATTTTGTAAAAGATATTATTCTAAAAATTTGAATGTATTACGCATTTATATCAGATGTATACACATTTATATTTCTTTTTTATAGCCATTTTAATTAAAAAACAATTAATATTTAGTTAAATAATAAAAATCTGTCGTATTCATGTGTGGACACACTGTATATTCATACTAATATTTTTCATTCGAAACTGTGTTTTAAAAGGTGGGTTCATAAATTTTTAAAAACAATCGTGTATACTTATTTAAAGTACATGGATAAGGGGTACAAATTAAAAATTGTTTTTAAATAAAATTTAACCGGTACCATAATAATTAATAAAAAAATCAGATCTACTTAAAATTTCTGGTTCATCAAAAAAAATCACCCTATGTATTGAATACTTCAACAAATTAACAGCTATTATTTTTTTTGTCGAATAATTATGTTTCATAATAATATCTTGATTTTAAATAATATATTATAGTAGGTACTCACACGACGGACAATGGACTATTTACGCTTTCTATAGTTCCAATAGGCTGGTTGACGTCTGCAGTTGGTCGCAAAATACCCTTATGTATGATTTCATGGTCTTTGAACTTGATTAATCCCGCAAATGGTTGTAAATCAAATACACTGTCTAACAAAGAATAATCAACAACCGTGGTTATAGTCATCAATCCATTTACTTCATTCTAATGAAAAAAAAATCATTAGGTCCATGATTCGTAGATTACCTCGGTTCTACTTAATTTAATTACAGTTTAATGAATTTAAAACGATATAATACATGTAATACGGAAAAAACATATATTCTACAATATTTTATGTTGTTAATAATAATCATTGCGCTATTATTTTTTGTCATTTTGCCTTATAGGAATATTTTTTCTGGAAGACTCTGAAAGTTAAACGAATTTGATAGACTTATTTCCTGAAATATACGATGTGATGCCAAATTCACGGTAAAACTACACAAAAACTGAAAGTTGCCGAGAGAGGACTCTAAGTACCCACACTCGTTTGTTAGACGTTGTTTAAAAATTGTTAAAATTTGTTAGATATGTTTTCCTTTATATAATTAATAACAATTCTATTTCAGAGTTTAAATTATTTTAGATGTCACTATTGAGATGTAAACAGTACAATAATAATACAGCACATTATTATTAGGGGATCATGGTGAATTGATCGCCGAAATAAATTAATTATACAAATACAATGGTTTGTTTTGTATAGACTCCGAGTTTTATATACTACAAAATAAAATTCCTTTTAAAATATTATTAAATAATTAATATTGTTGTTATAATTTGAATTGGTTCTTTCAATATTTTATTAAAATTATTATAGTAATATACCATCTATAAAAGTCGAAAATGTTGTCAAGGGAATTCTAAAAATAATCAGATTTTCACAATAACATCAATAAGCGTAGATTGCAAAACTTATCAAATACAGCCGTAGATTATTAGTCCAGTACAGGGTGATCATATTTGAAAAAAAAAAACAAGAATACATTTTTATAATAAATTTTTGCAATGAATGAAAAAAAATGTATTGAAAGTAAAACAACCGGTTGTATTTTAAAAAAATCATACATTTTACAAGTTTTATTCTGATGATAATTGTAGTTTCTTTTTATTTGCTAAGTCGTATTTTTGTGATGAATTTATTAAATCAAATAGTTAATTTTGTTTTAGAAGAAAATTATAAAATTCATTAATGAATAATTTTTGAAATAATTTTTAACAATAAATATAGCTTTTATAGTGTCTATAAGAAACGATTTTCTTCATCTTTCCACAGTATATATTTATTGAAAAACGTTATTTCAACTGCTGCATTTGATTCGTGCATTGCCAAAGCATATCCATTACAGGCGCGTCCATAAGCCGTATTATGTTCATTTTTTGTTATACAAAATATTCATAGTTTTTAAGTACAAATGCAACTGATACCAAATATCATAAAGATGATTCCGGGTCTTGGAAATAGTTTGATTGGAACAAGAAAGAAACACTTCTCATTTATAAATTTCAATGTTCTCTCAAGGGTGAGATAAAATTATGGAAAACTAAGTGGGAACAATCATTTTTCAAAGATGTAATAAAATAATATATTTTAAAAATCAAAATTAGAAATAATTAATTTAAATTATATTTTAGATTATGAGTGTAGCGAAGAATGTATCTATAGCAGGGGTCTCCAACCTACGGCCCGCGGGCAGGATCCGGCCCGCCAAGCTAATTAATGTTTTGAAAATAATATATTCATTTTCATTGTTTTTAATTTATTTTTTATTGAAAATGATTAATAAAATAAAATAAATTTATAATATTTTCTTTTGGTAGGTATTATTCATAACAACTTATAATAGTTATACATATATACTAATTATTAGTATATATGTATATATGTAACTAATAATAGATCGTCAATAACTCGTCAATCACACTTACTTGACTTATATTGTACTCGAAACTTACGCGATGATGGTCAGATAAGATACGATCGACTTTTTCTGTTGTAATAATAACGCTACCGAACGTGTAATCGACGGGTTTTTCTAACTGCGCGAGTCTACTGTAATGTATCGAGTATATAATATAGAATAATTTGTTATGATTATTGCAGTTTAGTGTTGTTTCTTATCGAGTGTAGTGCTCTGTGCTGTATTAAAATAAATATGAGCTTAAGTAAAAAACGGAAAATCGATACAGAGTGCCGTGTTTTTAACAAAAAATGGAATAATGACTATTTCTTCATTGAACAAAACAATGTTGCTTTATGCGTTATTTGCAAGGAAAAGGTTGCTGTTATGAAAGAATACAATATTGGTAGACATTATAAAAGTAAGCNCTATCTGGTAAACTACGATCAGACAAGTTTGAAATATTAAAACAGAATTTACTTTTGAATACAATTGCGCGACGTACCACAGATCTCGGAAATGATATTCGTCAATTAAAAGATACTGCTACAAGCTTTCAATATTTTTCAATTGCTTTGGATGAATCTACTGACACTTCAGACTCAGCGCAGGTACTTTTATTCGTTCGCAGAGTCAATGAATCTTTTGAAATAACCGAAGAATTGGCCACCATCCGCTCAATGAAAGATTCATGTACTGGTAATGAAATTTTTTTGAAGGTAAAAGAATCTATTTTTGCTTTGGGTCTTGATTTTAACATTTTAAAAGGCGTAACTACTGACGGTGGACGCAACATGTGTGGAGCACATACCGGTTTGATTGGAAATGTTAGTAAAGCTGTATTGGAGACTGGTACTGCAGCACCAATGGCTATTCACTGCATTATACACCAGCAAGCTTTATGTGGGAAAAATGCACCAATATCTGAAGTTATGAATATTGTTGGGTAGAATGTAAATTATATTCGAAAAAGTGCTCTCAGTCACCGTCAGTTTAAGAACTTTCTTGCTGAAATTGAAAGCGAATACCCAGATATTCCCTATCATCGTGAAGTTCGTTGGCTCAGCCGAGGTTACGTCTTAAAAAGATTTTTTTTATCTTTGTTCAGAAATCGACATATTTATGACAAAAAAAACCCGCGTTGTAACTGAGTTAGTTGATTTGTCATGGCTATGGGAACTAGCTTTTCTCGTTGATATAACTCGGCTCCTTAATGAGTTGAGTTTAAAACTGCAAGGAGCAAACTCGTTAATTCTCTTAAACTCGATACATATTCCTACATCAAAGCATTCAAATTAAAATTAACTCTATTTACAAATCAATTAATAGAAAAAAATCTTGCCCATTTTCCAACATGCAACAAATTCAAACTTGAAAATGATGAAGAATTCCTTACCGATTTTGCTGTTGGAGTTCTCACCTACTTGAATGAGCAGTTCCAGACACGGTTTAGAGATTTTGAAAGTGTAGAAGACCGTATTCGAATTTTTGAAAATCCTTTTGCCATAAAAATAGAAACTTTACCGACAGAGCTCCAGCTTGAAGTTATCGAGCTCATATCAAATAACAATTTCAAAGACTATTTCAAGGAATCCAGTCTTCAACAATTTTACGCCATGTTGCTAGAGGAATCATTTCCAAATCTCAAAACACATGCACGTGAAATGATGTCAATATTTAGCTCAACATACTTATGTGAGCAGACGTTTTCAAAAATGAAATACGTCAAATCTAAGTACAGAACTTACTTAAGNCACTAAGTAACTTACTCGTATCATAATAAAACAAATTTTGAATTATAAAATAAACAAATTATATAAATAAACATACATTTTTTTAAATAAATCTCATCTATTCTTATTTATTTCTCAATTTCATAACCTATCAGCTATTCCTAGAATCCTAGATAGACAACAATTTTTTTTTTTTTTTATAGATAACACATTTCTAAAAATGTTGGCCCGCGATGCCAAAGCGTATATCAAATTTGGCCCGCCGTAAAAAAAGGTTTGAGACCCCTGATCTATAGTATTTAAAATGTTTTTTTTTTTTTATATTATCACAAAAATTTTATCTGATAATTTATATTTAATTTCAATAATAAAATAAATAAGAATTTTTTGTTATAAATATGTTTCAAATAGGTTGATGTGCAGTCCAATGATCTAAAAGAATGATTGTGTACGATCGTAAGAAACGAAACTAGCGACCTGTTTACTTTCATTAATTAATCCATCCGGTTTTTGTTTTTTAATAAAATATGTTACTTTATTATTACTTGACGTAGAAGATACTGCACGAAAATGTTTTTTCGGTTTGGTGATAGCTGTTTTATGTCTACTCAGCCACCATTTTCAATTTAAAGCACAGATTTACAAATCATACAAAAAATTGTCCAATTTCGTCAGTATCTCTCAAAAAAGAAAATTTTATATTTAAATTTAGATTAAATTTACGGCATTATAAAAGTAGACAAATATGCACTACACGTTAGATAATAGACAAGACCAAGACGTATATTATTGAGTAATGACTAATCGATTAATGCTGTTCAAAAAACATTTGGTAACACATAAGTTCGTGGATGTTTTTTCAATTTATCACGCAGTATTTGGCGACGCATTCAAAATTTAGGGTTACAACAAAAATATATCGAAGACTCGGAATTTGCGTTGCAAGTTCGAATGATGACATCACTTAGTTTTATACTGAAAGATGACGTAGACAATGAATTTAATGAACTACTGGATTCAGAGTTTTATTAAAAAAACGAAGAAATATTAAAACCATTCATAGACTATTATGAACAACGATTTCATTATTTTAAATTTTTAAGACTCATGTTTTCTATTATAAATATTGATCCAATAGATAACCGGCAAGAGGCATTGTTGCATATGTAATCTAGTTTATGCGTAAGTTATTCATTTTTTGATTTTTACCCAATAATTGTATTTAAAATGTTATGAATTCGACAACACATTGTCTGTCGGGATGGACTTATATTCGAAAATAGTTTATTTTTATCAAGTATAATATTCTTTGATACAGCTTCCAAACATTATTTTGCAAATTCACCATCCAAAGACGTAATTTCATTTTGTTTCAGATTCAAAATCAAAAGAAAAAAATGCATAGTCAGCGATATTCCAACGATGACAAAATGTTAGCATTGTCTATATATAAACAAAGCCCAAAGGGTTACAAGATTATATGACCATTATTTTTATTTGCACTACCTTTTGTCAAAATAATTATGTGTTTACTACGTAAAGTATCTTTTGGACCATGAATAAATTATCATGTTATTGAATATCTAAGACAAATTGTTGGTTATATAAGCCCTATGAATCGATACTGTACTCTGATCTTCGATGATACATATTTATGATGCACCACATCTATTGACATCAATTAGATACAATTTGTTAGCTAAAAATTTCAAATTCAATTGGCGCGGGAAAGGACTTCGTAGGGGTTTAGTGGAACTACGAAGTAAATACATACTCATATGATATAGACAAAACATATGAAAATCTACAAATTTAATGCGGAATCTATCGAAAATTATGGAGACCCGTGATTTACAAAGACAAAATAAAAAAGATGAAAGTTTTTCCAGCAGTTCAAAATTTTTTACACCAACCGTGAGACTGATGTGTAATATGAGTAATTTTAATTTGTTTATTAATTAATTTTTTACATATATTTTATATACATCTGTTTGATTATTACAGCTTCTGATAATATTAAATTGGATTAAAAAACTCTTGGCACTGCAAACTTTTGTTTGTTTATGGATATGGTCTTTGACCCTATAAATGCTAGTTCAGTTTATTCAATGAATGGGAAAGATCTCTATTATGCTGTTACATCCAGTTTGAGACATATTTATTTTTGAAATGAGGCAATCACAGTTTTTAACTCTATAAAGTTTGTAGATAATAAAGGTAAAATATCTAAACCCCATTGTATTAAAAACTGGTTAGTTACCTAGTAACCAAAGAAGGATTTAAAAATCTATGGTTTAAATTAAATAAGAACAATAAATATCTTATAACCTGTAACATAAATCAGGATTCCTTCCCTTGAGTATTTATATGGATAATTTAGGCAAATTTTTGGGTGAAACATTAACCTCGATTGTTACTACTTTATAAATTCATTTAAAACTCTGCTTCTTAATAATTTTTCATCAATCAAATTTAAAGAAGCTAATTGTCAGTAAAATTAAATCGATACTTTAAGTAATTTAAAATCATTTCTCACAAGTCCGGACATAAATGAAACAAAAATTCATGTTAAAATACATTTTCTTGAAATGAGTTCAGTAATACATGTTTATAAAACCAATAGTGTTAATGATATGACAGCCAGTTATATTGCTGAATATTTATTAAGGAAAGACCTATTATGGATACTTTAATATGATATATGTATATTAGAGCTAAGGAGTGAAAATATTACAAATCCTTGAATAAATGTAAGACAATATGAATGTAAAATACAGTTTGTTTTAATTACTGAAATGAATTTGGAGCTCACATTTACATGTATTTACATATTTTAAGTAATTTTCACTGGGTAACACTTCGATAAAATTGTCTACCAGAGGAACATAAAAATTAGAAGGTAAATCAACTTTTCTGTCTCAACTAGTTTCATATAGGTTTATTTACTAACTTCTACTGAGATATATATCAACATAACCAATTTTTCAATAATAAAACCTTTATAAAATAAGTAGAAAAGAGTATATGTATACCTATTAGTATCTGTATTTTAAAAAAAAAATAAATTTAAATTTAAAATTATAAGTTTGAATCAATAGAAAAAAATGTGTGTATAAATTCCTGATTCTTGTATAGATCTGAGTCAAGTAGTTTCCTCCTTCTCTCCTTAAACTCCATAAACTTAGCAACTGCAGGCCTGGGGTTAAACAGTGCTGTTCTTATCTCAATGAAAGCGATACACACTCTTGAATTTATAGCCTCTCTTGAATAACTCAATTCTTTGTTAGTTTTTAATACCGTATGTACTGATACCGCTCTCTCTGGACCAGCACTATATGGTGTTAAACTGATAAATAACTGCACCAATTTTGAAAATATTGAAGACTGTGTTGATATTTTTAATTAATGGAATATTTTTGCTGTAGAGTTATTCATTTCTAAAGAAGGTGGAAGTTTCTATGCAAGATAAAGACTTAAAACATCATTGGTAAAACAAGAAACTGCATATTAAAAATACATTTCTTGCAGCTTAATACTACTTCTTTTCTCATTGAAGACCAATACCTTTTAGTAGAAACCAGAAAATGTACATTACGTCATTTTCTTAGGACTTCCTCAACAATATCTATATTCGTTTCTGCAATATCTTCATCCGTAAGACAATTCATACATTTTTCTTTATATCATCCTGAATAAGGGGTTCATTTTCCATCAATATAATTGAATCCACAGCGACTTTCTTTAAGAGCTCTATATCAGTCATAATAATCTTTGATTTTTGACTATCTTTTGGAAGTTTTTCAATATGTCTTAAGATATCTATCATAAGACATGAAGTGATGTTGTTCACCGTCATCTTTTTATATACGCAAGAATCCTTTAGCAGAAGCTTTTCTAATATTCGTTTGAGTCAGAGCTTCCAATAATTGATTCCCAATGTGTTTGCATACATGGTAAGTTTTTTCAAAGAGCTGTAACTAAATTTGATAGATGCTCAGAAAATCGTAGCTCAAAATAAACGGGAAACCAATAAATTTAAAATTTTTAGTAACACTTTTTTTTTAAGCCATCCGTAATGAAGAACAGATCTTCGATAAAAGGTGTCAATAGCTTTCAAATTGGTCTTCCAATACCTTACTTCGATAATAGTGGATTCTATATCAGATAATACCAAATGTGTCCTGTGAGCAACACACCATATACAAAATATATTCTTTTTTAAGTATTGCTTTAAGTGTAACCATAATCCACCATTTTTATCAGTATTGGCATTTTTCTCCATCAGTAGTTACGCCAGTTAATTTTTCTTTTGTTATATCTTCAATATCAAGATCTCGAAAGATAATTTCAATTGAATCTAGCAAACCTTCTACGCCTCGTTTACCAGATTTACTTTCTCCTAAGAACACTGACTTTATTTCTAGATTTTCTGTTAAAAATCGAACAGTTATAAATTGATTTTCAAATCCGTATTTATTTACTGATACATTAAATTATATAGAAAAACAATCAATTTTTTAGCTGATCTACAATCTTTTCCAATGCAGAACGTCCAACTATATCTAACATCTCTCGAAAAAAAACTAGGTTTCGTTATTGATATTTCGATATAATGCAGCTGTAGGACTAAACTGGAAAAATTGTGATGTCAGTCCTTTATCTTTATAAGATGCTATTTGCGAGTCTGCATGCATTTTAAACAATGATCAGAAGGCCAGGAATGTGCTGAAAGTGTAAATTGGCGACTGTCGTTGCAGACATCAATTACAAATTCAATTAACAATTTTTCTTTTTCGTGTAATTTCAAAGTTTTATCCATGGGTGTTTATCAGATTTTTCCATCCATTTCATCTGTTTTTGGTCAAGATTTGTAGCTGCATTATGAGCTTCAGTTTTTAAATAACCAATGTTCCTTTCCAATTTATTTTGGCTATTACACCGAATTCCAACAGCTATTGATATTGTGCCATTTTTGGAGAATTTTTGTACTTCATGAATATGTGTAAAACATACCATGAATTTTATTCCATATTTATTCCCCAATTTTATTTTTTTTAAACAGGAATAAGTCTGAAGAAGCCAAAAACTATCTAATTTTGATCTTTTCTACATTCTGATTTTTTTTTTGTTTCAGTAGGTTCTGCAATTGTATTAATTATTTTTCAATTACTTTCAGTTTGATCACTAGTAGATTCTAATTTCTCAGGATCACGATCATTTCTACTGTCTTCAGAATCGTTGGATGATAAATCAGACCAAATGTTTGAAACTTTTGGTATTTTTTCTTGAATTAGCTGTTCGTTAATTTTTCGACTTTTAATGGAACAGAACTAAAAAACTCTTATTCTTCTAGCCATAATTATCAATTTTTCATTAAGCGCCTACAGTTATATATCATACCAAACAAATACGTCAAATAGCAATCGTTTATTAGTATTTTATTAAAATATTCAAACACGACAGAAATGTAAGAAAAAAAATTAATATTTCTATAAATTACTATACATTTTAATAGTATTTATATACGAAATAGTACAATACGCATACTTAGGTGTAGGTCAGTGAAATAGTGTGACTTTTAACTTAACGTATATGTTTTGATTGAAAATGGTTTATGAACTCATGGAGGACTTCTTCCCCACACTCTCCCCATTTTGTTTTAAATTGTTTAATGCTAAACATACACAAGCTTCATGTAATTATAAATATTATAATTATTAATATATTACAATACATAATATTATATTATTATGGTATTACATAAGTTCAAACTAAAAATAAATCATCTAATAATAATAATTATTTTATTAGTTTATATGTATTTTAATAGTTACCATTCATAAAACTATTAATGATAAATTCATCAAAATAAATAATAATAAATAGGTAAAAAACATTTTTTTGTTTTTTTTACTTATAAATTAAATCAATTCGGTAAAGGACATAAATAAATATCACTGTATGTCAGTACCCGTATGGCCGTATCTGTATGATCTGTATCTGTATCAATCGCCAACGTTCATTTACATGCATATTGTGTATACAACAAACATGATAGATACTATAACTGTAGCTGTGGCGGCAGCTCTGCACCGCTCAGAAATTAAGTTTGAGGAATAACACCGGGAGCGTTATTTTACATGCCCGATTTATCAGATTAATTGCTCATCTATAGTATTCATTAATTTATGGCACTGTGTAACGGCACCCGCCATTTAGCGTGCAGCATATTTTCTACTGCAGTGAGCAGGTAGTATTTATAATAAATTGTAATACAATTACACAACATAACATACCTTTACACCTTTATACCTTTTTATTGAAAAATTATATTTTTTAATGAACTTTTGATAACTATCAATAAAAAAGACTACCGAAATTTGGTTTCCAAAAATAGGGATTCCCATTCTAGAAAATGTATATGTTCTTATGCGCGTATTGATAATATTACAAATTTGTAATCTGGCTCAAAATAATTGTTTTAGTATACCCTACTATCTTCCAAAAACTGAATAAATTTTTCACTAAGTCATTCGGTTGAAATTGGTGTCACATGTTACTTGAACAATTTATCATGTTGTATGCATATATATCTACGTTAATATTATTATACTCAAATTATTAATATGATTACTTACAGTCGGAACGAAATTAATGCGACCTTCTCCCGGAAATTCAAGTATACCTGCCAAACTGTATTCGCCATAAAATTCGTCTAGAAAATCCAATCTGGTTTTTAAGTTGGCCCTCAAGTCAATAAAGTCGTCCACGCTATTCAAAATACACAAAATAATCAATGATTACAAAAAAAAAACTACGTGAATATTAAAGTTACATCGCAGTTCGTAAACGGACTTTATTGATACTGAATGCTTTAGTGTGGTATAAAATCTCGGGACGTCCGAATTCCGGATCGTAAATAACATTTTTAGCAGATATCGAAGAAAACGGCAAACAAACATCTTTACCTATGAAATTGAAAATGTTAGAGACGTTAATGATGTTATTCTTTAACGATGGGGCTGGTATGTTATCCTTACAGAGTTCAGTTCCGGGAAATTTTATAATTATAATATTTTCGATCTCCGGCATTTGAACGTAGACCATTTCGAGCAACATTGGTAAATAAATTAAACTTTCCACGCATCGGAACAGAAGACAGTGAACGAACAGTGTGTTGTATTCCTCGGCATCGTTCAGACTGCAGCAAATTATAATAATTTTAATCATTGAAAATATCGATCGAATTTAAAAAAAAAAAAAACTAAAATTATTACATACCCATAAAAATAATTAATCCATTCTTTCCAGTGTTTGGAGGTTACGCAATAAATGTTTGGGCGACCCGAAAGTGACATAAAAATGGAAATATCTTCGTTTTGAGTGTTAACCTGACACAGTGATAGAGGGTTTTCTGTTCTGTAAAATACAATCTGTTATTACTTATTGTAATTATATTATAAATATTAACACTGCATGCACATGATATCAATTTTGAATATTATCATAATAGTATCATATAATAGGTAATTACATTATTTGTGCAATGTCAGTGAATCCAAAAACTCGTAGTGATTCTTCAGAGATCATTTCTTTTAGTTTTGGTAAGTCAGTTAACTCCGCTCTTCTCCAGCAAAATCCGTCTTCCTAAATTAGGTGTACATAATATTATAATATACGATATATTACTCGATTATTTTTAAAAAAAGTATTCACTATATTTTATTATTATTATTTTTTATTTACAACTTTAATGACGATAAGTCCTAACTTAACCTACCTCGAATGAGGTTGCATTAAAACGTCTGTAGAAAGACTTATCCATTTATTTTTTTTATTCTTTAAATTTTTTTGTAAAAAAAAAAACTACAATTGACGATGCATATTTTAAAGAACGTTAAATCTCACATTGTCAATATATTTTTGTTGAATTGCCACAGTAACATGTTACAATTAAACTTGTGAATTCAGGTACATTGTTTATGATTTTGATTGTTTTTCCAGGACAACCGAATTCGATAAAAATAGTGCATCGTATATTTATCGTATTAGGAACAATAAAATCAATAATCAATAATCAAACATAACAATTAGTTGATGAATCATAATTACAATTTTATTTAGATCAATTTAAAACTCTAACTAAACATGTAACAGATTGTCATTTAAGATTTATTCAAACAAAAAAAAATATTTGAATTTCATTTGCTTTTTAATTTTTTTTGCTATCTGTACAAATCTATTTGAAAGAAATATTATTCCGATGTATAGAGTGTATCATTTTTTCTGAAAGGTAATTTTATGTAATTGGTGAATTGGAATGGTTATTTTTTTGATATTTATGTAGTTTTAAAAATAATTTAGAAAACCTAGAAAGAAAATTGCAGGTAAAATGGCAAATATATAAGGCGCTCCACGACGTTATCATTTTCTTTGTTTTTAATTTTTATTTGCTATGTTTTCTACCAGAAATTTTACTCTTATCCAAAAATAACAAGAGATCTATTTTGTTTCTTATGATATTTTGCCACTAACAGAGTGCGATTGCCGGTATTTTATTTCTAGATTAATTTTCCCATGATGATAATATCATACAATTTAATTACTTACAAGGTGTCCCCTTGAAGATATATACATTGAAAAATATTCAGAGATAATAAAGATAATCAAATTATATTTTTTATATTACTCACAGAGATAAGGACCACAAATATTTATATTGCAATATATATTTATGCTTTGATAAAAAACTTAAAAAAATAACTTTTTATTTTAATTTTTTTGAAAAATTTAAAGAGAGCTATTTTATAGAATTTATTATTTTGAAAATGTCGAAATATCAACTTAGTATTTTCATTAGAATCGTGATTTTCAAAAAGTTTTAAAGATCAAAGAGAAGTACTTAAAATTATCAAGCAGATTGTAATCGCAGTCTCTAATTGATTATTATTATTACGATTAATTGAGTGTATACTTTTTTTCTTAAAAATTTAATAAAATTATTAAAAATCACGAATTTAATGAAAATAAAAAGTTGATACTTCAAAATTTTTATAATAATAAACTTTATAAAATGGCTTTCTTTCAATTTTTCAAAAATAATAAAGTAAAGTTTTTTTTTTCAAATTGTTTACCAAAATATAAAACATATATTGCAATATAAATGTTTTCAGTCCTTATCCCAGTGAGTAATACACAAAAAACCAGAATTTAATTATCTTTATTATATCCGGAGTTGTTGAAATGTATAAATCTTCGTGGGACACTCTGTATATGTATTATGTAGTCATACAAAAATTGTTGTAGTTGTTCAGAGACCTCATTATATTGTTGGGTGTATACTTTGTGCCGCAAGGTGTAACTGGGTGGCAACCAATATGTGTTCATTCCCGCACATTCATAATGTATACAAAGCGCGGATTGCACATGATTGGGAAAATTTGGCCTTGGGAAGTCAGAGCTAAATCATTGTGATGCGCGTGGCAGTCGCACTCTCTAGTGTACAATCACTTAAAAGTCATCATTCATGGTAAATTGACAATTATAACAAAGCCGTGCTGGAAGATGAGGAACGTTTAAACCTCAAAATTATATACTATATTATAAAGCATTTGAATTTTATTAAAATTAAAATGTACTACACTTAAATTAAATTACCATTCGTAACACTTTAGCAGCTATATGATTTAAGTAAAACAAGTGGATAATACTGTCCAACTCCCTTTTGCAATATCGGATAACAGATTACATTTTAAGCACGTGAGCATTAATAAAAAATTTAACATTCATAAATAAATAGTAAAATAATATGAAGCAATGAATATTATTAGTGAAATAAATTTGTTTTTTCCTTGTTTAGGTAAAAAAAAAAAAATAATTCAAAATAATAATTATATTTAACTTAGAATTTATACCTATTATACATATTATATAATTATATATAAATATTAATTATTTTATGACAGTTGTATTGTTTTATCATTAGGTACATATTATATATTTCTTTTAACTATTTTTTAATTATTAAAAATATTGAACAAATAGGTTCTTTTATCACCTTTCCTATTATTCTGTATATTGTATTACAGAGAGAACTGTTACAGTTTTTGAATGTTAAGCATTGTACCATAAACGATTCATAAATAAACCTTTCCCTCTGCACACATTACACAATATGCTATACACAAAATTGGTAAGTGGAAACTAAGAATTAGGTTCTATTATTTTTATTCTATTACTCAAACGTACACTAAAGTATACAATTATCATACTCATTGTTATTCTTTTTAATATTACTATTATTATTAGATGTAATAATGACTGTTTTTTTAAAAAAAAAAAAATAAAATAATTTAACATTAATATTAATGTTAACATTGAATAGTTTTCTTATGTTTTTTGAAAAAATACCTATAATAGTTATATATATTTTTCTAATTTATTCTAACTCAATAATACTTAACTAATAAAAAACTAATTTATAAAAAAAACTTACTACAATTGTGTTCGGTGATTAATGTTTTATTAAACAGTACTTTAATATAAGTACCTATTGAACAATAGGTATATATACCTTCTTATTAAATTTGTTTTCCTCATTTCTTCATAGTATATGTATGTGTATTCTGTATAAATACATAAATGAGTAAGGCCTCGCTCTATATATATGTGTATATAATATGTATACGAAATACAGTACAATATATTTATTAACAATTATTATTGGTTATTATTTATTACAATACTCTGTTATCAAACCATTGTTATTTTAGTTGTCTCCATGTAAGTATATTTAAAATTAACAGGTACCTGTATATTATAATATAATATAAAAATATGAAGTTTCACAACTATATGTAAGTAGGTATATACTTATATCTAGGTGATCACCAAATCTTTTGATAAAAAAATTTTAACTTAAATTAACTGTGTTGCATAATTTATTTGTGTGTTTAAAGTTCATATAGATATATTATAATCAAGAGTAATAATCTATAAAACGGTTTAAGTGAAAATATTCTTGCTTATCTTCTTTATCTACAAATGACAGTACCTATATAGGAATAATTGTCTTCTAAACAACGGTAAAACAAATAATACTTACATATAAGATCTTCTTTCATGTATGTATATAAACATTATATGTATATAGAAAATACAATACAATACATTATGACTATCAATTATTTACTATTAAGTAAGCATATATTATATTAATCTAACAATAATATCAGTAAATATTACAAAAAGTTTAGTAACAAAAAAATAAATATTAATTTTATAGAAAAGAATTAAAAAATTATACATTATGAATAAAATAAGGGAAACTAGAATACTCTAAGACTTAACATTAACTTAACATATTTAAAAAAATATAATTAGAATATGTTTTACTGCTTGCCTAAGAAATGTAATGAACTCGTCAATTTTGGGTTTAATTTTGATTATGCTTCTAAATTAAAATTGTTTTTATATTACCATGGGCACCTATAAAATCATTTTTTTAAGCATTGTAATAAGTACTGCAAGCATATGATAGATAAAATTATTATTTTTTAACATTGTAATATCACGTGAGTATTAATAAATATTAATATGATTTACTTTGATGATATTAAATGTAGTTATTCAATTTATTAGTCTACACAATTTTTAAACATTGATTATAGTGTTTTTTTTTTCTTTCACCGGGCACTTTAGATTGGACAAATGCTCCAATTATAATAATTTCATGTAGTATCTCAACAACTATCTTATCTTGATATTTTAATTTTTGGGTTTCAGTCTAGGTATAACATAAGATAAAGTATGTCCTAACAAAATTCTATTCTTAATTTTTGAAATTTGTGGCCAGTAAATTTGTTTAATTTATTAACTCTTCCTCTTTACTAATCGAAGTGAGGCTAACACATCAGATGATAGTGAAAAAAGGTTTAATATAAAAACAATGGTTTTATCATGTTTTACAATGCACTGTGTTGTCAGATTATATGATATATACACAAGACATTATGTTGTACATTATTGAATATTTTATAATATTATTTGAAAACAAATTTGAACTCTTGCCTATTATCATTTATTTAAATAAATATTATTGACAATTATTGTAAAACTTTTATGCATAATATTAAAATTTGTATCATACCTAATTATTTAAGTTCCAAAATAAAAAGACTGACATACTTTACATGTGGGTGGGCCACTGTTATAGGCAACAACAAGTTGGAAAGGTAAAGAGGAAATTTAATGTATATCTAATGTACGCAAATCATTCTGTGCTGAGTTCAATGAATATTTAAACGGTTGTAATTTCATTACTTTCTAATTTATAACTGTTAAACAGTTATATTTTTACATAATAATTCAACATTTTTTAAATAAGACTAACAATTTTAATTGTTGCCAACCTCTGTTATAATATATAAATAGACATGAAACATTTTTTTATTATTATAAAAGTTTTAAATTAATTTTTCTTGTATGTTTAACAATATTCATTAAAAATTAATTGCATAGGGAGTTAAATTGTAACAAAAATTAAAATGTACTGAAGTATCCCATATTCTTTACACACTGAACACAAAATAGTTAGCAGTTTACATATTTTCAATTTTCAAGTTTTTGTAATAACAACATTTGTTCCTTTTTCACAAGTTCCAAATCCTTTTTAAGTTTTTGTATATTAGCGGGGGTATGGCGTGCATTTTCATTTTCAAGCTAAAAATAATTAAAAATACACAGGATCATTAAAATTTCATAATATAGTAAAGTTTGCCATAAAAAACTAATTATCTCAACAAATAATGTGTACTTTTTGAAATCATATATTCTTAAATGTTTCATTGTCCTTAATTTTAAGTCCACTATTAATTTTGAGTAGGGGGAGAGTAGTAAAGCATCATTTGAATGGTGGCAAGATTTGAATAGTATTCTACTACTCTCTTTTACACAAAATTAATAATGGAATATATTGTCAAGGAGTTGACAGACGGAAATCAAAAATGTTAACATTAAAACGCATTTTAATTAATACTCCATCTATTTATAGAATTTTAAATATAGGTTTCCATTTGAAGATCAAAGATAGTCATTTTACCAAAATTATCAAAAATAAAGACAATGTAACATTTTAAAACATGATATGAAAAGTTTTTTTACTTGGGCCATTTTTTGAAAAAAACAAAGTATTACATGGAAAACTTGACTGTATCTGTAATTCGAATGGCTTTGTATATACAAGTAGTAACAGGACTATTTAACAAAGGTAATAACTATTTTACTATTGAATCATTTTTTTTTTTTTTGTAATAACTAGAGCTCTGGTTATAAGTTTTATATTTTAGTTTATTCCTTTATAACAAAAATTAAAATTATATACAAGAGGTCTAACCAATAAGTAATGAGACTATAATATAACTCATAGCTCTCGTATAACAATAAATCAAATAAAAATGTATTTTATATAATAAACATTTTTCTTACAAGTTAAAAAAAAAAAAAAAATATTGATGTTTAAAACTATCAATTAATTTAAGTATATAATTTTTAAAGTTTGAAAAATTCATATTTATTTCTTGCTAATTTTATTAACAATAAATGGTACCCGGTTATCAAACTCATAGCTTTAATTAATAAAATTGTACAATATATTATGAAGAAATCAAATTTATAATTTAAAAATTAAAAAACATAAAAATATTGTATTTCACAAAACTTCAACTTAGTAAATGGTTTTGATATTAACATTTTTCTAAAAACTGTATATACAAAATGGTATTCTCGACTTTTTTTTGAATTTAAAATGTAACTTTACATGTTATAATAATTTTCAAAATAAAATTTAAATAAACTCAATGAAAAAACAATGAAAGACGTTTTACGCTAATGGGATGAGTGCAGCCACTGTTATAGATAATTTTATATTTACCATATGGTATTTTAATGTATATCTGGAATGCAATGATAAACCATTCCTTATTAAAAACAATGCTTTGTCAATAATATATGTCATTTATGGTATAATAATTAAATAAGGCTTTGTATATATTTTCTTTAATAATATTTGCTTAATGTTGTACTGATTTTCCGGTTTTCCCACATTTTATCAGTTTTTCACATTTGCTGGGAAAACTACTCTTAGGAAAATTAAAAAATAAGCTTTTAAAAGTACTTCGCTGAAGAAATTTCCTATTAGAAAAATTGCTTTAATTTTAAGTTGGAGCAAAATTGCTAATTTAAAAGTTGCACACAGAAAAAAAGAAGGCCATAATATATTTTAAACAATACCTAAATTTCTTATATTTTCCTGGTTTTCAATTTTCAAATTTAATAAAAAAAAAACATCTTTGTAAAACTATAAGCTTCTTTGTTCCATTCAGAATCTAAAAGTTATTATATTTGTTTAATAGTCCTGTTACATTCTATAAAATATTATATAATATATATTAGGGTGTTCCTTAGATATTTGACTAAAATAATTGTCTAATATTCTAATAATTCACCAGCTCAGAATTCTGTAGGTACATTGCAAAAATAATTATTATACATTTTGAGTTTGATAAGTTAATCCCTTTAAATGCTTCAAGAGGGTTGAAGTTTGTAAAAAGGAGTGGTTTATACGTTAATTTTATTTTATCACATAAAAAATGTATCAAAAACTTATCATTGTAAAAAAAGGCATAATAGCTCTTTTATAATTTTAGAGAAATCTACCATAAAAAATTGATTAAAAAATTGGTAGATTTGATATTTTACAAAATCTTGAATTTCACTATAACAAATTTACCAACTTTTAAATATATTTTTACAAACACTGGTAAGTTTTACTGAAATGTTAAAGAGAGTTATTTTGTAAGAAATCTCTTACAATAATAAAGCATCTGTTCAATTTTTTGTACATTAAAAAATTTATAAAAATTAATGTAAAAAACCAAAAAAACAACTTTTTTTTACAAACCTTAACCCTTTTGAGGCACATAAAGAGATTCACTCAATAATATCATACTCAAAAATTAACAGAAATTATTTTTACAGTGTGCCTAATAAAATTCCAAGCCCATTATATATAATTATTTAAGTTAAAAAATAGAGACCACTCTAATATATAAATATCTATAAAAACTTGCTTGTTCTTCCAAATCTTTTATTTCTCTTCTGATTGTACCAGTTTGTTTAACTGATGCTATAATGCTAGAACTATTAGAATGAATAGCAGCTAATAGTTTATAACATTTCCTGATTATTTCATCTTTTTTTGCAACCTACATAGAATAATTACTGTAAATTATCACAAAATAAATTATTTAATGTCTCAAATACCTTAAACATTAATTCATCAATTAATATGAAACATCGCTCCACTTTACCATCTAAAGAGTTTATTTCTTTTTGCACTTGTCTGGTATCCTTTAAATTTGTATTGATATCAACTTTTTGTTTTTCAATATTTGATATAATTTCTAATATTCTTTGAGTATAGCTAGACCTGAGTGAAAATCAATATATTTAGATTAGTATTTAATTACTTAAATCAGTGGTGACCAACTTTCTTTTTTACAGTGGCGATGAAAAAAAAAACTTGATTGATTCAAGAATTTAAACTTTATAGAATATTATATTATATTATATTATAGGTTCATCTTAATACAGGTTCAAAGAAAAATTTAATTGTTTATTATATATTGATTGTATATATGAGAAAAAAAAATTTAGTGTTAATTTTTGAAATATGAAATTTTGATTTAATACTTTGGTGGGCCAGTTAATGATTGAGGACTGGTCATCACTGACTTAAATAGTTAAACTATATAAACCTCGAATTATAATTTGTTTTAGATTCTAAATCAGTTCTACATATTTTAATAATTTCTTCTTTTTTCTTTATTTCTTCAAAAATATTTTGTAGTTTTGATTTTTCATTTCCATAAATTATTTCTAGTTTATTGTTATTAGCCTGAAAATAACAATAATTGTTATGGATAAGGAAAAAATAATGCATGCTATAAACCATTTTTAAAGATTCTAATTATTTATTAGTTTATATAGTTTAATTTTTATGTTACAATTGCAAACAAAATTAAACAATATAATAAAATATCTTAAAAATATCCATTTCCAAAAAGAAAATGTGCATTGATTAATTTAAGTCTTAAGTAACACTTTTTCTAAAAAATTGATAAAAAAAATTGGAAAAAGTTAATGTTAGGTATTTAAAAAAAAACTAAAAATTAATATGACTGTAACATTTGTGTTTGGCAATATTTTAGAAAAATAGCAACAATAAATGAGTATATAGAATCATCTTAAATATTTACATAATACATAGTAGTTAAGTACTCTTACTCTGTTTTTATTATTTTCTTCATTTAATTCTGATAAAATTAACTTTTGTTCAGTTTCATATTTACTCCATTTACAATTCATTCGTTTTAATTTCTCTGGTGATCCCTCTATTTTGTTTTTTAATTTGGCAATAATTTCTTGATTATGAACAATATTTAAACTTTTTTCACGAACAATACTTTCTTTTTTAAGTTTTTCTAATTTTGCCATAAGATTTCCTTTTGTGGAATATGCCTACACAAAACATACACAATTTCACAATATATTTTTTAATCATTAAATAGTGAACAATTTACTTTTTGGATTAAATTTTTCAGTTCATTATTTTTGACAACTAATTCTTCTATTTGTATTGATTCTAGTTGTTTTGATTCACTTTGTACACTACTTGTAGTCAAATTACTATTGTTACTACAATTATTTACTATTACAATGTCGGAAATATTTTTTTTTTGGTTGCTTTTAATTTTTTTATAAGAATCTTTAGGCTAAAAAATAGACAATTTAATAAAAATATAAAAATCCAAGTGCCCAATCAATTATAAATATGCAATATTAATAATAATTATAATTTACAATTCAATTTGTTTATGGTTAAACTTGCTAATAAATGTAGTGGTAATCATTACAGATTTTAATTACTATTCTTTAAGTTTACTGATAGGGATATGTGATCTATAATTTTTACCTTTGATAAATCATCAGTAGTTTCAAGTTTAAATCCATATATATCCAACAGTCTCTTAGTATTAAGAGTAATTAATGAAGGGATTAAATATTTCAAATCAACTGGCTGTTCAGTGATATATTTTAAATTACTAATGCAGAAATTTCTCCATTCTAAAAAACAAAAAACAAACATGTATAGTACATTTTATAATATTTTACTTTTCATGCAAACATTTAAGTTCATAAATATTAAACTATTTTAAATTTTAATTGGACAGAATAAAACTTTAATAGTGAGAACATAATTTGAAGAAACTTTTTAGAATAGATTTTTGTGTATAAAAATTGTGGTATTAGGTGCAGAACTAAAAATTGATCGATGGTTCTAAAATTATCTTTTTCCAAGTACAAATAATCAATTAAACAAAACTATTTTCTAAAAAGTGTTTCACATGATTCTTTACATGAGTTCTCTTCTTCTTCACCTTCATCCCAGATATTTAGAATTGGCTACCCTTGTCCTTAACTTCTACTTGACCCAATCTCCTATATCAAATACATTGATTGTTGTTGAGTGTCCTCATATTATTCTCAATCTCATCCAATTATCTCTTTTTCAGTTTTCCTCATAGTCTCCTATGTTTATTTTCATTACTAGTCTTACATTCTTATTACTTCTAATTTTTCTCAGCTCATGACATGCCCAAACCATCTATTCTCAGTGTATTTGCTATTATTGTTATATTATTGAAGTCAAACTGTAAACTACCTCGTATATCTCACCACATTCTTGTAGAAATTACCTTTAAGTCTCATTGGAAGTATTTTGTTACATAAAACAACTGGAATTTATCTACACTTCATCCAACAACACTGAATTGAATGTTACATATCCTCTTTGTTTTTTTTGTTTTGTTCCCACATATAACCCAAATGGAACAAACACCCAAGCCTTACATAAGACTTTTCTAACTATATTACACAATTTTTATACAGACATTGAACCCAACTCCTCACCTCTTACAATGAAAATTGGATTAACTATTGTGACCTAATGTTAGAATTAGAATCATAAATTTGTTGGTTCATTTAGGTAGCTGCCAAACAAAAATTAAATAAAGAAATGTAAAACTATATTTTGGAATGAAACAAATAAACTGAAGTGTAAAATACAATTTTAGATCCTAAGCACAGCAGGAATGTATTGTTGCTTATACTTTGGTGTTGTTTTTGTTTTTTAATTGTAAACAATATTTTTTTACTAGAAATTTATTCTAGATGTGTTACAATTTCAAAACATTTTAGTAATTATTAAGCTATTAAATGTATATTTATTTAAAATTTAAATTTCAATGGCTTGGACACATTATGGATAGCACTCAAATGAAAATACGCCACAGGGAGGGGTGAGCAATCAATATAACCACTTACAAGTTTAAATAAGAATTATAAATCATTTATTTTTCTTCTTTTTGACAAACCAAAAATGTGAAACAAATTTAATAATGACTGGTACAGAAAATTTGGTTCATAAATAATATTAAATTTGATGCTTAAAACCAGGACTGGTAATATATGCTATAAAACATATACATTACACATAAAATTACTAAAAAGTAGAAAACTTTATAACGACTGAAATTTTTTTTTTTTTTTGAAGTTTATTATAATAGTGATAATACTGTACATTTTAAATTTTAATAAGTATTTAAACTTATAAATTAATATAACAAATTAACAAATCACATCAACTTGGTGAATTTTCTTAAATTTAGAATAAAATAAAAACAAAACAAATTGTTTATTGGTATTACAAAGGTTTCCTTAAATGTAAAAAGATGAGATCTTTTATAAGTTATAAAATAGTAAAGAACAAAACATTAAATGGATTAAAATAGAAACTGTTATATTTTACAATTTATGTTCTGTTTAATATGTAGAACGAAATCCAAGATAGTAAAGGGCCATGAATACCAATTGTATGAAGTTTATAATGTGTAAATTATATATGCTACTACCACTTATAAAACTATCCTGGTTAATAGATACTGATGGAGAAAGGAGCAGTGTTGTATTTTAAGGCATAACTGAATAGAAATATTTTTGATTTCCATTGAAGCAAAAATACCTGTTAATTAAAGATTATACTTGGTAGTCAAAATTAAAAATAATGCAGACAAGTGCAGCCACTGTTATAGATAATTTAATGGATACCTGTAAGCAACAATAAACCATTGCTTATGAAAAAAACCATTCTAAGCACAGTTCAGTTAATAGTGATACTTTATCAACAATATATATGTCATTTTATATTAAAATAATTAAATAGGCTTTATATTTATTTTCTTTAAACATTTTCCCAGTTTTCCTATGTTTTTCCCATACTTTACCTGGTTTTTCTTATGTGCTGGAAAAACTCTTGGAAAAATCAAAAAATGACCTACATAAAGTGCCTACCCAAGCCGATTTTCTTTCTAAAAAGATGCTACATGTAGAAATCTACAGCAAATCTTCTGGTAGAAAAGTTGTATATAGATAAAAATAAAATAAACATCTTTGTAAAACTATAAGCTCCTTTGCTTTACTCAGAATCTAAAATAAACATAATATATTAATTATTTCATAATTAGTTCAAATTTTTCATAAAATTATAAAAATGTTGCTATTTCAAAACATTTTTAATCAAACTTTGCTTAGAATAGTTTTTTTTTATTAGCAATGATTTATATAGATGTATAAATTAAATAACTTAATGTTTCTGACCTTCTCAAAGTTGTTTAAAAATATATTAATAGTTTCAAATTAAAACACAATAGTTATAATTTGTACACTATTAATTATTTAAATGCATTTAAAACAAAAATGCAGAATAAAATAACAGTATAGTAACATAAATAGGGTTATAATAAACAAAAAATAATAATTTTACAATTTTAAAAATAATTTGATTTATTTTAATTGATCTTACCAGCAGGTGTACAATTTCGTTTAAGTCCTGGCATAGTTATACCAGTTTCTAATGGCACAGATACAAATGGGTAATTTGAAAACAATGTTGAATTCATTTTTTTTTTTTTTAACAATAAACTTTCTTTGAGTATTTTTAATATTGAATATCGTTTACCTTAATACAAATTATAAAAATTAAAACTGAGTTATGATATTTAAATAATATAACATACAACAAAAACCATTTATCATGAGTTACTCAATAAAAGTTGAGACACATCATAAATAAAACAAAATATATGATCACATACTCATATTTTCTTTAATATCTTCTCTTTCTTTAGGTAAACGTTCAATTAAAAACATTAATATTCTTCTTATGTCTACAATATTACCATACAGAATAGTCTGATAACCAATATCATACTTATAACCGACTTTCTGAAAAATATAAATAAATATGTAAACACTGAGCAAATAGTATACCATCACAAAATGGGTTATGTTGTCATACGAGATCTACTAAATAATTTTAAAATTGAAAGGCAAAGTAAAAAAAAGAGCATGTGCATCATGTGTAATTGTCCTCTCTGTAACCTAAGCTAATGAACTAATTGTTTTAAAATTTACGGAGTTGATCAGTATGTTAAATAAATGATACTTTTGTAAATTTCAAATTTATTAGATGATTACAGCCTGAGTGATATGCAAAAATATTAGCATAGTTTTTACTCGAAGCACTATTTTTTTCAACAATTCAACAAAATATATGTTGTTACCATCTATTTGTGTTTGAATAAACAACAATTTTATTTATTTATTTTATCGCTGTATTACTATAGTATCATTTTCCAGCAAAATTCATAATAAGCTATATTCATAACTATACACATCATAATATATTCATTTACTTAATCCATAAAACAATAAAGATATTTTGTCCCCATAATTTTCAAATCAATAAAAAAAAAAAACATGGGTTAACTACATACAAAGTTTTAATAAAAAAATAAGTGATATTTCAACCAAAACCTTCTGTCAACTACGTGTAGAAACCTCACTAATAAAAAGAAATCAAGTTAAAAAGTTGTAATATCAAAAAGGGACTATAAGTAATTTCTAAAATTCATTGGTATAGAAATTGTTTGTATTTGATGAACTGCGATAATTCAATACAAACTTAGATGGGTGGCTAGCTCTTAGTATGGCTACTCATAGTATGTGCTTAAATAGTACTATGGTAATATTAATAAATTATAAAATGGGGATGTAAATATTCATATGGGCATTGTATCTTTATTTGTGGTCGTAAATGTTAATAGCCACCAAGCTAAGTTTAGTTATTTGTATTAAATTTTTACACTAATGAATTTAAAAATCTACTTAGCTTTTTTTAATATCACAATTTTTCTAACTTGAGTTTTTTTTTTTTTTTTAGCGAGTTTTTGTAGAGATATTAAGTATAGCAAACTGTAATTTGTATTATTTAGTATTTTATTTATCATTCCAATAACATCAATCATTCAAATTAATAATCAATTTTAACAGTTTTCTGAAACTAATTGATGAAATTTTAGTTCATAGGTGCAAAGATCATGGATATTTAGTACCACAATGATCTTTGAATGACAAGTACATATTCAATATATTGAGGTTATTTGTTGTGTCATAAAAAAAAGGTACAATATTAAAATAAATAGTGCTTCACCTTTATTTGAAAAGTAGCTGAAAGAAGAATGGTAGCTATCACTTTATTCATTCATGGATACAATATTTGACTATTTCCTTACAGATGAAAACGACAATTTTAGTTTAAAACAAAAAGTTCATAAAAGGGGACTGCAGTTCCTAGGTTGAAAAACTCTGTCTTAAGAAAATAAAAATAGTAATAAAATAAATTAGTATAATAAGTAGGGCCCGGAATTATATGCACTAAAAAGTATGAAATATGCATGTATTTAAACACTAATTATCATTAAAATATGCAAAATATGTAAACAAAAATGATTACAAAAACTAGTCCTGATAATATAAGAAAACAAATGCCTTGCGAACAATAATAAAACAAATAGGTTTGAGACACTTAAGTATTCAACTATAATAAATGTAATAAATATATGTAATAAAAAATCATAAAATACAGAAATATACAGTACACATTAAAAAATGACAAAACATGCAAAATAAAACTTTGTATTTTGGATCTATTGACTATAATTCAAATGTATAGCTTATCTAGCTACCTACTTTGTGGACTGTTAAAAAAAAACAAACATACAAATGCATATAAATCCAGGCTCTAATAATAAGTAATTAATTCATTAATGTTACTAGTGATTATAAAAATTAATATAAATAAATATGGCAATTCAATACTATATTTGGGTAGATAGTGTACTGCTTAAAACTGAGTTTTGTAAATCCCATACAGCATCCCAAAAATGTATTTAGGTACAGAAATGTACATATTTGTATAGGCTACTTATATAAATATTAGTCTTACCTTACAAGCTTCTGCTACTGTGATTCCATACTGATATCTAGCGGACATGGACCTTGGAATGATGAGAGGTAAATTAATTGTTGGTTGGATTTTTTGCAAGCATAGTATTATAGCATTTATAAAAGTTTCTTGAGCAACATTAGTCAATACAGTTTCATTTTCTGAGAACTCACTAAATAAAACAATATTAATACACACAATATAAACTAGATAAGACAATATAAAATGATTATGATTAAAATATAATAATATTGGGAATGGTGTGTCGTCATTATAAAATCACTAAAACTTTATCTATTCACCAACAAAATATTTGTTATTTATACTTAAAGCAGTTAAATATCTACTTAAACATAAGTAGTAAAAGAGTTTAATTTTAATATTACTTGTAATTTAAATAAGATCTAATACATATTCTAATACACCACATTGATGATATTTAAATATCAATTCATTCAAAATTACTGATTTTAGTAAATTGTTTCAAATTTTTATTGATGATATTGAAAATATGAATCAAAGGCTGAGTGGCTGAGAAACCAAGTAAATGATCGGTGTCCTGGCTTATAACTCAGATATTGATTTGTATTTATTGATAACGGCATCATAATAAATGCATTCTTTATAAATGTATATTAAATAATGTACCTATCTATATTTTTATAGAATTTCATAATTTTGTAAATTTTTTACTAGAATCTGATATCAATTGTATTACCTACCTTCTAATATTTTCTATTTCTAAAAACATTTCTCCATCAATCATGCAATATTAAAAATCTAGGTATTTACTATTTTGTATGGTATTTTGTTTTATTTTAACCTTATAGTACCAAAGGCAGCAAAAGATGAAAGAAAGCCCAAGCAACACACAAGTTGCAGTGTTGTATAGGTATTTTTAGATACTAAGTACTTTATTACTCTTTACTACTAGAAACCATTTTCCAATTTAGGGATGGTTTTTGATAAAAAAAATGTTTGTCTATACTCTCTCTCATGAGAGAAGGTATACGATCCACGCATAGGCGAGAGCACTGAGGCCAAATTTCTCCCACTCTTTACTATGTAAAATCGTAACCAAACAGGCAAAAGTGGTGCGAAAAAATGAGCACTTTCTCTTGTGAGACAGAGTATGGTGTATTGGGAAAGTCATTTAAATATTTTATTTATTTATAATTTTATGTTTTAAATGGTCGAATGTAGATTAAAACAGTGGAAAATAGATATACCTACTATAGGTAATAACGTACCTAAAAGGAATTATCCTTTAAAGATTAACCTATCCTACAGTCTATTGACCATGTTTTATAAAAAAAAATAATAATAATAATATAAACTATTCAGGCGAGTATTCAGCATTGAAAAATTATCTTTATATGTATATATGTAAAACCAAGTTCAAAATCTGGATCAAAATGTTCACATTTGACATTCAAAACAAGGGAAAAGTGACTGTCTATTTTTTATTTTGAAATTCAACCCCTCAAGAGTGGCTGATACAAAGTTATTGGTATTTTTAACAGACTTCAAAAAAGGGGAGATTCTCAATTTGATTGTATGTTCGTTAAATGATATTAGAATGAAAATATTTAACATTTTTTGTTGATTTATGAATTACCTTGACGACAAGCGTCTATTATTTAATTTGGTTGTCATGGTCAAGGAAGAGGAGATAAAATATAGAGTAACAAATATTTACCATGACGTCTTAAGAATAAAGGTGAGTTCGGAAAATGCAGTTTTTCAGATAGTTATTAATTAAATAATAATAATTACACATTTGCACTAATTACGAATTCGGCCAAGTACAAATAATTGTACCTACTTACTACAAAACTATTTATTTTGCAAAACATTTTTTTTTTTAGCTAAGCTCCCATTGAAAAATCCTGAATTTGCCACTATTGTAATTGTACAAGCAATGTCATAGTAATTGTTTCGGCTGAAATAGGTTTTCTTAATCAAATTTGTATGATGTTAATTCTATGATGAAAGTTTCTACAAGTGTATTTTTATATTTCCTTAAACAAAGGTTATAATTAAGTATACAGCTATCAACATGGTATCAAAACATGGTAAAAATTGAAGTGGCCTGAACATATATATTTTTAATAATTTTCAAATCACTCTGACACTAACATTAATAAAAGATTACCAGATTATAAATAAAATTGAATAAGTTTATGTTTCTTTGTTGAAACATAAAATCATATAATATGTAATATTGCAATATGATTCGAAAGTGAATTTGTAAAATTGATTCCTAGTTAAACAACAAAAATTTCAAATTGTATTTATTGGATATAATTAATAATAGTTAGATATATCAAATATATTTTACTGAACCAAAACAGTCAAATTAATAAATTACTTACCAACCGATCCCTTTAAGAGTACAAAATATTATTGAATCAATTTCTTCCATGCCTTCTAATCAAAATTTCCTTTTGTTTAATATTTGTAAAAAGAACGAATATTTAAAATGTATAAAAGGAAAACTATACAATTGTACCTAAATATACGAAATTGTGTAAACTGGAAACATTCAATTTATTATCTATAATAAAACAATTTATTTTTTCGATTACAACTTGTGATAATAATTATGTTTTCGTTGGTTAATTTAATATCTACTTTTATGCATATAGATGTAAAATATTTAGAAACAAATTCCAAATGGTTCCAAAAATTCCAAATTGTTTCTATATTATTTTATTACAATTTAATAAATAATTATAAAAGATTTAATTTCTATATTATTATAAAATTATTAATTATTTCTAACAAGTAACTAGTAATGAGTAAGAGATTATTTAACTATATAATCGTTATCATTTATCATGTTGACACAAGTTACAAAGAATATATTATTCCTTTATCAATGTTTATCTATGCAATCTATAACCGTGGCATTATATTATTACGTAGCGTTTTTATTTCATGATATCATACCTTTATCATTTTGTAAATTTTACACCACGGTCATCAGCTTTTAACTATCGGCCTTCAGCCGTGTTTTGTACAATCAATTCTGTGGCATTTATGACGTGCCCCTACAACATTATCACGATAACGATTATGAAAATGTGCTCATTTGATCACTTTTGAGAGTTTTTCACACTGTGAATTAAGAGAGATTCATTCTGCGAAATTTCGAGTTTGAATAGTGTTTTTTTTTTATATTATGGTTTTTAATGATGTTTTTTTATCCAATGTTTTAATTTATTTAGTAAAAGATTCATTGTAGGTAGTTATGATTTAAATTTGTCCATTTTGTTTTAAAGCAGTGTGCATACCTTTTATTTTAAAATGAATTAAAAGATTTTAATTTGTCAATTGGTCTTACTTAATAATATGGAACAGAAAACCACTTATATCGAGGATGAAAATGACGGGGAATTGACAACAAATCAGATGAAAAAAAAGGCTCAAGTTGGTTCTCATTTGTGTACAGTATATAATTCTATAAATATATTTATGTTTTTATCTATTCTAAATTATTGAATTTTTACATCAAAGTTCTGTAATTACAGCATCACTAATGTTATATAGTTTGTAATTATTACAATCCTACTTACTTAGTTAATTTATATAAATACTTAGTTATTACTTAAAGTTCAATGTTACAAAACAACACTGAACAATACATAAAAAATACTGTTTTTAAGGCTGCTGAAACTGTCCCGGTTTTTGAGTTTTTGCAAAAACATGTTTGTTCGTCAAATTTATCATAATGTATTCTTTGAATTGAAAGTTGCTGTAGACTAAACAAACTCGATACGTCTCTTATTGTGACAGGATACATAAAATAGACAGGAATAGTGTATTATTTTTCATTTAAAATAATATATTTTATTTATTTTGATAAAAAAAAACATTTATAACAAAACAGTATACCTATTTTTATAATACTTACCTAGAATAAATACAACAGTAATTCCTTGTAATCACAGAATTTTTAAAAATAAAATCATAGATTTGGAAGTCTTCAAAACTGAAAATTGAAAATTGACTTCTTAAGAAACCTAGAAAATTTGTCAACAAATGCATACATAATTTAAACTTTTCTTGAATACCTATATTATATTATTATACTATATTATAATAATTGTTGAATTACCTACATATTTACCTCGATTGTTAATTTTGTTATTAATAATTAATTTTAAATTCAAATAAGATTAATATTTGATTTAATCTGTTCGTTATTGAAACAAATTTTAAACCATAGGTATCATAAACACTTGCATAAATGTGTTATAAATTTACTAATACTTAGTTTGAATTTCAAAGTCTTAAGAATATTATGAAATAATAATTGGTATAACAAATAAATACATGATAATATATCTGAAGATTTCTAATTGGTAGTATTATGTACGTTTTGGATGGGCATGGAATCCGAATCATCAGACTATCCGGATTTGCTTTTGTTTATATGACGAGATCACTCTATTTTCTTAAGCAACTAATATTAATGAGAGGTTTAACACAAATATCAACTATACAATTGCTTGTTATAAAACAGGTTCACTGTATATATGTAATGTACTAATATGAGCTAAATGTATATATTACTGTACAACAGGGATTACAATTTAATAATAACAATAACTAACAAAATTAGTCTGCTAATCCAGATATACCCATGATAAATGTAATAATACATCTAGTAATCGATAAGTAAATATTAATTGTTCCATTCAATGCATTAGGTATTTGGTATTTAACTACTCATTATTTGAGTGATAATAAAGTATATGATTTAAATTTAAAAACATTACTTAGTGAATTCATTAGTAAAATTGTTTACTTTAAGTATATCAATTGTTATATTTAAAGTTAAGATTATAATTGAAAAAGAAATGTTCTAGGTATTGATTTGTGATGATGTAGAATCTAATTGTATAAAATGAGTAATGACTCATAATGTTTATTAAGTCTTAATACAAAAATCTGAAATTTGCTAAACCAAATTCTGTTATATTTTTAAATAATATATTTTAAATACATAATATATAGTTGCTGAAAACTATGATTTACAACTTACAAAAATAAAACTCTGGTTTACTATCTAATAAAAATAAATATTTATGAAACTTGTGCTATTATCATTTTTATTTATACACTTATTTTATTTTTAGGAAATTGCTAAAAGATTTGAAAAATATCACGGCAGATATCACACATCTTCTAGTCGTTGTAACACACCTTTACCTATTACTTCAGCAGATAGTATTGAGTCTATCCACAGTAATAGTATTGGTGAAACTAGTGAAAAAATTTTATTGTTTCGACAATATTTAGAAAAGGACAGGTATGATGTACCTATATTATTATTATTTGTATTTTGCATTTAATTTTAATTAATTCAGTGTTAGATAATATATTATAAGAAAGGTTCGAAATGTTTTGTACTTAAAATTCACAAAAAAGCAAATATTAGACCAAATAGAAGAAGGTTTTAAATTTTCCTCGTCTAACAATTCTAAATTATGAAATATAATTTATTAACACAACAAAATTTATTGTGTTTAAATAAAAAAAATTGTACATATTATAAAAAATAACTTTGGGTTAGTAATTTGTATAGCGTTGGAAAATTGTACTAAATAATTTAAAGCCGTTAGACAGGGAACATTTAAAACCTTCTACCATTTGGTTTATTAATATTGGCTTGAAGTGATTTTTTTTTTATGGCTTTTTGACTTAAGTTAAAATTGTTGTTTCATATGACATAGTATTGGAAGATAGATAATGGGTGAGGGCCATAAATTAATATATTATTTAAGAACCCTAAAAATCATAATGCAAAATACCATATTAGCCTTTTGTGTTTTATTTGATGTATAGATATAATTTATCGGCCACTGAATAAATAAATCATAAATAATTAGGTAAATGAAATTGGTTGTTAATCTGTAAAATATAGGGTGTCCCACAGAGATATACCCTTTATACTATCTCCGAAGATAATAAAGATAGCCAAATTCTGGTATTTTTTTATATTGCTCACTGGGATTGAGACTACAGATATTTATATTGCAATTAATTTTTTATGTAAAAATTAAAAAAAATTAATCTATTATATATAAATTTGAAGATACTATTTTATAAAGTTTATTTTTAATATTATTATTCTTCTGAACATTTTGACTATCGACTTTTTAATTTCATTAAATTAATTTTTTTTAATAATCTTCTAAAGTTCAGAAAAAAGAAGTGTACATTCAATTAATCGTAATAATAATAATCAATATGGAATGTAATTACAGCGTGCTGCATATAATTATAGGTAATTTTCTCTACATTTTAAAAAATTATTAAAAATCATGAATTTAATGAAAATAAAAAGTTGATACCTGCGTCTAAATTTTTAGAAAAGTAAATTATAAAATGGCTATGTTCAAATTTTTTTTAAAACATATTTATAGTCCTTATTCCAGTAATAAATATTAAAAAAAAAAAAAATCAAATTTGATTATCTCTATTATATCCAGAGATATTATAATGGGTATTATAATAGATATATTCATAGGACACTCTGTATTTGTACCATACTTGTATATGGTAGTACAGATGATTGGAGTTGCACAAGTAACAAATTTTCCCGGGCAATAACTGAATAATCTGAATTTTTCATTGAATTAAACAAAAATTGTGGATGCAATAAAATGTATACAATTGATATACCTGGATAGATAAATATTATAATATTCAATTTTAAAAAAAATATCTGTATTAAATTAATTTTAATACATAATAGGATGTATAGAACTGTAAGATATATTATTATTGTGTATATTATTAGTAGGTCATAGAATTAAATAAATATTATGTTTTATATATAAGATGTTTCTGTGTTACATTTGTTTCAGTTTTCTTTATATAAAATGATCAATAAATATAAGATTCATTATTTCCAAAAGCATTAACTTTGTTTGTGAAACACTACTTGTTTTTATATTGTTCAGAGAAGAAAATTCTTGGTCACAAAGATATGGTGTGGATAGTGATAATAACAATTTTTAGAAATAGCTGAATATTCTGAGGGTAAACTTAACCAGGAGGAAATAATCTTTTAATGACTATTGAACAATATTCGGGTTGTAAATAAATGAACTTATTCTTTTGGGTATGACCCAATTTGTAAATGTTGTCAATAATGGAAAATAGTGATTCATTTTTCCTTAGAGAAAGGTTATGTTAGGTGTTCAATTATAAGTTTTTGTAATTCTTTAACGTTGGATTTTTCATTCATTAATTTTGATAATATTAAAAAAAATCACCTTTAATTATTGAAGATTTCCAAAGTAAAATTTTTGTTTAATTTGTGGAAGAAATCCATTTCTCCATTATCCATTTTTCAATTTAAGTACAATGATTCTTGAACAAAATATACACATAACAATTACACACATACACACACACAAAATTGTAATATTTTACTTATATATTACTAATATTTTATTTTTTTTTTTGTGGACAACTTTTCTACCAGAAATTTTGTTCTGATATACATTGATGGTTCTTTTCCAAAAAGGATATCTGGTTGGGAATGTACTTTAAAGAGGTCATTTTTTGATTGTCCCAAGAGTTAAAAAAAAAAAAAATGGGTATATAGTGCAATATTAAACAAATATTTTTAAATAAAATATATAATGCCTAGTTAATTATTTTACCATAATATGACATAATATATATTGTTGACGAAGTATCACTATGAACTGAACTCCACTTCAGTAAGCAATGGTTTATTGTTGATTACAGATACAAATTGATTTCTTTTCTTTATCTTACCTTCCCAATTTCTCACCATCAACAGTAGCAGCATGTATCACTATTATCCTAGGATAGTTTATTGGTATTGAAAAAGAAAATTGCATAAATTTATATTTCATAGTTTTAAAAGTATCGTTTATCTTAAGTTTTAAATTCAAAAAAATTTGTAAATGACTGTCATTGATTCCTCACTTGGCCATAATACATAATTATTTTATCATTCATGATCAATAATGATAATCTTAATTAATTTATCTTTCAATACTGATACCAGTTTTAAAAAACAGATTACCTTTTTTTAACATTGTATTAACTATAATAACTTGTTCCATCAAATTTACTGGATACTGATTATTGGGAAATTAAGACTTGATCTGGGTGTGTTGAATAAATGACTTTACTCTTGAATAATGCTATTAATATGATTAATTTTAATTATAAATGAATTTGTGGCACCAGTATAATTTCAATTATACTTAATTGTTTTGAAAATTGATTTATCAGGATTTTTATTTTTTTGTATGGCAATTAATACAATTATATAAAATCATAAAATATACTATATAAAATAATTCAAAGCATATAGTAAGTACAAAGAGATTGTTCCTGTAGTAACTGAGTTTTGTTCTGTATTATTAGACAATGCCCAGAGTTTGAATTAGATTCAGTACTTATTTGGTAGCATTTATAAATTTTGTCATTGTTCTCCAGAATTATTCCTAAAGTCTTCTTGTTTATTATATTTAGAATGAAGCGTTTTAGTAGTTTAAAGCAGATGCTAAGCAAGATTATTCGTTGGTAGTTTATAGGAGGTTTGCCCAGTTTTAGAATACCTAGAGTAAAGTTTTGAGTTGCATTGGTAATTTAATAGTGTATAAGATGTCTGAGTAAAATGCTTTTAGCCATTTCTTTCCATTGTTTCCACTAGGTTTTACAAATTCTGGGAAGATATCATTTAAGCTTTCCTGAGTTTAATCAATTTTATGGCATTGTCAGTTTTGATGTCATTGAAAGGGAATGAATAATCGTGTTTTTCTTGGAAGTTTTTGTATGCTTTGTCTGATTGTCATTTGACTTTCTTTCTAAAGATGAGATCTTGTGAGATTTTTTTTTTTGTTCTATTTTTAATATTAGTAGCTCATTTTTTTGGTGTTATTTTTGGTACTTGTATATCCATTTTTATCGCTGATTAACTGATTCCAGTTTCCTTGAAAGACTTCATGCCTTCCTACTTGAATGTTGTGGGATTCCTAAATGGATATTAAGTCTACTTCATTCGCATAAACTAGTTTACTAAGATATTCAAATTTGTCTTTAGTGAGTCTTACATTAATTTGCAAAATATTGATATTGAGATCAATTATTTTTGTCATGTAGTCTTTAGAAGATTATTTTTATGTGATTGTAATTGTTGTTGTTGTGCTTGCCACTATCTTGGAGGTTGTTTACCCTTTGTACCCTCAATCAGTTTATCAGGATCAACAAAATATATATATTTATCAAAGTAATTTTAAGAAAAATTTAAGAATTTTTACTTCAAATTCGTAATAGTATGGTAATTTGTATAGTTAAAAATTACATTTTACTCTTAAGCATCTGAAAATAAATACTATATTCTAAAAAACTTAATTTTAGAAACTTCTAGTTTAAATGTTTGAATTATATGTTTTCATTCTCCTTATCACAATTAATAATATTCTTAATACATGTCATGTATGTCATAGCTTTAATTTAAAAATAAATAATAATTGAAATATTCCAATACATTATTGCGTATCTTATTAATATTATTGTTTTTTTTTTTTTATTGTAGAAAGTTAGTTGAAAATAGTAAGATAGATGAGCAAAACTATGATAAAGATGTTCAAACCTATGGTGAAAAAGTTAATGTACAAGATGAAAAGGAAATACATGATGCAGATTATTATGTTAGTACCCTTATTATATTTTATAATCATTTTACTCAACATTTTTACTTCATTATTTACTTACTTTATTAAATAAGTTTTATGAAAATATTGCTAGTTTAGTTCACTACTTTCAAGCATGATAACTTTAATAAACATTAACTTGTAAAAATGATGATTTTCAATTATACAATTATGTTTACCTTAATACTACAGGCTACTTAATTTATTATAATATTATTTTATTTTATACATTAGGAGTCTGTCATATCAGTACAATTTCAAGAAGAAGCCTTACATTCTTTAAAAAGACAAGTTGTTGAATTGAATGAAAAAGTTGAAAACTATCGTGTAAGTAGTTTCTTGTTTAAAGAGTTAATTAATAAGTGATTAAGTAATAAGAATTAATGTTTGAATGAATTTATCTTTTTTTAACAATAGAATGCTTTGCATGAAAAGGATTTAGTATTGCAAATGAAAATTGAAAAAATAGATTCTTTAAACAAAACCATCATACATAATAATAATTTGCATTTGGAAAATGTGGAGGCCATAAAAAAAACAAATTTGAAAGTTATCCATGAAGAACGTTCACGATGCACTCAAAAAATTAACCATGTTGCTGAAGAAATAATAGAATTACAAAATAGGTTCATAGAAAATATAAATTATGCCTTAAAATGTGTTAACATGTTTTACACTTTTGTTTAGCTTGGACTATGTTCAACAAATGTGTGATCAATTAAAAAAAGATAACATTGAATTAAGTAAAAAAAATAATGATCTACGGAATCGGGAAATTAATCTAAGAATAGATGTAGAAAACTTGAGTATATGCTATGAAAATGAAGTAAGTAATTCATATTTACAAGGCTACTTTAAAACTTAAAATAAATTATAGAATTGTATGTAAAAAAAATTGCCACAATGTCTGTTAAATACTTTTCCAAAATGCTATACAATCATATACTTTCCATTAAGTGTTTAATCCTAGAACACACCTTTCATACTCTAAAAGACTGGACTTTTCTTTTAGAATTTTGTTCATTATTTCAAAAATTCCAAATATTGAGCTAATTTAACATAGAAACCTTCTAATTAAGTGATAAACTAAAATTATATAGGACTTCCAACTGTAAATTGCATTACCTATTAAAATCTAAAGTTAGTTCCAACACATGATACAATTTTCACAGAACTAGTGGGCTCATGCACTGTAGAGTTTACTGGTCCAACATACCAACACACCAGCATTAGTCTAGTTTTGATATTGGTTTCTGACAGTCATATTTCAGATGGGGACTATTAGTCTGAGATCCTGTTATAATTTATTTATTTTTATTATTATTATATTTATTATTATTATTTATTATTAGTTCATATTATCAATTATTTGCATTTGAATGTGTAATCTATTGCTGTTGTTTTTATCTTCAGTGTGTAGTTAATGCTCATCTAAAGATACTCATATTACATCTACTACTTGTCTAAGAAATTCCATTTTTTTTTCTTTTCATAATATTGATTAACTTTAATCCATTATCAGATGAAGAACTAGATGCTAGGTATCCATCTAAATCATTAATTTCACTCATTTTTAACTTTTTAGTACAAAACACCATAGATAAATAAAGTATAACAAACATTTTGTTACAAAAGATATACAATTCAGGTTTATTATCTTATCTCTATTCTACAATCATGGACAATCTGAGAGTTAGTTTCAATGCTTTCTCAGAATCTATGATCAGTAAACCAATCATTGATCAGTCCACAGCTAATCCCAAATTGCATGTTGGAACAAACATAAATAATAAATTATTTTATTTTAATCTTTATCTTATTTTCATTGTAGTGAAATTATTGCTAGTTGACACTGGTTCACCATACCATTTGTAACTTAAAAATATTTGAAAACTTGAGGGTATACATGGTGATCCACAAAGATATAGCCAAGGAAATATCTCTAGAGATAATAAAGATAATCAAATTCTGTTTTTATCTTAGTCACAGAGATAAGGACTATTAATATTTATACTTAATTTTTGGTAAAACTTAAAAAAAAAACTTTTTGCTTTATTATTTTTGACAAATTTGAATATAGTCATTTTATAGATTTTATATCTCTTTAAATTTTGATGTACCATTTTTTTATTTTCATTAAATTTGTGATTTTTAATAAATAAAAATTAAATTTATTTGAAAAGAAGTGTACAGTTAATTAAGAGGGTGTCACAGTAAAAGTGAACAGTATGCAATGATTCAACTTATGCAAATAGTATGCTTATGCCTGCTGGTTAAAAGCAGTATAAGGTTTTTAGAATGCTACCACTGTAGTTGTAAGTTGTAAATTTATCAAATTTGTCAAAAACATGGTTTTGTACTTCCAAAAGTACTCAAATCTCATTGAACGTAAAAAGATTATTTTGGTACCACAATAACACGAGAACAAAATCTGTGGTTTGTTGGGAGCAAATTTTTATTTATTTTTTTTTTTCAGTTAATTGTATTTATATTTTAAATTTTCATAAAAAATTAAAAAAAAAAAAGATCATAAATTGGCTCCCAACAATGCACAGTTTTTGTTCTCGTGTTTAATTGGTACCAAAATTATGTTTCTAAGATAATCAAGGTTAGACTATTTTTGGAATTACCAAACCATGTTTTACAATACATTAGTTTCTACTGTGACATCCTCTTAATAATAATAACAATAATCAGTTAGAGAATGCTATTACAGCCTGCCATGGTTATAATTACTTTTCTACGAACTTTTTAAAATTAATGAATATAAAAAGTTGAATTGTTTAAATGTTCTGAAAAATAAACTTTATAAGATGGCTATTTTCAAAAATAATAAAATAAAGTTATTTTTTGGTTTTTTACCAAAACATAAAAATTAATTGAAATATTAATATTTGTAGTCCTTATTGCTGTGAGTAAAGTTATTCTGATTATCTTTATTATCTTTTCATTTTTTAGTAAGACACTCTGTATTATGTCGTATAATACAATACAATTAATACAAATAATTTAATAATAATAACATTTCTACAAAAATTGAATTTGTTAATATCATCAATAAAAGTATTTGACAATTTTTGTTATTTATTTTGAGAAAATTTAGTATTCAATATTAATTGAAATATAAGTACATAAAATAATACATGAACAAAATGTGTGTGTGGATTCTCCTAAATATTTTTAATGTGTGTACTTTAGGGTTAATAATAAACAATTATTACGCAATTATTTCTAATTTTGTATTTAATTAAGAGTTGCAAGATGAAATTACATTACAAATTAAGAAAATTAAAATATTACCACTTTAAACTTTGCTATCATTAAAAGTTGGAGCAAAATTGCTGATAGAAAAATTGTGCACAAATTTTAAAAAATTAAATTTTCACTCAAAATCTAAAATAAGGTTGTCATTGGCAACTGTTTTTATTTAACTTTTGTTATTATTATTATTATTATTATTATTATAAGTTTTATTATTTTTAATTTTTTTTAAATAATCATTGTTGTAATCATTTTACCGTAATATGACATATATATTGTTGACAAATTACCACTATCAAATTAATTAGCAATGGTTTATCATTGCTTACAGATGTACAATAAGTTCCTGTCTGTATCCTACCTTCCCAACTTCCTACCTATAACAGTAGTTATACCCATGTGTAAAGTATGTTCGTCCTTTTTAATTTGTATAATTTATACAAATTTGACAAGTATATTTTATTAATTATATTATAGAAAAATATATGTATGGTAAATAAAAATAAATTTATTATTTTAATAATCATTATATTAAGTATTAAAATATAAATATAATTTTTATTTATTGATATATAGAAAAAGTTGGAAAAACTTCTGAAACATAACCATGAATCTTCAAAAGAAATTGTTGAAAGTGAGTTTTTTTTTTTTAGTACTATTGAAATTATTTATAAGTATCTGTTTTATACCTTTAAGATATGGAAAAAGAACTGCTGCATTTAAAACTAGAAAATGAGTCATTAGTTGAACGTATTGATTTTCTAGAGAATAATTCTATGGATAATCAAGAAAAATATTTGGAAACTCAACTTAACAGTAAATAATTAATTTTATTTATATTTTGTGATTATAAAAAAAACCATCATAATGTCAAATAATTAAACACATTAAGGATACCTTTGTCTTGAAGATTCTTTTTTGAATACTCCAAAATAGTGTAATAGTATAGTTCAGTACATTTTCAATTTCACCAACAAATTTCATATTAATTACAGTAAACTGGATACTGAGTTACCAAATTTATGTCCTCTATTAATTTGTATTTACATATAAAAATACACTTAAATTTAATCTAAAAAAATCTTTAAGCTCTGTTTGTTTATGATTATACCAGCTCTGTACAATTTTATTAAAAGATTATGAGTATACTAAATGTCACAATATAAAAATGATTATATCTTGCTTAAAAACAAAAATATTGAAAAACATCAATGCTAGGACTGATCTTCTCACCTTTAAGTTTAGTAATTACTTAATTTGTTTTAATATTAAAACGTGCCCTATATCTGCACATTTGCTAAGTCTCCCATTTGTAAGATTGCTGAATTTTCTAAAATTTTCTATCTCTATTGACAAAATGAAATGATCTACATCCTGTTGGTTGTATGACAATATTATAAAATTTAAATTTTTTTACAACAAAGACAATATTCCTATAAAATTCCAAGGCCTTGACATATTCTATGTATATCATTCTATGTGTATAATTTATAGTATTGTTAATATTTTTTTTCTTATAGTTAAAGACAATGAAATTCACCAATTAAATCTTAAATATGAAAACTTAAATAAACAATTTGAACTTAACCATGAATCCTCAAAACAAATTATTGAAAGTAAGTTTTTCTTGTTGTATTATTTAAAATGTTTATAAATATTTGTGTTATACATTTTAGATATGGAAAAAGAACTTCTGAAATTCAAACAAGCAAATGAGTCATTAGTTGAACGTATTGCTTCTCTAGAAAACTGTTCTATAGATAATCAAGAAAAAGATAATTTACAAATTAATCTTAACAGTAAGTATTGAAATGAATAATTGGTCTGTATTATTATAAATTAAAATAAATACCTAAACAAATTTCACTTAATTTGCATTCATTAAATATGATGTATATATATATATATATATTAAATACAAATATTTGTATAACAGATTATAGTATGCCATTTATATATTATTCAAATTATTGTTTATAGTGAAAGATGCTGAAATTCAGCGTTTAAATCTTGAATATGAAAACTTGAATAAACAATTTGAACTTAACCATGAATCCTCAAGACAAATTATTGAAAGTAAGTTTTTCTTGTTGTATTATTTAAAATATTTATGAATATTTGTTTTATACATTTTAGATATGGAAAAAGAACTTCTGAAATTCAAACAAGCAAATGAGTCATTAGTTGAACGTATTGCTTCTCTAGAAAATTGTTCTATAGATAATCAAAAAAAAGATAATTTACAAATTAATCTTAACAGTAAGTGTTGAAATGAATAATTGGTCTGTATTAGTATAAACTAAAACAAATTTCACTTAATTTGCATTCATTAAATATGATGTGTAATATATATAATCAATACACATATTTGTATAACAGATTATAGTATGCCATTTTTATATTATTCAAATTATTGTTTATAGTGAAAGATGTTGAAATTCAGCGTTTAAATCTTGAATATGAAAACTTAAACAAACAATTTGAATTTAACCATGAATCCTCAAAAAAAATTATTGAAAGTAAGTTTTTCTTGTTGTATTATTTAAAATATTTATGAATATTTATTTTATAAATTTTAGATATGGAAAATGAACTTCTGAAATTCAAACAAGCAAATGAGTCATTAGTTGAACGTATTGCTTCTCTAGAAAACTGTTCTATAGATAATCAAGAAAAAGATAATTTACAAATTAATCTTAACAGTAAGTATTGAAATGAATAATTGGTCTGTATTATTATAAACTAAAACAAATACCTAAACAAATTTCACTTAATTTTGCATACATTACATAATACAGTGGAACATTGATAACTCGAAATAAATACTATTTTTTTGCAAAACAGTATTCAATTACTGAAAAGAAAAACTCTAGATTACTTGAACATTCTGTTCAACAAAATAACATGTGAATGGGTTGTGGATGCCCTTGTGTTCAGTAATATGGCAAAAAATATTATGTTATTACAAAATCAAATTTATTTAAAGATTTATAAACTGCAGAGATTTGATATAAATTGGATGATTTTATTGAAATTTATCAAATTTCAATAAATTTGTGATAGTGTAGGGGTATTTTGGGTTGATGTGGGTGAGTGAAAAATTAAATCAATGATTCTAAGGTAAAAATACTTTAGTATTACAATTTGAAAATAATTATAAGTACATATATAGTATATAATAATCAAAAAATATAATATGTACATACGTTTTAAAAACTTAAAGTTTAATTTTTTTCTGAAAACCTTAGTAAGTCAGATACTTCAATAAGTTGAAAAATTGTATTTCCCTTGAATTTTGACTTATCAATGTTCTACTGTATTATATATAACAAATATACATTTTCATATAACAGATCATATTCAATTTTTTTAATTTTTTAATTTTTTTTTTTTTTCAGTGAAAAATGCAGAAATTCAGCGCTTGAATGTTGAATATAACAAATTAAATAAACAATTTGAAAATCAAACACTAGAAACTCAACAAACAGAAAGTCGTTGGATTCAGTTGAAAAATGCATATTTAAATGATAAAGATCGTATGTCAGCTTTGGAAAAAGTGATTGATGAATTAAAAATAAACAATGATGATTTGAATACTACCAATTTAAAATTTACCAATCAAATAAAATCATTGAAAGGAAAATTAACAATGTTAAATACTGAAAACAGTACACATAAGGAAAGAATTGCTTATTTAATTAATGTTATAGAACTTGAGACTAAAAAGTATCAAGAAGCCTTAAAAAAAGCTTCACTTGAGTATGAAATAAATAAAAATGAGTTAATTCAACAACATGATAATGATAAAATTTTACTTTTATCTTGTAGTAATAAACTTGAAGAAAACACTTTAAAGCTGAATGAGGTAAATAATCAATTAGAAACAGTATTAAAAGAAAATAATTCATATAAATATGAATGTTTAGAATTGAATAATTGTCTTAGTAAAAATGATGCACAAATATTTGAATTGAATAATGTTATTAGTGAATTGCATAAGCAAACTTTCCAAATGACTGGAGAGTTAGATTTACTTAAAAAAGAAAATATTACTCTTTCTGAAAAATTAAATGGATCTAGTTTTGAGAATGAAGACCATAAATTGTTATCAGAGCGGTTCCAAAAACAAAACAAATTATTAAAAGTAAAAATCAAAACTTTAAAAGAGTCTGAAAACAATCGGTTGCTTTTACAACAGCAAGTTGTGTCCTTAACTAATGACATACAAGCTTCAAATCAAAAATCAGAATTCCTTGCAGAAACCAATAAACAAATTACCACTGTTTTACAAAATTCTGAAATGGAGCTTCAAAACTGCTATCAGCTATTAAATACAATTGAAACAAAATTAAATTTACAAAATCAGAATATATATACACTTCGTTGTATTTTGATAAATCTTGCAACATTATTTTCATTTGATGATTGTATTGAATCTGATGGTAATTTGCTTAAAATGGTTGATTCAATTTGTAATACTGTTCCTGAGGATATTGAATTACAGATTTGTATAAAGAAACTGATTCTAGGTTCCATTTATATATTCGAATACATTATAAAGTTAAATAATTTACACAAACATTCTAAAGTAGAATTAATTGCTCCCGCTAAAGTTGAAAAATTAGTAGTAGAAGTTGTTGATAAAGTTAAATTATCAACACAAAATGAATATCATAATCAGAATAATGAATTGGTCAATTTAACTGAATATTTAGAACATGATGCTTTAAAATCAAATATATCTTCTGGAATTCTTGAAATGAAAGAAGTTTCGACAGATTTAAATGGTCCTATGGTAAAAAATATTAAAAATGAAAATAATGAATTGAAACAATTTTTAAAAAATATCAAAGAAAAGTTAGGTTTAATTAATACTGATGAAATGAACGATGTGCAGTTACAAAATTCTTTAAGTGAACTTGAATTCATCATACAAGAAATAAAGAATGAAAATTTACAACTGAAAAATCAATATCTTGAACTTCAAAAATCAGTTTCAATACAAGCTTTAGAACAACCAAATATACAGAAAATAGATAAATATTCAAACTTGAACACTCAGAATGTATTTTATCAGAGTATTGAACATTTAGAAGAAAATGTTGATGAAGAAAACCCATCTTTACTTTCAGACAATCAACTAAGTAATTCAAATAAGTCCAAATCTACAGTAGAATCTGTTGCTATGAATGGAGATTCAAAAGTTTTACTTGCACGTTATAAGAATTTAAAATCTCGATTTAAAGAAGTTCGTGTTAAAACAGTAGAGTTAGAAAAAAAAGTTACCAGCTTAACATGCGATTTAGAGTGTGCAAATTCAAAGTATAAACAATTAAATGATCAATATGCAGATGTTAATGAAACTCATGAAGCCGATATAGTCCAATGTCAGTCAGAAATTGAAAACCTCATGAGTGAAAAATTAGAAGCTTATCGAAAACTGGAAACATTAAAGGAAAAACATGAAATATTACAAAATGATTATGATCAACTTAAAAGTAATTTAGATGACAACATGGTTAGTGATACAGAAACTAAATCTCCTCACATCAATGAACAATATATGATTTTAAAACAGCAATTAAATGACACACAACATTTAATTGATACAGCTTATTCAAGAGTATTATGTGAGTGGCCACCAATAGATGCAAATTCAGACTGGGTTATTAATCAATCTAGAAAATTAGATGAAATAGTTTATGCCAAGATCGATTCTAAATCAAATTCATCTAATAATTATGATAAATATTTTTATGGTTTTGACTTATCAGGGCCAGAAGCTAATCAATTGAAATCATGTCTTACAGTTATTCATACGTTAACTATGTCTATTATAACTGGTGACCGTGTGATTGACAATTCTACTTCTGATGTTATAATTACTTTAATGTCTGCTTTAAAAACATATACAGAATTATTTATAGACATCATATTCCTTAAAAATATCAGTCAGTCTAATTTGGTGGATGAACTTTTTAAATTATCAAAAGATTTAAAATTATTTGATGTTGAAAAAACCGATAAAAGTAATAAATCCTTTTCAAAAGAACCTTCAAGTTCTGAAGAATCAGTTAAACCATTAAATATAATTGAAGAAAAACCTTTAGAGAAAGAAGATATCTTTCAGTTTCAGCAGGCTATTGCTGAGCGTGATCAACTGATTAAGTTTCTCTCTGATAAAATATCAAAATCGGAATATTTAAACACTAAAAGAAATATTGATGATATTAGATTAGTTCGAGATAAACTTGATAAAGCCTTGACAGCTGTACACGAAAGAGATGTTCGATGCAATGAATTAACCCTAGAACTCACACGGGTATAATACTATAATTATTAATATTAAAATAATATAGTAAAAACAAAATTATTAAATGATTAATAATTGTAAATAAATAAATGAATGGTCGCCTGGAGTATTATGGTATATTATATTTTGTACGGCTGGTTTTGAATTCAAAATTCAAAACCAGCCATTCAATAATACTCCAATTGACACATTCATTTATTTATTTATATATATAATTATTAATTAGTTGTATTCTCATGTATCAATATATATATACATAATTAAAAATTATATATTTTCAGTTATTAGAAGAACGTGATATGTTACAATTGAAACTATCAAATTCTATTAGACAGATTCAATTATTATCTGATGATAAGTCAAATGTTTCGGAAGAAAAATATGGTTCAAAAAACATAGATGACAAGTAACATTTTTTAATTAAATATAAAAATATAAATGAAGCATTTTAAAATATTATAACTATGTATTTTAAAATCATTAAAGCTACTTTTATATTCTATTTTGTTACTTTGATTTTGTATTAGGTTTTAAAATTGTATAACAGATATAAACTGTATTCAATCAATTCTTATTATAAACTGAGATCTTCAATTACTCATTAATAGTAACATGTATTATTAAAATGATTCAGGCATGATAAATTATTTTTCAATTTTAAAAATTTGTATGTATTCTATACACTGGTATAAAATAAGGTTTACTATCACTTATTTGTGATTGATTGATAATTGACTGAAGTTAAACATTTATTAATGTTATAATTTTTTTCTTTTTACGCAGTATATTTAATTAATTTGTATTCTGATGTTTTCTTGCTGACAGGTTAACTTCAGTGTTGGGCGTAATCAATTTATTTATTAAATTATATTAGTTATTAATTGTTTAATCATTTTTAAAATTTGCCAAATTGATCACATAACTACAAATATATTATATATTATACAATTGTACAATGTATAATGTACAACCTCTGATCCTTTTAAGTGGATACATTATCAATCATTATCTCGGAAAGTTTTAACTTTTTCCAAAAAATTTAAGAAACAAGCTGCTCTACAATTTTATATATATGTTATTTTTGGGGATAAAACAACTACCTAATTTTGATTTTCAAATGACAACTATATTAAAAAGTTCATAAATAGATTGAGTATTAGTTAATATAAATTTGAGTGTTGATATTTTTTAATTCTGGATTATATTTATGCATTACTTTATTAATAATAATTTATGTATTATTTTAGCATTACCCCATAATTGAATAACATATGTCCAAATTAGGTTAATGAGGGATTAATATATTAGTAGTTTGGTGTTAATGTGAGTATGTTTATTATTACATATATAAGTTCAAGAGTTTAAACTGCTTAAGTGCTGAGCCCAGGTAATCTTGAGTTAATCTAAGATATTTAACTGATGGTGAGATAATGATTTGAGTATTGTAGATAGTTACAGCAGGGAAGAAGTCTAAGGGTAAATAGTAGTGTGTATATACTTAAAATGATTGACTTGAAGCAATGAAACAGTCAGGATGAGTGGAGATAATAGCTTTGTCATCAGCATAGTCAGCGACCATTGTGAACCATCGGTAGGGTGGTCAAATACATAAATGTTGCTAATATGTTGTCTAGCCCTATCATAGTTTGAGAACCACTGCTTTAAAGAATACAATATGTAATGATGAATAATATTTTAAGAAAATGTAATATCTGTATAAAATGTAGGTACATTTAAAATAAAAGGAAGTATTTTATTTTATCAAACAGTTAATAATTATACTTCATATGATATTGAAGAATATAGAATATCCATTTTATTATTTATATAAAACAAAATAATACTTATCTGTGACTTTAGACTTGAAGAATTGCATAGTTTAGAATATATACGGGATGCTGGTTTATTTACTGATCAAGAACAGAGACACATGTCACAAATGGAACTGCACCAAAGTCATCAAGCTAGCTCTATAACTCCTCTAGGAGCTAATTCATCTGATGTTACTGGTAAAAAAAATAAATAAATTAATAAGATTTAAGATAATTGTTTTATGCATACATATAAAAAATGTATAATATATATAAAACATACTGTATTAAGATTGTTATCAAACATGTTCACTTTATTATATAGGGTTTTCCAAATTTCATGTTTTCAGTCACATTGAAATATTATTATTATTTTTTTTTTTTTTAATGACATGGAAAAATTTGTTAGTTTCATATATTCTATTGTTTTGCCTTTATTTTTAATTTTGAAATTATTACCCACTTTTAATTTTAAAATAACAATTTATATTAAAAATTCTATAAATAAATAAAATTTCAGTTTAAATGTTTAATTTTTGATATATGTTGTTATTTATAAATCAAAAATGTGTAGTGATTATTCTTCTCCAAGAATAAGTGTGAAAAAATAAGGATAATGTATCAGTTTAGAATACATGATTCCAAACATAATTTTTTGAAAAAAAAAATATTTTATGTAAAATTAAAACTATAACATGCAATTTGGAAAACTATATATTTTGAAACTACATGAACTATTCATTAAAAATAATAATTTTATTATTATTATTATTATTATACAGTGTGATCAAGATAAGTGGAAACACTCAATAACTATGTGCAGGCTTCAAATATTTCAATTCTGCTTTTTCAACTAACTAAATTATTTTAAGTTGAAAAATAGCTGAGTCATAGCAATTTGAATATTTTATGTTATTTTCATGGATATGACTGGTAAAACAGATTATAAAAGAATTTGCTCTAATGTACGCTAGTATTAACACCTCAATATCTTCTCCAGTAGCATTTCCTTGTCTTGGTTGTTAGTTATTGACTCCTTTGGAAAAAGAACTGGTGTTTCTTAAATTTGTTTCCATTTTCTAAAAAAAATTATGCGAAAGATGTTAATTATCTAAATTTATAAATTAAAAAGGGCATTCATTGAATGATAAATTAAGCAGAGAAAATTAAATTCATTGTGAAATCATAATTACTCGGATAACAAAGGTTTCTTTGGCATTCCCAATATGTAAAAAGCATGTTAACTTTTTCTGAATTATTATCCATAATACCTAGTAAATTAGTATTAAATCTGGTTTAAAAACTGCAAAAACTTACTTAAATTAAATTATAACTGGTAATATTTATAAATTAAATACAAAAACTGAGTTAATAAAAATTAAGACAATAGGTAAAACAGGTATTTCATAAATTGGATAAATTTACTAGGTACATATTTTATAATCTGTTTTACCAGTTATGCCCATGCAAATAACATAAAATATTAAAATTGCTATAACTCAGCCATTTTTAACTTAGAAAAGAATTTCAAAAACTAAAATTAATTTTTAAAAAAAAAAACAATAATAATTTGTGCTCAAAAATATATTATACCATTTTAAAAAAAAGTTATTGCACCCTTGCCCAAAATTAATTGTTACAAAAATAGTATAATTATTTGAAAAGTTATATAATTATGTTTATTAGTTATCTGAAAAAGTAAAATTGAAATATATGAAGCCTGAACATAGTTATTGAGTGTTTCTACTTATCGTGATCACATTGTATGTATATATTATTTATCAATGAATATTGAATTAATTTGGTCAACAATTTAATTATTTTCATAAACTCTAAACAAACAAAAGTTGTGTTTAGATTAATACTCAATAAAATATAAAAAAAGTAAACAATGAGTATATAAATAACATATATATTGACTTTATTTGTTTAATTTTATATAATTTATAAATGATATTGAAAATTAATCTAATAAAACTTTTGGTTTTTTATATTTACTATATATGTCATTTATTTACAATGACAATTTCCTTTATTTTTTTGCATTACTTGAACAATTTTTAAATTTTAGAAACTTATTTACAGTTTTGTCACTTGTTCTCTGTTTCAATTAATAATAGTTACAACTTAATTAATAAATTAATTAGAGTTTACATGCCAAAAAAAAATGTATTAAAACAAATTGGTTAACTTTTTGAATATTGTAATAATTTTATGATATGTGTATTCATCATTTTGTAAATTTTGTTTTTTTTTAGAGAAAGCAAACACCTCACAGTCTTGGTTTAAAGATGTATTATGGTAAAGATACCTATCTAATACTATTAAATGTTTTATAAATTTTAATCACTTTAATTATTTAGCAATAAAATTCATTGTTATTTTGTTTTACATTAAAAATAAACATTAATTTATCTTATTGTATAATTTTGATTTTTATTTATCGTGTAAAAAATTATGTTTTGACACTGCATAGTGTTTTATCAAAAAACAGTCTCCAACACCATACTTTTCTGTGATATCTACCTATTATATAGATATTTTTGTGCATAATGACATCAATAAAAAAAAAATTTTCTTAAATAATGGTTATTATTACTTATTAAACAAATATATTAAATTAGGTTCTATATTTAAGATTTTGAGTGGAGCAAGGAATGTATTGGTTTTACAATTATATTTATTTTATTTTTTCTGAAAGGAAATGTTCTCTGGGTAATACTTTAAAGAGACCATTATATCGAGATAATGAGAAAAACCAGCTTCTTTAAAAAAGATTGAAAGATTAATTTTTATGTCATTGGCAACCGTTCTTATTATTTTAAAAGCTTTTTTAAACAATCATTGTTATCATGGAAACGCACATTGTTATAATGATTTTCAATATTATGACATATATTGTTGACAAAGCAACACCATACAGCCGTGCACCTTATCAGCTCGTTATTGTCGTTCTAGCGGTGGTCCGTAACCGGTGCGAGTGTCGTCAGCCGTCCGTCGAGTCCAGATAACCATAGGCGAACCCGATAAGGTTATTTTTTATGTATTATTTGTTATTATTTTTCTTATTCTTATTGTATATTATCAGTGTGTGAAATATACCTACTAATGCCGGGTTTACACGATGCGTAGTTCTTGTCATTTGTACTTGTTACTCGCACTCGCATATTGCGTGTAAACAGTAAAAATAGTGCTTAGAATTAGTAAAACCGGGAGTGCGAGTGAATAGAATTCAGTTCTTTTTACTAATGACAAGTAGTTAGCCCCTCCGCGATTCTACTATACTCGCGGTTGCACTCGCAACGTGTGACCGTCCCATGTTAGTACTTAGTGATAAGTATCGTTAGGATCATGTGCATATTTTGTTGATTTTTCGATTACCCGTAGCTTAAAAAGACAAAGTTAATTCCAGTTTTATCCTCGCAGGGATTGCAGTTCTCATAATTATATTTTCTCTTTGAATTAGATGAGATATTTTTTGTTACAGAAATTCAAATTGCTCAGGTGTTATACTCAAATTGATCTTCAGTAGCAAGTTCTCTTAAAATCCCAACTGAATTACCAAGGCTATCCCGTCTCAACAAACATTTTCTTGTCCAAAATCGTTTTTTTTTTCTGATTCGTTTTCAATTTCTTGCATCAATAACGATATTATAACGTTAGCATGATGTTTAAAAGTTTTCTTTAAAAAAAGGTGGCGGTTTATCCTGACGTTTGGTTCGCTACTACGTGCTTGTAGTAAGTATGACAATCACGTGTGAACAATAATTAGATAGTAGGAGTACGAGTAGTAATGCGAGTGACAAGTACTACGCAGCATGTTAACTCGGCATAATACCGTATTTTATATTCGCACATATGTTTGTAGTATTATAGTTTGAATGATCCGTGTCTATTTTGTTGTGCGGCCGAAATATTTATTTTTTAAATGTTTTCATGATGAAATAGCAATAGCTAATTGTTTGTACCACTAAAAAAAAACATCCTCGGTACGCCCCTGAATATAATATATTATCTTTTGGACACTATATCTACAAAATATTTTTCAGAAGAAAGCAAATTCAATTTGTTTAACCTAAAGTCTTCTTGGGTTGTTCTTAAATGATTTTTGACTAATTTCATTTTGCTAAATAACCTTTCATTGCCAGCAACGGTTACAGATGCTGTAATCGATAAGCAAAATAATAGATTAGCCAATGGCAAAGTAGTTTTCAAATCATCAAATTCATCAAATTACAAAATAAATAATTAAATATTACTATTGATATTATGAAATATGATTTATTATTTATATGTTTAAAATATCATTTACTGACTGACTGACTAAGTGATTCATCATCGCCTAGCCCAAACCACTAGACGTATCGGGCTGAAATTTGGCACACAGATGGCTATTCTGACGTAGGCATCCGCCAAGAAAGAATTTTTGAAAATTCAATCTTTAAGGGGTTAAAATAGGGGTTTTTAGGTATATTTGTTAGGAATATCTAATTACTTATTTATTCTTGTTTATTCTTGGTGTTACGGATGATAATTCTTGTTGCCACGGAAAAGAAAATTATCATAATTATTATTATTACTATTATTTATACTATTAAAATTTCACAATAAAACACATTTAGTCCGCCAATTAGTTCATTCAATTCTGACACAGCCAAAATTACAAATGAATATGGATAAAATAATAATAAAATAAATTGGCACGGGCAACGCCGGGCGTGGGACAGCTAGTAAAATATAAATAAAGACATTACAACTAGACAAGTATTATTGTATTTATATGTATGTTAAATCAACATATTACAAATATTATTGATTATATATATCATGATCACGGATTAAGATATATCTTAATCCGTGATCATGACCAAAAATTATTGTAAATAAAATTAATTGCCATAGACAAATTCTATGGTTCTTTTATAGTTACTATAGAAGACATCAAGTTAACCAGTAACCACGTTCAGTTGGTAATTTATAGTATAGGTTACCATTAACATTGTGATTTATAATCCCCCTCACCACTGCATATCCCTCCTGATATTACTGACTTTCTGATAACAGTTTACAACTTATTTTTCCAATATTAGGTAATTCTAGTCAATACCACTATCACAATCTTATACAAATTATCAGTTGGCCAATATGTACAGTTATTTCATTTTTCATAAATGTAAAATGGCGTACTGAAAAGTTAAAAAAAAAAAATTAATGAGGGGGAGGGTATTATGACCACCCTTCAACCCTCGCAAGGTTCGCCTCTGAATGCAGATATGAAGCTGGAAGCAATGCACAATATCACCCAAACTGTATTTAATACAAAATCAAAAGATATTAAAAACGATGTTTAACAGTATTAGGTTTTTATATTTGTAACATTGATTTTTAGTAAATTTGTATTATTTTGTTTTTGTAAACTTCATAAGACTGAAGAAAAAGTTAATTTATTATTTTTATCACTTTATTAAACGTATTTAGAAGGATGTATAACTACAGAAAACAAATATAGGGGTGCTGTAGTTACTAACAGGGCCACTGTCTATGCTGATAACTGATAATAATCAATTATTAATTAATTTGTTTTTTTATGAATAATTGAATTTATTTTATTCTATTTCATAATATCTATCTAATAAAATAGAAAAAAAAATGTTTACTTCGGTTGTTGAGCCTAACTGACATTTTAAATTTTATTGGTGATTTTAAGTCATTGATTAAGGAAATGCAAATAATAAAATGTAACCACATTTTTGAATTTGGATGTGTTGAGAATAATAACAAAATATTAAGAATAGATGTTATATGTCTTAACTCTTTGAGGCATTATGGTATTATAGTGAAACCACCTGAACTAGTAATATTCATTTTTAAAGCATGCTCCCATTTCTTTTTTAAGGTAGCAATTTTAGGAAAAGTGTGGAAAGTCACATTCTCTTGGTATTGACTGTTGAATGGAAATCAACAGAGAACCACAGAGAATATTGTTTTATATTGTGGATCATGACAATATTTATGTTTTTTTACGACTTTTTGGTGTTGTGGCATAATAAGCATTACCCATAATTATGCGTTGACAACTACCCTAATATAAAAATGTGATCAAAATTAAAACACTGGTGGTTAATAAATTATGAAAAATCGGGTAAATCAATTCTCAATATTTTGTATTTCATATTTTCATCAATAATTCAGTTTTCATGTCGTCCCCATTACAACATTTCATGCCACCACACTTTCTATCGCGAATAGAACCTATTAAGTTGTTAAATTTGTATACACTGATTTTTATTATTTTATTGTAAAATTCATAAGGCTGAAGAAAAAGGTTATTATTTTTATCATTTTATTAAAATGTAATGATTATTTAATTATTACGTAAATTGAGAATTGTTTTTTTTTTAATCTGGTGGATATTTTGTATAGGAAGATAGTAAATACAATATCTTAAATAAACCACAATTTTTTAATATTCTTAAATCATACAAGTTAAATTATAAATTAATGTCTACTATAAAAGGTTTGTGTAGTAATGATGAAAACAATATAATTTTATACAATTAAACCAAAATTAAAGTTTATTATTACAGTTTATATATATAGTTAAAAAACTTCATGTCACTACAGCCTGCCCATTTCTACAGCAATTTATTGGAAGAGCACCGCCAGGGGTGGCCTGTGCGGACCACGGCTCCCCTAAATTTGTCTTGGCTCCGCTTGGCCGCCTAACCACAAAAGAAAACAAGAACTTTTCTTTTAAAGTACAGATTATAAAATTGAAATTCTTTACTTCTATATGGTAAAACCAATTTATTTATTTTGTTGACCGAATAAAATGTGAATAATTCTTTGAGTATGATCATGATCCTCACAATTCACAAAATGATGTTATCAAATCGAATAATATTGTAATAAATATGGTTATAAATTATTATTATTATAAGACCTTGGCTATGTTCTCTGGTTATGTTATTAATAAATTGTCCAGTAGTAGGCTGTTATATAATTCATGCACAGACTTCTAAACCACAGAGTAACCATAGAGACTTTGAACACTCTATGTTATAAACTAAGTTAGTATAGAAGTCTATGGCATAATGTGATAACGGTTTATTGATTATGACTGATAAAATTTTTAGTTTCCAGTTTGTTTAAAACATGGAGTAATTTAAATGTAATTTAAATGCTACATTTTTAAATTAATCATTATTAACTATAACCTACATTATTAAGAGTATTAATTATCTTAATTTACTAAAATAAATTAGAAAGTATCCATTATTACATCCAATACATTTCTATTTGGTATAATTATACAAATATAGAAGTTTAATTAATTAATAAGTACTGGTAGAAGTGAGTGCAATAATTATTTTCTTCTAAAAATAGCTAGCCTGCTGAGAGTCCATCTGCGCTTTACTATAAAATTTAATGGCGTCTCTATCTTATTTTATGGTTTAAAATTATTATTTATTATTATTTTTGTCTATGCTTTGCAGTTTACATTGTATAATGTTTCATTGTTTTAATTGGTTTAGTTTTATCTAATCTAATTTGTCTTACTCACTCGTGAAGGACATCTTAAAGATGTCTTAAGATTTAAGATGTCTTGTATAAGACAAACATTTATTATATAATAGAAGTTTGTATACCATTTTATATAAGTTATAATTAATAACTTGTAATATGAAAACTTAATATATGTAACACAATCTTTACAATTGATAATATGTTAGCCCCTTCCCCTTATTGTGCCTATGAGTGGAAAAAAAAATTATGGATTGGGACATTTTTTGGCCCTAACAAATTTTTTAAAAGCCCCGAATGAGCTCTCTTAAGAAAAAATTCCTGGCGCCGCCACTAGGCACCACACTTGCAGTATTGAAATACTCGCAAAATTTATCACGCATTTCTGAGGCAGCGATTCCCAAAGTGTGTTTCCCGGAACCTAAGAGTTCCATAGAACAATTTTTTTGATTTTTCCAGGAGTTTTCCTAATAAATGGAAAAACGGGAAAATAGGTACAATATTAAATAAATAATATTAAAGAAATTATATAATGCATATGTAATTATTTTACCATAGTATGACATATAAATTGTTGACAAAGTAACATTATCAACCAAATTTCGCTCAGAATCGGTTTTTCATTAGCAATGATTAATCTTTACATACACATATACATTAAATTACATTAAGCAGTGAGTGCACTCGTTCCAATTATCCTAAACCGAATTTTGTAAATTATAGACTAAAATAGATTATATAAGTAAAAATAAAATATTTTTTCTAAGAGTGCAAGTTGGGCAATTTAAATTAAATTAATGCGTGATCAATGGGAGAATATTTGTTTACGTTAAATATATATGTAATATCAATGAATGAATCAATGAATCAATGAAAGGATGGGCCATTAAAACCTAAAGATGTTTTTTGGTAATCATTTTATAAAAAAAAACACAAATTATTAATTTTGAATCATTTTTCGTTTATTTTGGACATTTTTTCTGATTAATTTCTAAAAACAAAATCGCCTTCAGAGCGAATGAGTGAGAAGTTGCGCCTCCTGCGGGCTAAATATTTCTTCCAAAAACTGTGAAATCGCAATTATTATATTAAATTAAATGATATTTTTTTTTTGGTCTGTGAAAAAATGTTCTACCAAAATACGTACAGACTAGTAAACTAACTATTTACAGACATGAAATTGTCTGTGATTTACAGAATCATATTCGTAACTGAAATTCCTTGCAGAACGATTTAAAAATCAATATTATCATTTTATCAATGTCAGTGCCAACATTTCCGATCGTTTTTTTTTTTTTTTAGAATTTATATACTTATTGTTAAATTTTAATAAATAAGCTTAAATTATGGATTTATAATCCTTTTGGGTTTTTTCATCAAATGTGAAAAAACGAGGAAATGTACGAAATATATTAGTGAAATATTATGATTTTTTTTTTCTGTGAATGACTTTTCTACAAGCAATTTTTCTTCGATTTATAATGATAGAAATTTTTCTGAAAGAAATTTTCACTGGGGAGATACTTTAACAATGCTATTTTTCGATTTTCTCAGTTTTCCCAGCAAATGTGAAAAACCTAGAAAAAACATGTGTAAATTGGAAAAAACGTAAGAAAACGGAAAAATTAGTACAATATTAAACAAATATTATCAAAGAAAATCTATAAATTTATAGTCTATTTAATTATTTTACTATAATATGGCATACATACATTGTTGACAAAGCATCACTATCAACTGAACTCCACCCAGAATCGTTTTTTCGTTAGCAATGGTTTATCGTTGCTTGTTACAGATATAGATTAAATTACCTTTTTTATCCTACCTTCTCAACTTCCCACCTACAACAGTGGCTGCAACTGTCCCCATTATTCTAGGACAGCTTTTTTTTTTTCTATATGTGAATAACTTTTTTACCAGAAATCTTGTTCAGATTATTCGATTATTAATTTTAGAGGTATCTAATAAAATTTTAATCTTTGATGAAAGTTTTTTTTTATTTTCTTTAGTAGTATTCCTTAGTATAGGGAAATCCCTTGAAAAAAAAAGTCAGAAAACCGTTACATTACACAGTACCTTATGGTTTCTTTTATATTCTGTATATTTTGTTTATTTATTGAAAAATAATCGTAGAGGCCTGAAATATCACTGAATATGTATATATTATGTATAGTCTCTTATATACAATTTTTTCTAAACGGTACAATTTTAAAATGATTCTGGCAATTTTTCAGACATAGCTATTTGAAAATGTTGAGTTTTTAGAACTTTTTTTAGATTTATGTGATTAAGAGTATTTTGAAAAGTTAAAATTAGAGGGAAAAAAGTTCAACGGTTTGTCAGACCCTCCCCCCCCCATATTCAAGAGTGTAGGTGGGGGTGGATTTGAAAAAATCGATAATATATTATGTACATAATTCTAGAATAGGTATAAGGATTACCTACGCTAAAAGCTAGGTCCAAAGAGGGAGATTGCCTTGGCACCTCCCCTCCCTTGTATCCTTTATTATGTCGCATGCGTTCCACTTCAAACAAATAATATAGGTACGCTTTAAATTTCTGAAAAATTTGTTGAGATACTCTGTCTCCCTCCCAATTCGAGCTGCACTGGATAGAGGTATGATAGCTACAAATGTTAGGTAGTTTAGCTATTATGTAACAATACCTATCTATCACGGACGCAGGAGAGCGAGTCTGTCGGACTGAAACAAAAGAAAAGAATTACTATAAAATAGGTAGGTACCGCTGGACTATAATAATAACTCGACAATAAAACAGTGGACAATTTTAGAATTATGATACCTGTACTTTATAGGCTGTAGTAGAAGAATCACTTGACGGTTATACTTATATCACGTAAGTATTAAACTACAACATTATCGAACATTCGATTTTCGAACGGTATAGAATATGGAGGAAATAACAAAAAATAATTTGCCTCGCAGTGTGTAGGCATAAGTCATGTGGTATTTTTGTAAAAACAGTAAAACCATTTCACTATAACTACTAAGGTAGTTTTGTTCACGATTAATTTAATAAAGTAGGGTTGCCATACGTTCCGATAGACTGGGATGTAACCAGTTTATGACTTCGGTCCCGGTCGTCCCATTATACCCTCCAAAAATCCCTGTTAAGTGTAAATAAAATAAGTACCAACAATTATAAATTATATTTTAAACTTTGTATTCTAAAAACCTTTAGTTTCACGCCGGAAACTCCACTTATTCTATGAAAAGATTATCTTTACTGATAATAATAATCGTTAGACTAAATTATAAATTATTACGGTGAATATGGGAATACAAAAAACATGCATGGCAAATGGTTACATTTTTCTTAAAAAACTGATATATTAGAAAGAAAACGTAATTCAATTTTGGTGTGTCAATATTTATATGCCATTCCTGGTCATAACGCTAATGTTAAGAGGATTCTTTCACCAATAATGGCCCCCAGTGGACCAAAGAACGTAGCCGTCTTCAATTAGAAACTGTGGAAAGTATCATTCAATGCAAAATTTAATTTCAAAATGACTTGTTTGGAATTTCATACGTGTGTCATGGAAAAACCAGAGCTATTGAAATAGGTGAAAAGTCAAAAAAATATAAAATTTCGATTAATTAATCAAATATATCATCTACCTATTTAATTTCTGTATAAAAAAAAAAAAATTGGGAGGGTTCATAAGAAATTTACAATAATCAATATTACCAATATTATTAATATTTATAAAAAAAAAAATATTAAATTTATAGAAAAAAAAGTAACACAACTATTAATTTTCGGGGGGTGGGTTGAACCCCAACCCTCCTCCCTGTATACGTGCCTGTGACCGTAAGAATGGATGTTTAAACTTAAAAGTCAAAATATGCGTTAAATGTAACTAAATTCAATGCTATTATTTTATTCTTTTATTCTACAAATATATGTTACATTGTATTCTAAATTGTATAATTAAAAATAATTGAAAAAAAAAAGGTTGTTGAAATTATTTTTTTAAATGTCTCGGTCAGTATTTGAATTTTTATGGCAACCCTATAGTAAACGCAAATTTGCGCTTATAGACGGTACTGTTATTAGCACACATAATATTATATTCGCTGTCCTACTCTCGTCTATTATTAAACATTATTAGAATAGGTACCTATTTGCATCATTGCCAAGGTCGGGAACTGACATTTAGCTCGCTCAGGACATGACCGATCCTCTACAGTTATCGGACTACTGCTAACGACGTCGGGAAATTGCGTATAGGTTGTTTTTTCGGACGAATACACAGGTAAGTAGATTGTGTGATAAACAGAATTGTTAACCATTATGTTTTACTTGTAAACGACGGAGTCTTCTATAAGGTATTTTCAGTTTTTTTCTCGTTTCGTAACCCTGTTTACGATGGATAACATGTATAGACCACTATCATATCCTTTTGAATATTATGAATCGTCAGAGGACGTGTAGGTAGTAATAATATTATTGGTTGTGACGTAGCCGAACAAATAATATTGTACGGATAATATTATTTTATTTTGTTCAATGACGATAGTCTTCGACCGTCATAGCAGTGGCGGAAAGAAAATAATGAGATAATAAAATCTTTGATAATGGTTCGATGATAATACAGATTAGACGGATTAACCTCAACAATACAGTTTACTAACTGTATTAGTATAACACGTCTTAATTGCAGCGACTAATGCTCCAGTGAAAACTAAAGAAAAATCCTTGAGAGAGAATAAAGACTATGTGAGAAAGTAGTTGCTGAAAACATTAACCTACTCCTACCGTTACAACTGTCACACGTCTAACGTTAGCACGTCATGTTTCACGTTTTCACACGTCAATAGTACGACCGGTCTTATCAATGATCCAATTGATATCCGGCGAACGTTATCGATAACTGAGCATGTTCATGTAGTCGTTTCGCTGGTGTATAGTATATTGTACTGTAATGGTTCGCAATATAATATAGTGTGTAAACTTTTTTTCTTCGTATAATTCTCATCCGTTTGCCTTTTAGGCATTAAGGTAAACTTTCGCACGTTTATTACTCGTCGATTGAATTCCGCATCAAAGCTGATTGGTTTTTTCATACGAGAAAATGGCACACCGTTGACCGTACAAAATCCTTTTTTTTTTTTAAAACGTTACAGCATGTATGTACTAATCTATTATAGAAACTAAAAATTAGCATTAATTTCGCTTTATTTTTATCTTTTGATTGTGAGTGATAATATGGTGTAATAATATGGTTCAGTGTTAATTTCCTTTTTTTTTTAGAATGATGCATTCATAAGAAACAGTTGTTGATATTTACCAAGTACACAGTTATTTGCTTGCAAACCATTCATGCAGAACAAATACTCCAGGATTATTACAATGTTTTCTTTTACTAAAGATAAAATACTTTTACCGGTTCAACTCAAGAAACTTGGAGAGCATACTTACAAGTGTGAGAGTCGTAGTATGACCGACCTATATCTTCAACCTTTCTGGAACTGGCTCGTATTAAAGACACCCATATGGCTTGCACCTAACTTAATTACACTTATCGGACTCATTGTGAATATTGTTACTACACTAGTAATCATATATTACAGTCCAGATGCTAATTCAGAAGTAAGTTTATATCTAAACCTAATGATATTCAATTTATTTAATTATGATACTTGGAGATGGTTTATATATTCAACTCAAATTAATATTTTATTCACAAGTTATACAATTTTAGATTTATAAATTTTGTAGATTGGGGCAGAATGGCTCAAAGTTCTTACCAGCCATTTCCTGGCCACTTTAATTTTTACCATATTTTGGTAGATACCACATTGATAGTTGTATACCTAATTACAATTTTTGGACCACATATTTGTAAAATCTTTCATCATCGAATATCTAAATTTAACATCTCTCCCATAGTAACCACCATACATATTTTTTTCTGAGGAAAAATATTCAGTCAAAATACTTACTATAAGCAAACAACTGTAAAATGCTGATTATTATTATTTTTTTAAATATAATTTGGTTACCTGTATTGGATAATTTTACATAAATGTAAAATTAAATACCTGTGACGGATAATTTATAGCTTCATAGGTATTAATATATTAAAAAATTTAAACAAATATAACACATGAATTACTTTTCCAATGTATCTACTAGACAAAATTTGCGACCAGAAACCATTCCTAAAGTTGATGATTTCTGGTAGAAAAGTATTTTACAGACAGAAAAAATAAAGTAAATGTAATTTAAAAAAAATACTCATAGAAAACTAATACATATTTTGCTACACTCAGAATCTATAAATAACTATATACACAGTTGTGGGTATTTTGAGTTTTCCTTTGACTCGCCATTTTCTATTCTATAAAGTTAAAATACTAACTAATAATAATAGAACAAAATAGTAATCAAGATAGTAAAAAGCCATTTAATATTTCATGGTTAATGAAGAAAGTCTTTTAGAAATAGAAAGTATTATGAATGTCAATTATTGATATCAAATTTGATTACAAAAATTTTTACAAAAACCTTTTAAAATTTTCAATATTCATTTGTATGTGTTATTCTGTTATTTACATTGCAAACTATAATCTACATTTATTATGATTCTGCTTTTAATAAATACAAAATAGTAACTTCAGTTGTTCATGTAGTAAAAGTATTATTTATCAAACTATTTTTTTTCATTAAGTTTCAACACTCTTAATTTATAACATGTCAAGTTCTTACTAGTCAAGCGACTGGACATTTTTCTGGTTACCCAGGTCACACCACTTCTGTAAAAGGTTTTTTTTATTTTGGTGAAAAAATATTGTATTTATATGTACCAAATCAATAATACATTTTGAAGGTTACACATATGTTGAATACCTATTTTTTTCTGTCTACATTCCCAATGCCACATAATATATAATGACCATAAATATTTAATTTATTCTATAAAACTTCATAAAAATAATCATAATTCTTCATGTTTGTGATAGGTAAAATATTTTGACATTTGAACCCATTTGATACTTGCTAAACCGTATAATTAAATATAATATATTACAGATAAGAGTTATCTATTTAAACAATTACCTAGATACATATCTATATATTTATTTATTTTTAGGAAACCAAAAAAAATAAAAAATAATCAATTGATTAGTCACATTTCAAAATAGAAGGTAGTGATTAATGTGTATGAGGTTTCACATAAAATAAATTAGGTAATAATGATAATATATTTTCTTGCTATTTGTACCATTGTTTTTTAATTGTTATAAATTAATTATATATTTTATAAATTTGTAGTTCATTATAAGTATGAAATCAGGTACCTTACAATGATAATTTATTTTTATAAAAATTATTTAAGAAAAAAATTTTGCTTTAAGTATATTATTACCATTGATTATACATACTATAAATAATTAGGTATATCACATCAATGATTATTACTTTTTTGATATCTTTTAAAAGTAGGTTAAATTCTGCCTATGGTTAGTTCATAAAAATAATTTGTTTTGAACATGGATTATAAAAAAAAACAATTATTTTTAATTAAAGATTAAGAACAAAAAAACATTGTATAAATTATACGTTATACATAACATATTGAAAAAGTTCATTTTTAAACTTATGATTTAATTTTTGATTAATGAAATATAGATAAAAATATTAGGTTGGATTTAATGTTTAATGCTAATGTTCTACGGTTAAATTTGGTATACAAGACAGGGCATGCAAGAAGCTTGATAAAAATAAAAATGTAGAAGTAATAATTGTGTAATAATAAAAGTATATTAATTACTTATATAAGTAATAGTACTACCTACCTTAATGATTTAGTGGACATAAGTTATTATGGTTAAATTTAAAAAAAAAAGTTAATGGAGATGGATGTGGCCACTGTTTTAAGTGGGTAGTGGGGCTGGTCAGATACAAAAAGTTATTTAATTTATACCCGTAATAAACGAAAAACCATTATATACATGTTTTTAACATATACATGTTACATGATATGTATGTTATATTTTCATCAAAATTTTATAAAAAAAATACCTGTATTAAACTAGAATTTTTTTTTTTTGACCACTAAATATGACTCAAATTTTCAAGCATTTCTGTTAAGTCTTACTATTTATCCACAGAGTACCTACCGAATAAAAATTATGTAACAAACTGGCAGAATTAAAATGTGTATAAATAACTAAAAAATAACTCAAATATTTTGAAAATTTTACAACTTTACTTTATTTAGAAAAAGTAAGTAAACATTTTCTGTCTATCAAAATTTCAAGTCGACAAATATTTTAACATAAATTACAAAGAAAAACAAAATTATAAATAATAAAAGTATTATTTTTGTAAATTTTTCTATAATTTCTACATATTATTATTTTTCAATTTCACTCAATTATTAAAAAAACTACAAAGAAAATAAAAAGATGACTTTCTTTGTCACCAACTAGATTAAAAATGCAAAAAAATCAATCTTTTGTCATTTTTCTATAGGAGTAATATTTCTGGTAGGAAACATAAGTTAAAAATGTTAAAATAATTAAACTGCTATGCCACCATAAATATTAAACAATTTTAATTTTTTGGTTTTTACCAATTATTTGGAAAACTGCTTACTCTGTTAGTAACTAAATATTAATAGGAATAAACTCGATCACATGTAATTTTTCAGTTAAAGAAATATTTCTGTTAGAAAACTAAGTATAATACAATGAAAACAGTAAGGTTGGTGTAAATATTTGTTGCTTTACCTATAATTTTCTTTCAGGTTTTTTCAATTATTTCGAAAACCCCTCAGAAAATCAAAGAATGACCTCCCCAATGCACCAATGAGTGAGAATTAAATTTTAAAAAATGTACTTAAGTCTATATTTTGGAAAAAGTTTTCCGGGAAGCCATAGCTCTAAGAATAGAGAAAATTTTTAATAGTTTGTACTGAATACCAGCGTATAAAATATTGATGTAGAACGATTATTGTTGGCTGGAATATTTAAGTTACATCTATGTAAATATAGTTCTATCTTCTAATTTATATCTGGTGGATATGGCTGAAATGTTTACAGAAGATTTAATTGGTGTATAATCATGGTTGTAGTTGGTTATATTGAATTTGCGTGCTACAAATTTTAGAAATCGATTTTGATAAAATTAATGTCAGTTTTATAGTATAGACACCAGATAAGAGAACCATATTCTAGAATAGACTTAACTAACAAAAAATATAGGAGTTTGAATGATTTCAAATATTAGAAATCAGAAGAGTGGTGCTTAATAAAGTCCAAAACTCTCAATAATTTTTTCACAACACTGGTTAAATTTATGCCTTAATCTGTAATTGAAGAAACTGATCTAAGTTGGACATTAATTATAGAATATATATGAATTATATACTTGCAGGATAAACTCATCGAGTAACATTTATCAATATTTAAGCACAAACCCCAATTTTGGCGCCAATCTTATAAAATTAAACAATCATTTTACAAAGAAATATGAGTAAATATTTTTAAATCATCTGCAAAACAGAGCTTATCATTTCTTTAGAACTGATAATATTCTATTTATAAATCAATTAAATAAGATGGTCAATTAATTTTCTTATTGGGTAGTTCCCTATGAGACAGAAACTGTATTTGAAGAGAAACTATAGACTAGTGAACTGGGATCTGTATGTAAAAAGAGTTAAACCAAGACAATAATGGATGATTAAACCCTACATTACTCAATATAATTGTCAGTTATTCATGATCAACGGGATCAAAGGCCTTCTCATATTACATCCACTTGACAATTTTCTCTGAAAAAGCTGAGTATAAATTGTTGCAATGATAAGTTGCAAGTTAAAGTAGACATACCTGGGCTGAAACCATACTGGCTATCTAATCTAATATTTTATTGAGTGGTTTAATTATTTGAGTTCGAACTAATTTCTCTAAAAGTGTACTAATTTGCACTAGTCCAGAAGTAGGATGATAGCTTTTGACATTAGACCTGTCATCATTTTTGAAGGTTAATGAAGCTTATTTTCCAGATAGTTAGAATAGAAATACTCCTTCCTTTAGTGATTTGTTTTATAAAATGAATATAGAATGAACTATAGATAAGTTTGCCAAAAAGTAACCAGATATTTCATCAGGGTCAAAGACCTAAATTTTATTAGTGCCCGAAGGCCATCATATACCTTATCAAGAGAAATACTACATTTAGTTGGGTGCATATGATCAAATTTGTAAGTAAAAGCAGAAATGTTAGATTCTCTAGTGAAGGACAGGGTGATTTATTATATACAGTGGAGAAGTAATCAGAGAATAGATTAGCAAAAGCCACACTATTATTAGCAATTGTAACACCTAAGAATGCAGAGTTAGGTATGCCATGAGATTTAGTGTTAAAATTATCCAAATTTTAAAATTGTGTTTTGGATTCACAACAATTTTTCATTCTTAAAAACCAGTTTTAAATTTTGATTTACTTTGAGCTTGCAACAACAAACATTTTTCGTAAATTAATCTACTTTTATTTCTAATATAAAAATTAAATGAGCTTTGTTTTTCTTCCAAATAAGAGTTCCTTGTTAAACCGGTAAGGGAAATTATGTCTGATACTTATAGTTTTTAGTGGAACAAATATATGCACAGCTTCTAAAACCGCTTCATGGAATACGAGAGCAGATGCTTTGATATTTAGATGTTGTAAAGTTTTTAAAGTTTTTAATCAATCAAATGAATTGAAAAATAGGTTAACATTATTATAATCGGCTTTTTCATAGTTGAAAATGATTTGTCATTTTTAAGAATAGATTGGAGGATAGGTAATAGAACATTTATTTGAATTGCAGAGTGGCAAGGGCTAATATAAACAAATGGATAATCTTGAGAATCTACTGTAGTCTCTAGGAGATTAGAAAACATCAAATCCAATATATTTCTATAAGTATTTTGAATTTTGTTTTTTGAATATATGTAGGTATAATTCCGATTTAAGAACGATAATGAAATAAGATTTGAGCGGACTGACATAGTTTTGAAGTTTTGATGTTATGTAAATATTATATATTATGTTAAAAAACTATTATTATCAAACTTAAAGTATGTTTGTCGTGGTCTAGTGGTAATACATACCTATTAACATCCTAGGAGTTCAAACCAGAGTTCTGAAACAAATTTTTTGCTTTTTTTTTCGCCTTGACCTGAAAAAGAAATAAACAAATGCATTTTGGGTGTACCTAGAGACCCAAGCCATTGTTCATTTGAACTATTTTTCAAGTAAAATACACCTTGATTTGTTGTGTAAACTTTTCTATCAGAAATCTTCCTCCGATTTATTAAGTGTAGCTTATTTTCTGAAAGCAAATTTTATCTACATGGTACTTTAGGGAGGTCAATTTTTGATTTTTCAAGCGGTTTTCATAATATCTGGGAAAAACTGAGAAAAAACGGAAAATGTATGGTATGTAGAGTTAAAAAATGTTACAGCCTTTATTTTTCTTGTGAACAACTTTTCTACCAGCAATTTTGCTCCGATTTACAATGTAGCACTTTTTCTGAAAGGAAATCTGACTGTGATGGTACAATAGGGAGACTTAGGTGTAGATCGAGGGGCTTATGGGGTTTAGCAACCATAAATGTTTTTCAAGCACCCCTAAAATAATATGCACCTATTTTCAATAATAATGATATGCATGCATATTATACACCTTTTAACATAACATATTTTTACAAAATTGATACCTAGTGATTACTAAATAGTAATTATATGTTTTCAAACATAATTCCAGAAATATTATAATTTAATCTAATATTAATCTATGTGTATATTTTGCATACATAGCTTGCTAAACACTTTCTAATCCACCCTGTCTGACCAAATCAAAGAATTGAGTCTACTGATAAAATAATAATTGACATGGAAACCGGTGGTATTTTTAAAATATTTTTAAAGATCTTAAATTAAAAGACGTTACTGCATTGACACCTACTATTGTAAGACCCCAAAGAAAAATTGTACAATATTATTACCTAACCAGAAGTATGTTGTAAAATAGGAGTTATGGATTGTATATTCATTGTCAAATTATTGCTTGTTTTAGTTATTAAAATTGTTATATTTTATTTTTAAATTTAACTTCACAAAGAAAAGTTTATTCTCTTGCCACCAACATACTTGGCAATTATTATGTTGTTAAAACCTTTGACCATGTTTCTATTAACATTATATATAAAACTCGATATGTGATGTACAATTATATTTGTGGCCTCTGATGTAGTATATTCTACAAGTTTCTATTTGAGAAACTAAATTAATTTTATTCTCTTTAGGACTATTACAAAAGTAATTCAAAAATGAACTTAACATAACATATAAAACTCAACAAATATAAATTAATAACTTACTTATTAAGGTATTTTATAATTTGTATAATTTTGCTTAAAAATGTAGTTAGAAATAAGAAATAATGTTTAAAATTAAAAAAATATTAATGTCAAGACATCATAATTCTAATTAAAACTAATATTTTATAGATTGTATTACTTTAAATTTAAATGTTTACTTGAAATTATTTTTATACGAGTATATTTGTATATTATATGGGTATTATCAGAAGTACCTATTAGCAATGGTTAATTTTTGCGTACAGATATACACTAAACTTCCATCCACTGCAGATAGTATGTCAGTTTGTTTTTTAATATGATAGTATAATTCAATATCATTATATTATTGAGATATATACTGTATAAAATATTAAAAATTAAATTATTAGTTTATATTATAATTTATATTTTTAAAATCACACATATTGATAACTAAAGGTTTTTAATCATATTAATGTAGGTTCTTATGTATTCAATCAATCAGCTGAGTTTTTGTTAAATAGTGGAACTTTGAAACAACTTTTAATTATATAAATGTTTGTATAGTATGAAATATTCCATAAATATTTATAATTTTATATTTAAATTTCAGATTCCTAGATGGGCAAGTTTACTGTGTGGTTTTGGTTTATTCGTTTATCAAAGTTTAGATGCCATTGATGGAAAGCAGGCTCGCCGTACTGGTTCATCTTCTCCTTTAGGGGAATTATTTGATCACGGCTGTGATTCTGTTTCTACTGGTAAAGTATTTCATTAAAAAAAAAAATAGATATTTATTAAAATTAATTAATTAATTTGTTATTTTTCAGTTTTCATTACAATATCCGCCTGTATCTCTGTAAAACTAGGCGAATACCCATCGTGGATGTTATTGCAAAGTTTTTTCGCAGTTGCACTCTTTTATTTTGCACATTGGCAGACATATGTTTCTGGTATGTAAAAAATTAATTTGATAAAATAAGACTTAATATAATTGAATTATTTGTTTACAATTTGTTTTTTACTATGACTTAAAGGTACTTTACGGTTTGGTAAATTTGATGTCACAGAAACACAACTCTCTATTATATTTCTTCATTTAATGTCTGCTATTTTTGGTACAGGTATATGGGACTGTGAAGTGAGTATTCAATTACATAATATATATCAACATTTTTATGGTCTATTTTTGGTGAATTTAAACTGATAATAAAATAAATAAATCTATTCCTTTAGGTTTAAATACATTTATAGATAAGACCATAAAATAATGTATTTCTATTATTTTATCTTTAACATGACATGCATTCTTAATTTTTTTTTTTACAGATTCCTTATTTTAACTTCAAGCTTAAGTTTATCTTATTGATCATGACATTAACAATATCATTGTTTCTAGCCAAATCCAATTTGTTTGTTATACTTACTGGTGGTGTTGGCAAAAATGGATCTTCAGTTGCTGTATGTTTATTTCCTTTATTTCTTAGTTAAATCACAATATTTAGTTATTTTAAAATTTAAATATATTTCAGGGAACTAGCGTTTTGTCACCTGCCATTCCACTTTTATTAGTAATTCTTCCTGGATATATTATTAGCTGTAAAAGCACTGAAAACATCTATGAAAATCATCCTATATTATACATAATGTCGTTTGGTTTGGTTACTGCTAAAATAACAAATAAACTTGTGGTAAAATAATTAATATACTAATATCTTAATTAATAATTATTAGAAATTTCAAATTTGTTTTTGTTTTTCTATTATTTTATCAGATTGCTCACATGACTAAAAGTCCAATTCAATACATTGATTCTACACTCATAGGCCCAGCTATGCTTTTTTTAAATCAATATTTTAACTGTGTTTTGCCAGAATATTATGTACTATGGGTTTGCATGGTAAATGGTTAAAATCTTATCTATATATTATCTATATGTTATTTGTATATTCCTGTTTATAATTTTTGTATTTAATTTACATTTTCATTTGCAGTTGTGGACTGGTTTTGATCTAGCTGTATATTCTATATTTGTTTGCAAAGAAATTTGTGATTATTTACGAGTTTACTTATTTTATATCACTGCAACAATGTCAAATACGAAAATTCACACATCCAGTAAAATTACCGTCAGTAAAAACGGTAGCAATAACTCAGGTGGTTCATATCAAACTTTTAAATATCCTTCTACTTCTACCATGACTAGTTTTATATATCCATCTAAAACGAAAACAAAATAATTATAATATTAAGAGTTCATTGTAGTCTTAAACATTGTTAATCTCATTGTCCAAGATATAAAACCAATATAAACAAAAATATTGAATTGTTTTTATCAATATTGTTGTGTTTATATATTATTATAATATTATATTTTGTTATTATATTTATTCATGTATGCAGTATGGCAATTATATTATTTCATTGAAAAATAATTAATGAAATCTATAATTGTCAAATTGTATGAGTATTTTAACAATAATTGTTGTTATTTTATGTTGAATGTTGCTTTGTCTTATTAAATTTTTAGTATAAGTATTATGTTTAAGTAGGTAGTAGAATTTTTAATTAAATTGGGCTAGGTTTTGAATTGATGAACTTGTAAAATGCAGATAAACTAATAGATAATTTAAATAATTCTTTTTTTTTAAGATCTACCAGCTGTACAAATATATTAACAGAGAGTACATAATATATTTATATAAATACACATATTTACTTTTTTTTAGTATACATTATATAATTTACAATTGTTATTAATATTTTTCTTGAACTACCATATATTTGCTATTTGCTAATAAATTAATAAGTAATTTCTATAAATTACCTTCCAAATTCAATATATTTAATTGTACAATAATAAACTTTATAGAACCCATCTTATCACTCATCTACTGTAATAATGTACTTTGACTTATTGAAATTATGAATTATAATATTTGCTTGGCTAGTTAGTCAATAATAATTTATTGCCATAAACTTGTTATTTTTTCATTTTAAAGTGTAACCACAGTGAGTAATACTTTGGTTTTATATTAACATGTATTTAATTTTTTCTTATGTATACATATTTTTTTTTATGTGAACACTTTTCTACCAGAAAGCTTACTCTGATTATGAAGTTTTGCACATTTTCTAAAAGGAAATTTCTGAGTGGTAGGTACTTAAAAGAGGTCATTTTTTGAAATTCTCATTAATATTCGAGATTATGAGGAAATCCTGGTTCTTTAGGTTAAAAAGAGTAAAAAATTAAAAATAAGGTTATCATTGGCAACCCTTTTTATTCATTTTTTCTTTTGAGAAATTTTGTTTTTTAATCTTTTTTAAACAATTACTGTTGTCATGGAACATTACTATAATCATTTTTTTATTATAATATGACATATATTTTGTTGACAAAACAACTATCAACTGAACTCTGCTCAGAGTCATATTTTCGTTAGCAATGGTCTATTTTTGCTTACAAATATACATCAAATTCTCGTCTGTATCCTACATTCCCAACTTCCCACCTACAACAGTGGCTGCACTCAAGTGCGAATTATGTCCGTCTTTTTTTATAAATGTCTTTTTCATTATTTGTTTCATGTTTGAACATCAAGAAATGTGATAAATATTTCTCCATCACTCATTACTTTACATCTGCTACTCGAATACTCCTTTTTGTTGATTAATTTAGTAATTTAAGAAAAATCCATTTTTGATTACGATTAGTAATGGATTTACCCGAAACTTTTTATTTCTTTTTTTTCGTCTATGTACTATTCGATTATAAATATATGCTATATAAGCTAACTCTTCGACTTTCATGTTGGTACTGAACTGAATTTCAAATGTTAAATAAAATCATTTTTTATAAAAGGTAAATGTATTATGTAGTAAGTATACTAATTTTCACAAATCACATAATGTAATTAGTAGGTAATTTAATATTTTAATCTCATCATGGTGGTTCCACACCAAAAATCCGATTCCACACCAACTAATTTTCTAGTGTAGTAGCGTGAAAAATTGTGTTCACACCAAACCAATATTTTTTAAAACAAACAATGTGTACCGTGACACTTTCAAAACAAACGCTTTGGTGTACACTATTGTACACGTTTAATGTTTTAGTGTACATTATTGATTAAAACGAATAAAGCTATTTTAATATAACATGAACATCGAAATATAGAAGCGCTTCTGGTTACTCCGCCAGTCGAGTCATGAATGTTATTAAAAATGGACACCTTTCGTTGTTTTTCGTGGACCTCATACCCAATACCAACAATAAAGAAATTTTAAATGTGTCATTAATGTTGTATTCCAAAATTAAAGTTGAATTGCTCTATACGACTAAGAATGGTACACCCCAGTATAGAAATTATCAGACCCACGGAAACACCAATAACTATTTTCAATTTATCATCATCCTTCACGCTGTGTTAATTGTGTGGGAGATTACTCCTCACACATTTGCGCTAAGGATAAAAGTTGTCCAGCAAAGTGCGCTTTTTTCATGGGTAATCATACTTCCAGCTAAACAGGATGTCCAAAACACAAAGCACTTCTCAAACGTCACCCAACAACTCATTTAAAGTACCAAAATTTGAACACAGTACTCACGTCTCTCATTCTCAACTCACCACTTCACCTTCTCAAATCTTACACCTCCGTCTTCGATTCTAAGAATATCCTATTATTTAAGAACTCCATTACGATAGATCTTTTTCAAAATTTATTTCAGAACTTTTTGTATTAATAAATACCTTCATTTCCCTCCTTATAGCCGTATTGCATAAACAACATATTCCATAGTCCAAATTATCTTTACCTCATTAATTTAATCACTATTGTCTTATTAACTGATTACGATACTTGTTCATTTTAATATGATTATTTTGTATTAAATATTTCCATACTTGAGCACTATTCTTCTAATGTATTCTATATTTCTATTTTTTTGTTATATTAAACAAAAAAAAAAAAAAAAAAAAATAAAATAAATAGTTATACAATTTTTTTTTAAATCTATATGTGAAAGTATCCAATAATCATCATATTATACTGTTATCTTTAGTATTTTAAACTAGAATAATTCAAAAACTTTTCGTTTAAATTTCGATTACAATGCGTCAACATTTTCAGAAAATTATCTAATTTATAATTTGCATTAAAGTATATGTAGGTTCTCATTAGTGATGTCAGACATATTCAGATTCCAACATAATCCGGATAATCCGAATAATCGAAACCGGTTATTGAAATGAATTTTATTCGGATTATTCGAATAATCTGAATAATTCGAATGTCTTTAATCATCTGCAGTAATACAATTAGGGGAGAGGCTTAGCCCCCTCTCTCAAAAATGACATAAGTATCAATTAGAGGTCTTAAAAATATACGAGTTTTATTACACATGTGTATCCATGTCACGGGTTCATGGATATTTATGTTCCATATTCACGTGACACGTGAATTCCATGATTTATATTTATGTGATCATTAATTTCATTACTTTTGATTTTGGTTTTACACTAGAAATTTAGCTCTCCCCTAAATTGACCATACCTTTCAGGGAGGTATGAAATTCCTAGAGCATTTAAACATCCTAACTAGGTAGTTTTTCAATGTACCCGTGCAGGATCTTCATTACTATATATAAGCATGTTAGGTGCATTTCATATTAAAAGTACTTATTAAGTACCCCTTACTTCTGATTTTTGGATTAAGTATATCTTAGCGGAAATGTAATTATTGAATCATTATGAAATTATTCGGATTTCGAATAAACGGATTTAGATATTCGGTTTATCCGGTTTCTTCAAATCCGGATAATTGACATCACTAGTTCCCATTTGAAAAACCGAAGTTGATGTCGTCACAGGATACTCTTTAAATGTGAAAAATCTAAATATCTAAATATTATAATAACACTATAATATTATAATCTAAATATTTGAAAATATAGTCTTAACAATATACACTTAACAATTCAAAAATTAGAATTTTAATATGTACCAGTTAAACAATTTAAGTGGGTTCACTCATTATCTCGGAAAATATTAACTTTTCCGAAATTTTTTTCTAGAACAATTTAGAAACAAGCTGGTCTACAGTTTTACATTTACGTTATTTTTTGTCATCCTTATTTTTGGGGGTAAAACTACTACTTAATTTTAATTTTCAAGTGGCAACCTATATTAAAAATCTTATATTAAATCCATAAATAGATTGGGTATTAATTAAAATAAATTTTAGTGTTGACATTTTTTATTTTTGTCAAGTTGTTGACGAGAAATTCGATTTTTAGTTTTAGGTTAGAGGAAAGTAGCGGTGCATTAATAACACGTTGCGCGTTGTACCGCCACAAAAATGACACTCTACTAATCTCCTCCAACCCAAACTTCGAAGTGGAATACCTCGTTAATGGGTCAACAGAAATCAAAAATTTAAAAATTAACATAAACATAAAATTGTAGATCAGCTTGTTTCTTAAATTTTATGGAAATCAAATTTCGAAAAAAGTTAATATTTTTCGAGATTATGAGTGTACCCACTTAAATGGATCATTCAGTATATTTAAAATTTAACAAAAAAAAAATAAAAAAATAGCGTGCACGCTTAGTGACACACCAAGTATGTGCTAGTTAGGGAATAACACATATAGACCGTAATGAATCTTGTTTTTTTATTCTTCGTAATAATTACATGTTGATATAAATTAAAACATAGTATTATAATATTATATAGGTATATGAGTAGTATACTGCACCTATTCGACCACAGCCTAATAAATTAGCATGAAATAATAAATGTCTTTTAAAAAACAAAAAAATTATATGTTTATGGTATGTGTGTATCTATCGTACAAATGACTTAACCAGTACTCGCTTACCACACATATCGCATTACAAATAACTGAAATAACATTATTATATTAAATAAACAAGTTTGAAGCTATAAAGTAATTATTTTATCATATTAATATAAGACAGTTTTCAAAATAATTTCATGCGTATAAGGCATATTATAATAATTTATAACAGTAGTCTGGTATGCCTAATATATATTATTATTATAATATGCTTGTCGGTCTTAATTTTATGAAAATATAAAATATAGATATTATGCCGAAGTATACAATGGTCTGCACAAATTATTATTGAAATCGCTAAGTAATATGTATGTATAATATATATTAATATATTATATTATACGTAATTCATTATGTTATTTTCTATTGATTTAACAGAGTATCGTTGGTTTCTAATAAATTACACACATTATACATTTTAAAAAAAATATATATATATAAATGAAACTAATATTAATAACTAATAACCAAGGCTCGGATTTTATAGAACTAAAAATAATTGAAATATGCGCTATGATATTACTTAAAAAACCTTATGATAAGTGATGATATATGTGCCAAACATAAAAACATAAAACATTGTAAGAAAGAGCATATTTTAATTTTTTTTTTCTGATAAAAATTTAAAAAAAACTTGAATTACACACGACAGAATATTACGGACAAAAATATATCAATACAACCGATAAGAAGTTATAAATCCTTCTTTCTTTATCCCATTTTCCTCTTATAGTTATGAACTCCTCACTCTATTATCATATGCGTATCACCCACTTTAAATTATCTTTAAACCATTAATCAACTAGGGGTGTTTTACTATTATTATCTATTTATTATTTAGTTATACTTTTTCTTTATTTGTGCCAAGTTTTTATAAAATGTTTATTTTCATTTGTCTTTAGGCCTCGCTCGGTCTATATTGTAATGAAATAAAACAAAATAAATGTATACTGTATACGGGCCAATACGCCGGACAACTTAAAAATAAATTGTAATATGAAATGAAAATCTGGTTAATTTTTTTATGGATTCATATAAATGACATCATTTTTATATTTGTTATTCAATATAAACGAGGTTTATAAACAAATATGAAATAAATATTAATAATATTATCCACATTAGCAAAATCTAGCACTGAAACTTAAAAAATGCTTCAAACAGTTCAAACATGCAAAAAATAGTAATTTTTTTAAAAATATTTTTCATATTATTTATATTTAGTGGCCCTGGTGCATAAAATAAATGTATAGTACATTTTGTTATATTTGTATCTTATAATTTTATTATAAATAAATGTTATAAATCCGAGCCTTGGTAATACAAATATTGTAGTAAGTAGGTGTTATTTTATTAGAACCCTATAAATATAGGTATTAATTAATATGAAATAAATTGTATAAATAAAATAAAAAAATGGTATTATACGAGCGCTTATAATTTTATTGACTAAAATTGATTACGATAATAATAATAATTGGATATAATTTCTAAATTAATAATACGCAAACTATATTATTATAATACGAATAGATATTTAATAGGAATATATTCGTAATAAAATATAATAGTAAAAAAAAAGAAAAAAAAAATCTTCTAATCTTTACTTTCCGACAAAGTTTTTTTTTAATACCCCTACTTATATTATATAAGTATACATTTTATTGTTTATCGGTTTAGAAAAAAAATAAATAAAATTCGGTAAATTTAAATTTATCGAATATTTTAAATTCGATTTTACACTGAAATTATACTTTGATTCGTATGTGCCGAATGGTGTGCTATCACCATCAAAGATGTTGGACGCATAAACAGCGGGTTAAATTGCATGTGTTTAATAAATATCCGACAAATGCAATGACTTGTTTTGTCCAATATTATTACATTTTTTTTTTTTTTTGTTTTAATTACTAGAGCTTTATTGCGGTGTTATTATTCTTAAAATTGTTATGTGTTTTATTAAAAACTAAAACTAAAACATTTACCTACATTGTGTGTACATTTTTGTACTAAAAAAATAGAAAACTATTTTTAACACCCAAAAATGTTGTTTTAAAATACATTTATTAAATCTCTATCTTTGGATTTTACAAAAATTGTTTATTCATAATATTCTACAAAACAAATTTATTTGCATTTGTCAGATGTCGAAAATCGATTTGTTTTCCGAATTTGACAGTCTACTTTTTTTACAATTATTTTTATCATCTTTTCTTTTTGACATACGTTTAGTTATGGCACAGTACCATATTATGGTACTGTACGATGGTACTTATACAACTTTTTTTGCAGGATTTTTATTCGGTCGACGTCGCGGAAAGCTGCTGCCGGAGCGCCTTGTCCTTGATTGTCTGGCCGATTGTCGCGGTCCGCTGTTTGTGGCCAGCTGCGATGTACGAAAACACGCATAGCACCGCGTAACAGATTTGGCCGGCCTTGAGAGTAGAAAAAAATAAACAAAAGTAAATATGGGTATAATAGACTAATGGATTTTTTTTATCGTGAAGATATCGCACTGGCGTATCGTAATGCACATGGAAAATGGCTAGTGGAAAAATATCCGAGTGGGGGAAAAATATCCGAGGTCGTAAAAATTCATAATTTACTCTTATATTTTTATTTTTTTATTAACCTGGCCTAATTTTTTTTTTTAGAAAAGCACTATAGGAAAATCTCATGACTTCGTACATGTACATTTAATCTGGTTTCGATCGTTTTATTTTTCCTGTCGAAAAGAAAATAACATTCTTCTATTTTAGTTTTTGGTTATGTAGCCAAAATTCACAAAAAAAATTATTTTAAAAACTGTGAAAATGGATCATTGTATATTCAAATGCGTTCTAACCACAGGGTTGATATATTGAAGTATAATTTTTGAAATCACATTAAATACGCGCCCTGTAAGAATTGTTTCTCATTCAAACACGAAAAAGATAATCGAAAAGTTTATTTTTCATAGCTTACGAATTTTCTCTATGTTTCGGAATAAAAATTCTTTGTGGAAAAATAACGAGATTTTAAATCTGATATCATTGTCAACCGTCCAGTTTCAGTAAGGGGTAAAGGGTATTGTAATAACATTTTTGAAAAAAATAAAAATTGATCAACTGAAGAATATTCACATTTTTACAATTCAATTTATACAATGTATACCTGTGTCAATGATGACACCAGAACTGTTTTAGTTGATACATTTTTATTTTTTCAAAAGAATTTCCTTTAAGTTGTGTATGCAACATCTTAAATACTGGTCGATCGCGTTTTGAAAAATACCACCAGTTTGGTAATACCTATTTTATTGTATTTTTATTTTAATATATTATATTGTATTCACCATCTAGCCATTTTTTCATTCGGATATTTCGAATTGTTCATGTATTCCATTCGGATATTTTTACCGTTTACCTTAATGTACACGTTTAAATATATAAAAAAGATATGCCAAAAAACAAGACAAAAAAAAAAATCAAAACCTTAATGCAGAAGTGAAACAAACAAGAACATTCTGGTTTATTATTAAAATAATAATAT